GTGGAACCGAGGGTTGGCTGGTAGCTGACGGATGCGCCCAGGCCGACAACTCGGAGATTGTCGAAAACGACACCGAGCTCTCGGCGCTTAATGTCAGACTCATCCTTCCTGTGCAGAGGTCAGCCTGACCGAGCGTGGAAGAGACGAAATAATGCTACGCACCGTCTGACCATCTGCTGGAGCGACTTCTCAAAGTCGAATGGCCCGTCTCCTGGCGCGAGGGTGTGGTCCGAGGACCGATCTGACGAGTGGTGAGACGCATGGGTCGGCAGGAGGCCGGCTGACGGTGCACCTCGCTTCTCGCTGCGCTGAGCAGTCGACATACGCGACATGGTGCGCTTGAGCTCGTCTACACCTTCGCGGTCGAAGTGGCCGACAGAGACATGTCTGCGGCCCTCCTCCTCCTGCGCGTCGTGAGGGGCCCGGAGTTCATGGGAATTTTCGCGGTGGGCACAAGATTATGGATGGCGGCGTTTCCGTAGGCGGCTGCGGTGGAGGTGCCGAGAGGGACCTCGGGCAGGTGGTCGCCGCTGTTGGCGTCGTGGAGCTGGGCGGGATCCATGGCGGGCCCGAAAGAGACTACGGGGTAGAGTACGGTAGAGCGGGGGCGAAGCACCGCCCAGGCCGGGACGAAACATTATATATGGGCCTGGCGGATAGCGCAAATGCGGAGACAGGACGCGCGGAAGACGGCATCAGCCAGGCGCGGCTGGCGTCAGCGCTGTTGGCGCTGGCCTGTGATTCGATTAGATCGCATCGCCCAACTTTGTTTCCCTTCCACCGTCGTCAGCCAATCAGAGGCGCGCCCGTCCCCGACAAATCCGGGACGAGTCACCGGGGGGAGGTCTCCGCTCTCGCAATTCTGCTGACACGCGTGTCCCGGGAGTGTCCCGGACTTCCTGTGCATGTCCTGGCTCCTGACGCCGGCGCCTGTCCTGACCAACGCACCAGGATTCATGATGCAACGCCTCGGCGCCGCGCACCCAGTGCGTCGCGACGACCTCGCTTACGCCAGCCTCATAATTAACGGTAGCAGTCGCCTCTTGATCTGCTGACGGGACCTACAGCTACACACAACCCCCGCTGGCCCCATGACCATCGTTCCCGCATCGACCAGATCTTCTGAGCTCAACACATCCGTATCCCGCCGAAGGAGCAGCTACGACTATCTATCCGGGTGGTCCTAGATTTGGTTGCTAACTCGCTCTTGACTCAAACCCGATTCCCGCAGAAACGGCGATTACTGTACCATGAGGCACTTACTTATGTGGATCTCGCATGAATAATCCTCCGCGTTCCTCATCTCGACCCCACCATTCCATGGCATTCAATTGTGGAGGAGGCGATTATGCCTGTACAGGCTACAGATGGCCGGATGTCCGAGATATGCAACCAGCAATTAATACTGCCCTGTCAACGGGCGCTTCCCCACTCGCCTCCTCTCGCGGAACGATCTCGCGCGTTCTGCGCGATCATCCTGACAAAATGATTCCAGTTTGACCATCGCCATGGCCACAGAGACCCTGATGACCTGAACCCAAAGGCCACGATCCCGCGCCCGACATCGGCCCGTCCAGAAGACGCGATTCAACGCAAACCTGTCAACCGGCGATAAGTACGCCACGGATACACCAGAGTTGCGGTCCTTTGCGGCCCCATATCCGGGCTCTGGACGTGCGGTATCCGCATCGACGAAGCGTGGTCGAAGCGAAGACACCAGCCGTCGTAGTTGGCATCTCCGATCAGTGGCACAACGGACCGGTTCTATGAGCCCGCGATACAGTTCCCCGGCATGTGGTCACTTCGAGCCAGTACGCAGCCGTGAAGTGGCAAAGTCCTTCTGCTGTTCGCCCGAGAGAGGGACGGGAAGGACAGAGCGCAGTGGAGGCGCTGAAGGTCGTAGTCAGCTCGGAGATTAAGTTGTCAGGTATGATAGAGGCTGCCAGGCATTTGTCACTGTTGCGCTAGCGTATATGATGGTGGCTCATTGCGTACGTACCTGGTGCATGTGTCGTCTCGTCTCGGTGGACTTGAACGTGCCCCGCCTGCCCTTCGTAGGCCTCCGCCTCCACCGTGGTTCGTCGCTGTTCGGTGTTCCGCTCTGAATCATGATGCGTATCTGTGTCGCCGCGCTGCAGGCCATCGATGCTATGCTGCTATGACACCTCCGGCGTCTCCGTTGCCGGTCCCTATCTCCAGATGGCTCGCAATGGCTCTGGCTTGCGTGCTGCAGCCTCCCACCAGGGGACGCGTAGCCCATTCATTGTCTCGGCATGATACACGTCCGTGAACTTGAGGCGCTTCCGAGTCGATACGCGTGATTCTTGTTGTTGATGCCGCAGCACTTATCTGGAGACCAACGTAAGCCATGCTGCGACAAGAATGGACGGTAGTAGACGGTAGCTCGGAGGAACGGGCGCCCACATACCGAGAGCAGTGGGCCAAGCACGTCGGGTGCATACCTACTGCTCTACCGTCGTTAGGCGCTGGGCGTCAGCATAAACCAGTATGAGCTAATTTTATCACCACGCACGGAAGAATCTGTCCGACCACGGCGCCCGTTTCGCATCAGTACTAAGCAGGGCCGCAGCCTGAGCGGGAACGTGTCTGCGCACGGTAGAAATGAGAGCACTCCCCGTCACAGCGCGATGTGGGCAGTCGGTCCTGCTGGTTTGGCCGGAGGGAGAGCTGGCAGGTCGATGTGCAGACTACGGCTCGTCGACGCCGACGCCATGCCTGACCCGGGCGGGGACAAGACGGGGGGCTTGCGAGAAACAGCGAGAAACCCGCCCGCGGCGCCTATCGCTCGCGAACTGCGCATCCACCGAACCCGAACATCACGGAGAGGCGATGGCATGTGATTTCATAAATCTAGATCCCACTCACCCACTCGAACAGACTTGCACTTGGCTCGCCGCTTCGATCATTTCGGTCTTCGAATGCACACGAATGTGTCTCTCGTCTGCAACAGCAATCTTCTCCGAATGTACACAGTATCGGAGCACCTGAAGCGCACCTTGCGTGATACGTACGCTGCACAGATGTCGGTGCTAGTGATCCTCGGCGCAGGCATCGGATCGCCTTGCCCATCTTGGTACTGTACCCCGGCCGAGCTCGAGGTGCACCATGTACGCCTTCACGCGCCTACTTAATTAGTAGGAGTTGTGCTTAGACTGAAGACATACTTCGATGCGGAAGCTGAAGACGGGCTGCTGCAGGATACGGCGTAGTCGTCGGACTCAACGTTCAACTTGAAGACAGGCAGATACGGTAGATATTGCACGATAACCTCGATTCCCTCAACACAGCCGAACAATCTTCCTTCCTTCAAAGCACCTCCGTACGAGTCTCCCCATGGCCACACATCAGTGCGAAAAACCCGCCCTAGCTCGCCACGCACTACCTGCAGCCACCACAAGTACACATACCCTCGCAACCCATCCTCCGAGGTGTCTCCCTCACCGACTTTCCCAACACGCTGGGCATGCGCTCCGTAGCGCAGGCCCGCTACCAGTTCCCGTTGCGGAACCGCCCCCACCGGATGAGGGCGCGTCGCGTACGCCTGCACGGCCCGCTCACGCGCAAGCCGGATATGTGTGATGCTCCGCGCGAGCGTAGGCGCGACACCACCGCGCGGGGCGGCGGGATGGTGAGCGGGGACTTTGGGTTGATGGTTTGCGGTTGCGTGGAGGGCACGGCGGGCTTCGAGGGTAAGGCTGCATGGAGAAGCGGGAACGGCGGAGACAGGCACGGGGATGGGGCCTCGTGTGTGGGCTGCGAGAGCAAGGCCATGGTAGCGATGTACGCCGGTCAGGCCTGCTGCGAGGTGTTGCGAGTTTGCGGGAGGGGCCGTGAGGCGGATGAGATTGTGCTGATGATTTCCAGAGGTAGGAGCTCCCAGACCAACTGGCGCTTGCCCAAGCGATGCCGTCGTAGAACCTAGATCGTTTCGGCTCCAGGAGCAGACACGGGGAAGCCCGGTTAAGGCTATCGGTAGGGCCACGGGAAGACACTGGTGGTACCTGAAGACGGTAGTTTCGGAGTTCCAGAGCATCGAGGAGGTGCAGTGGTCGGGATCCGGTGGTGCCCAGCCGCGAATTATGGGTTCAACCATCATGCTTGTCCTGGTGTTGTATTCAAGGACATCTTCAGTGGTCGACGATGAAGGCGAACAGATGTCGCAGAGTGCGGCAGGCCATTCGAAAAGGCCGTTCCAGAGGTGTCCGGAGAGGATGAATCCGAGAGACATGGCGTTGGTTCGCAAGGTGGGCAGTGTAGCGGCGGCAGTACCAGGATTTGGTCTGCATCGTCGTCAGGATGTCGATGATGTCGGAAAGACTCAGGCTGGAGACTACACTCGAATCGGAGGGCGAATCCTGGATGCTCGATGCGATATCAGCACAGAAAGCATTTTCGACAGTGAAGTTCATCGCAGAAAAGAATGCGCAGAGAGGTGCGGGTAGCAAGTGTATGACAGTTGCAAGTGAAAGCAGTAAGAGACCAGTGTTCAGCTGTCGATGCCATATTATGTATCTATCCGGACCTTCTTGGGGCTGACACGCCGGCCGTGCACTTCTGGCTTCGTGACTTGATACAAGTCAGCCAACAACGCGCCGGATGTGTTTGAAGGAAGCTCCACGGCACCTCACGGAGTGCTTGTACAGAGGTTGTACAGCAGTTGATCCTTCGTTGCTACTTCGCAGGGGAGTCCATCACCTTTCAGGCTGTATCACGACCTGCGTATATGAGAGAAGCTTTGAAGTTCCAACTTCCATATCGAGTCGCAAGTACGTATAGTTTGGCACGTGATCGCAAGACAGCGGCAAATATATCGTCTCGGCGCTGCGTGCCCGTTTCCTCTCTCACTTATTCTCTCAACACAATCGAGCCCCTTTTGTACCATCAATGCGCCGCAGAAACGGGTACTGCACCTGCATTGATTTCTTTTCGATCTGTGCCCAGCCTCTCGCCTTAGACGCGTCACTCGAAAGGAGACGGGTACCCAGGCCCAGTTTAAGTACACGCAGCGCGGACGAGAGACGTTCTGGAAACACGAGAGAAGTGATTCAAAAAAGAGTAGAAGGAAGAACGGAGACGGAGAGGAGAGAAGAAAGAAGTGTTGCCCCCGCTCGACGCTCTCACCCGCTCGTCCGCTCGTCAGTATCGTATCGCGCCTCAACTTACGTGGTCGCAAGTTCGCGTTTCAAATCGACGACGCATCGGCTTCGCGCTCTTAGAGAAATGGGTGAAAGCTTTGCCCCAAGACCAGTAAGTCGTAAGCTATCGTCTGTCGGCCTTATCGCTCTGTCACAGAGCCTTCCCGGAGCCTTCCCTACGCCGTCTTTTCGCTATCTGAGCCATTCGTCCACTGTCGACCATCCGACCTTCTTGCACAAGGAGACTGCGTGGTGTGTGTGTTGGTTGTTCTCGCAGCCGCGCACGCATTTCTCTCCGAAAACTGCCAAACCGACAACGAGAGGGTTGGCGCTGGGTACTCCTGCTGCTCAAGTTCGTGGTCTGTTCAATATCCGCTACGACGCCATCTACTCCTGTTCTCGCTGATAAGACACCTGCACGGTACAGCCTCCGTCGACCAGCCGCATCCTACGGCCCGTCGCCCGGGGACTATCAGAAGAAGGTCGTATATACAGGCTACCGTATGCACTCATACCCCAGCAGTGGCAAACAGTACAGTGCGTTATACACGCATGCGTGGCTGCAGACGACTGACGAGACCTCAACTAGCTCGACAACAGACTCCTGAGAGACATTCAATACATGATCTGCGATCGGCAACGCAAATCGCACGCCGTGTCACGAGTGAGCTTGATATCGTCGCGGAGCATTAGATGCGAACGACCATGCGCTCCGCGCATCTCGCAGCCTTCTCGACAGGCTAGGTCTGCCATAGCCAGAAGTTGTGACCATTCTCGTGATCGTCGGCACCGTCACCTCCGCCACAATGCCTTCTCTCACGGCCCGTGGCCCTCCAACTTTGCACCCGCTGCATAGCAGCTGATTGTCCCACAGGCGGAGCCCTTTACCGTTCTGACGGCGAGTGGGGGTATAAAGCAGACAATGGCTTTTGATGGCGGTTACTCGAACGTCTGGGGTACAGTAGCAGCCTTCGTGGACACTGCCAGAATGCGCTTCCTGGATATCGCTCGGCGCCTCTCCTGGCATGCTTGCTCCGCTCTCCCTGCTGAGCTCAAGGGTCTCCGACACGTACGCTGCCGCTTCGTACAACTCGACTTGTGAGTTGTTGTATCTAAAGATCGGCGTCAAGGTACTGATTAGCTTTCGCATGAAGTGCTCGATCCATCATACACTCGTCTCCCGACCGGAGCCGTGAAGCCTCTTGGATGGGCGCTGGACATGGCCCATGTACAGGCGAACGGTCTGGCCTCTCAACAGCCAATTTGGTTCAGCTAGTAAGTGCCAATTGTTGCTCGATCTTCGCCCACTCATGTATCTGCCCCTCACAGCGTCAGAGATTCTGTTTGGTTCGGGGAGCGCTGGAATACAGCGAAATGCAGGAGGCCGCGCCTTACTGGTAGTAAGTGACACATTCATCGTGGACCGGTTCGAAATGCTTATCGCGCCCCGCCCAGTAACGGATGGGTCGCACTCGCTTACCAGCTTCAGAACGAGACGCTCCTCAACTACACGTCGACGTTCCTCGACTACGTGCTTGACTCGCAGGAGCCGTCCGGCAACTTTGGCCTCCGCCGTTCGACACGTCGCTCCCTGTGCTGCTCTGGCCGAGATACATGATCATGCTGGGGCTCATTGTGCGTCGAACGGACTCTGTATGTACAACACTAACTGTCTTCGCGAATTCCCAGCAACACGCCGAAGCAGACCCGAGCCAGGCAACCGCCATCAACGATCTCATGCACAACTTCGTCTCCTATGCCGCGGAACGCTTCGCGTCTGGCGATCTCGGGACGGAAGACCTCGGCGAGCAATACGGCTACCAGGAAGTCAGATGGGAGGAGGTGCGTCCGTTGTAAAACGCAGGGCGGAAGGCCGCTGACGATGCCAAACGTCCTCAGCTCGTGCTCGTGCTGCAATGGCTATACGACAACGACCCGCGCGGAGAAGAAGCGCAGCTGATTTCGCTCATGACGGCCGCGCGCGAGCAGGGTTTCTCGTGGAAGGACGACTTCTACGTCGATAACGGTACGTTCCCGCGGGAAGCGGTGTCCGCGGCGGACTCTGGCATGCACAAGTGAGTCCATTTAGAGCTGCTGAACGGCTGAGATAAGGCTCACGCGTGAACGCTAGCCACGGCGTCAACGTTGGAGAATGTGAGGTCTCGCCGAGCGTGGCGGTGAAGCAGACGCACTGATGACCTCGTAGCACTCAAGTCGGAAGCGTTGGCTTGGCGTGTGACCGGCGAGCAGAGCGACGTCGACAGCACGTACGACCGCATTGGCATGCTGTGGGAATACCACGTCGTCCACAGGGCATCTTCAGCACGGACGAACATCTGGCAGGCCTCGATCCGTCCAGAGGGTAAGTTGAGGCATACCTCCGAAGTCCGGTTTGTATTGAACCCGAGTCGTCCACAGTTCGGAGTACTGTACAAGCGTGGAGACGATGTTCTCCCTGGAAATGATCTATGCGACCCTCGGCAATCCCGAGTGGGCGGACCTTACCGAGAAGATCGCATATAACTCCCTGCCTGCTCAGGTTTGCCTTCCGCCCGTGTTCCGTCTTTCGCACCTAATGATGAGAAATATTCCCCTCGTTACAGAGTACTCCGGACTGGTGGGGACACCAGTATCTTCAACAGACGAACCAGATCTGGGTGAGGAATCACACTGATGGAAGGCGTGGGCTACGGACGGGCCCTACAGCAATGTGATGGGGATGGAGCCGAACTACCCTTGCTGTATGCATACGTTCTTTCATGCATGCCAGTCAGCAGAGACTGATGTCATGACTAGGCACCGTCAACCATCCGCAAGGGTGGCCAAAGTTCTGGGCGAACAGCTTCCTGCTCGCTGATAACGGGACCTCGCTCGTGCACGCGCTTCTCGGGCCCGCGACCGTCTCCACAGCTCTTGCGATGGCACAAGTACCAGCGGTATGTACATGACCATCTGTGATTACTGCTGGTCGCTCAAGCGATGCGTCCCAGTTACGGTCGACACGCTGTATCCATTTGGCCCGGCGCTCTCCTACAACATTACCTCAACGGCACCCTTCACGTTCTACATCCGCATCCCTGCTGGGCGCAGAGCGGCAGCAGCATCAGCGTCAACGGCTCGCCTGCCTCCCCGCTCTCCCCAGACCCCAGCTCCGCTCTGCAGAGCGTGTCCGTCGACACGGGCGAAACGACAGTAGCGCTGTACCTTGACATGCAGACCCAGATCGAGGAGGGTCCGAACGGGAGCATCGCCATACATCGCGGACCGCTTTTCTACGCCGTTGACCTGGCATACAATGACACCGAGACGGAAGCGCTGAGGTGAGCGTACTCGACCGCTGCGACCGTTTCTGTAGTGAAAACGGTGGCTTGTCATGTAGGTCCACTGGCCCACTGGAGTTCATCGAGATCCTACCCAATGTTCCTGAGTCCGACCTAACACAGGTACGATGCCACGCAGTGTGCCCTCAAATCAGCTGACCCCACGCCTTCGCAGTACGATAACAACACGCACGATCACACCTGGCTCCCACCGCCCCGTGGAACATCGCTATCGACCCATCGACCCTCGTGTTCCAAGAGGAGAGCGTCGATTCGCTTCCCTACTACGTCTGGGACACCGGCGCGCAGCCGCAGTCCATGACCGCGCTCGCATGCGAGATCGACTGGCCGTGGTGTCGGGCGACGCGGACTGGCCGCCGCAGAGCCCGAACACGTGTACGGGAGAGCCGTTCAACGTCACGCTGCGGCCGTTTGGTGGACGAGGCTCAGGATTGGGCAGTTGCCGACGATGTCGGTCGGTTCATGACCAGAGTCTGGGTGAGATATAATATACAGTCCATGGGTACATCGTGATGTCCATGCCAGCAGCGGCCAGCCGTTGTTCCTTCGGGCACATGGCTGTCAGACTTGTGCGTATGATTCGACGTGGTCTCAGTACATGCTACCTTTCCACAGCAAATATTGCGCCTCTTTCCTCGAGCAAGTGACGCGACTTGCTACGTCCTCAGTGGCACAATGCCGTGGTAATGGCATTCGACACGAACTCTAGCGTTCTACCTAGCGTATCTTCCACAACCGTGACATGCCCTTGTGCGGTTTCGACCACTCTGTCTCCACCCATTTGTTGCCGCGAGCGATAGACCATGCTATCGGCTCGCCATCTTGCGAAAGTGTAACCAGTACCCGCCTGTCCACGACACCTTGACCATGGACTTCCGGCGACTGGGGATCACCCTCTCCAACGTCATTCGTGCGCGGTTGTTCTGTTCCAACTGCGCCAACCTTCGTGTCGGAGATGGTGAGCAGATATGTGGCACAGGATGCACAATGCACTGGCAGTTACCTGCAAAATACCCCACGCCCATCGATCTGTCTCGTTCTCCAATGTTGACAACTATTGTGTGTAGTTTTCCCGGCTAGGAGTGTGCGGCACTGTTGCATCACCGATGTCGGGGATCATCGTGAAGGCGACATGATCCTTGAGTACGTTGAGACGGGCATTGAGTGCCAGTGCCTGACTACCACTAGATGTAAAAGGCTGAGTGAGTCCTAATGGTGCATATAGCGTAAGCTTGCGTAGGGCAGGGAAGCAGTTAGTCGAGTTGAGTATCGTCGTCAGCGTATCTGTCGATGCCTACACAATTCGCCGGGTTGTCAACAATAACTCTTCATCGAAGACCATAGTGAGTTACCTTCGAGTCCGCGTCCTGAGTCACAGTGTAGTCTGCGTTAACATCGACACCGAGATGGTGCAACGAGACACAATTCTCGCCTAGCCTCCGAAGATCTCGTGGATTCAGAGGCGTTCGCTGAGGCTCATCCGCGCGTTCGTGATCGTGCAGTACAAGTGACCGCAAGGTGGCTCCATGATGTGTCGCAATGGTTGAGACCAAAGGGTGATGAGGTCCCTCGATGTGTAGAGCCTGGAGTCCCGATGCACTCGACAAGAAGTCTTGGAGAGCCTGAGTGGTAGCACTGGCGCGGGTCTGCTCGTCATGGCTTTCGAGCCATACAACAAACTTGAACTCCGCGAGGGAAGGTAGGCTCGTGCCGACAGGAACCCATGTGCGGAGAAGTGGGATGGCATTGCAGCGTGTCAACTCCAGCTTGCGCAGGCGCGACCACGAGATACTCTCGAGACTCTTGACAGCCCCCGCGTCGCTCCATGTGAAGCCTTCCAAGACAAGCTTCTCGATTCGCGGGCCAATCTCCATCTCGCAGACCGGCTGTGTTGGGTCGTACGTCAAGAATGGTTTTGTATGAACTTCGTCTTCAGTATCCTCGAGTGTTACGACGCGTACAACGCAACCTGAGCGGTTGTATGCTGTGATCCGCAGACTATGCAGTCGAGGCGAATGACGTAGAATGGGTTGGATATTGAATAGAGGGTCGCCGGAAATACGCACGGTTGCAGCAAGCGAGATGAGATTGGGCATAGCGGGAAGAACCGAACCTGCGTATTTCTCTAGTATGAAGCGGCATTCCGGGAACGCAACTTGGATTGCATTTATCAAGGTGGCTGGTATGTCGAGGCCAGCATCCCACCTGTGTCGGTGATGAGCCCGTGCATGTGTACCGACAGCGGGGTCGTGCTCACCGCACTTTCTGTAATCCCGCTTTTAAGATCCCACCCTGGATAATCCGTTGGAGTTCTTCGAGGGATTCGACTCGTTCTAGTTCGGCAGGCGAACCGTCGTCGAGTTCCTTTAGATGATGATACCACGATTTCTGTGTGAGTTCGCCGACAATGGCGAGCTCCGTGACACGTTCGGAAATGTGCGGAGATGAACGCAGCGTGTCTAGCCTGCGCTTACACTTGTTCTCATCTGATATATCCAGCACAAATCGCTGCAAGATGAGCCCACGCGCTACGACGGCGAAGTCGCGGCTGATCAAAGATGCAGATTTGAGGTCTGGACGGGGAATCTGCGTGTAGATGGCTTCAATGGTGTACATGGCATGCGATCAGACCTGGACGTACCTCCGCAAGGATGAGACGAAGTACGTCCTCACAGTGAAGCCACCTATGCGTATTGGTGCTTGATGCGTTACCCATGAGAAGATGTATCTACCTGGGATAGTAGGGTCAGGTTCCTTCCAGTTAGAACATCCATACTTGCACTGCCTCACAGGAATCACTTGAAATCGGCGGAGCCTATGACTGTGGCCATGATGGCGGTCAACTGACAAGACGATGACAAGACAAGACCTGCCACCCCACGCTAAGCAGTGTGGCTATGCATGCCAGAGATGATTCAGAGTGATTTGAGCCGACCGCGTTGATGCGGCGGTAAGCAGCCGTTGTTCAACTAAGTATCACTGCATCGTTCTTGAGGTGGTGTCAGACGGAGCGTTCATACACAATAGAAACCGGACACAGCGCCGGCTTGATAGTCAGTGCTCGCGGGACGTGATGACTGTAAGGATCCTCCTAATGTGTCTACCGCCATCTGGACACGCTCTCGGGCGGTTCCAAGTATTCTGTTTCCACCCACTTGTTGCCGCGCTCGACCATCCACGCTATTGGGGTGCGCTCAAAGACAAACGAAGAGCCGTCTGTCCACGATGCATTAATCAGGTGGTTGCGCTGACCATCGACTTCCCTCTCTAGTGTCATCTTGAAGCGATTACTCCGCTCCCAGGTTACCCAGCCTTTTACCAGGCTCCATCAGTGTATTTCGAGAGCATGAGGTTCAGAGAATTTACCTGCAGGGCGCCCAATTCCCATCAGCCTGTCCTGTTCTCCGATATTGGCGACGATTGAGTCCAGCTTCCCCGTCCTGGGACCAGGAGTGCCAGCGATGTCGCCGACGTCAGGCATCAACATGAAGGGCACATGTTCCTTGAGTACGCTAAGGGGGTCCAGCATACGGAGATCATCCTGCGAGGCGCTGGGAAGCCTGGTTATCCCCAGCAGCGTGTATAGAGTCAATTTGCGCAGAGCAGGGAAGTAGTCAGCGGAGTTGATGAATGTCGTCAATGTCTCCGCCTGTACGTCCACAATGTCAGACCCTAGTTTTGATCAGAATTGATGGAGAGTCACCTCTGAGTCTGTGTGAGAAACAGTGTAGTCCGCATCAACGTCGATTCCGAGATGATGCAGTGAGCGACACTTCTCGCCCAATCGCCGAAGGCCCCCCAGAGTCAGTGTCGTTCGCTGGGGCTCATCGCGACGTTCGTGATCGTGCAGCACAAGGGAACGCAGGGTCTCCCCGTGGTGCGCGACGATGGTTGAGACCAAAGGATGATGAGGTCCTTCCACGTGTAAAACCTGAAGTCCCGAGGTACTCGATAAGAAGTCTTGGAGCGCCTGCGTAATGTCAGCACGGGTCTCTTCGCTTCCGTACCACGTCGTGTATACAAATTCCTCGAGGAATGGCATGTTAGAACTGACAGGGACACAGGCTTGGAGAAGTGGGACGGAATCGCGGCGACGTAGCTCCAGCTTGCGCAGGTGCGACCATGACATCTGCTCGAGACAGCTGATGGCACCCTCCACGCTCCAACTGAAACGCTCCAGGACCAGGTCTTGAAGCATCGGACCACTGCCTCCGCAAACCGGCTGTGACGGGTCATACGTCAGGAATGGTTTCGGGAGGGCTGCAAATTCGGCCTCTGTATAACCGCGTACGACGCAGCCTGTGTGGTTGTATGCTGAGATCTGCAGAGTACGCAGTCCCGTTGCATGACGCAATATGGGCTGAAAATTGAGAAGAGGATCGCCGTGGCAGTGTACGGTTGCCGTGAGCGAGACGAGAGTGGGCATAGGCGGGAGGGCTGAGCCTGCGTATTTCTCGAGTACGAAGCTGCATTCTGGAAATGCTACTTGTATAGCTTCTATCAAGGCGACCGGCATGTCCAGGCCAGCATCCCACCTGAGCTAATGATAAGCCCGTCCACAGTCGACAATCGTAACATGGAGCTCACCTCACACGCTTGAGCCCAGCCTTGAATATACCGTTCTGTATGTGCTGTTGGAGTTCTTCAAGAGCCTGGACCTGCATAGTTACCGGCCCATCTTCAACCTCCGCGAGATATTGCCACCACCTTTTGTGCGCGAGATCGCCTACGATTGATAGCTCCTTCACATACTGGGAGACACTTGTCGATAAACGCAACGTATCCAGCCTGCGCTGGCACTTGTCCTCGTGCGCCAGATTCAGTACGAATTGTCGAAGGATGAAGCTACGCGACACAGCGGCGAGATCGCGGTTGACCAGCGACGCGGATTTGAGGTCCTCACGAGGAATCTGCTCGTCATTCAGTCACCAACTCACAACGACAACACGAGCTGAGACAGACCTGCTCAAGGATGACCCGGAGTATGTCTTCGGTTAGAGGCAATCTCTGCGCATCTGCACTGGCTGCGTTACCCATACCGAATACTGAGAGACAACATCATTCTCATGAGTCATCTGTATTTATATTGCTATGTGTGAGTCACCTCACCGCAGAGCAGAGCCTTTTGTGACCCATGACGCGTGGCAGATTTGGCTGTGCTGCGTGCATCAACTGAGGCTATGCCCAATACTACCTTCCCGGGAGACCTCCAGCGCTCGATCTATGTTCTCGAAGGCACATTTGTTTTCAGCTCCATCCCAGCTCTCGACGGGTTCCAGTCGAGTACCGCATGTCCGTGTCGTTGACAAATCAATGTCAACCCTCATCGGCATCTCTCGCGACAATTTCGAGGCAATACCGTCTCACTATTACTTGGCTTTGAATGCCCCCACAATAGCTGAGCGCGCGCAAGCAAAATCAGAACCCTTTGCTGACACAGACAATGCGCTGACTGACCTGGTGTTTACCGTCGTGGTTCTGTCAACTCGATTCCGCATGATTTGTACCGTCTCGGAAGGGGTCCTAAGGGCGCGGCGATGCACCTTCCGACTAATGGTGGATGTAAGGCGAAACAAGCACATGAAAGGGTACACCGTGGTTCATTGTTCGAGTCGACAAAGTTGCGATATCGGCCTCCTGTTCACGTCGCGAATGGCAGACAATCGAAGTACAGGTTCGATGGACGCTCACGGACCCTGCAACGTGAAATGCAATGCCGCCTGCATCGCCGTGTCTATTGCGGAAGCTCAACCGAAAATTCCGGGCCACAATGCACCTGGACCCATGGAAATTATGTGCTGGACGGCAGTAGTCTTTGAAGGACACGATCAACCTCGACATTGTCCGAGTCTCCGTGCTTTGGCCAGCTCTCCTCTGGTGGTATAGAGCCTTCCGGAAGGTTGGACCAGTTCGGCGAGGGAGTGGGGCGTATATGGGAGAAATCTTGCACCGCTAGGTTACTCTGACATGGTGATGCGTGAGCAGTTCTTATCATGATAAATAGAATCGACGAAGGAACGCACCGGTAGTTCATCGCCGGCGCTGTGAAGATATCGAGGATACTTGGTGAATCGGATCCCTTTGCAGTGCTCAATGATCGGATTAGATGCAAGGGATATGTAGACGTCCGTCTGCGTCGAACTATGCATGCGATACTAGCATCGTATGAGTCGACCTGAAATGAGTGGAGACTGGCGAGCACAGACCTGATGACAGCCGAGAGCAAGGACACATCTCGAGAGATCGTGGAGCAGTGCGCTACCGTCGATGACGGGCATGATCAATACACTGTTTCTGATATTACGCGCATGGAGAGCGGTAATCTTGACATCGCGCGCAACGCCATCCTTGGAACGGGTCTCTGAGAGCATGTACACCACGCAGTGGTCCAGATCAGAAATGATGAGATCCGTAGCGGAAACCGCAGACGGGAGAGACGACAGGTCGAGGAACTCGTGGCTACGGCCAGATAGTGTCACGCCAGCGAAGCTTGAGGCAGTGCTTGATGAGATATCTACCAGTGCTGAAGTAATGGGCGCAACTTTCGAGGCGGACGAGGTAGACGATGGGGATGGAGATGTAGTAGATGTATTCGCTTTGCGCTTAAACACGAACTTCGGCTTCGGTGCAGCGGCTGTCCTGAGTTTCTCTAGGGACCCCTCAACTTCCTTTAGTCGCTGAGAAGAGCTGAGCACTCGTCTACAGTCCTGACTGTAACTGAACGGACTCACCAGTTCACATTGTCTCTGATCATAACTTGGCAGGAAGCTCGTGGCGTCCGTTAATTCCTTCCTCAATTTAGCGAAGTCGGTTGATAGCTGCTGTAGTGCTTTCGAGTCTGCGCTACCCAAGTTCAATTCGTTGGCCCGTGACGCAAGTTCTGTCGATATCGCATTTCAGGAATAGTCCTGCAGGCCAATACGTAGAGTAGCAGACCAGATTGCGCCGCATTGAAATGGATGTAGAATTCCTGGCTAAGTTCCTGGTTCGTTTTGTCCATTCCGGTGTAGAAGACTTGTGGCAAATAATGAGTGGATGTGAAGCATGTGAAGGGCTGTCCCTACCAGAGAGTGGCCTCAGCGCAACCCGAGCGGTGGCAGAGCGGTACTCGGTCACGGTCATCCGTTACACCGTCACACACATGAAGGGGTGCGCGCTTGCGGCGCTTACACAGGTTCGCTGCTCGCCTCGACGTCCTCCATCGTCGTCGCATCGTTAGCCCTCCATATCTCTGGGACTACCACAGACTTACAGGAATCAACGATGGCTGATGCTGAAATGGATGTCGATCCGCCAGCGACCTCGACTGGCAAGGCCGTCGACAAAGGCGACGCGAAGAAGCGATTCGAGGTGAAGAAGGTACGCGCGTTGTTCGATAGATATCTGACATACAGCGATGCTAAAGCAGTGGCCATATGTGTTCCTCGGATGATAGTGGAATGCTGTTTCGTTGTGGGCTTGGGGTGCGTAGGCTATTGTGTCACTTAGTCGTGTGTAGCTTACTGACGAAGCGCGATCTTTGTAGACATTGTTGTCGACAACTGCGCCATCTGCAGGAACCACATCATGGATCTCTGTGCGTCGAAATGCTCACACCTATCCTTGTCTTCGGCATCTAACATATTACTGGTATCAGGCATCGACTGTCAAGCCAACCAAGTATCAGCCACTAGTGAGGAATGCAACGCTGCATGGGGTATCTGTAACGTGAGTATCACGACGAGCGGCTGGAACAACCGTGGCTCAACATACAATCATCCTAGCACGCATTCCACTTCCACTGCATCTCCCGGTGGCTGAAAACGAGGAACGTCTGCCCGTTGGACAACCGAGAGTGGGAGCTGCAGAAGTACGTTGTTCCACTCTCTTCGCAGTGGCTCCAAGTTCTGATGGTTTCTTAGGTACGGTCGGTAAATGCAGACATATCCCTGTCTCTAGATATTACGCTTTGTATTTTGTACATCACTCGCGCACCAGCTGATCCGGTACCACAAATGTATATCATGCGCCATCGCCTTACTCGGTGGGTATCTCGTCTACTGACCTGTGGTTCCGCAAACGATCGTATGCCTACTGTCCGCAAGATCCACTCAATGCAGTTCAGGATTCGTGTCTGGCGATAACACCCCCACCCCTGCAATCTCGTAGGTATGCTGGGGCATGCACCGCCTGATTCGATGGACTACATGATGTTCTCTCCGTTCAGATGGAAGCAGCCTCCTTACATTTAAGCAGATATGGTGGGCTAGCGAACTAGGTGAGACACTGGTTGCATATGCCTTTGCTGCACACTGATGTCAAGATTTACGATTGGGAGTTGTTCGCTGAGTAAGGGGACCTAGCGGATTTGGCAGATACTCTGTCAATTCACACAATGTCCTGCTGGTATCCAGACGATCTCGGATGGCCCCTACGGGGACGACCGTCCCTGATAGATGTTCAAGCGGTTACCGCCCTGTGTCGGTGTGACAATTGTTAAACACATTTCTAGCCAGTGCTCGTGAGTGTCCCGTCGCTTGCAGATACCTGTGGCTCTTACCTGAGCACTGATTTCGAGTCTCTAATTGACGTATGTAGGGATCTAACACATTGCTTGAACTTGACGTTGCGTGCGTGCGACAGTTCCTGAAGAATACTTCAGGGTAGTGGCGCTGGATTTTACACAGTTTAAAGCATCGCATTCTCGCAGACATCTATGGGCTATGTTTGTACGTACCGTCATTCAACCAAAGTGAGATACTTGGTACGTCTGCCAGCGCAGACATCCCGTGGCGGCTGATGATGGACATCCGAGACCCTGCTCCGTGAGTTGCGTATCAGCCTGCAGTTCCATTTGGACGATTGCACAGCGCACAAAGGCCCATACCTCCAATCAAGTCGACGATGTGTTACGTAACTTGCACTGGTAGTACTGATCCCAATTTGCGGAGCTTTACCGGCACGCATACAATTCGGGAATGAAAAGAACTCAAGTTATGTGCGTGCCTTGATAAATGACCACACAAAATAGTCGCTGCAACCTGAGCCAACCAGAGACTGAAGCTTACCTGAACGTTAAACCACCGATGGGATGCCTCGGTATCCCCCAATCGGTCACCTTCCATATTGGGAGATTGTATGACCGAATATGGAAGTCGGTGCGCGTGCTGTCTTGGGGATGGTGTACCCCCATATTTGGAAGGTGACCCATTGGGGGGTATATATGACCGTACGTACGACGCACCGGGGGTTTCGAACCTTTACGAACATCCCCGCCTACTACCGCTACGACACCATGAACACAGGTCTCCCTTTCTCAGGCCAACCGGTTGGCTTTATTCTTGCCGGACTACCTCTTCCTCCTCCTCCCTATGCCTCCCGTACCGTTCTCATGGAGCAGGCCAACGAGCTCCGCATCATCGCACAGGCATGCATGGACCAAGTCCAGCGCGATCACGCACTCCTCCGACTCAAGGAGTAAGAGATTGAAGTCCTGCGGAAGAAGCTAGAGCGGAAGCGGAAGCGTGAGGACTTAGCGAGGAAGGAGGAGGCACGTTTGGCTCAGGAGGGGCTTGTGAGTTTGGAGGAGCAAACCGCGTCTCGCACAGCGAGGAAGGAGGCAAAGCGCAAGCAGCAGGTTGTTGCTGCTAACTCCCGCCTCATAGGGAAGCAACCGCGAGGCGGGACAACTGCACACTCCTTGCGGAAGTTGGAGGATGCCGGCGCGGCTGCAGCTGGTCGCAAGGAGGTGGCCAGTGCTGGCCACCGAGCAACAGATGTTACGCAGCAGGGTAGGCCTCGCCCTCGCCGCAAGGTAGCCATCCCGGCAGCCCCGGACGATACGGAGACTGATGGGCAGGCCTCTATGGCCAGCCATGCCGCTGCTGATGGTACTGCTACGATCTTCAGCTCTGGTGAGTCTGTCCATCGTTTCTTACGTTCCGAGTCTCTAATGTGTCTGCTGTACTAGATGGGTGCACGGTTCCCGGTCCTCTTCCTGGCACTGCTAGGGAGCCTGTCCCAGCCCGCCTCAGTGGCCTCGCCACTGTCCACGACTCAGCTCAGCCTCGCCTTGAACAAGGACATTGTGCCAGTGGAAGTCGCATGCCAGATGAGCGGCCCAAGGCTACTGCCAGTGCTCAGGCAGAGCCACCTGTTGTACGCTCCGAGAAGCCCGTGCTGCGTCGCAATCCACCTCGTAAAGGCCGATCAATGAGTGTAGCAGACTCACACCCACCATAGTTGCATCCGTCATCGTCACATTTACTCCCCTCTTGTCGCTCTATACAATTGCTGCTCGTTGCAGGCACTTGTACCAGTGCTTATGCTTTACCGTTTTCCGCGTTGGCCACCCACCACAAAATATTCATTGACACCATCTATCTGCTTCGACAATCGTGAGTTGACTTGTACTGGATGCTCAGGGCATTGTAGCATGGTTTGAGATCCTCAAAGGTGCAGTGGCACTGCTCGAGCGGAGCATTGTCATAATGATTTGGTACGGTACTTAGAGTGCGGTAGAGTGCTGAGGAGCGTACATGGGCGCTTACGAAATTCCTGGCGCGCGTCAGATCTGATGAGGGCCGAGAGAGGCTCCTGGTACCTACCACCAACACTATCGACCTCTCGCCCGCTCCTCCCACCATATTATACTCAACGGTTATCCGAGTGGACATGCCCACACCAGCGGCAGACCTGAGGGCATCTCTCGAGAGGCACAACCAAACGTTCGAAACTCTTTTGAAGCTTATTCCGGCAAGGTATTACCTAGTGCAGGAGCAAAGCGAAGAGCAGGTCAGTGCATTCCAGCCTGTCTTGAGACAAGCCCGGGAGCGCGAGCCAACACCCGTCTCTTCTCTGGGATAGATCGCCTCCAAATACCAAAAGCACAGTAAGAAACAGAAGGCGCCGAAGCAGGCCATCAAGGAGGCGTCGAAAAAAGCGAAGAAAGAGAAGGTGTGTCGGAAAGCTGCGTCGCTGAAGTTTTTCATGACGACGTGCGCCCCAGCTCGACCCCGCAAACCACAAAACCATCCTCGACATCCAGAACGAGGGTCTGAAGGCGTCCGACAATGCCGCGAGCGCGAAGAGCAAGGGCAAGCGGAAGGCCTCTCAGGCCGACGCCGAGTCCGGCTCGGACGGGATGGACGTAGACGAGCCCATGGACCTACGGGAGGACGCAGCAGAGTCCGAGGACGACATGGTGCCCATGCCCGAGACCGGCGGGATCGAGGCGCTGCGCGAAAAGCTGCATGCACGCATGGCCCAGCTACGGAGGGGACCGAAGGTCGGCGGGGACGGTGAGGCGGGGAGCAGGGACGAGCTGCTCGAGGAGCGGCGCAGGCAGCGGGCGGCGATGCGGGAGCGGCGGCGGAAGGAGACCAAGGAGAAGATCCGCAGAGAGGAGGAGATGAAGGGGAAGAAGGGGAAGGACAAGGACCAGTCGCGGGACAAGGGCCCACCCACCCAGGTGCGTACAGCTCACGGTGGCACGAGAAAGTCTTTTATTGACGGTTCGCAGACCCAACTGCTCGTGCCGGATGAGGGGCCTTCATCCAAGGCGGGCCACCCGCACGATCCGAAGGCCAAGTTCACCAGCATCGCGTTCTCCGCCGTCGCCGGCTCCTCCAACAGCAGCAAGAAGGCGCATCTCAAGACCTCGTCGAACCCGTCGCAGGCACTCGAGCAGCTCGCCTCTCGGAAGGAGAAAGCGGCGTCCATGCCCGAGGAGAAGCGGAAGGCGCTGGAGGAGCGCGAGAAGTGGGAGAAGGCCGAGGCGCGGATGGAGGGCGTGAAGGTGCACGACGACGAGGGCCGGCTGAAGAAGGCGGCGAAGCGGAAGGACAAGGTGAAGCAGAAGAGCAAGAAGGAGTGGTGCGCACATGTCCTCTTTCGAGTTCCCGCTGGGTGTGCCGAACTTAGTCGAATCGCAGGGACCAGCGGAAGGAGCAGCTCGCCACCAGCATGGCCGCGAAGCAGAAGAAGCGGACGGACAACATCGCCTCGCGCCATGAGCGACGGAACGACAAGGGCAAGGCCGGCAAGACGAAGAACAAAGCTCGCCCAGGATTCGAGGGCAAGTCCTTCGGCAAAGGCAAAGGCAAAGACAAGGCTCCGGCGAAAGGCAAAAAGTAAGGACCTCCCCACATGTCCCTCCCTCTGTATGACCGTATGCGCCGTGTCATGTCGAATGCTACACTTTATTGCCGGTCTTGGCCCAGTCCGCGTTGTCTGCCTATCGGTATTCAAGGAGCGTACGTGAGTTATATACACGAAGTGCCGAAAGCTATAAATACAAGAAAACGAACACCCAAGCCCAAATCACGCAGCGTATCCTTCTACTCATTATCACCCATTACGCACGCACAGGTCCGCGAAGCTCACTCCCTGACTATGCCGACGGTGACCTCCGCCTCCGCCTCGCCGCCCTCGCCACCCCTCGACCCGAAGTGCAGCGCATGTGAGCAGCGCTCCCACGCCCACTTCGTCAGGCCGAGCACCTGGTCGTCGTCGAGGTCTTGCCGGACGTGCAGCTCGAGCGTGACGACGAGCGACTGCGCCGGGCCCTGGGCCTTCGTGTCGATAGCGGACACGGGGTGGTGCGCATACATCCAGTGCTCTTGGGGGAGCGTCAGATTCGGCGTGAGCTGCCAGATGTGAGGTGCTGGGAGGTGCACGACTTGCGGATGGCGTTCAATCTGTGGCGAGAGCGTAGTCAGCGACGGATGCGAGCCCGGGTATGAGAGGACAGACCTCGCGCATGGCTCGAAGGAACGCCTCCATGCGCCCCCCGGCGAGCCCTCGTGCGGGGGACGTTTGCAGGAGGACGGCGCCGAGGGCGACCGCAGCCGAGTACGCAATGCTGAACGTGGCGACCGTTTCGAATCCTGCTAAGACAAGATCGAAGAACCGGTGCTGCCAGCTGCACATTGCGTCAATCAGTGACAGGTATCACAACGTGGATCTGAGGTACTGACGGAGGGATGAAACTTGGGCCTACGAGTAGGACCATACAAAAGACTATGGGTGCGAGTGTATATGGGTTTGTTAGGAGGTTCATTAGTCGAGGAGGGTATGTTAGTGACGACGCGAAGTAACGATAGCGGGAGGGCAAATATGTGGTCAAAGGAGGGATATGGTTCCCCGCAGCTAGCAAAACACAGAACCAAGTCAGAATATCACCGTTGTTGTACCCGTCTATGCACGTACTGCTAACCAGCTTCGAATGATTGTTGAAGCCAAATGTTGTCGTGAGCAGCGAGGCGAGGGTGATGAGGAGCAGCCAGAAAGGGAAGTCGACGCTGCGAGAGACGTCAGCTCTGACAGCTCGCGATGCCACGCGAATGTACGAACCCGAAGAATTCTTGTACTTCATCCCCATTGTGATGGTGATGTCCCTCTCCGGACGAGAGCAGGAGATGCTCGACGGTCTCCTTGCAGACGTACACAGACGCAAAGATAAGGTAGACTGACTGAGCAAACGCGACCACCGTCTCCAGGCGCGCATTGCTGCCCAATCCAACCTGTCAGTATCTCTCAACGCAGAAGTTAAAAGATCTCACCCGAAAGGTCTCCGGTACTGGGCTTGCATCGAAGGTGACGCCAGGTATCCTGGCACGATGTGTCCTAAGGCGACGCCGAACGCGTCGAATACGATCCAGTACCCCAGCCCTGTGCACGCGAGCGAGCCCACTTGCTGCGCTGTAATCCATAGCCATACACCGAGCAGGAACTCGGTCACGGCTACGCCTACAGCCTCCGGCGCGATCTTCGGCAAAGCTCGAACCTTCTCCGGTGCGCTCTGGTCGCGGGTTGCATGACCGTTCAGCAGAGGTGCATGCTTCTCGTCGGCATACGTCTCATGGGGGAACGGCGAGATCGGCATCCATGGGCTCACAGGTACCGGCGCTGGAGTGGTGTGGAGCTCGTCTTGATTGGTACCGGGTTCCAGGAAAGAGAAGAAACTATGGGAGAGCGAATGCTTGTGGTGGTGGCCTCTGCGCGAGTTTTCGTTTGAGGACGAGGGTCCCATTGAAGGCATAGGGTGTACAGGAGCAGACAGTGGAGCTCGTCCGCCGAATGAGAACCCTTGTCGAAACTCCCGGTTGCCAGGACCAGGCGAGGCTGAAGGCATTGGTACGCCTTCCGGGGGTCCTCCATATACGATCTCCTGCCCGCCATCCTCGGCGATGGCTGTCGAGGGTAATGTCCCAGGACGAGGGAAGAAGACTGAGAGGTTGCGCGAGTGGATGCGCGAATGCCGCCGAGCATGGGCCTGCGAGGACATGGATGGTGACGGGCCGATGCCGTTCTCCTTCGTACGCATCTCCGGTGCTGTGGCGGACGCAGGCAGCTTGCCTGTCGGAGGTCCATCTGCCGGGAATGAGAATGAGAGGGGGGATGGGCTTGCGGGGGAGAAGGGACCGGAGATCGAACGAGCGCGCGAGTGAGAGTTGCCCGGCAAGGATAAGGACTGGCGCATGGCTGGAGGTTGGTGTCTGCGAGGCGGTAGAGAGGATCCATTGACCATACTCAACGGACGGGGCGCGCCGAAGGTCGTGCGCTGGTGGCCCGTGGAAGGTGGTGGGTCGAGATACGACGGCATCCCGTTCGTCGACGGACTCGAGACGACGCGTGTGCGAGAGGGCGATGGTGGAAGTTCAAGATTAGCATGCCCGTTCGCCCCGTTCACCCCGTTCATCCCGTTCATCCCGTTTGCGGGACCTCCAGGCGGTGTTTGCGATCTCGGGAACTTGAAGTCGTTCGTGTCCTCCTCTCTACTCGTCTTCCGTCTGTGCATCCGAGCAGCCGGTCCCCGCCCATCCTCCGAACCAGACATGGCATACAGTTCGTGTCCTTTCAAACCTGGGTCGCATTGAGAATGGTCACAAGCCTACTTTGGCATAGCTCACCTCTGTTCGGGAGTCAATGCCAGCGTTAGCGTTGGTCCGTACGCGTGTGAGCATCCAATGCTGATCACCCCTGGGCGCCGACCTGTTGCACGAGTGACGGTCACCGAGAGTTCACTAACCTTTGGGAACGTTCTCAAACCTACTGCGCAGTGCTGTAGGAAGGAGCAGCCAGCCGGAGTCGAGAAGAATGGTAGTGCGGGGTAAGTTATGGGCGCTACTATTGCGATAAAGGGTTGATAACAACATTAGTATAGGTGTAATAAACATCACTGAATGCAAGACCGAACCACCACTGTAAGTACTGGTCACTAATAAGTCGAATCATGTATACCGTCTGGCGTGCGCCGTGTACATACACATCCTCAACGTTACTGCAGTACTGTTTACTGATCATCCAGTGAACTCAGGAAAGCTCGCAGCTCCTTTGTCGCCCGACCACTGTCCGTCCACGCCTCTCCAAGGGCTGCTCGAAGTTTTTGCGTGTTTCTCCGCTTGCGCTCCCCGTCCTCACCAAATGCCGCTTGCAGAACCTCTTTCGCCTCCCGCTTTACTGACTCCACAGTAGCTTCGGGTGCTCTTCCGGTGCGGTGGATGGGCCTCAAACCGTTCTCGGTCCGGACCTCGAACAGCTCGTACGCGATGTCGAGATTGCAGCTCAGATGAATCGCGTTAGTGGGTTGGTCGTAGTGATGTGGCCAGCAAATCCTACAAGGCAGGATGCTATGAGAGGACCGGAATGGACGGCAGGGGACTGTACTTACATAGGCACACCCTGGCTGATCGACTCGACGACACTGTTGTGTCCTCCGTGAGTGAGGAACCACCCTGTGGCCTGTGCAGAGTCGGTCAGCCGTCGCAGAAGGGATCAGAATGTGCCGTACCGGATGAGCTAAGATCATCTGCTGCGGACACCAGCGGGACATCATGCCGTACGGATATGCATCCACTTTCTGCTTGACTGCGTCCGGAATGGCGGCCAAACCTGAGGCATGTGCCATGATCTGCAATGGGTAGTCGGTGTCCGGAAGTCAAACATTCATTGTGCATTGCCGGACATAGGACAGCGTACGAAGGGTATGCCCAATTCCATCACGACGTCCAAGACGGCCCAAAGTCTCTCTGGCGCAGGAGGCCAGAAGAGCGATCCGAAAGAAATCTACGCGCAAGGAACGTGAGATGCGCTGAACTCACGCATGTTGTCTAAGCAGCACGCACATAGAGCAGAGACCCCTTCCCGCGTTCTTGGAGTGCCCGATCCAACACTTGCTCTACTGCTGCTGCTTGAGGACCTTGATCCTCAGAGACCGTGGCCCGCGAGCTAGAGGCGGTAAGCGGCCCACAGACGAAGATGCTGCGTGACGTTTCCTTGTAGTACTTCCTGACAGCATCTATCGTCTCCGGTTCGTAGCACTCTGGGGTTGACAAGATGACACCGTCGCATCCGTCGAGCGTCCTGTTCTCCATTAGGATCAAATTCGCACCAGACAAATCCGCGCCAAACGTACTGATACGTGTCAAAAAACATGACAGCCATCATATCTCTAAAGGGGACCTATCGCGACTGTGAGTACCGGAGCACCTTCGCTGTTTCGACGCATGCTTACTTCCTGAGGGAAGAGTTCATAGTCGTACATCGGAGGCAGGCCTGGGATCTCTATCACTGAGCCGGGGCAAGCAAGACAGGCCTGTGGGACATATTGGTCGCGCACGAGGAAGGGATGTGACAACGCGTAGATACCTCAGCAGCGACCTGGTGAAGCGGGCGTCCACTACGCTTGACTTCCTCGTGGACTCGAGAAAACGCTGCATTTCTTCCGCCCGTCCTTTCAGGGCCGTAAAAGGAGAGAAGAGCTGCTGCGGCTGCTGAGTACCAGACGAGGATCTTCACGGACTTGAGGCCGGTTTCCCTGACAAAGTCCAGAGGCTGTTTTGCATAGATCTATGATCGTGTCAACGTCGCAATTACTCTCTAGTGTTACAGGTCACTCACGTCGAGGATGACACAGTCAATGTGCGGCAGAGAGGCGTGAGTAATGCCTGTAGAGGGGCACGTAATCCGCTCCCCTCTCACGAGAGTGCCGAACGACTTCGTGAAGCCTTCGTCGAGAGCGTCGCGGTGCAGAGGGTTACTAGATTTGTTCGGGAGGCCTACAACCCTGGGTTCGACCTGCTGTCAGTATACTGTGATCGAATGCTATGATCGTACGCTTACCGCACGAGACTCAAGAGTTCTGTCTCTTCCGGCTCGAAGTTACGCCTGAGCTCTTGATATACGCGGTCGACGAATTTGTCAGGGACTAGATAGGTGATGTACAGCCGCTGGGCTTTTACCGCTCTCGCTGCGAACGCACAGAGCGGTCGGTGGTGACCTATGGAAGGGTGCCGTCAAAAAGTTGAGGTGCACGACGCCGCAAAATTCCAACACTCACCCCAGGCATTGTAGACAAAAAAGACGATGTGCTTTGAGGCCGGTACTGACTCCGAGGAACCTGTAGTGTCAGCCATTAGAGTGCAGAGTAGGGGAACTGGCGAGCTGGTGATGCGTAGCGAGATATATATACGCCGTACGAGCGAACTGCAGCCGTTGAGATCGCAGGCTGCTGTCAAAAGTGACTAAATTTCATCATGCATAGCAAGCACTGGCAAGCATGAAGCATGTCACGGTGCCAGTGCATGAACACCGTATCTGTAGAGTCGCAGTGAGCTTACTCCGTTCTAGGCCTACCTACTTCCTCGGGGAGCACTGGGGTCTCCGAGTCGTGTAGGGCAGATCCTCGGTATCATTGACGATGTCCACGGCCGTTATGATGTCTGCCAAACCCAGTGAATGCACGAACTGGGCTCAGCGTGACCTCTCACATGGAAAATGGGAAGCCATGTCCTGCCCTGACGACGGCGTATCATTCCGTATCTGTCGCGCCGCCGTACGTACGGCCCCCGGCCATCACCGATTTCTGTGCTTTCGACTTGTAATTCGACATCCTGGTGGTAAAATCACCGGCTCATGTGGAGATTGAGATCTTGAGACCTGATCAAGGCCTTGAGGCGACGTGAGCATTTTCGAGATAGATAGACAAGGAGAAGCACAACCGTGACCGGACGCCGACGTACCCGCGGCATCGTTGAATTTAGCCTAGATCTAGAGGCCGCAGCAGTTTTCAACATTTCAACACTGGCACGGATTGACAACATCATTAGTATAGGTTCAGTTTTGAGTGGTTCTTGCAGACTGCCAAGACAATGAAGGATCCATGTAGGACCGCCTAGCCGCACGTTATTCGGACTTCGCCGTTTACATAGCAGTGTAGCACTGATTCCCAAGTATTCGCGACGGGCATTCTCCGACCAGTCAGACAGATTCTACACATTCAGAGCTCATTGGCTCTTCATACACATCCATCGGAGGGGGTCTCCCCGCGCCGGAGGAGTGAATGCCGAGTTGTTCGAGTTCACCTGCCAATGCGCACATGAGTTGCACCTTTCAAACGGAAATTGCAAAAGCGAACGCACTGGCCCCTTCGTCAATGCTTCCCTCTTCAATACTGGAATCCACTCTACCTAGTGTTGCACAATTTTGAGTGTCGGTTCTGGGTGCAGAGGACCCGAACGAACATACTCGATGTGTTCTCAACAGTATGGGTCGCTGTATGATCGAATCTCACAGTCGATACCTCGGCAGTAGCATTCGCAGGCCCCCCGATCTCGGCGGATGTGTTGTGGGAGCCCATGTAGATATCCCCTTCGGACGCTTCCCGCAAGTTGATCACCAAGCGCGAGACAAGTACCAGTTGAAGTCTGCGTAAATGATGCTCCAGAATGCGGTAACAACTCACGAATTATTGTGTATGCTTACGGAAGGCTTAGGTTGCTGAGGTAGTTGAGCGTCTGGAATGTGTTGTCAGTTCGCTAGGACATCGACAAGTTGAAGGTGTAGCTTTAAAATGACATACATTGAACCACACACCAATGACGAAGATGATCAAATTCAAAATGAAAATCGCGCTAGTGATAAGTCAGCGATAGTTGCAGTAGGCATAGGGCGAACAGGGAGATACAGGAAGTAGATTGTGCCTGAATGGAATGGACGCGGACGACCACTTCAGCTGACCATTTATTTTCGACTACTTGCAAAGACGCACCATCCCTGAGCAGGATCCAGGAGATAGAACGGCGCGTCCATAGTATCTTCCTTCCTTGGACTTTGACTATGTGGAAGGTGTACACCCAAGTCACAATGATGACGACCACATCAACCAGCATGTTGGATATCAGCACGACCAATGTCACTAAGAATGTGAGACAGTCAGAGGTATGACACATGGTCGACGCCGGTACACTCTTTGCGATATGCATTACCTCTGTTGCAATCAGCTTCGTATTAGTGATCCTTTCGACTCGTGCGTTCCGCATCACTTACGTTCGATTGACCGAATCGGACAAATCCTCATATATCCAACAGGTCGGCGAGGACTGGAGCTCGACAAGCATGGGATGCTGTTTGACTTGTATATACTGAACATTGCAGATGTTAGATTTGTGCTGTTCGACCTCGTGGGGTTTATAAAGAGAGCTGAACATACGATGTTTGTAGCAATGCTTGCTGTACCGAACAGTAATGTGACAATTGGCCAGAGCCACTGCCCGCTGGTGACCGCGTACGCACGTACAGCGGCGATCGCTGTTGAAGTCAATAAATTAAGCATCAGTTACATTTCACTGAACTCAGATGTAATGTGTCCAGATGCCTTAACTTACCCGGTACAACTAGATAGCCTATATACACGAATGGCAAACTTGCGTCGAGCGTAGCTGAGCAACTGAACGATGCGACGTGACACCAGACCGGCCCATAGGAATTTTCAGTAGTACCCACCCATCAATCTTCACCCCAGAGGTTTCAGTCATGCGGCGATGCAAGTCGGATGTATATGCACGACTCACAGTCGAGTTCAGATTTGTGGTGTAGTTGCTGGTGATGTTCGTGATCACCGTTCCGATGATAGATAGTCGCAGAAGGAAAAACATCACTCTGGAGACCACAGGCCCTCTGCGGGACCATAGAATGTTCACTTCGCTGCCGAGTGTGAGGACATAGTCATATAGGAGGAACGCTTTGTTCGCGAAGTGGTGGTCATCAAAAATTCAAATGTACGGCGTAGCAAGCACTCACCGATAATAACCGCGTCAAGAACATTCTGGATGAACCTGTAGAGAATAATGTCCGCAAATTATGGAATAGGGCAAGTAGTCACCTGCACTTACGTGCTTTGCAGAAGGGCGACTGCTTCTGCAGCCGGAACGATCAACATTGTGTCTCGCCGCGGAGGGTGCGGTACAATGTGCATTGGAGGTCCTAGAGACATATTATATATGCTATCCAACACTGGCGGCTGTTGATAGGCATGATTGGCAATCCCGAGTGATCATCGCCAGGGCCTTTTGTGCATTTCTCCCTAGAAGAATGGAGATGATGCGGTTGACTAGCCTGATAGATCGTAGGCTCATACCATAGTTCCGACGGCCCGCGGTTCTGCTAAGACTGAGCTAACATTAGCGGCTGTACAGGATTACGCGGAATGCCACGTACAAGTGGCCTGCCTCCAACACGTTGCCACTTGGACGGAATGTATCATGAACATCACACAGCGACGTAACTTTACCGACTGTTACAGCGCTGTCTACATGTGCAGAACGAACGTCGTCTCTATGTCGGTTTTTTGCAATCAGGCGACCACGGGCATAGGAGCGGAATGCTACTACCTTATCACCGATGTAGGTAGTTTCCGCTATACTAGTCAGCGCGGCCGGAGTACCCTCGTCTGAGATACTTGGATCTGTCACAGAAGTGGAGACGTACGTCCGACAAGGTTAGAACAGGTTGCGCGGCGACGAGCTCAGGATGTGGACTAGAAGGAAACCATTGAAAATTGAGTACGTTGCATGAGTGAGCTAGTAGCCAATCATGTCGTCGACGCAGACCTGACAGTGATCGAATGAAATCTATGCAGTGAATGAGCCGGTTGATCAATCCGGTGATGAGGAGAAGGTTTGACAGAATTTTTTTTTTTTTTTTTTTGGAGGGCCGTAAGGGGCAGGAGCGACTGACAATTGGTCAGCCCTCCTGTCCCAGCCAGCTAGCGGAGTGACCCGCCGGCGCAACCAGGGGAAAATGCTTTTACGCACGGCCGTTGAAGCCAGTGTGGGACTCAGTCGCCCGGACCGCGGTCAATACTGCAGATGTCCGGATCAATACCCACTAAAACCCATCGGACCGAGGTCCAGTCATCCGGGAGCGCTTGCACGTCCCAGACGAGGTGGTGCCACGTGTCGAGGACCAGTTGTCTCTTCAGGGCCAACCTACCGAAACGCGGGTGTGTACTTTCGATATCGAGGCGTAGGCGCATATTGATTGACTGGTACCATCGCGCCGCTATGCCGCGTTCATTATGTTGCCAGTCTTCCTCATCGTCGTGTTGGATCACCCTCTCGCAGCGTAGGCGCCACAGCAGGTGAGCGGCTTCAGTTATTAACATTCTCCACAGCCTCACGGTGTGTTCCCGAGGAGCTTTCCCGTTGGTCCGCTGCGGAGTTGCGAAGCCGACAGCGAGGATGGAGGGCAGGGACTGGGAGTACCACGTCCCTCCAGCACGTTTCCAGGCTCGCTCCACGTATGTCCATATTAAGCTTCGTTCTTTGGCTATGCATGTTGTCAGGATATGTTCCAGCGACTCGGGGACGCCACAGAGTCTGCATTCTGCACGGGATTCGAGACCGGGGATATGTGTCCAATACTGTCCGATCCGGTGTGCGCCGTGGACACCTTTCCACAGGAAGTCTGTCACCGCATGTCTAATGTCACCGTGGCGTAGTTCTTTCCATAGCATCGCCTCCGGGACAGACACGTTCCTCAGTTTGAGGAAGGCCTGTATCTCCGCGACGTTCCGTCTCGTCGTACGCCGTTCCGTGTTTACGTGCGATTGTCTGATGCCTTTGTACGCCAGCGATTGTGTCAGGGAGGAGACTTTTGCGCCTGTGAGGTCGAAAGGCTTGTCTACTTTGGGGGGAACGGTGCGCGGGGGGTTGCGTTCGAAGGAGTGTACCGCGTGTTTCAGGGCCGCGGCCAAGGTCTGTCTTTCCCTTTCGTTCTGGGGCGTCCTGAAGGTGGTGACTGCGCACCGTTGACGGAGTTGGTTAACGAGGGCCCTGGTGTAGGTCGCTCCATCGACCTCGATCCAGCCTCTATCTTCGCAGGGAATTAGCTTGCTGGTTAGGGCTTCAGCTAGCTCAGTAGATCTGGATATAAAATGCAGGGGCGCGTCCCACGGGGTGTCTAGCGCTGTTTGTAGGGCCGCTATCGCCTCCCCTTGGGGGCGGCTGCCTGTCGGTGTGCCATCCTCTGGCCGGACTTGGGCACTTCGGCCGGGGGCCGAGGGGTAGTAGGCGAATCCGGAGTGTGGGTGCACTTCGACAGTTGTGCCGGACCAGTTGTTTTTCTTTGGGGGTCCCAAAAGGTAGACCGTGACGGCCTCATCTTCTACGATGCGTCCACGCCGTTGGCGTATAGCTGGGGGCTGGTCGTGGACCGTAGGGTCAACGAAGACCCGGAATGCTTCGTCCAACGGGCCGCGGCACGTCAACGACGGGTCGAAGGTGATAACCTCGTCATCTTCTAGAGCTTTGTCATTCTTTTCCTTCCTCCTCCTTGTCAGGGAGAGGCCGTCGGCCGGTGAAGACTGTGTGGGTGCCCATTTTGGGCGGATCTGTTTGAGGAGGGTGTACGCCACCCCGCAGCACTTAAGGGGATGTTTACACCCGGCTCGACCGTCGGCCGCGCATTGATTGCAGTCACAGCTGCCCGGTACATAGTCATTTCCTGACTCCCGGAGCCGCATGTAGCAGGGACGTCGGATGACTGCAAGGAGATCGAAGACACGGGAGGCGCCGTGGTTCCGTCGTAGGCAGTCGCTACGGGGAGTGTTGTTCAATGTTCGCAGCCGCTTTGTCGCGCCCAAGTGGTACCACATGGGTAAGAGTTCCTTTGTTCTGTTGTCAAGTTTAACTGCTGCGAAGCTCACATTGTATTTCTTCGCTACAAGGAGCATCCGCTGTAAGTAGGGCGGGAGTGGGGAGCGGCTATGAGTAGATGGGCTCCAGCTCTGCAAAAAGGTGTTGATTTGTGCTTCCGGTCGTATCGCCCCGGCGTCTCTGGATGCGCATTTGCTAATCAGAACGTCCACCGCGAAAGCCCAGGTAGGGCGGGCCTCGGATAACATAAGGTATTTCTTCACCCATACGAGTTCAATCGCTTCGTTCCTGCTTTTAATGTCTAGTAGGCCAATGCCGCCTTCCGTGACTGGGAGGCACAGTGTCTCGATCGCGATTGGCGGGGACTTCGTTTCTCCCCAGATGAAGGACCGGATCAGGGAGGTAAGACGTTTCTCGATACCTTTCAGCATGCCCTGGACTGACGTCAAATACTGGGTAATGCCTCCAGGGCCCATTTGCACGATGTGCTTCTTTCCTCGGAGCGAGGGGTTACACTTTCCCCAGCGATCTAGGAAAGCTTCGACTTTCTGCATCGCAGGGGTCCATATCGCCACCTGGTCTACACCGTTTCCTACCCAGGCCCCCAGAATGCGCACGGCTTCGCCGTCTCGCGCGATATGCACAGAGTCGGGTATCCGGTCATTTGGCTGGTCGGAATTGATCGTCCTTTCCGTGGCCAGGCGGTGTCGGTACTCCGCGGTCCCTACCGGGATTACTTCCGTCTTGCCCCCGTTGAAACGGGCGCGTGAGGCTTTGCACCAGTCATTAAGGATTTTCCATAGCCCGGACCAAGAGTCCTGGGCGGATAGGAATGCGGACGTGTCGTCCGCAAATAGGGAGGTGATAACTCGGGATGCCGCTCCGGGGATGCTGAAGCCTCGAAGGGATGATGCTCGCAGGGCGCATGCCAGCGGTTCTATGGCGAGGTCGAAGAGGAGGCAGGATAGAGGGTCCCCTTGCCGTACTCCTCGTATAACGATAAATGGTGAGCTCTTCTCGCCGTTCAGTATAATGATGGTGGTTGCGTGTTTGTATAGTTCCTGGACGCGACGTATAAAGCGGGTGGAGAAGCCGAAGCGTGCAAGGACTTTCCAGAGGTAGTCATGTGCAACCTTGTCATAGGCTTTCTCTTGGTCAAGGGCTACTATCACACCGTCTTCTTCGACGGCCTCCGCGTAGTCAATCATCACCCTGCAGAGTTGGGTCTGGTCCGTGATGTGGCGACCGGGCACGAACCCTGCTTGGTCCGGGTGCAGAACCTTCGTGGCGATTCGACCCAGTCTTGTGGCCAGGATCCTCGTGTATAGCTTATTGTAACGTGCCTTACTCAATCCCGCAGATACAGTGCACCAATCTCCATTGAGAAGTGCGATGTATCCGGAGGACGACGAGTTAAAGGACTTGTCCTTCAACTCGCCGGGCGACGACCTATAAAGGTACGACGCCAAACACACGCAAACGTATATACATACAAACATATCGATCCAATAAGTCCATAACGGGATTACACACGTCCATACGGTAACGTCCCGTTACACTCCTCCTCCCTGGACTCGTCCACGGGTCCACGATAGTAGAGTATGCGCGAATATATAAGGTCATTGGACCGTGATGATGAGGCGAAGCGACAGGATGACGATGGCGACGACGTGAGTGCCGACGGCGACAGCCTGCGCGGTGAGAGGAATGATGAGGTGAAGGCGCCAGCGACGCGCCGGCCAGTAAGTCTATTGCGGACGGAATTGAAGAGACGGGAATGTTCGCGACGCCGTGATCGAGAAGTACAACGCGCCCGTAAGTGCGGGGTACAGCGACGACATGGTACGTGTCGAGCAGCCTGACGATCGAGACGATCAGTCAGAGTGGCCAGAAGGACCATCCCCCGGGTGGTTCTCATCAGGAGGAGGTGCATCCGCGGCAGGCTGGGGGTTCTCCTCAGCCTGGCCGTCTCCCATGGGCACATCCACAACCGTTGTCGGGATGTGCACCGTAGGCGGGATTGCCGGCAACTGCGCGATATCGGGCACGTCCACGATGTTGACGTCGCCCGGACTCATGGGGAAGGTGCTGAAAGGGGCACCCTCATCCAGAGGCCGGCTCTCGTGAATATTGCGGCGTCGCCGAGCGTAGTCCGTGAGGAACTGTGCCTCGCCGGGCTGGATACCCATGCGGGCGAACCACCGCGCTGCATCATAGATGGTAGCGTTGGAGGCGTTCCACGCGTACGGGATTGTCGCTCGTCCGTCGCCGATGGGATAGTGTCCGTTCTCGACGATGAGACCGTACAGCCCTTCAATGGAGAAGAGCTGAGCGACAACGATATCCCAAGGCCTTCGTCCGTTGGGGGATCGAGGTGCGAGGCGGCGTATCAGATGCACCGCCTCGGCATCGTCGACGTTAGGCTCGCCGTCCTCTACACGCACCCCATCGGGTATGTTGTGTGGGTAGAGGCGGTACCAATCCACCCATCGACTGACCGGGTCTTGAGGGTCAGGCTGCGGCAGTCTCGCCTTCTTGGTGGGCGGCGCACGCATATGGCTGCCTGCCTCGGCGTCAGCGCGACGCTTCGTCAATTTTGACGAAGCCGGTGGACCACTGGCAGTGGACGTGGGTACGGTAGTCGTCGTCCGACTGCCAGAGGATCCGGCACCAGGGGTTCCCGCTGGTGGTGCAGCTGCTCGCCTCCGTTCCTCTTCTCGACTCTCGCGAACGGCACGCTCGATGTTGCGGACCTCATCCGCGTCGATCTCGGCATCACGTCCACTGGTGGGCGTGATGACCGGAGTCGCGCGCGGAGGACGCCAGTTGCTCACAAGGTGATACATCCCGTCGACGTATCGCAGGCCCGCGTCGTCGTGGGTCTGGTGGATCAAGTCCCGGACCCGGAAAGCGGCCTCCTCATCCCCGGCCTGTGCGACGCGCAACAGATTGCGTCCGTCCACGTCGCGGCGGGGGATGAAGTTGTGCCATTGTCCGGCGCGTATCACCAGCGAGTTGGCCGGTAGCGGTACGTCCTCGGGCCATCCTTCAGGAGCGACCGGCGGCGCACCCGTACTGGATATGTACTGGGTACGACCGTCGTCGGTTCCTGTCGTCTGCGGCCGCGAGACCGGTTTCCCCTTCGCCCTCTGCTTCCCCTTTGCCTTGCTAATCCGCTTCTTCTCCTCTTCTTCGTCTACGTCATCGTCGTCGCTCTGGTCCTCGTCCCATCCTCCGGGTTGCATCATGGCGGGCAGCGCAGGCGGCCTGCTTGGTGCCGGCGGTGGGATGGTCCTTGACTCAGGCGCAGACCGTGGCGGCGGCGGGATGACGGGTACTGGGGAGCGCGTTCGTGGCGGAGGGGGGGCTGGCTGTGTCCTCTCTGGCACAGTCTGCCTCGTCCTCGGCTCGGACCGTACTGGCTGCGCCGGTTCCGGTGCAGCGTTCCTGGTCCTCGATTCAGACCTCGACGAAGCCGGCAGCTCCGTTCGGGATGCTGTCTGCTTCGGAGGCCTCGTCTTCGGCGGGCCCATCTCGTTGGCCTTTTGACGCTCTTTCTCCTTTGCTCGGTACTCGCTGAGCTGGCGTTGAGCGTCGTCGAACTTGTCCTCGAGGTACGTGAGGGAGGCGTCCCGCCTGTCTACGCGGTCTTCGAGCTCTCGGACTTCCGACCGGAGTGCTTGGGCCGCGTCTTCGCTCTGATGGAGTCGAGCTCGCGTTTCGGCCAATTCGTCCTGGGCGCGAAACGACCTCTGCTCCAGTTGGTCGTACTGACGCTGGAGAGAATCTACCAGCTCCCTCCCCCCCTGGAGCCAACCCCTCTGAAGGAGGTCGGCTTCAAAGCGGGCCCGGATCTGGGCCTCCACTCCGTTGACGGCCACACCGAAGCTCGCGTCCTCGTTCTCCGACCGAGGGAGGTGGGCGAGGTACGCGTCGCACACGGTGCACGACCCCGGGGTGTGGATTACCAGCGGAGCTGGCGGGTGACGTGGCACCCAAGTCTGCGCGAACGGGGCAAACAACGACGACGAGCCACCCACAGTCCCGAATTGGTACTGCGGTGTGACGGGGTCGTCGCGTAGTCCGCGCGACTCACGCGCCTGTTGACGAGACGCGTCGATGGTTGGCACGCCGTGCCCAGCCACCCCAATAGGCGGCGGTTGGACAACGGCGTCCGATGTCGAAGTCACCGTTGGCGGCGACTGCGGGCTTGAAGTCGACTGAGTCGCCGACGGTGCCACCACACCAGTAGGTGCGGCGACACGCGGGGGCTCGTCGGTGTTCATGGGCGAGGATGGGCGGGACATGGTGAAGTCGGTGTTGTCGTGGTTTGACGTGGAGAGTTGAAGTTTGGGAGAAGGTGAGTAAGGTTGGACACGGGTTGCACCGCGGGTGTGCGAGACCTATACCGCACCCGCAACCCGCAACACCTTAACGCCTACGGGTACCACCCGTACCCGATCCGGCATCACCGACGGTAGTGACGGTATGCCGCGGTACACAATACCGCGGTTATATCGCTCCGGTATAGTCGTAATTCGGACAGAGTATCATTGTGTTTGTACATAGAACACATTCACTTTACAAGTACATCAATCGACGACCATCGCAGAGTCACTGGACGCCACTGCGTGCACGCGCTGTCTACCACGGCGTCGCTCAGCGACTGCATCAATGATATCCTGTATATGAAGAATATCCGCTCGCCCCAAGCCCCGAGGCATAAGTTCGAGCGGAACGTAGCCCCCGTCATCCGATTGCGCGTGAAATGGAGTAAGTGACGTCCTTGCGAGAAGACGCGCTCGACTGCAGTAGAGGTTGCTGCAATCATCCATAAGCCAAATGGGATCAACGATGGATCACTTCACACAAACTCACCCGGTGCCGATAAGTAATCGAGTGCCAGGCGATGTAGCACTGGATAAGTTGTACGGTTGTCCCACCACCACTTCCCGAGGTTCTTGAAGTCCACGCGTTCGCACGGAAGAGCCAGATACTCGTCAAGCTCATTGCGCTCGAACGTATCCGTGGCGAGGGAGACGTCTGCGAAGCCTCCGAAATCAGAGTCAGTCTTGTTGGACACCTGCACACGCATTTGTCAGGCTATTGTGAAGGTGGTCAACAAAGTACGCACGTCTTTCTGGGTATCCATCGCTTTGCCTAAGGCTCCTGCTTTCTTCTCGGCCAACAGCTCGTACTCTGCGCGAGTGAGCTGCTCGGCGGTGTCAATCCATTCGCGTGGCCATCGGTTTTGCTTGAAGTATTCTAGCTTAAGTCCGGGATGAAGCACTGTAGGTATTCTCATCAGCAATCAGCGGGAGCGAAGTTGGTAATAGGATAGATACCCATCGCGATACGGTAGACTGACGAGCAGTCAGTGCGCGAATAGTATTTATTCATGACCTTCTTGCCAAGCCTCATTGCGGCTTGTATAGCGGGGCGATATTGCTGCGTGGCAGACTTCGGATTGAGGATCTCGTCGAGTTTGTCCATACTCGGAATAACGTTCGCGATCGCGAACACGGAGTCTTGCGAGTAGAAGAGAGTCGCCTGCTCAAACTTCTAAACACGTTGAACGTGTGCCACCAGGTAATGTCAGTATGTGCATGATCATATCAGTGTAGCACGTACTCCAAGGATGGTGTTGAGCTCGCTGACAATCTGCCACTCCTCGTCGTCAAGTTCGAATTTGCGCAGCTTCAGAGACTTGTCGGCGGTGATCGAATCGATTGCCACCCGGTATTCGAACGCGAACTTCAGCATCTTGTACGTCGAGTTCCATCGGGTCTTGACGTCGCGTGGAATCTGCCGGGCGGGAAGGGTGCCTGCACGGCAGGCGCGGGTCCAGGCGGGGAGCGCAAGCGTCGTGGAATGGATTACAGCATAGGCAAGCTGGCGGACCTACACCCCTATTTGTTAGCGAAATGCGGTGGCGTCTGGGAGCAGATAAAAAAGCACTGTACCTTTGTGAGGGTCGTACGGACTTCTGCCGTCTGCGCGAGCACCTCCTCGCGCGCCAGATCAGTGAGGTCTTCGAGGGGATCAGCATCTTCGTCTTCATCGGCTTCATCCGTGTCTTCATCCATAAGATCTTCGTCTTCGTCTTCGGAATCATCATCCATGTCGCCGGGGTCAATGCCACTGTCATCTGCTCCATCAGTATCCGAGTTACCCTCCGTGTCCTCTGATGGATCCTTGAGTTTCACGCTGAAGGGCTTGAGGATTGCCTTGACGACGAGATTCAACGTGTGATTGAAGCAACAAACATGCTGCTCCTCCTGGAAGACGTTCGAGGCAGCCGCAAGCTCGGTAACCTGGACATCATTTGAGGTAGCATTGTCTGCTGTTACTGCCAAGATCTGCCGCATTATCAGCCACGCACTCTTGTTGTCGAGGTGAAAGTTATGTGGCACTGTACGCACCTTTTCTTGAAGCCTGAAGTCAAGCAACATTCGCTGGAACGTCCTCGCAAGTGTCTTGCCCGTGTGCGACTTCGATCGAATAGGATCAGCGGAAATTCAGCACACGTTCGATCATCCAATGACGTACCTCCGGAACTTCAATTATGTCAAGCAGGAACGATAGAGGGGCCCCTTGAAACTCTAAATGAGCGGTCCACGCGACGAATGCACGGTGGTTGGGTGACGTCCATGCATCCGTCGCAAAGTGAATCCGCCCGGGATGGTCCTATAACGCGTGTTGCGAAATCAGCATGAGGCGCTAAATACGCTGAAGATGGATATAGGTGAACTCACAGTAAGCATCTTCTTGACGCGGCTCTGGCACCGTTGAAACGACGCCTTGAGATCACGGGAGATCGTCTTCGGGGATGGGATTTCGATGTTTGGCCGGCCCGCCGACATGAGCTCGATGAACTCGCGATCGGCAACGAGGTGTGTGGGACGCACGCTCTCAGTGAGCCAGCGTACGAGGTGTGCGCTAATGAATGGGTGTCAGCCAAGATCCATGCAAGCGAGGTCTCTACGTACCGGACTTCGGTGTTGGTATGGTTCCTGTGCGACACCTGAACCAACCGTGGTCCAGGGAGTCCGGCCGCCTTAGCAAACGCGATGTTGATCGCGTTCTCTCGCTTTCTCGGCTCCTTACCGCTGAGCGCGTCTTCGACAGCCGCCTGGCCCCAGCAACCGATGGCATGGGTCTTCAGGTTGGATGTCGAGGACTTGTCTTTCGAATCTTGATATCGGCGGACACCCTTGACCGGCCCCCGGCACTTACGAGCCGCGCACGGGAAGAAATGGATAGGCCGGCCGTTATACAGCTCGTGCCGTACGTCGTTGACCTTGAAAAAGGAGTAGATGGGCGAGCGCCACTTCGCGCGTGCGCGGTCTACCCAGGGACATGCCTCAGTAGATAGACATAAAAAGAAACTTCGTAAACCTACCTAGTATGTCTTCCGGGGCCTCGACTGAGCCGTTGTCGGATCCTCCCTCTGAAGAGAGGGCGTCTACGTCGATGGCGTCAGATGAAGCCGCGGGAGTAGCCGCTCGGGAGCCAAGCTCAGAGAGCGTTGTCGAAGGGATCGATGCTGGCGAGTACGGACGCGAAGGCGACGAGCGTGAGAGACTGGAAGCAGCTCTCCGGAGCGGCTTCGCGATCTTCTTGGCTGTAGACTTGAGCTTGTCCTTCGCCACCGCAAACTTCTTCGAGGCACTCGAAGTGATAGAGTTGAGGGACGACTGCGAGCCGGACGTGTGCAGCTTGCGCTTCGAACCAGCCATCGCGGCAGGAGAGTGGGCGACACCGGACGGTGAGCATCTGGACGGACGCTGGCGTGATTTAAGCAGACCGCACTCTCGCCAGAATGGTGTCGCGACCTGCAAGGAAAAGACGGGCCGGTAAGAACACGAAAATCAGGCCTGATCTCTCAAAAATAGTATAGTACAACGTACCTAGGTACCAAACAGCGAGTGCAGGAACCAACACTCCAACTAGATGCACCATCAGAATGATACCTGAAGTCGTGGACACAGTTCGTCTGCGTGAGCATGCGGTTCATGGCCGAAGAATGACTCACGGAAGGTAAGTTTGACGACGGCGCAAGTGGAGCCTGCAATCTTGAGTACGGTGTCCGAGTCGCCGGGTCGCCGGTCGCAGCATGCTCAGCCAGCACGATGCGCCGTGGCGATGATAGCACATCTGATAATCCGTGTTAGACCAAACCAGGAACCAAGGAACTTGAATACGAGCACTCACTCACCGAACAGCGGGCCGCACCGCCAAAAAAAGAGACGGACAGGGACCCCATTCAGCAGGCCCCGTGGCCATGGTGGTGAGAGGCAGTGAGACGACGTGAGAGCCTACTTGAACCGGCACGGGACAGTGCCAGATTCGGTGTGTGGGTCCAACTTTGGACGCCCTTGACGGTGTCCAAATAATGGGAGGCGGTGCACTGTTTGACACGTATTCTCCGAGCCCACTGCCTCTCATTCCCACCGCACACCAACGGTGCTCTCTCCTTTTCATCTGCTGCTGCTGTTCATTCCAGTCGACGTAGGTGAGTTCAGAACTGCACTTACCACGTTTGGCTGTTGAATCAGGACCAATCAGAGCGTAACGATCACATCGGTACAGGGTGTTGAATGTTGAACACTCACTAGCTCGGAGCACGAGGCCACTGGTTTCGACATCAGAGATGTGATGCTCAGCAAACGCATGCGGCATGCAGCGTGAGTGCGCAACGTGGAGGCTAGTACGGACCGGTACGTCGCCCTCTGGATTCTCGATACCTTCTCTCATTCGTTCATAATCAAACGCCACCAAGACCGTGCGGGCATTCCATAGTAGACTCGAAGGCGAAGGCTCTCTGGCACCACCCCGGCTGTACGCCTATCCCCCTCCTCAGTTAGAACAATCCAATATGGGCTGCGTAGCCTCATGCGCTCGTGGTGAGTCGACAATCGTCTTCGAGCGGCCTATGGTCCTTGCATCGCTCGCCTGGGTGCATTCTGCCGTATCGTGCTGATCTGCGATTGTCGAACAGTGTCGGAGCCTTCTCCGCGTCCTCGGGACCTTTGCGTCAAGACGGAACCTCGTCACCTCCTTGCTGATGTGCAGACATCCGACTCGGAGCGCGTACCTGCTGCAGCAGTGGGTAGAGAGTCTGGCACGGTATATTTAGGTCTGGTTGAGCATGTAAGTGACCGAACACGACTACACTACGGCTGCGCTGAGACTGATCGTGTCCGTTACATGGGCTGTGGTCGTTTTGAAGCTTATACGTGGTCTTCGCACCGGGCCGGATTGGCGTACTGTCCAGTATACAGTACCTACGCAACTTTCCGGGCCCCTTGATGTGGCGATCGCACTCATCGCCGTATGCTTGCGTGATTCATCTGTCCCGCGCGTGCGCCATGCGACAGTACTGCATGACGTGTGCATAGCTCTCGAGGCCGCGGGGGTCGAGGAAGACATCGGGTGGCCGGATGTTGTTCAGCTTGCACAATATGCGGTGCATGCTGTGGAGGAATACGCCGAGCTTCGTGTAAGTTGCTTCCAGTCCAATCTCTGCTGGAAGATATCTACACAGACTCAATGGCTCTGTTGCATAGTTCGCCGCGCGCACTGACCCGCCAAGCACGGAAGATCGTGATGCTCCTGTTGGCATCAAGGAGGTGTATTCCGTGGGCATGAATGTATCCAGTGAAACTCTACATGACTTACACTCACTCGACTCTGACCTCCCTTCGCTCGAGACAGTCAGTTCTACGTAGTGGCCACGGGCTAGAGCCTAGTATAGTCCCTGTTACCAGTGTACGACTTGTATTGATAGCTCAATGTGATATGATATTCATGATCTTAAGTATGCTGCCTTCGAGATAGTGGCAGCTACATAGAAGACCGTCGCGGGTCCACGGGTCGGTGAACACCGTGTATACCGTGCACCCGTTGTCGAGGGTATGCGGTGATGGCTCGGTGACCAAAAGCAGACACCTAACCCTCACCCGGGCATACCTCGGGTATGGTACCGCGGGTGTACCCGATACCCGAGTCCAACCTTAAAGGTGAGTGCAGCCACAGCGTATTGAGGCGATTGCCACATCATGTGACTCCTGACGGCGCGTCACTGCCCGATTGGGCTTTGACGCGTCTTCTGGGCGCTACACTCTCTTCTCGCCGCCACTTCAAGTCCAGTACCACCACTGCTTCGAGTGGTGGTGCTCGCTTCGAAGTGCCGCCTTCGTGAACGGTCGTACTACCCCATTAGTGGTGGTAGTGCGTCGTTCTACGCCCTGGGTTTCCGTGGCAGCTTCTTCCAGTCCTTGACGCCATGTAGTGTCAAGTACTCGTCGAGCGCCGCGAGGTCCTTACAATTGGCATACGGTTCCCAAGTGCAGTCTCCCAATGTCCACCGGACGTGGAATTTGATGCACTTGCCGTCCCAGTTGTGGCCTATGATTTCGTCGACGAGCCATTCCTGTTCTTCGTCGTCGCCGAAGTCATAGTACGACCGTGCCTCCCGGTGAGGAAACATTGAATCATCATTCGGTTCGTGTCTCCTTAGGAGGGAGACGTGAAACGTCGGATGGATTCTACGGTCACGTAGTTCCTTCGGTAGTTCCAGCGTGTAGTTCGACGTACTCGGATTACACGCCGCTACCTTGTATGGTCCAATAAACTTGGGCATCAGTTTCCTAGCACGGCCGCGAGGCAGCGCCAGGTTCTGCGTACTCAAGTATACTTGCGATCCTACGTCGAACTCAGGTTCCTGCTGACGGTGCTTGTTGGCCTGGAACGTCTGGTGCACTCGACTTTCAATGATCGCGTCGTGTGCCATTTCCAGGTAACATTGTGCTCGTTGGGCGAATTCACGAACACCTGCATATGTGGTGCTCGTGGAGAATCCGTTCAACATGCGCGGCATGTACCCGTAGTTGAGCTCGAACGGTGCGAATCCAGTCGTCGCGCTGGTGGATGAGTTGATAGCAAACTCCGCGAGGGGTATGTTATCCACCCAATTCAGCTGGTCCGGCGACACCATGGAGCGTAGGATCTGGGATACGGAGCGGATGGTCCTTTCCGACAATCCATCCGTCTGGGGATGGAATGAAGTGGACATCAACAACTTCGCACCCAATATGCGATGAACTTCACGCCAAAATTTTGACGTGAATTTCGAATCGCGGTCCGATACAATGGATTCAGGCAGTCCATGCAGTCGCACGATCTCGCGGACATAAATCTCTGCGAGTTCGGCGGCGGTGGTCGTGGTCTTGATGGGGATTAAATGTACCATGGACGTCAAACGGCATACCACTACCCACAGGTAGTCGTATCCGTTGACTTGGGGGAACGGTCCCACGAAATCCATGGACATCGATATCCATGGTCGAACTGGAATCGGGAGTGTATGCAGCCATCCCGCTTGGAGATGGTTGCGCGGCTTAGACGTCTGACAGGTTCCGCAGGTAATGCAGAACTTGTCTACGTCTCGTCCCAATTTCGGCCACCAGAACCACCGACGGACGTACTCAGAAGTCTTCTGAGATCCAAAGTGCCCTATCGTGGTGTGTGCCTGGTCAATCACCACCTCCGTTAGGAGGCGGCGCTTGATCAGCGTCCTGGGTACACAGAGAACCTCTTCATGTTGACGGTTCTTCGTGTATATCAGTCCGTCGCGTACTACGAAGGTCTTGAACTGGTCCGGGGACTCCAGTACCTTCCGAAAAGTATGGTCGTCCGAGTACCCAGCCTTATCGCGGAGATGAAGTCCGTGTCCCGTTCAACCTTCTTTCGCAATGATGGTCCATTGGTCAGTGACTCAGCAACCGTTGGGTTGCCATTCCTTGATGGTTCCTTCTGAACCGGCGTGGACGTGGGCTGGGCGGCGGACAATGCTGCTGCCTCAGCCTCGCGTTCGTGCTTGTTCTCGACGAGTGGATGGGATGCTAATCTTCCCATTCGCAACTCGAGAACACGGTTCGAGGGTAGGTCATCAAAGCGGGGTCCAGACGCACGTCCGCATTCACCATGTGGTGTATCGGAGTGACGTCGTCGGACGTGTCGTTCTCGTAGTATCGAGACAGGCAATCCGCTACCTTGTTCTTTCTTCCTTCGACATACGTGATGTCGTAGTTGAAGCGGGACATATACTCATACCATCGAACCTGGCGGTTTGACGGATTGGGTATCCCATTGAAGAAAGTGAGGGCTTTGTGGTCCGTAATGATGTGAATCTTACGACCAAGCAACTTGTCTTCCCACTTGAGCAGGGCTTCCATTATTCCGAGTGCCTCCTGCTCATACGTTTTGTACGCGCGTTGAGCACTCGAGAATTTCTTGGACAGAAAGCCTGCAGGTCGACAAGTCTGCCATTCTGGTCCTTGACCGTACACGGCGCCTACTCCGAATAGTGAGGCGTCCGTGATCACCCAAATGGGTTCGTCGATCGAGGGGTCAATTGGCTTCAGTATGGGAGCCCGACTCACAAGTGCTTTGATTGATTCAAAGCATTTGTCGTGCAGTGCTCGCCATACGAATGCTCGGTCGTTATGGCACATGTCGGCCAGCGGGGACGTATAGCCACTTACCTCGGGCAGGAAATGCGCGAGGTAGTTGACTAGTCCAAGAAACCGCTGTACCTCCTTGTACGAACGAGGTGTCCGCCAGTTGCGGATGCGATCCATCTTGTCTCGATCGGCATGCAGTCCTCGGTCGTCTATGAGATGACCAAGGCAGTCCATTCGCTTCGAGTACAAATCGCATTTCGTCTGACTGAGGTATAGCTTGGCCTTCCTCAGTCGGTCGAACACGATACCGAGATGTTTCTCGTGTTCTTCAACCGAGTTGGAGAATACGAAGATGTCATCAAGGTAAACGTGGACGAAGCGTCCGATGCAATCTCTGAAGATCGCAGTCATTAGCAACTGGAATGTAGCAGGCGCGTTGCAGTCGCCTTGTTGCATTACCAGGCTAAGGAACGTGCCGTACGGTGTAGAAAACGCCGTCTTCCAGACGTCTTCTGCAACGATACAGATCTGCTCATATGCGTCGGACAGGTCGATTTTCGATCTGTACTTCGCTCGAGCCACGTCCATTCTGATCTGGTCCTGGTCGGGAAACGGTGTCACGTCCTTTCGGGTATTGTCATTACGCTGTCTTGCGTCAACGACAGTACGCAGTTTGCCCGACTTCTTTGCAATGCAAAGTAGCGGAGCGGCCTGCGACGTTGATACTGGTTCCCACCATCCTGCATCTGAATACCGCTCTATCTTGTCGAGTAGCTGTGGTTTCATAGCATCCGGGCACTTGGGCAAGCGGTACTTGTACTGCTTGTCCTGGTCGATGAGCGGAATATAATGGTTCACCTCCCGGAATGGCGGCAATCCGGGAGGTGGAGGCTTCATTATATCCTCGCACTTCTTCAACCACTCTTCGCGCAGTGCGTCGAGTTGTGGGTCTTCATTCAGGGACTGGCGTATCTCCTCGTCGACAAGGAAGTTACGCACAGCTCTGTCAACCTCGTCGTTGGTTCCATACGGATCCAATCGACCGAGTTTGTCTCGCTTGGGCTGCTGCGATGAGTGAGGCATCGGTGGATTGTCCTCGCTCAGTCGTGGCAGTTTCGCTGTAAACTGATTTCCTCTGTTTACAGGCACCTTCCGCCGAGGCGTCACCACTTCTACTGTTAGATGTGGTGGCGGTCGGTCTGAAGCCTTCAATGTTGGGTTGCGTACCACCTGCGGCGCCGTAGGTGGTACCAACTTCTTCGTTGTTCTATCCACAATAGAAGCGATTTTTTGGTCGCTCCCTTCCCCCCTCAAGACCTTGTTTCCTTCTTCCGCATAGCGAGACAGGGGGGGCTGCGCAGCGGTGGATCTCGCTACGCTGCCCTATTGTCTTGAGGTGGTAGCAGCACGTAAATGCGCCGCTACCCTGTCTTGACGATTGTTTCGGCGGTGTTCCCACACCTCAGCCTCCTGGACGGCGGTGTAGGCAGGGATGTCTACGCCGTCAATCCAGATCTTCCGCGTACGAAAGTCTAGGACCACGTTATGCGCATTGCAGAACGTGGTGCCTAGCACCATATCATACCGGTCGATGTCAACGACATCGACGTAGTTGACGTTGTTGACGGGGCCAACCGTAATCTTCGGCAGCGCACCATAATTTATGGTGGTGCGACTGCCCTTCGTTCCAAGCTGCAGGTTGATCTGCTCCTTGAGATCAACCCTGTCAGCCTTGGACAGGTACGCCAACTCCGGTGATATAGTGTCGGTCGTGCACCCTGTGTCAAACAGAGTGTACGCCTTCACGCCGTTGACGTCGACTTCCGCGCATAGTGTTCGCTGCGAGTCGGGGGCGCGCTTGGGCTGGTCTTTCGGATCCGACGTTCGTCGAATCTTCGAGTCGTATAGCCAGGCTGCCTTCATCGACCTCGCCGAGGGCATGACTTGCATGGCACACGAGCGCACGATGTCGGTCATTGCGGCATCGTACGACTGGTGGGCCAGCTGTTCATGGCGTTGTTGGGTCGACTGTTGTCGCTCAATCCGCATCGCACCCATCCACATTGAACCCATGTGGACGGTGTGTCCCTCTTCGTCATCTTCGCTACGATCGTCCACAGGAGAGTTTTCTCCTGGGTCATCGTATGCGTAGTCTCCGTAGTCGGACTGAGGGTGCTGGTCGGTTTCGATACCTGTCCTAGCATCCTCAGTGTCCACTGCGTTGACTTCTTCCCGTTCCGACGTCTCTTCGACCGGCTGGTCAGTCTGATGCATGGCGTCCGCATCGCTTTCTTCAGCGACGCGTCCGGCATGCATCTGGACCTTCTTCGGGTATGTCTTCACCAGGTGCTGGCAGGCCTATGTATAGAATACCTGTAGTTAGCGCAAAAGGGTGTATACATGAAAGGCCTGTACTTACCGGGGGCTGCTCCTCATACATGAGCTGCCACTCGCTCATGTATAAGCGAGGCGCCGTGCTCACTACCCAAAGAGGCAGCTGCCCTTTGGGGACAGCTTAGGTCACCCGGTGCCGGGGACAGCTCGCGGCGGCGGCGGCGCCGCCTACCCAAAATAGGTGCTGTCGCGCGCTCTTCGCGCCATCGGGCGAAAACGATCGTGATGTACGATCAGTGAGATCTGACATGTTCTAGGGCTAGGCATGGTGCCGTATATAGTGTGTATGTCGTGCTCCATGACATACACGCTGTATGTTGCGCTCTGTGACAAACACTAGATTAACTTTTGTTCTTTGCAATGCTATTTACTAATTCCAGTGTTGTGCGAAGGCGAGTCATAAAGCGGCAGCCCTCCCGATTACAGTTTGGTATGTTTCAGGCCCTGACAATTCGTCACACCCTAACAAACAGCGCAATAGTAGAAACAATATATATTAGTATAAGTATCAATGATGTACAGTGTGCTGTGCTCCAGGATGGGCACCAAAAAAATCCCTCGCGAGCATCCCCGCAAGCTCAACATCCTCCATATGCTCCGTCCCACGCTTGCGCTCCTCCATGACATCCACGACACTCTCAAGAATCTGCGGTGTCCTGCAGCCGAGCATACCCGTGGTGAGCACGAGGGCGTGCATGTTGGTGAGGTCGTGCAGCAGTCATGGGCTCGTGAAGAACGTATATACTATAGAGCCGTGCAGAGGTCAGGTCGCGCTCGCGCAGGCGAGCGACTCCGTGCGCGGGATGGCAAAGAGCTGGAGATTTTGGATGGCGAGCGTTACGTACCACAGCTGTGATGGCGGGTAAGCCTCATTCACCTCCACCAAGCCCGCGCCGACACAGGCCATGTTCGACAGAATCCGCACTGCGCCCGCCGACCTCGGACTCACGGACGTGTACAATGGCTTGCAGGCTCTGGAGGAACCAGCTGCAATACGCACGCAGCCTCCCATGGAGGCTGAGATGGTCGTCCTTGCGACAAATCGACATGTTAGCGGCAATGTTTGGGAAGAGGAGGAAGGGATGTACGAGCTGCAGTCAACGCCGTCGATGATCGCGGCACGCATGGCACCGCCCGTGTAGCCCGCGGCGACTCTACTGATCGATGTGCTGCCGTTCGTACCCACCGACGCACCATTCGTGTTTGTTGACCTGCCGCCGTTCGTACCCACTGGTAGTAGTACCCACTGACACGGCCCTATTCATCCCTGCTGACATGGCCCATTTGTACCTGCGGACGCGCCGTTCGTGCTGGTCAATGTGCCGCTGTTTTTGCTAGTCCAAGGGCTGGTCTGGGGTGGGTAGAGGTAGAGCTGTGGACGCAGTGAGTGAGCTTTGTGGGCGCCCCCGTAAAACCAACGTTTGCGTCTATTTGTTGCCTCACCAGATTGGGCAACCCCGATGTCGTCGGGCTGTTCCTGGCCAATCAGAACACGTTTAAAGGTCCCACTGAGAGCTGCAACATATCGCCGACTCGTGTTCGGGTCGTTTTTGCACTATGTATGCATGTCTTTTATGCTACAATAGGGACTAGATACATGCCTAGTTACATATACCGGAGGAATACAAATATGGAGGTGCAGTACAACACAAAAGCTGTTCTTGTATTCGGTAGGGATGTCTTTCTACACTAGTGTAGTGGTTCTCTGAGTTGCGAGCCATGAATCGTCTACTTCGGGTGGATTGGCCGCGATGGCTGCTGTATATGCATAGAACATGTTATTACTACCATTACAATGTCTCTATTTACTAACATCTTGGCCGTGTCTACGTGCAGGGGCGGTAGGGCAGTCGCCTGGCGCACTCACGGTTGGCGTGTGTTGCGTGCCCCGGCCCTGCCCACCGTCGCGCTCACTCGCTGTTCACTCACGCGCCCGCCTTCTGTTCGTCGGCCGTGCTTGCGTGCTGGGCATTCGCCCTGCACGCTCGCGGTCGCCGTGCGTGTAATGCTCATCCGCACTCTGTGCCCACGGCCCGCCCGCCGCTTTCCCTCTCACTCGCTTTCCCTCTCGCTCGCTTTCCCTCTGGCCCGCCTGCCCTCTCACTCGCCCACCCACCCACTTTCCCGCTCACCTTCTCTTCTACTCGCCCACCCACTCGTCTCCTTGTTTGCTCATCTCCTTGCCTGCTCGCAGCTCGCCCACTTGTCCGCCCGTCCGCCCGTCCGCCCGTCCGCCCGTCCGCCCGTCCGCCCGTCCGCCCGTCCGCTCTCCCGCCCGTCCGCCCTCCCGCCCGTTCGCTCTCCCGCCCGTTCGCTCTCCCGCCCGTTTGCTCTCCCGCCCGTTTGCTCTCCTGCCCGTCCGCCTGCCCCTCCCGCTCGTCCGCCCGCTCGCCTGCCCATGAACCCGTTTTCCCGCCTGCGTGTGCATCCGTCGGCTGTGTCTGCGTGCTGGGCATTCGCCTAGCACGCTCGCGGTGGGCGTGTGCTGTCGCCTACTCACTTTCCCGTCTGCTCGCTCTCCTATCCATCCGCTTGCCCACCCGTCCGCTCGCTTGTCCGTCTGCCGGCCCGCCCGTCGGCCTGCATGCCCGTCGGCCTGCCCGCCAGTCGGCCTACCCGCCCCTCAGCCTGCTCGCTCGCCTGCCCTCGCGTCCATGTGATCCGTCCGTGGGCTGCGTTTGCATGCGAGGCATAAGCCCTACGCCCTCGCGGTCGACACGCGCGTTGTACTCCACGTCGCCGCCCTGTAAACAAGGTCAGCTCGCTCGCTCCTGTGTGTGTCTGCACTCACCTCGTTGCTAGCGTCGGCTATATCTGCATGCAGGGCCAATCTCTGCATGCTCGCTGTTGCCATGCGCGCTGTTCTCTAACAACGTCGGTGACCGACGTGGGACGGTGGAGTGGAGGCTGGTGGAGGTCGCAAACGGCAAGCGGAAGCGCTCACCGCTCGCTCGGCTCGTTGCGGGCTCCCGGGCATGGCCGAAACTGACGCCACGTAGCAGGCAGGGCGGGATCGTATGTACCTGATCTCAGATGCCACTGACCCCGATGTTCATCCATATCGGGCAGCTCGCATCGCGCGCCAGTGGTGCTGCCCCGCCGCGGGCGAAGGGACCGGGCTACCCCGGCGCCGCTGCTATATCGGGTAGCGACCGACGGCGCCTCGTTCATACATGACGGCGCCTCGCTCATACATGAGCGAGCAGTCATCGGTAAGTACAGGCCTTTCATGTATACACCCTTTTGCGCTAACTACAGGTATTCTATACATGAATATGCCGGTATAGCCTGATGTCTTGCTGTAACCTCCGTACGGACGACCATCGGTGGTCGTCTTGCCGGTTGGAGCAGGAGTCTTCTGGAACCTGCTGGCCGATCCATCCATCTGGTTCCCAGACCTGAAGTTCGCACCGTCCATCTGTGTGCCTGTCTTGAATCGTGGTACAAAGGGTTTCTTCCCCTTGTTCAACGACTGACCACCGCCGGTATTCTTGTTACTGGTGGTGGCAGGCGTTGCTGCCTTCGTATTGGCACTACCACCATCCTTGGCGGTAGTTACCATACGTTGCAGCCACAGCGCCGATCCCGCTTTCTGAGATCGCTGGGCGTGCTCGTACTCATTGGTCTTCTCAATGATCTCCTGCAGCTCAGACCTCTCCGGTGTGAGCATGCAAGTGTTCCTGAGGTGGTTCTCGACGTCGCGGGGAAGGGCAGACATAAATTTGCCTTTCCACACGTACGGGCTTGGCTTCTCAGCCATACGTTCGCCATACCGAGTCAACCGGTCGATCAAATCTATGGCACCGCCCTTCTGGGTGTATTTCGCGCCATAGAATGCTTCGGCCGCCTCGATCTCACCATCCCGTCGGATGTACCGCTCATGTAGTATCATTATTACATCGGCGAACATCCAGGCGGGCTGGTTCGGTTTCGTATAGTTTATGCTACGGATGTACCACATACTGGGTTCCCCAGTAAGTGAGTCGCCTAGCATGCGGAGCCTATCCGCGTCCATCCGCGGTCCTGTTACGCGGAGCGTCTGGAAGTACGAGAGGAGCTTGTAGAGCCACTCTTCGAACTTGTACAGATCGTCTTCGCCGCTCCAGGCCGCAGGGGTTTGAAGCTTAACGGATCGCAGGTACATGGGAGGGTCATCCATCGGTGGATCCCCTACCATGGTCTGGATCATGTTCCAGCACTTCTCCCTCGACCTTGCCAAGGGGTCTAACGCGGTTCGCGTGCGTGCTGGGGCGGTGCTTACGCTCTGAGGGTCCCGGCTCGTACCCATGTATGAGTACGCCTGGAATCTCCCATAGCCAACCCCGCCTTCTTTCGCCTTGGTTGGGTCGTTCCCGGAGTTAGAAGCGCTTGAGCCTCCAACTCCTGGTTCGAACACAACGTTCGGTTTCTGAGGAACTGGCGGTATAGGTACCCCACTTGCTGTGTACCTATACCCGTCGTTCTCGGTCCTTGTTGCACCGCCGCCGGTTCTCGGTGGAGGTGCGGGACCCGGCATGTGAGGGGGCGGATCCTTTGATGGTACAGGTCCGTCCTTCGTCTGGAAGAACGCGTACCCCGGCCCCGATGTACGGTACGGAGACCTAGTGAATCCCGGTTCACCAGGTCTCGGTTTCCGTGGTTCCGTTGGTACGGGACCCGGGGTTGGGGGTACTGCTTGGGCAGTGCCTCCTAGGGTACTGGCTAGCCGTTCCGCGGCTGCCATTCGCCTCGCGAATTCCGCGTCCGACTCGTTCCTTCCCTTGGGGAGGACCAAGTTTGCTGCTGCGAAACTCATATTGGGATCCGCGTTGATATCCGGCCGCGCCGGTGTCGAGGTCGCCGCTGGGGGCGTCCTTGGCGGCGGTCGCTGTGTCGGTATATCATTCGACGACTCGTCTTCAGTTTCAACGGTCGTAGGCCTAGCCTTCCCCCATCCGCCGAACATGCTTTCTGCTCGTTCCGGCCTTTCACGCTCCTTGCCTTTGCTCATGGGCGGACTCGACTTCCGAGGCGACGAACTTGGTTCGTCTGTCTCGTTGTCGGCCTCCGTTCCCGATTCTCCTCCTGGCTTGTTCGGGATTCTTGCCTCGACGTAGTTGGCCATTTCGTTCATGAACTCTTCAACTCCCGCGTTGAGATCCCTTCTTAGCTGGATGAACTTGGCCTCGGACTCACGCTGAAGAGCCTCGATAGCCTCCGTGTTGGCTGCTCCGAGTCTCTTAGCATGGCCTCGAATCGCCAGGATCATCGCCGATGCGCCCGACTGAGTCCCGCGACGGGACCCAGGCGAACCCTTCGGTTTGGCTGACGTCGAGCGTGCAGATTTACTGGCGTTGCTCGACTTCTTTTCCTCGGGCGTTCGGACACGTCCGCTTCCTTCCGGACGTGCCGGAGATATCCTCGCTGAATGAGGTCTGGCTCCGCTGTCTGGTGACGCAACCAATCGTTCGTCACTAAACACGCGAGCTCCTCTCGGCGATACTCTCGACGTGTAAGGTTGTTCACCTCGCTTCGGTGATCCACCCAATTGGGGTGGATCCACGGGCGAGTTAGCTCCTTTCGGAGAGGGGGACTCAGGTGCTTGGTCCGCCATTTTCTTTCGTGGTAGAAAGCGTCCGCGACTATCACGCGGTTGTTGCGATTTAGGTTTTGTAATGATGAATGTTGTGATGGGGGTTGTTACGTAGCGTGCAGTTCCCTGATAGAGCGCCCTTCCAAGTGGAAGTTCGAGTTATCGAAGGACTGTAAAAAAGTGTAACGTGCCTTACTCAATCCCGCAGATACAGTGCACCAATCTCCATTGAGAAGTGCGATGTATCCGGAGGACGACGAGTTAAAGGACTTGTCCTTCAACTCGCCGGGCGACGACCTATAAAGGTACGACGCCAAACACACGCAAACGTATATACATACAAACATATCGATCCAATAAGTCCATAACGGGATTACACACGTCCATACGGTAACGTCCCGTTACACTTATAGTCCGAGTTTAGCAGGGTGATAGGGCGGTAATTCGCTATATCCCTCTTGTCTTTCTTCTTGTACAGAGGGCATAACCAGCCGTCCGCAAAACCGGAGGTGGGGTTGACCCCGTATTGGTCTATGTCGTTGAAGACCAGGCTCAACATGCCTAGGCAATCGAATTCGTGTGCGTCCTCGTCTTTTCTTTTGGGGTTAGACCATCGCCCGTGGAGCGCTGACCAGAGCTCGTATGGCAGACCATCAAGGCCAGGGGCTTTCCCGCTACCAGCCTTACGAAGTGCATCCAGAATTTCTTCCCGGTCGATCCTCTCGTCGAGGCTACGCAGAAGGTCCTGTGGCACCGTGGCGTTAACTGGCTCTAGTGCTTGCTTAATGTAGGTGTCCCTTTCTTGCTCGTCCTGTTCCACGTCTATGTCGGCTGTCTGCAGGTGTTCGTGATAGTCCCGTGCCAACTCCGCCATCTTGTCTGAGCGGGTTTCGTATGTTGGTGGGACCGAGCCAGGACGCTGTAGGGCGTATATAACGTCGCGCGGTTTCTTTTCTTTGTTGACCGTCGACCAGTATTTGCTTAACCGTTCTTTGTTCAGGGCGTAGCGGACGGTGGTTGTAGTCCTTGTGTACCCATGTCGGCGTCGCTCAAGATCGAGGAGTCTGTCTTGCATGACCCCCACCTCGGTTTGCTCGTGCAGGTCTCTTTCAAAGGACGGTAGCGCTGACTTCCTCTTAATCTCTTCCCGAAGTTTCTGCATTGCCGCGTCCAGCTTGGGGGTCTTTTCACGCAATCTATTGCGCGTTAGGCGGGCCGCTTCCTTCTTGAAATCACGGAATATGGTCTGCGGGTTGTGTAGTTCGGTTCTTGTCTCCTTTTCAATGCATTCCTTCGCGGCTCCCCATGCTTTCTCGCCGACCTCTACGAGTACATTCATGAGGGTCTCGTCCGTTAGTATGTGGACCGGGAGGGACCATCTTCCTTTACCGGTATATGGAGCCTGTGCGTCGCTTAGGTGGGCACCTACAATCCTGTGGTCCGTAGGGATCGCTGTGTTCTCAATGGACCAGCTGTGCGCTTTTTGTAGGATCGTGCCTGTAACATATATACGGTCAAGGCGGGACCGGGATAGACTCCCGCGTTGGGGGAAAGTATAATCCTTAGTTGTGGGCTCTGAAGCTCGCCAGCCATCCATCACGTTCGCTTTCCGTAGGAAGTTCTGCAGCGCTTCAACGGCGGCGGAAGCATCCGGGCGGGATGGTAGTCTGTCTATGGGCTCTTCGACGACATTGAAATCTCCTAGTACCGCATCGGGGGATGGCAGCTCCGTGGACCCTAGCTTCGTTTCTAGGGTTTCCCAGAAGACCGTGTTTTCCCTCATATTATTTGGGGCGTATACGTTGAGGATCGTGAGGAACGTGTTGGCGTGCCAGTGCAGCCTGAGCAGGGCTGCTCGTCCTGGTATTATGGAGACTATCTTCGTATTGGACGTGTCTACAATCTCTCGGTTCAGGACAAAGGCTACTCCTCGCGCGTTTGTCTCCTCCGTGTCAGGGTGTATAATTTTAATTCAACGCCCGTAGAGTCGTCTTCTGCATTTAAATCGGATTAAGTTTGAATCAATATTGTATTTTAGATCAACTTAAAGGCCATACACATTTAACCCAATCCTGTGCTAAGCTATGGCTTAGCCAGTTGCTTGGCCAAGCAGGATCAGTACAGCTAATCCATACAGGTTTAACCATGGATTATCCATTGTTCATCCATTGCTTAGACTTTTTGCTTAGCCAAGGACAATCAGTACAGCTAATCCATACACACTTAACCATAGATTAGCCATAGTTTATCCATTGCTGAGACTTGCTGAGAAACTGCTTAGCCAATTAATTACCCATATAGGATCAATGAAGCTAATCCTCAGAGGATTAATCTTGGCTAAGTAACATCTGACCCATGTCTAATCATTTCCTAACCATAGATTAGCCATGCTTAGCCATAACTTAGGCAATAGATTCACAAGTAGTTGAGGCTAAGTAGGTTTGAGATGAACACTAATCTTCATTAAGTCATGCTCAATCCATGTCTAATCCCCTGCTGATCAATGCTAAATCATGACTTGAGTATTTTTGATCCAGTTCCAATCCAATGTAACCCATGTGAATGTTCATAATCCTATGCTAATCTATGTACTAAGACAAAATATACCAGTCCTAATCCTGTCTCAAGACAGTGCTTAACAATGCTCATGTGTCTTAAACCAAATCCCAATCTATTGCTAATCCTGTTCATGACAGTATGGCTTAGTGCTAACTACTTCAAAGTCAATCCTAAGTCAAAACATTATCCATTGCTAATCCTGTCTATGACAGTCTCAGTTAATGCTAATACACTACAAAGTCAATTGTGAGTTGCAGCATAATCCACCACTCAATCAATATTAAGTCAGTTTAAAGTTCAACTCAATCCACTCTTAAGTCACACAGAGACAATTCCACCAATCCCTAATCCATTACCAAACTGATCCTAAGAACATGCTGAGCCACTACTAATCAACCATGAAGACATGCTAAGCCACTACTGATCAACCACGAAGACATGCTAAGCCAGTACAAATCAACCAAGAAGAAACACTCTGAGTACATACTAAGCCATAAGGAATCAGTCACGAAGACAGTAGATTACTTCCCAATGCCATAGCTGAGCCATCGTAAGTCACTCGATTAGCTCGCCAGTAATCCTCGATTAGCTCGCGACTAATCCAGCTGTCACCCCTCGCATCCACACGATCGTCGCATCAACGCACTCGAGGATCTCGGAAAACAATCCCTGTGCGGAGCAATAAACATTAATACACAATAAATGACCGCGCGACCGTACTGCGCACATGCCACGGCCACAAACCACCGGATGCGGTCACTGAGCGAATGACAACGCAGGAGCACCGGCAGTAGACCCGTCGAAGCATGCATAGGTCGAGACGGAACTCGACTCACCTAGATACTGCCATCGCCCACGCCCCGCCCCCTCAGCCTCCTACAACGCATTGCTGTAGATACCTGACAGAAGAAGACCAGTGAGCTCGACGTACAAAGCACGCAGTCAGACAGGGTGCGTGTCGACGCGTAAATATCAATGTGGCGAGCATTAGCGCTGCGCATGGAGCTTCAACGAAGCTCGGTGTTGACGACGACGCTTGCGGGATGGGGGGTAGGACGGCGACGACGATAGCGGGATGGGGGGTAGGACGGCGACGACGATAGCGGGGTGGCGGGTAGGACGGCGACGTCGATAGCGGGGTGGCGGGTAGAGAAGAGGAAGCACATTGACGAAGCATACATAGTACGTACTCACCTAGCATCGCCATCCTTCGCATCCACCCTACCGCACCACGACTTCTCCTTCTCCCTACTCCTTCTCCTTCCCCTTCCCCTGGCCGGTGTCAGCTGGCGTGGATGTACTTGAGGACTGGAGGGAATGAACATGAGTCGGTGCCCGCATCATTAATTGGAACTTACAATCGAGTAGTCCCACTTCTCTGCGGCATCCTTTCGTGTAGTCCCGAAAACGTCCGCGCATTGGACGCTTAGCTTGTTGAACATATTCACTTTCCTCAGCGCATACGCTCTCGCCCCATCGGACAACCCTGCCTTCGCCGAGACCTGTTCCCAAGCTCTAGACATGTTCTTGAAACCGAGGATCGTCCTCTTGAACTCGGCATGAAGCTTGTTGATTTCCTCGTTCACTCGCTTCACCTCCGCCGAGCGCGGAACCATTGTACCCGGTCGACTAGCGAGTTGTTAGTACTAGCAATTGGGATAGACGAACCACTCGCCTTCGAGTTCCCATGCTTCCGCATCGTCTTCGGTCGTCCACGGGGGACGACCGTCCAGATCCATGCCCGTTCTTCGCGGCTGTCCCCTTGCTGTCGCGGCTTGCGCCAATTCTTACTCTTGAGGTCCGTTTCCATGTTGATCGCCTGTAGGACGTCCTCCGCAATGCCATCGCTCAATGCAATGAGGCGGTCGCGGTTGTAATTGTAGAGCCCGGCCAGCATGCGCGTGCGTGCGGTCGCGTTGGACACCTGCTTTTGAGAGCGAGTGTTGTCTTTCTGACCACGCGCGTGCTTTTGTTTGTCCTCGAGGAATGCGCCCTGGTGATTGATAGACTCTTTGACTGCAGCGAGAAGGTCGTACGCACGGCCATGTCGAACACGGCGTTCGAAGACCGCCTGCGCCTCCAGGCCGAGCGTGTTGCGCTCAGCTGCCGAGAAGTCGGATGGGAGGGCGAGAGGCTCGTCTTCAGGCCGACCGCTACCCCGTCGTCGTCGTCGTCGTCGTGATCGTCGTCATCGCCGTCGTCGCCGTCGACGTCTGGGAAGTTGATGTGAGGCATGAGCGAGCTCTGAAGGTCGCGCCACTTCTCCAATTCACGACGTAGCACACGTCGCTCGGTGCCGACTCCAGCGACCCCCGAGTCGTCCTCCACCAGTTCGGCATGGCCTCTTAACGCCTTCTTGAGTTTCGTACGAAGTTCGTACCTGCAGACGGCGTCAATCCAGCTCCTTATTGGGATGTACGTAGACTTACTGTCGCTTCTCAAGATCCAGTGCCTTAATGAAGAAGTTTGTCGTCCCCTGTGGTACCTTGTCTGCTGCTGCGGCCGCGAACTTCCCCTTGGGTGTGATTTCCATCTTCGCGAGGTCTTCATACACCTTCCCTGCGCTTGGAACTGAATGGGCGTGAGTACGACGTTTCGTCATAATGTATATTACCAAGTTTGGACGTACCTTTACTTTCATCGAGCATGTACACGCTCTGAAGAGGCTGAGGTTCAGCCTTCTTGCCCTTGCTCGATCGCTTCGGTTTCGTCTTCGTCTTCGCCTTCTTCGCCTCTGTCGATAGTGAGACCGGTTCGGCCACGTCCAGCTTCTTCCACTCCACCACCTTGTTTCCTGCAAGCTCCGTGAGCGCGTTGTAAAGCGACGTCTTATGCTCCTGTAAGGCGAAGGCTTCGCGGAGTTTTCTCGCGAGGAACGATGCTGACAGTGGAGCTCAGTCGCCGAATAGAACAGAAAATACTGACTTACCAGCGGACTCCATTTTACACCAGTTCCAGTAATTGTGAATGGCGTTGAGGGCGTCGTGGCGGTGTCCGGGACCCATCTCACGAGTGCTGAGTCCGACCTGGTTGTGCTCCGCCCACGGATGCTCGACGCTCTCTCCGTGTGAAAGACCCGCACCCCACGAGTAGCAGAGGGCGTACACAATCTGACAAAGCTCCTTGTGCGCGAGCATGTGGAGCTTCGGTAACAGCAGCTGCATGCGCTCGAGGAGAGGAACCAGATGCGGAAACCGCTCACCGAAGCGTTTGCGTAGGTTCACGCCGTATATGCAGACGACATCGTACGTGAATATAAAGTGCAGGAGTTCGTCGAGACCCTCGAGGGCTCCTGCGAGCGCGAAGTCCATATGTCCATATCTAGTTCGTCGTTATTTCTCGTTAATTACTCTGGTCACATGCGAGGACAATTGACTTACCGTTCGCCTTTCTGGAGGTCCACCATGGCCCCCGGCCGGAAGCACCCATGCCGTATGCATATCACCGCTACGACACCGCTGACCTCCAAGTTGCGGAACTTGCCTGGCCGTTGGGCCCGTCCGACTTTGAACCCACTGCAGGTCTCGGGCTAACACCACGTAAGTTCGCGGGCAAGCGAGAAGGACGAATTAGTACTCACGGCTGGCTCGGAGGCGATCTCGTCAAGGTACGTCTTCATCTTCATTGGGTCGACAAAGTACCCCTTTCCTTCACACAAACTTACATCATCCGGGTCGTCACGTTTGCGCTTTTTCTGAAGGCCATGGTTGCCGTCGCCTCCGAGCTCGCACGCGTGGATATATCTGTAGACATATGGAATGATGAGTCGTATACATCGTCGGTTTGTGAATTACTTACGCGAGATCCTGCGGAGTATCTTTCCAATTTGCAGGCATGTTGAAGTTCGGCCATGGGCATGCAAAACATGGGACCGTCGTAGAGGCCGTCGATTGGGAAGTTCGAGGCCATGATGGAGACCGGCCCTTTTCTCCGCGACCAGGTGTTGCCAGATGCGTCCTATGAGATTGAGTTCGCGATATCGGCTCTGAGAAATCGTCAGTAAGTACATGAGAAATCGGAAGGCATACGCGGCACTCACCTTGACAGGGCGTGTGCCCGAGTTGTCGGTGAGCCGACGCAAGGCTTCGAAGAAGTCATAGGCACCTTTCTTTGACGCCAGGAAATGAAGGTCCCATTGCCTGAGCACGTCGAAGGTGAACGCGCTTTCCGGGCGCTCCAGAGTCGCGGGGAAGAGGCCGGCACGGAGGAGCTGAGACACTGTATCGAGCTTGTAGGGACAATGACATTCGTGGAGGCGTACGCGATGTATACCGTTGGTATGAGTAATCGTGTAGGTGATGGGGGTCGAGCTGGCACGAAGATACCGACAGGGTTCACCGTTATGGCCCAAATGAACGACCAAGCCGATATTGCTGAGGTCCTCCTTCTCAAGGAAGCGGCCGGTCCACTTGTCGATCCAATGGAAGGGGTTGCGGACGTGCGACGAGACGAGGCATGCGCAGCATTGCAGGGGCGCCTGCAGGCAGTCCCGGCACCGCACCGTCGCTTGTGCCTTTCCGCAAGCGCACTGCGAGCCTATCCCTGAAGGGACCTCGGCGGCGAGGATGTCGTCGAGGATACGGGAGAATCGCGGCTTCCACTCTTCCAAGGTCTTCGAGATGCCATTCTGTGGTGAGAGACGTGAGTTGCAAGTACGTCTTGAAACGGGCGATCAACGTACTTTGACCGTACGCTTCTCCCCTGATTTCGACGAAGCACCGGGTGTCCCGCTGCTCGCCTGTGGGTTCGCTGACAGAGGTTTGCTCGGGCCTTGTGCGGGAGGGCTTGCGAGACGTGGTTTCTTCTTCGCAGGAGAGTCGTCTTCACGGTGCGTCAAAGGTACTGAGTATTGGGCAGGACCTTCTCGCTCGACAACGACCGCTTGAGTGATGGCGACTGCAGGAGGGAGGATGTCGTCGACGTGGGCATGAGGACGTTTGATGCGTCGACGAGTTCCGCTCATGAGTGGCCGCCTTCTACAGGCGCAAGTGATCGTATTCAGGAAAGGTTCGGTCGCGGCAAGTGGAGCATACAGGGGGGTTACAGACGCTACAAACGAGGCTACTTCCTAGGCACTAAGGGGCGAACGGCGCAGTGACGCCTCAGATACAATCTCACAGACACAATCTAGGCTCGGTAGAACTACGTAGACTACATGCGGGACCGGAGAAGGGAAACAGCGCATCAGCGCGTCGGGCTGTTGCCACAGCAGTGCTGGCTCGCCGTGGAATAACGATCCAGCCGCGGTGTGTCACGGATTGAGCTCGCTTGCCTGTTCCTCCACCGATGAATCTTGATCGAGCTCGCCTTCCTGGTCGTCAAACGATGAATCTTCTGCGTTAGACGAAACGGCGCTGCGACTCACTGTTGAACGTTGAACCCCTAAACCCTCTCCCACGCTCTCATCGTGTCGGGCTCGCCGCACTGCTGGCACCGCATGGACAAACCGGGAAATGTCACCGACACCGCAGAGCGAACAAACGAAGCGCGCTGGTCCGAACTGTTTCAGGTCGCTTAGTAGTGTAAGCAAACATTGCCGGCGCAAAGACTTACGAAGAAAGCGGACAACCGCTGTTGTCCACGAGCTCACTGGCTGAATGCCTAAGTCGGGCGGCAGAGGGACCTGAGACAGCGGCCATGACAGTTAAGTGAGACGGGGCTGCCTCCATGTGCAGATGGGCGCACGATCGACGTACCGTAGAGACCTTGTACCCGATGCTAGGTCTTGAGAGCTGGCCTCCAGAACGACGTCGTCTTGTAAAATCTGTAAGCTCGGCGCTTGGTCAGGGATGGCGCCTTCAGTGGACGGCGTACTTACACCATGAAGTTGGAGCAGAAGATCGTAATGTCGGCGAGGGAGGGCGTGCGTGAATCGATGTAGGATGCGGGCGAGTAGACCAGGCTGCTGTGTTGTCTTCAACAACGTCTCAACCGCAGGAAACCCCGCGGGAGCGTGTCGTCTAACGGAGGCTGAGACGGCTGTGTGGCCATCTCGCACACCCGCGTCTTGACGGCGAACTTGCGGCGGCGAAGTTAGAGGAGCGAGCGAGTGAAGAGGAGCGAGCGACGGCGGCGGTGCTGATCAGGATCGGATTAGGGTGAGTTGGACGAGGATTAGCGCGAGGCGCGAGTCACACACGTGACTCTGCCTGCCTTTCGTGGCTAACTGTCACACGGGTCTGGCGCGCGTGGCTAATCCGCGTGTTCTTTCCCAACCCGTTCTATTCACTCTGCTAATCCCCTTCTCGCCTCTGCTCGTCGCCGTCGTCGCTCAACCTCCCGCTCGCCTCTGCTCATCGCCGTCGTCGCTCAAGACCCGCCGCCGTCAAGACTCGAGATCATCAAGACCTGCTCCCTTCCTAGAGTGGCGCGTCTGAGGGTAGCATACCCAAGGGCGACCCTCTGCAACTGTGCGCGTCAGGGGGTTCCTTCCTGACGACCTGTTGCTTCGCCCGCCGCCACACGCTCAACGTGAGCACCTCAAAGCACCAAGGGCTTTTCAAGAACATAGGCGGGAGGTACGTGGCCGCTCGTATATCATACGGCTGATGTCGAAGGAAACAGCGTACGGCGGGTAGCCACACTGAAGACGAGGCGGGCTAACGCATCCTTCACGCGTTTTTTGGGCCGAATACGCGTGAGTTATGCTACTCGATCTCTTTACCAGATATTGAAGCTTCAAGACCTGTAGATCTACGTCACATACTAGGACGACGTTGCGTGGAAAACAAGAATCATTCGGTCGGTAAGTTCTCACGTAGTTGTCTTTGAGGGGCTCAACGAATCTGACTTCTCGTACACGCAGAGCGTCGTCAAGCATGCCGACCCCTACGCAGAAGATCTCCGGCGCGATCGCGCAGCAGCGTGTCGGGGACGCAAGCCGGCGTCGAGATGCCGATTCCCGACGCGCAGAAGGGGCGTCCCGCGATGAGCTATGGCCGCAGGAGCCTGTCGATCATCTGGGGAGGCCGTGGGGGCAGGGAGACAAGGGGAGCCAAGCCCCTCCGCTGGTGCTTCGCGAGACGCCTGAGCTCTTCGGTGCGTATGGGCAGCTCGACCGCTTAACTCAGCTGACTTTGGCCTAGACAGGAATAAAGAGGCGGGCCTGGCGTGGAACGATGGTCGGCTTGCGACGGAGTGGAAAATGGATGAGCACGCCGTCGTCACGACCGCGAATGCGACGTGGATGCCGGAGTTCCCGGTTGCCACGCCGGGACGCATCTGCACGCGCTCGGACGGTCGATGGGGGCCGCAGGAGTATTCACTGTGGCCGCAGATGTATCACAGCAGAGTACTGCACCATGCCTGTATTCCCGTAAAGGACGGTGACGTGGAGGGTTTTGAGACGAACGTAAGGTGTATGTTTGACGTCGTCGATCCCAGCTGCTGGGCTGCGGACGCTACGTGTGGAGTACCTGACCTCGGATTTCTGAGTCCGAGGTACCTGAACCTACTCAAGAGCACCGCGCAACGCGTCATCATCAAGTATCAAACCTGTGGTGACGACAAGGAGGAGAAACAAAAGCAATTGGGTACCACCTGTCTCAAACGATTTACCAAGCCCTCGACCAGCTCTTCATCCTCCCGACGTGGAGAACGCACGCCGTGGCCCTCGCTTCGCATGTGCAGCGGCTCACGCTAGAACTGTGCGGGCTCATCGTCCTCTTCGACGTCGTTCAGCCCCGTGTGCACAATCGCTCGTTCGTCGCGAAGACGCCTCTCGCGGTGCGCGGCGCGTTCACCGACAACGCGGGGACCGCGCAAGGCCTCTTCCGGCTAGGAATACCCACGTGGTTCATCCAGCCGTTGACCTCCTTGGTACGCGTCGTAAAGGCGGTTAATCCTACGCCGGTCTCCTCGCAGATGAGCGATGAGTTGTCGCAGCCGCGCTTGTACAGTGGCGATGGAGACCTCGCGGGTATCGTGCAACACCCAGGCGATTGGCCGTTCAAGATGCAACAAGAGGTTTTGAAGAACCTCTGCGACGTGAAACTACCATCAATGCCTCGGGTGCTCGACACGGATGGCGCGCCGCCCGCCAAGAAGGCGAGGGCCGACAACAGCGCAGATTCGAATCTCGATCGCGTTCAAACGAACCAACCCGGCAATTCGTCCCAATCCGGCCATTCGTCGCGCCGAACGCATCGTGGCAAGCGAGCAGCGGCCCCGACTCAGCCTGTTCCCGTTCACCCGTCGCTTTGCTACCAGAGGCCGAAGACGTCGGTCGTTCCGGAAGTCTGGGCAGAAGCACTCACGGCGGTCGGCACTCTGCCCCCCCCACGTTCCGCCTCCACTTTCTATTGGCCCCCTCCCTTCTGGTTCGAGAGCCAAGGCGAGAAGGTGAAGCGGTATTTCCACAACTACGTGCGAATCCGGGGCTTCTGTAGGCAACGGTTGCTCGATCCTACCCTCGGAGCCGAGCCGCTACGCATTGCAGAGTGGCGCGATGCGCTATGGGGGGATTACCAGGTCCAAGTGAGCGAAGCGACGTCGACCACGTTGTCGAAGAAGAACAAGGACCGTCGAGACGTCCAGCAAAACATCCGCCGCTTGTTCTCGAAGACGGCAGGTCTGCCGACGTACGACAGTGCGCAAAGTCTGCAGTGGGGCGCAAACGCTGTGAACGTCGACTCGGTGAATGGACCCGCCGTGCGCGCACAGATTTTGTGGGAAGTGCACGAAATCAACTGGCGATGTGAGATGCGAGAGCTCGACGCCGCTCTCACTAACTCGCATGAATGGGGAACGCTGCAACGGTGGGAGCGCGAAGCGCGAGTCTGTCGCATCTGGAGCGCATTGGGATCCGGTCTGCGTGTCATCCCTCGTTGGGAGCAGGGCGAACGATCGACTGCCGTCTGGCTGCGTCCTCCACAGAGTGGATGGCACGACGGTGTCACTACGCTCGTCGAGTTCGTCGAGGTCATGCGGCGTTGGCCAGGACTCCCCGAGGAACTAAAGGTTGTACCCATGAGCATATTTGACTACGACGAACAGGCTTTCGTGAGTTTTCAGCGTGCGGCGGTCACCTTCTACGTCCGTTCTTTCGTCGACACATTCCATCGCTTGCCCACGCCGCCCGCTGTAGTACCTGATGGATGGCTGTAACGTCTCGATGCCCCACTCTCACGTTTATCTCACGTATATACTGTACAATGTATCACTCACGACGTGCCGGACGTATATTTTAATTGTGTATTATCGGAGTCCCGGCCAAGACGTATGCGAAAAGACTGCGAACGCGATAAGTGTCCAATATTCCACCTTTGCCACTTAACTCGAATCGCTGCTGACTTTAAGTTCAGGTGCGATCGCATAAAAGGGGCAGCTGCGCAAGCCCTAGCCATCGTACCCGCTCCGTCCCAAGATGCCGCCGCCCGACACTCGCGTACATGACATCCTGGACAGCTACCTGCCTCCGATGGCTCGACTGCGCTCGAATCTCCTCCGATGCACCGTCTATCGCGATATCAATCATCTCGCTGTCATCAGCCTGGACGACACGCCTCAGCATCACATAGGAACGGTCTTCGGCGTAGTAAGTGTCCTTCGCATTGTGTCCGACCTCTCCGACTGAAGACTCCCATACCAGTGCACTCAACCGGCAGGCCGCAAATGCGTCAACCACCTCAAGGCTGCAACGGTACAGATGAGCGACGACGAGCTCAAACGCGTTCGTCGCGAAGTCGCGGAGCTCGAGCCACCTCCCGAACATCATGGCGGGGCGCTGTACCTGAGGGCCGAGTTACCGGAGGAAGTGGATCTAGGGCGCCGCAGGCGTGACCCCCGCCCGCCGCAGGAGACGATAACTAAATATGTGTTCATCTATATAAGGGTAAGACGACGCACACCTCTTCGAATGCACAGCTAATGGAGTGATACTAGGACGGAGATCCCCCAATCCGAGTCCCAATCGTTTGCGCTGTACGCGAAGATGACCTCGTCGAAGTCTGCTTCCGTCAGGCGATCACCTGCGATGTTTTGGGGCTGGACGAGAACGAGCACGACTACGAGACGTTTGACAAGCGTTTCTCTCGCTTCGTGTCCTGGCCTCGCACCATCGTCCCGCGGTACATACCGCGGGACGATGTGCTGGTGTATAGGCGAGTCGGTGTCCGTACTTGCCCGGGAGCGCAGAACCTCGCCTTCGGACGTCCCGACGCCCCCCCTCTCCCGTCTTTACTCGAGCACATGGGAGCGAGCTCGCCGCACACTCCCGCTCATTCGCTGGTGACGACGGATGGCGCTTCTTCGCCGGGACAAGTCCTGCGTTCCGGGCGTGTCGTATCACAGCCCACCACGCCCTCGACATCGGCCGGTTCGCCTTCGCGTCGCGTTCGGCCGTCCGACCAAGCCAACGACTCGCCGAGCGTGAGGGTCTCAGCCGGGAAAAAGAGGAAGCGTGAGGAGGAGCAGGCGCAGGCGCAGGGCACGCCGCGTCGTGCAGCCAAAAAAGGAAAGGGCACGATGTTCGGGCCTGACGACCTTGGCCAGGTCTGGGAGGTCTTAGCAGAAGATATATTAGTCTTAGTTTCCTAAGCGTAGCGGTAGTCAACAGACCTCGCGATCTGCTCAACCAGATTGCGATTTGCGCCCGCAACGGATCTAGATACCTTAGCACTCTTCAACGAGATTGCGATCGTCGCTGGGCAGGCTAAACGCTAAAATGATACCTCGGGTGGAACAATAGTGATCGCATTTGGTTGGGAGCTAAGCTTTCACATAACCGCTTCGCGTCGATCTGCATCTCATCTACAGTCTAGGGTCGCAATCGCTTTCTCCTTCGCGAATCGTAAGCCTGTTTGACGTTGGTTGAATTGGCGTGTGCTGACCCACTATATAAGCTCCCACCGACCTTCCACGTCGTTCAACCCCGATTCCTCTCCCTCTGCTCGCGAACGTCCAACTGCATTCACTCTCCCCCTCGCTCGCGACCTTTTTTGCGCTAGACGACATGCCAGCCGAAGCTCAGCCCGCCGCCCAGCCAGCTCAGCTGCCTCCGGCTCCCGCCGACGTCAACTCGAAGGCCGACGACAAGAAGGTCCGCCAGCGCACGGACTGGACGGTCAACGGGCTCGACGTCGTGATGGACGGTTTCCTCAAGGACTGGAACAACCTCGCGGACACGAAGAAGGCCCGGAGGCAATTCCGTGCTCGCGTCCTCAAAGACATCCTGCCGAAGTGGACACAGGAGACCGACCCAGAAGAAGTAAGCGTTTTCGATTGACGTCGAGACTTCAGACTGACAGACGTGTACTATAGGCTATCTACAACTACTTCAAGAACCACGGCGGGAAAGCATCGCACACCCGTGCGACCACCCCCGACGACGTCCATATCAACTCGAAGGACCTCTTCGCGAAGTCCCGCGCCAAGGGGCCCTCAGAGCTGTGGGCGGAGGTGCCGGAGAACAAAGCGCGCATCATGCAGAACTGCGAAGGGAAAAATGAAGTCGGCGCTGGAGGTCGGCAGGCGGCGACGCGCCGCGCTCTCTTCGAGCAGCTGCCGGCAGAGGAGAAGGCGATTTGGGAGGAGAAGGCGCGTGCTCCGCTTTCCTGCGAAGCACAGGAGGCAGCCATGGCTCGGTGCGTGATTAAACACGCCTTTCATTCGTTTGCTAACTCGACCCGTACTAGCAACCGGGAAGCCTTGACGGACAGGTTGTCCGCCCTTTTCCAGGGCACCATCGGGGACGGGGCCAACCGCGTCGGCGACGCCGTGTTCTATTGCCTCCTAGGCTTCAACGATCACCGTAAGCCTGTTCAAGTCAAGCAGTAAGTGTTCACATTGTCAACTTCATGCAGAGCTGACAGCGATTTTTCAGTATCTTCGCAGGTAACAAGCTCGCAGGACAGACCTTCCCGGCCTGGGGGGGCGCCGAACTGGCGACCCAGCTTGAACGATGGAGGCAATACGTATGCGAAGTGCTTCGTAAGTAAATCTCGGCCTCACTGTACACAAATACTAACATCATACATAGCTACACAACCCCCCCAACAACCCGCCGAAGAGCTCGATGAAATCGACGACGGCTTACTCTACGAGGATGGCAGGCCCATGCTACCGTCCTGGGGTGCCGACATGACGGGGCGTAAGGCGGCGGAGATCCTCTGGGCCTTCTTCCGTGGGTCATGGGGTATGTACAACCGAGTTTTGTGTTGAACAGTACTCACTGTCCTTTGCTCTGCAGCTCGTGCTCATCGCGGCGTCCCCGAGGTGCCCGTCCTCGCGCCCGAAGCTATCACCTTGCGTCTGCTGGCTCTCGAATGGCCGGCCCCCATCTTCAGCGACCCGGATGCGTTGACAGTCGTACGACTCAGCGCGTTGTGGGAGAAGATCCGCGAGAATCAGGAGAAGGACACTCACTTTGCCTTTGAAGATGCGGCCCCACAAGTCGAAGCCGCCGCCCCACAAGTCGAAGCCGCCGCACCTCAAGTCGAAGACGCGGTACCTCAAGTCGAAGACGCGGTCCCTCAAGTCGAAGACGCGGCGTCAGAAGTCGCCGAGGCGCCCCCACAAGTTGCAGACGAGCGCGCTCACGACAACGCCGTTACCGAGCCTGCGGGCGACCTCGCCATGGTAAGCCTTCACAAGCATCAATGTTTCAGTGAACTCATTCTCTGAATAGGTCGACAACTCGGTCGTTGTCGAGGGGGACGTCGACAACGACGGCCGCACCCGCAACAACGCCATGTCGGACGATGGGTCGGCGCCGGACGATGAAACGGCCAAAACCGGCAATACTACGGATGCGACTGGGATGGACGAGGACGAGGAGATTGAGGATGAGGATTGGGAGATGGTGGGGGCTCACGACGAGATTAACGGTGCGTATATGGTTGTATTTTGACAACTCTCAATGGCTCATCGACATGGATGGTTAATAGCCAACGAGGCCGAGCCTCCAAAGACTCGGAGGCGCGGGAGAGGTCGCCGCGATGGAGAGGTCGCCGGGATGGACATCGACGGCTCGGCCATCGAAGGTATGCCCGATTATCCATGCTATCTTCTGTTTGGGAGCTGAGCTCGACAACGTAGATGACGGCGCGAACAGCGCGAAGGACAGCGATACCGAGGAGCCCGCTACCAAGAAGCCGAGGGTTGCCAGTGGTCGCCGCGGTGCGCAAACATCGGCGAAGGGTGGCAATAACAACAGGTACGTGTTTTGTGTTCGTGTAAATGACGTCGACTTATTAATGTTCTTCTTGCTTGGTGTCAAGTGTCATGAAATCTCGCGCGAAGGCCTCGAAGGCCTCGGGTGGTAGTACATCGGCGCCGGCGCGAGTGCTTCGCTCGACGGCTCAAAGCTCCAAGTAAGTCCACTATTCTATTGACCTACTGTTTCTGACATTCACTGTAGGCCTAATACTCGCGCAGCCACTCGTAAGGCCTAAGTACGTCGAAGGCCCTCATGTCCTGCTCTATGCTCTTGTCTTGTCTTGTCTTGTCTTCGTCGTGATATTGACCTGTCATGTGACTCATGTCATTTATGGTAATCTGCTGTCTTCGTGAGTGATTACTTATGGCTTAGCATTGTCTCAGAGTGTTTCTTCGTGGTTGAGTAGTGGCTTTACTATGTCTTTTGTGGTTGCTTAGTACTGGCTTAGTATGTCTTTTGTGGTTGCTTAGTACTGTCTTAGCATGTCTTCGTGGTTCATCAGTACTGGCTTAGCATGTTCTCGGAGTAGTTATGTCTGCAGGATGAGCAGTTCATAGAGTTGTCTCAGCATGTTCTTATGATCAGTTTGGTAATGGATTAGATGTTGATGGAATTGTATCTGTGTGACTTAAGAGTGGATTGAGGTGAACTTTGAACTGACTTAATGTTGATTGAGTGGTGTATTATGCTTTCACTTAGGATTGACTTTGTAGTGGATTAGCTGTCATACACAGGATTAGCAATGGATAACACTTCCACTTAGAGTTGACTTTGAAGTGGATTAGTGTTAGGCTATCCTGTCATAGACAGGATTAGCAATGGATAATGTTTTGACTTAGGATTGACTTTGAAGTAGTTAGCACTAAGCCATACTGTCATGAACAGGATTAGCAATAGATTGGGATTTGGTTTAAGACACATGAGCATTGTTAAGCACTGTCTTGAGACAGGATTAGGACTGGTATATTTTGTCTTAGTACATAGATTAGCATAGGATTATGAACATTCACATGGGTTACATTGGATTGGAACTGGATCAAAAATACTCAAGTCATGATTTAGCATTGATCAGCAGGGGATTAGACATGGATTGAGCATGACTTAATGAAGATTAGTGTTCATCTCAAACCTACTTAGCCTCAACTACTTGTGAATCTATTGCCTAAGTTATGGCTAAGCATGGCTAATCTATGGTTAGGAAATGATTAGACATGGGTCAGATGTTACTTAGCCAAGATTAATCCTCTGAGGATTAGCTTCATTGATCCTATATGGGTAATTAATTGGCTAAGCAGTTTCTCAGCAAGTCTCAGCAATGGATAAACTATGGCTAATCTATGGTTAAGTGTGTATGGATTAGCTGTACTGATTGTCCTTGGCTAAGCAAAAAGTCTAAGCAATGGATGAACAATGGATAATCCATGGTTAAACCTGTATGGATTAGCTGTACTGATCCTGCTTGGCCAAGCAACTGGCTAAGCCATAGCTTAGCACAGGATTGGGTTAAATGTGTATGGCCTTTAAGTTGATCTAAAATACAATATTGATTCAAACTTAATCCGATTTAAATGACATCACTGCAGATTCCCACCTCCCAGAATGGCTTCCGAACAGGGTGCCGGACAAACAATAATGCGTTTGTGCTGCGGGCCGCTATCGAGAAAGCACGACAGATGGGCAGACCGCTATATGTCGCGTTTGTAGACCTGTCAAACGCGTTTCCATCGGTGGACCAACCTACGCTGTGGGCAAAGCTGCACGCGGCGGGCTTTTCAGGCCCGCTTTTTGACTGGCTGCGGATGCTGTATGCTAGGCTGCGCTATGTGGTACGCGCAGATGGCGGCACATCTGACTTCTTCAAAGCGGCAGCGGGCATTCTGATAGGCGACCCGGCATCTCCCATCCTCTGGATCCTCTTCCTGGCCGATCTATGCATCTCCAACCATGAAGACGACATCCGTCTAGGAGGAGTATGCGTGTCCCACCTCGAGCAGGCGGATGACATCGCGTTGTTCTCCACATCCCAGGCTGGGCTTCAACTCAAACTAGATGACTTAGCTCGATGGTGCTCACTGAACTTCGCGACCATTAATGTCTCGAAGACCCAGCTGATGATCTTCGGAGCCCTCCCGACGTCCGCGCCCCGTATCACTGTCAATGGAGCACGCATTGCCCTTGTTGACAGATACACCTATGTCGGCATCACGTTCCTGTCCACGGCGCGAGACATCTTTGCGGCGCATATCGAGCGCCGTGTGGACATCGCACACAAGACAGCGAATGCATGCCTTTCCGTGGAGTCGTATGTTGCAGACCTGCCCCCCTGGGCGGCTCTGACTCTATATAACACCCACATCGATTCGCACCTGATCTCTGGTTGCGAAGTGACGATTGATGTCCAACTGAGGGCGCACAACACCCTCGCGGCTGTGCAGTTGACCTTTCTGCGCCGCACCCTCGGACTAAACCCCAGGTCTGTAACTGCAGTCCTGTTCACGGAGACTGGCCTGTGGCCGATCCGTTACCGACGACTCTCGTTGGCGCTCCGTTACCTCATGTATGTGGTAACGCAGCGACCAGTGCTCCCCTTGGCAGCGCTGGCCGAGACTCGCCGCATGGCTCTGAGTGGCACTGCTTCATGGCTCAGAGACCTTCGGTATGCTTTGCAACAGCTACCAGTCCCTGTCGACTTCCCATTGCCAGAAGCCTTAACATCGGATGTTGTCAAGAAATGTGCAGAAGAAATGCTCGCCTCCCTGAGGACTTACCTTACACGCGAAATTCAAGCATCCCAACGGCTATGTGTCCTGCGTGCGCGCCCAACGGGCGCAGGCGTCCTCACTCGGCGCAAATATCTCACGCTGGAAGGCCGTGACGCCCGAAAGGCAGTATGCAGGCTCTTCGCCTCCGACCACCCATTTGCGGTAGAACGTCTGCGACGACGGTCGCCGCCAATTCCACCCCACTGGCGAATTTGCAGATTCTGCCAAGGGCGAAACATGGTCGAGGACGAGGCACATGTGCTGATGCTATGTCATGCGGAGCCTCTTCGGTCACGACGCGCCGCTTTCATGCGGGCGGTTGACGTCGCTCTGCGCTCACAGAAACGAGCATTGCCGGAGCAGTCCCCCCTTGCATTCCTCAATGCGGTGATTGCGGAGGAGTGCACGGAGCAGATCGCCGCAAAATACATTCTTGACGTGTTCCAATGCTGTGACGCCGTCCCCATCCTGGTGGTCACCAGCGTGGAGCAATTCCACTCTTACGCCATGCGGTGAGCGGGCCAGCGCTGTCCCCTGCGTGCGTCTATATCACCGCAGCCGCTTGCTCTACGCCCACGACGGCGGTGTCATCAATACCAAAGTCATTGTGTGTTATGACCAGGTCGGGTGTAGCGTCCCTTAATCCTCGGGCCCGGTATGCGCTGTACCCAGTCTCTATTCAGAGGGACTGTCTACACGTAGCATACATGGGGCGATGAGGATGGTAAAGGACTGAGGTCTCGTAGGTGCGCTGGCGCGCCATACGAGCCCTCGAACAAACAAGAACAATCATACGAGATAAGATATACCGTAACGGGAATATCCGTTACACCCTCCCCCACTGGACACGACCACGGGTCCCAGAGATAACCAGAGAAACTAAAAGGAAAGAGGAAAAGAAAGGAATAAAACACGCGACAACCCAACGGTGGTAGCGACTGGCAATACAATAGTGGTGCCGTACTGTAGACAACGACATACTAGGTCGCGTCAGTGAGCAGCACAGCCGTCCACTATTGTCATACATAACTCAGTGGAGTTATGCAAGCCAAATTCATGATGGCGACATGAGAATGTCAGCAACAAGGTAATGCTGATGATAATACAGGTAGCAAGGTCGGAGAACTGTGAAGTTCTTCTGACACATCGCGGACAATTTGCCGGCGAGCTCAGCAACATGTACGTCAAGCATGAAGCTCGATCTCTGCGCCCCATGAATCCGATGCGCGACCGTGTTGGACACGACCGACGTGACTGTCGTGGGCGGATGCGAGGTAATGATGGTGGGACGAGTACCTCAAGGTACTCACTTCTCAATTCACCGTCGACCTCCTCATCGTGGACGTCGACGGAGAGGCCCAACGTCTGTGCGTGGGCTACAGACCGACCGGATACATCGGTCGAGCAAGTAAACTCGCCGATTGTACCGCGATGCATCGTCGTGCCGGGTGCGACTCGCAGGTCGTCCCCCGGACCGACTGTACCACTGTTGTATACAGTGACTGCCACGACAACCAATGCGGTTGTCATGGTCATCACGGGTGGTGATTGCGGGGTAGGGAATGGTGGTGCAAAATAAAGAGGGTACGTCCAATAAGGACGTACCTTTGCTTTTCGAGCTCGCAGGCTCGTCTTCTTCGCCTACACCACACCCTTCCTCCTCTCCTCCTTCTGCCTGACCTTCCTCATCAGATTCTCCTGGTTCCGCACCCTTGTCCACATTTCCTCCATCCTTCCATTCCTCGCGTGATCTCCAGGGTACATGCGAGGTTGCCGACTCGTGGCGCCTGTCGTAGTCGCCATGGGTGTCGAGGGCCGCAGGGAGGTCGATAGGGGTTAAGGTGTGGGTCCTTGGGGGCGAATCCTCGGCGAGAACTGTAAAGTTCTCGCCGAGTTGAGGGTCGGGAGACCGTTCTGGTCGGTCGGGGTCCGTAGGCGCCGGCTGCTACACTACACGTAGTGCAGCAACTCGGTCACGGTCTTGAGCTCGCGCGTCCGTTAGGGCTACGCAATCGTCGAGCTGCGCCGTCGCCGGAGCGCTTGGTTCGTAACGAGAGTGGTGTTCGCTCAACCGGTCGAGGTCGAGGTCGTATCGCAGGCTTCCCAGCTGAACCGGGAATGGTTCAGCTGTCTTGACGGGACCGGGGGCTTGCACTTCCTGTTGGGAGTGCAAGTCTTCTGGACAGGTGGCCGCGCGTGAGTGGGGATCATCAGGGACGGAATCGATGCCGTTCCCCGACCCTGTCAGTTGAACTACTGCGGGTTCAACTGCACTGGACGTTCGCACTTCCGTGATGAAGTGCGGACCGTCTTGATGCGGGGCCGGGCGTAACATGTCGCTACCGGACAGAAGGTCGAGGAATTCGCGAAAGAGGTTGTCGGGGTCGTCCCGCAGCTCGGCCAGTTGGACCACTAGTGGTTCAATTGCGCTGAAGCAGCCAGGGACCCGTACTTCCGCGGGGACGTACAGGCTGTCCTGCACGGTGCGACTAGCCAACGGGAGGTCAGTAATGATTGGAGGATGGTGATCACTGACGCCGTGTACGTCGAGCAGCGGGCTAGACGTACACGCCGCATCGCGTGCAGTCGAGGTTGAATTGGGCACATTGGGCATGCATCGCTGCATGTCCATCGTGCCGCCTTGCAATTTGGGGTTTATGACCGCGAGGTCGTCCCTAGCGTAGGTGTGCTCTCTTGCAGAGCGTGCCTGATCCCGGGCAAGGATGATGTCGAGATGGGTACGTCCATTAGGGATGTACCCGCTACTCGACAACCGGTCTTGGGTTGGTGGGGCGCGTCGGACATGCGGTACTGCACGTCCGCCGTGTCGCCTTGCAGTGTGGAAGGTCCGGGTACGACCTGGGGGTCCCCGGTTACAAGCGTGCCGCTATGCGTGAGCCAAGGTACGACCGCGAGGTCATCCCTTAGCACAGGTGCACCGCCTTGCAGTGCGGAAGACACGACCATTTGGTCGTTGCGCAGCGCGATCGCGGTGTGGTGGGGCGCGTCGGACGTGCAAGGTTGCGCATCCGCCGTGTCGCCTTGCGGGATGAACGGTACGACCGCGAGGTCGTCCCGTATTACGGGCGTACCGTATTCGTGTCCCCCAGCGCGTACGACGAGATCGCTCGTCAAAATGTGGGCTGGCCCGGGGACTGTCGCAGGGAATAGCAAGTTGGGTACATCCATCAAGGATGTACCTCCACCACGCTGGTTGGTGGTGACTGAGAAGGGCACGTCGGACGTACAACGCTGCGCGTCCGCGGTGTCGCCATGTGTAGTGGCCGGTACGACTCTCGATTCGTCCCGGTACATGTGCACCCAAGGCTCGTGGCCAGTAGTGCGCACGACGAGCTTCAAGTTCGTCGGTACGCCTACTGGCGCGGGCACAGCAGATGTGGAGGGTACGACCTTGAAGTCGTCCCGCAGCACGGACGTGCTACCATATGGACCTCAGGTACGACTTCGCAGTCGTACCTGGGAACGGGAGTGCCATCTTCGTGGCTAGCAGGACGCACGATGATCTTCTCGTTCGTCGCTACGCCTGTGGTTGTCGAGCCGTCGTGCTCGTACTTCCGGCTCGCCCGGTACCCTTCCTCCCTCTGTCCCTGCGTTCCTTGCTCATCCTCGCTACTCCTCTCCTCTCTGTCCTCCTTCCGTTCTCCTCGCTCCTCGTTATACGTGGTCCGCTCCGTCTTGCTGCTCGGCGCTGGACTTGAACGCGCGTCGTTCAAGTCCTGGGTCGCGTGGCTGGGTTGCGTGTCGCCAGAGCCGCGGTAGGGGTCGCCAGGTTCGCCAGAATCGGTAGGGAGACCTCCCAATTCGAGGCGCGAGGTGTGGGGAGAAGGGAGATGAGCCGGGGACGAATGAAGTGATGATCTGGTACCGCGAGGTACCAGGTCGTCGGTCGCCACCGACTGGACTGGCGGCAAGTCAGCCAGCCAGTTGCGAGCGCGAGTTCGCACTCGCGTTGGGGCGGCGCGCGCGTCTGGTTCGCCAGACGCGCGCTCGAGTTGGCTGCCCAGATAGTGGAAGGGGTCGAGGACGAAGAGTCGGTGGAGGCTCAGCGCAGCACAGTGGGCGCTAGTGCTCGGGACGCTCGCCACGGACTCGTGACACTCAACGCCCGTAGTGTTGAGCGCGTCGCGCGTCGCGCCGAGCAGGTTGCTCGTCGTGGCGCGCCCATCATTCGACAATAATAATATATTTCTTGTGTCGCTGCTCATCTCTGAGCGCGCGACGAGTGTACCTACGTACGCGGGCTCGTTCCCGTTGTACACAGTACTGTTGTAGTACTGTGTGCCTATACCCTCCCGAGCGCGGAGATGCGTCGACTCGACGCACCACTCGTTCGGCTCGGATGCGAGCTCGATGACGGACGTGTCTTCGAGTTCGGCGCGTGCATCATCCTTCGGGGTGATGCCTAGCTTCGTCGCTTGGGCCGGGACACCTCGGGATGGCAGTGCCTCCAGGTGCCATTGAGCAGACCCGACAGCAGTCTCGGGCTGCTCAGAGCGCTGTGCATACCCGGCTTCGCCTTGGCGAATGACGGGTCCCGGTACGACCTGAAGGTCGTCCCGAGATGTGAACGTGCTGTCATCTCCATGATCACAATGGATCATGAAGGCGGATATGAAGAGACGGTGGCCCGACGAACCGCGGGCATTGTGCCCAACGGGCTCTACATTCGCCATTACGCACACTAACGTGGGTATGGCAGATGTCGAGATAAGTACGTCCACCGAGGGCGTCCTGATCCTTCTCGACACTCTGTACTCACATCAGGAAAAAAGACAAATGCTAGGTCATACAATGTAGTCTACATAGGCCCTATAGCTGCCTCTGCATACCCCCCTTTATGTAGGAGCTCATAGCTAAGCCGTGTGTACTCATAGCAACTTGTGACACCCGGGGTAACCTACAAAGTGTGATATAGAAGCAGTTGTATCATAGTACAATAGACTCGTTGCAATACATATCACACCATCGTGAATTGTAAATGTCGCCGATGCAATATGACATCACACTGAATACTGATCACAGATTGGTGACATTGAATAGCCACACACTTTGCAATACATTAATGAGTATGTGTATTCAAGGACGAGTAAGACTACTACTAGTTCTCGTAGCAGATCTTGAAACAGCGACAATAAAATGACTAGTATAATACCGAGCGGAGATGGTGATGAATAAACGAGGGAAGTATCGCAGCAGATATTAGTGATAGTTGTTATCGAAAGACGTAGAATACTGTAATACTTGTATGCATCCGAAACACAGACAGCCGTGATTGATCATCTCCGAGTCGAGTCGAGTCGCAGTACGAAGCCTTCCTGTGTAGCTACACATTGTTGTTCGCTTTCGCCTCCATTGCCTGGCGAAGTGCGGACGACAAGGCGTCGTGTGATAGGGTATTCAGCCTGAGGTGAGCATCGACATTCTCGGCACCAGATTGGAATCTATACAGGTATCAGTATATGTACTCCACAGTAGACATGTATGACTATACCGTGCTTCACGATGCAATGCTTTACGAAGATCAAGTAGAACTTCGTGAGCATCCTCACATAGATTGTCGAAGTTGTCGAGATTCCTGAGGTGGGTCTCATAGATCGATTCGTAGTCCTTTACAGTGAACTGGATGTCCCTTCGTACGCCAGTCCCCCACTCGTCAATGCCACAGTGAATCTAACGACGTAGCATGAGTCTTCTGTGCATCAAAAGAGAAGCATTTTAGGAATTACAGCTGTGAGGACGAACGCCAATGCTTCTATGGCGAACGGTTCAAAGAAGTCGCGGTACACGACGCCTTCGTCGTTCTTGTTCACAAACCACATGGCATTTACAGCTTTCTGGATGATCGGGTTTCGATATATCCCCTTTCGTTCGGCATGGCTACGTTGCCCGAGAGCAGGTTCCTTCATAGCTTTGTCAGTGTCTATGCAGTTCCAACCCCAAAGACAACACGTACTTCATACACATATGCCGACTCGAACTTGAGGTTCTCCGCTCGGACACGATTCTGAAGGATCGCTTCAGGCGCGGACGTTTTGCTGAAGCCATATGAACTCTCGACAAGGGACTTGATCTTTGACTTGAGCTCGCTGCGGCATTGAAATGTGCGCGCAGTGATCTGTAGGTACATGACATCATTGTGACCCGAGTTAGTAGAGCATATCATAAACAATGAGTACGTACTATCCTGGTGAGACTCGGGCTTGCTGCAAGCTGAATCCCGAGCTCTCTGCACGCCCTACCCCAAGCGAGGTGCGCCCATTGCATCTCCAGCGAGTTCTCCGGGAATGCGTTGATCGTAGATACATGGCACCGGAAAATCTGTGCGGCGATGGTCAGTATCTGCTTAACATCTTCGTCATAGTCCTTGGCACGAGGACGTTGTCCCGGAGGGATCACGGTGATCGGCTTCGGACAGGGGACATCTTCGTATAATAGACATCAGTTGCTGATGACGAAGGACAATGTGAAAACGACTTACCCTGCTCATCACTATCCTCGTCGCTGCTACCTTCATCGTCGGAGCCATCATGAACAGCACGGGCAGCATTACCACCCGTGCCCCGCTGCGATGGAGACCAATCAATCCTACGCTGTTCATCTTCGATGACCTCTTCTTCCTCGGCGAACTCTTGTTCCTCGGCGACCCCTTGTTCCTCGACGACCTCTTCTTCCTCAACGACCTCTTCTTCTCCCTCGGAATCATCCCTTGCGGGCGCAGACCACTCGTCTGCGGCGTTACGAGGATCCTCGTTGTTGGCAACTTCTAGTTGGTCGAGTTCCTCGTTCTCATCGTCGCTTGACTCGGCGACTACAGCCTTGCGACTCAACCGCTGACCTCCAGAGCCTAGACACATCTCATGAGTACCGCGGTAGTACTTGCAGTTAACTACCTACTGTTGTTGTTCCGCGATCCTTGCTGATTCGGATGCTCTACTATTGATTCGCCGTAGCTTACAAGTTCCGCCCTGCGTTGCATCTTTGCGGTCGACTGCGATGCGGTGACAGGTCGCTGCGATGCGGTGACGGGTCGCTGCGATGCGGTGACGGGTTGCTGCGATGGAGTGATAGGTCGCGGGGGAACCTTTGCTGTACGTCTTGCAAGGTTTCGGAATGGGATTGGCTTTGAGACCGAGCTTGTCACGGTACGTGTAGTGAACTCCTCCGACTCCGAGTCAGTGCCGTGAACATCGTGAGAAGAAATAGGAGACACACGGTACCACCAGTGCCTCCTCTGTTAGTGGAAGTCTTGCTCTTCTTCGTAGGCTGGGACTCCTTGTCATTTGGCGGCTGACCAGCAGGACGCTTCTTCGGCTTTTGGGCCTGGGCCGCCTGGCTTTCTTCTACCATCGATGTTCCGTGATTAAATTCGCACTGAGCATAGGGTGTATGGCACTCACCAAGCTCACGCTGCTTGTCCGTAGGGCGGCGGGTGCGTTTGGGTGTCTTGTGAATGCTGGACTGACGGGACAGTGACATCGCTGCGCAAGGTGTGAGCACGAGAAGCCGAGAGACGTCAAAAGGAAGGACTGAGGTGGGAGTGCAGAACTTGGGGGGCCAGCGCAACAGCGTGAGACGACGAGTTCGTGACACGTCTGAAGCCGGCTATGCGAGATTCGCGTCAGATGTCTGGCCATATACTGCGGTCTTAGTCATGCAGAGCCGGCCAGACGTCAACCTTCTCGCATTTGTCAGCAAAACGCCAGATTATTCTGACTGAGTGCATGCTCGTTCCTCGCACCGTGATATCTCCCTGCTTTCAAAACTCAGTTTCCACCTCTTCACTATGCGTCATTGCTGTGGCTTCTGCAGAAAACCGTTACCAACGAAGAAGGGTCTCAAATCACACATACAAAACTCACCTGGATGTCGTCGTAGATGGTTGCGTCGCTTCGCTCGAACTGCACAAGCTGTCGCCGTGGCGCAGGACACTGCTGCTGCGTCAGAGGCCGTTAGCTCGCAACAGGATGAACATATCCATGGACCCGTCCATGACCCGCCGCACGACGCAGACGACCATATGGACGCTGACAATCATTCAGATGTCCCAATGGAATTCGAGTCTCATAGTGCCAGAGTCGAGGACGTACCTGAAGACGAAGAGCAGGCGTACCGCTACGTTGAAGCATACCCCGGAGTTGTTGCCAAAATAATCCGGGAGGACAAAACACTCTTCGAGAAGTGGCGCGATGAACGGAAGAGCGGGAAGGTCGATGAGTGGGCCCCGTTCGCAGACCAGGAGGAGTGGGAGCTGTTTCGATGGCTCATCAAGAATGTCGGTCAGAACAAGATTGACGACTTCTTGAAGCTATCAATAGTGCGTACCTGATTCCGACTCTGTCCATCTGCTGACATGTGTAACTTCTTCGTGTTAGATCCGAAGGGATTGTGATCTATCAGCTGATAACAAGTATCAGTTCATGCAGCGGATTGACGACCTACCTACAGGTGTCACTTGGGAATGCGACACAATAAGGGTCGAAGGCGACCGTGTCGGCGAGAACGGCAATCTCCTTGAGGAGCAGCTCGAGCTATGGCGACGCAACCCTGTTGAATGCGTCCTCGAGCTGATCGGAAACCCTAGCTTTGATGGAGATCTTGCGTACGGACCGGAACGGGTCTTCGCGGATGAAAATGCGACCATTCGGCGTTACGACGAGATGTGGACGGCCGACTGGTGGTGGGCTATGCAGGTGCGTTCGTTTTGGAGAACAAGCTGCATGTGACTGGCAGCAGGCTTATCAGTGAATGTCACAGGGGAAGCTTCCAGCAGGCGCAACAATCGCACCTGTGATCGTCGCATCCGATGCCACCAAGCTGACGAACTTCGGGGGCGACAAGAAAGCATGGCCGGTGTACCTCTCTATCGGGAACATTTCGAAGTCGATACGGCGTCAGCCTTCAAAGCGAGCGACCGTACTGGTTGGCTACATACCTGTTTCGAAGCTTGAATGCTTCGAGGACTCCACCCGCAGTCTCGCCGGGTATCGGCTCTTCCACCACTGCATGTCGCAGATACTGCAGCCGCTTCGTCAGGCTGGTCTTGATGGACGTGAGATGACTTGCGCTGATGGTTGCGTTCGGAGCGTCCACCCGATCCTGGCTGCGTACTCCGCAGATTATCCCGAGCAGTGCCTTGTGTGCTGCTGCAAGGAGAATAGCTGCCCACGGTGTACTGTACCCCCTCCACTACGTGGCGAGCAATTCGAGAGCCCGCCGCGCGATGTTGAACAAACGCTGGAGGCCCTACGCAAACATAAGGACGGCCGCGAATCAGCGCGTTTCACAGCCGAACAGTTGCGGCCTGTGTACGAACCGTTCTGGGCGACTCTTCCTCACTGCGACATCTTCTCGTCTATCATGCCTGATATCCTACATCAGCTGCATAAAGGGGTATTCAAAGAACACTTACTGACATGGTGTACCTCGATCGCAGGCAAGAGCGAGATCGATCGTCGCTTCCGTGCAATGACGGACTTCCCTGGTCTTCGCCACTTCCACAATGGCATCTCGCGGGTCTCGCAATGGACGGGTCGCGAGCACAAGGAAATGCAGCGCGTTATCGTGGGGCTTCTGGCGGGCGCGGTGCCTCCAGACGTCCTGACAGTTGCTCGCGCGCTGGTCGATTTCATCTATTTTGCGCAGCTTCAGTCTCACACGGACAACACTCTCGCTCACCTGCAGACGGCCCTCGACACCTTCCACCACCATAAAGATGTCTTCGTGACCCTGGGAATTCGTGAGCACTTCAACATACCAAAGCTGCACTCGTTGCTCCATTATGTCGAAGCGATTCGGTCGCGCGGCTCTTGCGACGGGTACAACACGGAGCTGCCCGAGCGCCTGCATATCGAGTTGGCGAAGAACGCGTACAGGGCGACCAACCATCGTGATTATACCGATCAGATGGTTGCGTGGCTGACACGCCAGGAGGCCGTCGACTTGCACGCTGCATACATCGTGTGGCTGAGTGGTGCGAAGAGCGAGGAGCCGCAAGACGACACTTCGGCAGATGACTCACCTGGTGTACCTGACCCTCCACAACCTATTGGAGCTCCTCGCGTCGAGCTGGATGGCGGAACGCGCTCCTATGTCGTCGCAAAACACTGCCCTTCCCCCAACACGTCGCTCCGTTGCCTCGAGGCCGAACACAAGGCTACCGAGTTTTTGCCAGCCTTGACCGCCTTCGTCCACACGAAGTTGCCCCAGTGCCGCTTCAAACCGAACGACATGGACCGGTACGATGTCTACAAGGCCATTTCAGTGACTTATCCAGCCGACCCGCAGAGCGACGCGAGTGAACATACCGATCGAATCCGCACGGTGCCCGCGAAAGCAGGTAGTGGTCGAAAACCAACGAAGGGCGCCCACTTCGACACCGCCTTCATCATCGATCCAGAGCTTGCGATCGATGGCCGCCGTCAAGACCCACGCTCTGTCATTGGTGAGACAGTAAGCACTTCACGGAGAGAACTCACCTGATCCAGCTGTGACTTCGTAGACACGAGGGTTGCGCGGGTCCGCGTTATCTTCGACCTTCCCGAGCAGTTTGGAGTACTGCCGCATCCCCTTGCTTACGTCGAATGGTACACACCATTGACGCGCCTAGAGCCTAGCACGGGGCTTTACCTAGTCTCTCGATCAACGCGCGGCGGGAAGCCTAACGCAAGCATCGTTAGCGTTGACAAGATTCGCCGTGCTTGTCATCTGATCCCGAAGTATGGCAGGGCAGTAGACAGACAACTTACGAAGGATAATGCGCTTGATACTGCGACCGACTTTCGTGTGAACTCGTACATATCCGTAGACCTTAGAACATTACCAGAATAACAGTACACAGCTACGAGTCACTCCGAGTCGGATTAGCTAAGTAATATTGACCCACGACTGTCACGAACCTTTGGGCACTACTTCAAGTTCAACATATTGAATTAAGTTATGATGAACTACTGATGTCTATTACAGAAGCTGTTACTATCATATCTTCAATCGACGAGTACATACAATGAATGACTACGATGACCAGGCTAACTGCTACTGTGGCACTCACACATGCCTAGGCATGCAATGGCGGGCTATGGCTTGCACTGTTGCTGTCACTCGGATCTACACAGGCTCTGAGTGCCTATATTGGCTACATTGTTGTGAGTGGGTGCAATGGGCCCAGAATTTTTTTCCTGATGCACCGGTAGTGTGTACAGATGACTGGGACATGTTGGATGAGCAATGCTGCTCGTCCGTCATGTCGCCTTGCAGAACAGACGGTACGACCGCGAGGTCGTCCCGTATCACAAACGTATTGCCTTGAAAGTCGGAGAGAACGACCATCAGGTCGTCCCGTATCTTTTTCGTGCGATCATCGTGGCCCACAGAGCTTCCAATGAGCTCCGCGTGCGCCGATGCGGGTGTTGGTGAGGTGGGTACGTCCCTTAAGGGCGTGCCTTCCACTATGTTGCCGCTGCTCGTGGATGAACAGGGTACGTCGGACGTGCGACATGGCACGTCAGCCGCATCGCTAGGCGGAACAGCAGATACGACTTCGCAGTCGTTGGTACACCAGGGCGCTGTCAATAGAGCATGCGGGGAGTTGGATACGTCCCGCATGGGTGTATCTTCGAGCTCTGAGGCCGCTACGCTATGGATGGTGACGGTCTCAAGGTACACGTCGGACATGCGGTACTGCAAGTCCAGCGCGTTGCACTGCGAAGTGGACGGTACGACCTCGCGGTCGTCCCATATCACAGGCATACTGTCTTGAGAAGCGGAGGGTACGACCCTTAGGTCGTCCCGCAACGCGTACATGCCGTCTCCATGGCCAGTAGCGCGCTCGACAAACTTCTCGTTCGTCGACGTGCGCACTGGCTTGGGTACTAGGGAGAGGACCGGCGGAGAATTGGGTACGTCCAGTATGGACGTACCCTCGAGCATCAAGTCTTGCTGCTGGTCGGTAGCTTGCACGTCGAGCGAACAGTTCGGCATACTCGCTACGCGACGACTGGCGAATATTGGGTGGAACACGTCGGGCGTGCTTTGCGCCGCGTCCGCCGTATCGCCTTGCGAAGTGAACGGTACGACCGCGAGGTCGTCCCGTATCGCTCTCGCGCGATCATCGTGGCCGCCCGTGCGTACCACAGACATTCCGTCTGTTGCTGCAGCTCCAGGCGTGTTCGTGGAGACACCAGTCACATTGGACGAGCAGTTTTGCGTGTCCACTGTGTCGCCTTGCGGACTGGCCGGTACGACCGCGAGGTCGTCCCGTATCACAGGCATACTGCCTCGAGAAAAGGAGGGCACAACCCTTAGGTCGTCCCGCAGCGCGTACAGGCCGTCCCTGTGGCCAGTAGTGCGCACGACAGACTTCTCGTTCGTCGAAGTGCACACTGGCTTGGGTACGAGCGAGAGGACCGGTGGAGAGTTGGGTACGTCCAGTATGGGCGTACCCTCGATCCTCGATCTCGCTACGCGACAGCTGGTGAATGCTGGATGGGGCACGTCGGACGTGTATTGCGGCGCGTCCGCTGTGTCGCCTCGCGGAATGTACGGTACGACCGCGAGGTCGTCCCATATCGCAATAGTGCTACCTTGCAGACCAATGGGCACGACGGTCAGGTCGTGCCGCAGCACGACAGTGCCGCCTTCCTGGCCTGCTATACATACGACGACCTGTGTGGTCGTCGATACATGTGCCAGCGTGGGCATTGGAGAAGGAGGCGGTGGCGAGTGGGATACGTCCACCAAGGGCGTACCTGCGTTTATTGAGTCTCTCTGCTCGTCTTTCAGGCTCGCCCCGCACCCTTCCCCCTCCTTCCTTTTCCTGATTTCCTCGCATTCTCCTCGCTCCGCGTTTCCCGTGGTTCGCGCAGCCTGGTTGCCTGGTGCTGGACTTGCACGCGGGTCGTGTGAGTCCTGGATCGTGCGGCTGGGCTGTGTGTCGCCAGAGCCGCGACGGGTGTCGCCAGAGTCATGAGACTCGAGAGGAGAGCCTCCTGAGTCAAGATGCGAGGCGCGAGGGCGGAGGGAAAGGATCGGAGAGTAAGGATCTGGCGGTCTTGTACCGCGAGGTGCCAGGTCGTCGGAGGGGTTGCCGACCGCGAGGTGGCGGTCGGTACTGACCGGTCGATCCTTCAGCTGAACCGCGAAGGGTTCAGCTGTCCAAAGACAGAGCGCGGCTCGCACTTCCGTTGGGAAGTGCGAACCGGGTTGGAACGCGGTTGCACGCGGGCGGTGGCTGCCAGTGTGGAGGTCGAGGTGGCGGTTAGCATTGAGAGGAGTACTTCCGGCGCTACCGCTGGGAGTGCTTGCTCTCGGCGCGTGCGCGTGACGCTCGACGCATTGAGCGTCGAGCTCGATGCTGGCCGCGTCGGGCACGTCGTCCGGCGCGATAGTTGTATATTTTGAGTCGCGGCTCATTTCTGAGCACGCGACATGTGGATCTACGAGCAGAAGCTCGTCTACATCCGGGGATGCGACGTGAGGTCGCGTCCCTATGCCTTCCCGGGCGCAGGACCGAGTCATCTTGTCGGACAACTGGGACTCGGGCTCGGCGACGGCGGCGTCGACGAACCTAGCGCGTGCACCACTCTTGAGTGTGGTGCCGAGCTTGGTCGGCTCACTGGGAGCAATCGGAGACGGAGTCTCCGGACATCTCTGAGCAGTCTCGATGTCGGGCTCGATCTGCTCAGGACGCGACCCCTTGGGCTCAGACACGGGCTCAACAGCGGCAGCGCTGTCGATCTCGGTGCGCGCACCACTCGTCGGAGAGCTTTCCAGCTCCTGTGGCTCGGTTGGAACAGGCGGAGTCGGGTTCTCCTGGCAGCTCTGAATGGGCTCGACCTTGGGCTCGAACAGTTCTGCGTGTGCTGTGCGTTCGACCTCGCGGTCGGACGGTGCCTGCTTCGCGAGTGCTCCGGACGAGTTCTCGGGGTCTGAGAGCTCAGTCCGGCAGGTCGTGCGACGGTGACGTCTGGACTCGTTGTCCTGCTCCACGGAGCGTCTGAACGATGTGATATCATCATCTAGATGCTTCATCGAGTCATCGAGTGTCCGGAACCGCCTATCGGGGGTGGCTCGTGTCTCGACCGGGATACTCTTCAAGAACTTCGCAAAACTGTCAAGAAGTCCATCCACCTTCGCATCGACCTTCGCGCGGTGGGCCTCCCGAGTACTACGCGAGTGCTTGGGAGACTTGGTTGTCGATCCAGCCATCTTCTTGAGTGGTTGCGAAGTTGACTAGATTTGGATGTAAAGCATAGAAATTCGAAGTTTCCAGGTTGTTGCCTAGAGTAGATAGTCCCCAGAACAGAAGCTGTTCTGGAGCGCAAAAAAGTGTAGCGTCCCTTAATCCTCGGGCCCGGTATGCGCTGTACCCAGTCTCTATTCAGAGGGACTGTCTACACGTAGCATACATGGGGCGATGAGGATGGTAAAGGACTGAGGTCTCGTAGGTGCGCTGGCGCGCCATACGAGCCCTCGAACAAACAAGAACAATCATACGAGATAAGATATACCGTAACGGGAATATCCGTTACATCGGGCGTGTCCAGCCCCTACTATGCCAATAGGGGGCCTCGCGTGCCCTCCGCATGATCGCGGACGGCAGTAGCGCTACCATATGGTACCACCTGGACCATGGTGAGTTATGTTAGTGCGATGGGGAACCACCACTAACGCCTGGAGGTTTTTCGAAGCTTTTTCCTACCAGGTTTTAGCCATGGATCCTGCCATGCTGCAAGGCAGATGAGCCGGGGTGTTTGTGAATTATCGAGTAGTATTGCAATCGTGCGATAGTAGGTGCTGGATATCCCAATCGGGAAGTAGTGTACACGGGTCTATGGAGTATGGGGGTTGTCATGTAAATAGAGAGCGTTGTCACACGTGGCGAGCCTTATGGCACGCAGACGTGAGGACTAAATGGAATCCCCTCCTCCTCCTCCTCCTCCTTGTGACCGTGTCTCAGTGCGTTGAGAATGGGGACGACGTGCACTGGTTTGCCAACATCACTTAGAATAAATTACGTCTGTCGATGATGATGTGTATACAATGACTATGTCTGAGCGAACCAGTTGTTACATAGGTTCGGTATCGGCGTCATCACATAACTTACTGAGGAACCATGTATGTACAGTACGTGTGTTAGTACAAACAATGTGAGTTCTTCGACCCTCAATACAACGACATCAATTCAACAGTGCACATGGACCACAGTAACTACCTCTGTCTTTTCCGAAGGCGCCGTGGTACTGCCGGATATCTACCAGCGACACGAGTTCAACGTCCAGCCTGAGCATTCAGCGCTTCAGCAATCGCCCATCTCGGCCATGACGCCTGCAGACTCGGGGTCGGGAGTAGTTGCGCTCAGTGATTCTTCGCGGAGCTGCTCGAGATCGGCAAGCGTGACGTCGGCCAGAAGCTGAAGCTGCGAGACGGCTAGGTATGGTTCCAGAGCATGGGACAGGGCCATCGCTGATAGGGAGTCTAAGCCGTAAGACGTGAGAGGCACGTCAGGAGACAAGTCTTCGTGGTCTATGTCCAGCACATCGCAAATAATGTCGCCCAGCTCGCGCTCCAAGTCTTCAGAGTTATGGTCGGTGTCTGACAGGGATTCTTTCACCACGAGGTGGTCGTACAGGGGGGAAGACCCATTTTTGCTCTGGACGAGGCTCCAGTCGCAATCTGGGATGTATTGCCAGACAGGTCCTTCACGAAGCTTCAACAATGCGTCGCCGATGCACTCGCAGAGTGCTGTGAGTTTCTCGTCAGATTTGACCTAGGTCATTGTTAGCCGATGTAACTTGCCTTCGCACGTCATGGCCCAGGCGCTGAGGTGTCTAAACCGCGACCATTTCGTACTGTCGGTAGCGGCCAGGGTGAGGGACCCCCCGGTATCATTTATCATTGGTGGAACGATGGTCGCAGCGTTCTTGTATCGCTTCGTCAACCCTGTCAAAGCAGTATTTGCGCTGTGACGAGGTCAGTAAGGTTTGGCAACGCGACCGAGTCACGAAGCTGCTAGCATACCTAGCGTAATTGGTCTGCCCAGCATTTCCCAACAGCCCCGCGACAGACGAGAAGGCGAGCACGAAGTCCAGCGAATGAATATCGATGACCTTCTCCAAAGCATGGAAGGCACCCAGCTTGGCGGTGAAAGAGGCTTCGAATGTATCCGACGTTTGCGTGGCGAATGTACGGTCGATCAGGTTGGTTGTCATGATCATGCACCCGCCAAACGGTTTCTGGCTCGACGCCACCAGCTCCCTTGTTTCCTCGACCGATGATGCGTCGATGGCCTCCGTACGTAGCACCAAGTCATCTCGTGATCGCAGGTAAGCGAGAAGCCTCAAAGCGATGAACTCGTCTTTAGTCGCGAGTTTGGCCGTCCCTGAGCGGGAGGTGAGGACGATCTCACGCGCCCCGTTCTACGACGTACGTTAGTCTCACATCTGAGTCTGCATGTTCACAACCTGATACATCCAACACGCGACGGGTAGCCCAATCCTCCGATACCTCCGATCAAAATATACACCTTGTCAGGAGCGAAGATGGTGTCCACAAAGCATACGTCTGTTGGTCGTACTATGTCCAGCGCATCGATGGGAGGAGTGAAGACTTCTGTGAAGCTAGTAGGGTTCGACAACGCGAGCTTCAACGCATCCCTATAGCCCACGGGTCCTCGGCCAGAATTCTCCGACCCCAGTGCTGCGGTCATCCCATTGGAATACCTTGCTGGTTGCAGCCGGTGCACCGTCCTGTCGATGTCGCTGGCATTCGCTCCTCTCTCCCCGAAACCATGTATTCGGCTGCCGAGATAGTGCGCTCCTGGTCTCCGAGATGCCGGCCTGCGACGGCAAGCGTACACGTGCAGTCCGCGGCTCTCGTATAGCTGGCACAGAACGCGCCCGAGCCTGTGTCCGAGTGCGTTACGAGATGCATTCGCCCTCCAGACGCGAGGGGTCGCTGAATCTGGCGGACCCGATGGCAAGCACAGCTAGAGCTGCGCCGAGCACATGAGGACCCCGAGTGACATCGGGAATGTCCGACATCTGCAAGAGGCTCCCGCGGTGAGCAATGAGGAAGTTGGAGAGGGGCCCAAGTGTAATTCCAACATAGACATTTGGTAAGCCGTCCACGCGTCCGATGAACGCTCGGCATGAGGAGATATTGGACGACCAGCCAGGACACGGACCAGAACATGGCCTGGAGGTACCATCGGGTGAGAAACCTGCGAGAGGGTAGAGTGCTGATACGTCCATAGCGCTCCGGGGTCAAAAGACACGAGTTTCCTCGGCGCGGGCGATGATACGACCATGGGAGCACGCACTGAGCCATCCTCATGTACCGACATTTCTTCCTCTGCCAGCGGATGAGCACAGAGAGACTGTGCTGTCTCCTCGTATTCTCCAAGAGGCCATGTCGCGGGGAAATGACGCAGAACACCTGCCACGATCGGTATTCCTTACGGAGAGACCTAGTGAAGCCGAGAACCGCGTCGCCGTCCGTACCTTTGGATGCGATGAAGCAGAGGGACTCTCTGTAGGACGGGTTCAAAGAGAGGATTTTTTGCTGAAGTCTCATCTCATGTCCTCGGTGGTACTGGAAGATTAGGATTAGAAGCTCAGTGCTCCCGTCCTTGGATAACTGTGGCGGTTCCCCTATGAGTATAGCACAAGAGGCGAGGACGCAATTACATACCCGTCGACGATCATGGTCGTCTTCATATTTGACCCGTTGTCGCCCGACTCTGAAGAAATGGAGAGATGTATATCGAGTTGGCGATGGGCCATATCATATCGATGTTGGACTATCAATGGTGTTCGCCCGTGAGCTGCTACCTCGAGGGCATCTATGGTGCATAGCGTCTGGCCGCGTTCGTTCATGAGCTTGAAGTCGTAAGTGAGCGACTCTAAGCAGTGTCAGGACGCAAGCATCAAATTGCGGTATGAAGGCGTCTTACCAGGCATCCATTTGACAAGACTGCATGAGCGTAGATCTTCTCAGGCATCCCTTGAGCAAGCGCGTCATGGATAACTAGCGTCCCCAACTTTGATGGCAGATAGTAGTGACCGTGAGCGACGGCCCCAGTAATCAACGGATGCACTGCAACCTGCAGCGCAGCATCTAAATTGCAGGATGCAGTCGGTAGTCCGAGAGACTGAAGACAAGGTGTAGAATTTGATGAGCAGGCACCAGACGCCGTCCACTACTTGTCGAGATCGTCTCCTGCACCGCGAATTTCTATCAGAAATTCCTCCAGCCCAGATGCGTCAACCCCATGATAGCAGGATAGCACTCTCCTGTACGTGGTCCCGTAGTTGGCAATGAACGAAGATTATCATAAAACTCTTCGTCTCCATCATCTTCAGGCGTGCACGTATGTCGTTGATGGCCACTGGAGACGCATCTCCATCGAGTTCGCTTCCATCGAGAGATAGCCTGTCGCATGTACACGATCGTACTACCGAGAAATGTGAACTTCTCTGGGATGATGAGAAATGACGGACTCACGTCGGTGGCCACGTATTGACAAATCTGCCGCAGGTGCACTGTGGACGCTCCACTGCGAATCTTCAAGTCTCACGTCAATGGGCGTCGGACGTTCGGACGAAAGCGACAGGACCGAGTGGAATTGTATGTTCCAGAGCTTCTTCGCGCCAAATTCGAGTGCCTGTGGGGTACCAGTCAGCCGATCTTCCCGAGCGATACAGAATGCGCATACCATTTCCAGGAATCCCGCTGCGGGCATGATAGGTTCATTCTGTATGATGTGGTCCGCTAGCCAGGATGCGTCTGTGTGTTGATTCGCAGTTGAGGGTAGTTCAATGGGCCATGACGCATCTGTCTTTGGCGGGTGATCTCAAATGTCGAAGCTGTATATGGGACCTCCTTCCGCGCGAATGGATATGGAGGTATGTTTGCACTTGCGTTCTCTGCCATACCAAACAGCACATCCATATTCACTCGCGAGTAGCCCGCGCAGACTAGTCGCCCGACACAGTCCAAGAGCTGCATCGGCTCGCCGACGCCTGCAGTCCTGGATCGTTTCATCGGGCTCAGTACTGTCGTACCGTGCCCCGAGATCGCGGTGATATACCCCGACAGGACGGGATGGGGGCCCAGCTCCACGAAAATCGACTGCGGGTGCCTAGTGTGAATGGCGTTTATAGCGGGCTCGAACATTACCGGCCCAAGCGTATTATCCCAGAAGTAGCGGGCGTCGTAGGGCGTGTTCAATATGCCGCCAGTAAGAGACGAGAACGTCTCCACTTTCGTCGGTACGACTGCGTACTTCTTGAACACCTCCCCAACCCGCTCCTCGTAATCTGCCTGGCAGATAGCCATCATTGACGAGTGTACGGGTATCCGCGTTCGTAGCTGGGTCGCCAGAATACCAGCCGCCTTTGCCCGCGCCACTGCAGACGCGATGTGCTTTGCAGAACCGGACAGTGTGATGGCGTTCGGAGCGTTGTAACAGCCAACCTCCAGGGCAGCGGGTCCCAGCTCCGCGACGACGTCAACGATGGTTTCCTCAGCCAGCGCTGCAGAGCATGCTACAGCTGCCATAGCTCCATCGTGTCCCTCCAGTGCCTCCATCGCTCGGCCCCTTGCAATTGAGAGCTCGACTGCCATTGCCTTGAATGCCGCACCCGACGCATACACGACGGCCGTCTCGCCTGCAGAGTGTCCGATCACTACATCCGGCTTGACGCCGATGAAAGCTAGAGCTTCCATGAGCGCAATTTGCAGGATCGTTAGCGCAGGTAAGGTAATGGAGATTGGCCAGACGTCTCCCAAGGTGTCAGGTACATCGGATTCGCCGAAGAGGCCCACGTCTGCGATAAGCGACTTGCCAGTCACGCTTGCGTAGACTGCGTCGAGCTCCACCACAGTATCATGGAATGGAACGCATGTCCTGAATAGCTCGCGACCCACTGTACATAATCAGCTTGGTCGGTGGCATAATTCAATGAACTTACTGTTCCAGTGTTGGGGCCCTGCCAGGGAACACAAACACGATCTCCGGTGCTGTTTTAGGGGTGAGAGCCGGCTCCGAGAAGCGAGGGGTTTGTCCGTCTGGAGTAACAGCATACGCTTTCCAGAGCATTGACCGCGCTCGCCGACCGAGTGCACGGTCCATGTCCTTGTGGTCCTGCTCCGCCGTGAGGGCCTTGAGTGATTCGCCGACAGCAGAAGCGGACCGTGGTGATAGGCCGCCTATGATCAAGAGCGACGGGATCACCGAACTCTGATACGCCCACAACTGCGGAGTGCCATCAACGTCGGGCGCGTGAGCTTCAATAACGCAGTGGCCGTTGGCGCCGCCAATACCGGAGCTCGACATCGCGATGAGCGCACGGCCAGAAGGAGAGCGGATGCTAAGCTTCTCCGGAGTTACAGGAACGCGCATGTTATGCTCCGTCCACTTGATGGCAGGGTTCGGGATGGTGCAGTTGACAGTGGGCGGATCACACCATGCTCGATGATGTGGCAAACCTTGCATAGAGACGATAGGAATGCAGTGATCTCCGTGTGGCTACAGCAATGGTGAGTACCTTGATGATGTGCATGTCAATACGAGACGTACCCAATATTGCCCTTTACGCTGCCAACAAGCAGCTCATCATCTCTCCCAAACTGTACACCGACCCAGTTCGCCTCCGTGGGGTCCCCAGATGCAGTACCTAGGCGAGAGAGCGCGTGTCAGAAACAAATTCAGTGAAAAATACGGCAGATATACCTGTTGCGTGTAGCTCGACAAAGTCTATTTCTCGCGGAGACCGCTGCGCCTGAGCGAACGCACGTAACATAGCATTTTCTGCGCCAATGCGACTGGTGCATTCACGGGGCCAGCGAGCCGGAAGAATTGATGCGGTTCCGAGAATCTATGTATTTATGATGTCAGTGGAAGTCAAAGCCGAGTCTACCGGCGGAGTGACGCACTGTAGCATAAATCCTGTCTCGATCACGGAGCGCCGCGTCGAGAGGCTTGAGCACGATAGAGACGCACCCTCACCTCGCCCGAATCTATAGGGTAACCTCATGTGAGGAGACATTCATAACTGAAGAATGAGCTTCACCCGTTGGCAGTTGCATCGAAAGGTTTGCATTTCCCGTCGGGAGACAGAATGCCGCCCTGTGTGTACAACAGCCACTCCGTGAACCTACGCAATACAGGTCAAATGTCCTGTCAGATTCGAGAAGAATGTCCCTGTGCATGCTGACTGTGGTTGAGCTGACAGCGCCCACAACTGCCGCTTCGCACTCGCCATTCCGTAACGCTTGAACCCCGAGTGGGTGGCATATAAGGTTGAGCTACATGCCGTATCAAGAGCATAGTTGGACCGCGGAGATCGAGATGATACGAGACACGGTTCGCGACCATCGCTGGGCCGCCTGAAACGCCCCGCGAGCTTCCACGTCATCCTGGTAGAGTGGGATTCAGAGAGTAGCGAGAACCTCTCACACTAAATCACTCACATGTCCGGATACGGAAAACATGTCATGAGCCACAGCAGACATGTAGCAGCCGACATCCCGACCTCTGTAGTCGATACTCGAGTCAAGTAAGGCTAGGAACGTCGTTTCTATGAGCTTTCTTGTGCCCAGGCTCATCAGCCTGGCATCCTTGCTCGTGATACCGAACTCGATCGGATCGAAGAGGCCTATGTCCTTGAGGAATGCGCCTGTATCGGCGCCCACCTGGCCGGAAGCGGTTCCCTTGAGACTGAAGCATTATGAATATAAGTGCCAAACAAAAATATGATTGACAAGCTCACGTGTGCATGTTGAAGCGGTCTGCAGGCATCTTCTCGTACGCCTCTCCGCCTTGCAATAGGAAGTCATAAAACGAGTTGTAGTCCAAGTTCGACTCGCTCCAGTCACCACTCGGGAGTTCTGCAGCAATTCCAACCTGTACATAGAGCAAGGATTTGCCTCAGTGGGACTTCGAGATCAAAGTATCTTTGTGATCACTCACAATGGCGATAGGAGGCGATTTGTTCGAAAACATCCTAACAGCAATTTCCGATGCGATCTCTGGTCTATGTGGAGTATCACTGCAGAGAATGCTCGTGAGCAGTGCTGAATGCCAATGAGTCGAGTATACTTATACTCTTGGTGTGAGGATCATGTACTGCAGGGTGTGCTGACGAAGTGTACATTGTTGACGCAGGTCTCGCTGTATCAGTATCAAAGATCGACCGTCAAGCAACGTGAGATAAATGAGAAGACCACAATCAAATGATTATTGATGGCGGAAAGCAAAAGATGATAGAAGCAGAACAGTTTGTCAGTCACTTCGTTTGATAGAACACTGCACACAGGCCGACATTCAGTGTCACCGACGTGACAGTTGTTTATGGCGTGCGTACCGCTCGCAATACGCGCAGTACGAGCATAAGTCCCCCGCGGTTCGCGGGCCAGGGGCGTGAGTACGCATGTCAAGATGACATATGTGATCCCGCTGGTTTATGTGCCAATTTCGCATGCGCCGAGGCACCCTCAGTAGGTGGCAGAAGCGGCACAGGTATGGGAAAGCCTGGACACAATCCACTGGCATGATAGTTTAGCAATGCACATACTCGGATCAGGGACTGGAATCTCGATTCACAGGCGGCGGAAATCAACCCTGTGCATAAGCCACACTCTTGCAGTCGGTCTACCCACAACATCTCAAGGAGCGACATCCGACTACACGTGCTGCGACCCTTTTGCTCGGGCGACCAGGCTCCGCGCTACGATTAAGCACGACGCCCCGGCAAACATGATAACCTGTAGGGCCGTGATCAGCGCTCAACACCCGTGTCCAGCGGAACCAGCTGCCTGTCAGAAGCTCAATACAAGGGGCACTCACCGAATTGAACACGATTGGCTTGTACCACCGGCCGCCCTCGTCGAAGAGCGCGCCAGCGATGGGTGTCCCAGTCAACATGGCAAACGACGTTACAAAATACCCGAGTCCAAGACGGATCCTGTTCTGAGATCAGCCGAGCCCGTGAAAGAGAGCATGGTTAAAGATGACGCACCCGATCTCATGCAGACCCTTGGCAAGCGTCGCCGCCGCCGGAGGCATAAGTGAGATCACTGCGAAAGAGGATGAGAGTAGGGTCAGAAGAAAAGGAGGAATGGACGCACTTGCTCCCGAGAAGAACCCATACAGAATCGAGAACACGATGACAGCCCCGGTGGATGTGACGCCGAACATGGCGAGTACGAGCGCGCTTGTGATGACTGCCACAGGCGCGAGAACGTTGAACGGGCCGACGCGGTCTGCAAGCATGTTCGGAAGGGTGCGCCCGAAGATCGAGGCAGCATTGAGAATGGCGATCTGTATGACAGTCACTTCTGGGAAGCGGACATATGGGGCCAAACCGAACTTACGGTATAGAACGCCAGCGTCCCCGAGAGCCTGTGCAGGTTCACCCATAGCTGGAGGTAGAAATCTGGAATACCAAGGGTCGGTCAATTGAGGACACCGCAGAGGTCGTGCCTACTCACACGGGAAGAACATCCCCCAAAGTACGAGAAACAACCTGCGTAGCCGGCACCTCTCAGTACTCTAGTCTGCACGCACAAGTGGAGGGCCACACAAAGGGACACGTACCCGAACGCAAATAACCAGTACGGCCCGTCCGTCATAATTGCTTTCATGTCAGGTTTGGGCCCTGGTCCACGCTTCCTAGCGCTCGGTAAGCGAGTCGTCATTACCGCATTTGCTATGGCGAGCAGGCCGAGAGTAAGGAACGCGGTCGCACGTACTCCCCACGCGAAACCAGCACTGCCATTCACAAGCTTGTTCAGCATGATAGGGTAGATTAGACCGCCGACGCCAGAGCCTAGGGAAGAGGATGCCCTGCATCAGTGACCTTTGAACGTAGGAGAGTAAAGAGTTCGCCGGGGAGAGGCGAAAGTGCTCGAGGAACGCAAACGGCTCACCGGTCATGACAATGCCCATTGCGAGCGAGCGGCGCACGCGCCAGTGATGCGTTTGCACAGACATAGCCGGGACAAGCATCAAGCCGCTCCCGATGCCCATGCCAATGCCCTGGGAGAGCACGAGTTGATAGTATTTGTGCGGATTCGCGAGTGAGAGCATGAACATGCTGCCAAGTTCTCGAATTATGAGTACGTAATCCTCGGAAAAGAGACTGGGATAGGCGCGTCAGACTACCAGACGTACCAGAATACGTAGAGAATGCTGCCGGAGCCTACGACATAATGGAAGTAACCTTGATCGAAGAGTTTGCCCGCAGGAAGGCCCACGACGAACATGAAGAACAGCTGGTACAGTCTCAATGACAGTCGGAGGAAATAAGGCCATTGCGCGCGCACCTGTAAAGACCCAATCCAGCTGATGTTCGACGCAGACGATGCGCCTGAGAGAACATAGTAGTCCTGAAACACCCCGAACGAGTTGGAGTAGCCGAAGGTGGTTGTGCAAATCAGGAACCTTCACAATGGTCAGCGATAGAAGACGTGCACTATAAAGACAGAAAAACGTACCCTCCGAGGACAGAGAGCCATGCCTGAAGACCGCCATCCGGGATGTTAATCGCTGGTGGCGCAGCTACAACTTCGATGACGACCGAACCGGGTGGCGTAGATTCGTCTTTCGTTGCTAGTTCAACCTCAGACAGTGGACCCATGGGCCTGTCAGACATTGGTCTAAGCTGCGTAGGTATGATGCGTGACGGTAGTAGATAGGACCACTTGAGGCGTGCGCACGATTTATACAACACATAAGTCGAAACGAGGCTCGAGCAGAAGTGGACCGGGAACGCCGGACGCTGTGCAAATACAAGACGCTTGCCGGCTTGTATGGCCTGCAACGGAGAGTACTCGAACCCTTAACTTAAGGTTCGACAATGCGGTTGCTCAACTAAGTCTTCAGGAATTTGTGACAGGAAGACTGTGACCGAGACATGCCGACATTACGGAAGAATTGAAGCGCGGATGAGGCTGTCCAGTAGATCTCTGCAAGGTGCCAGGAACGTATCAAGCACATCAGTATCGCGCATGCGGTACCACACACAGAAGACACTCACCAGTTCCACGCCAAAGACACGCTTGCACACACTCGGCAGAGTGGTATTCTTGAGAGTGGCAGCCAAGACCTCCGCTGATGAGTCGATGCAGCCTCAAGTCCGCAGCGTGGTTCTGTGTCCTTGCATCTGGCTTGTGTGTCAGTGATTCAACTATGCCCTCAAGCAAAGCACGAATCAGTAGTCCATATCTGGACCCGGTACGTCTGTCAGGTTTGGGGAAGTTCCAAACACTCACCAGGACGTATTCTATGATCATCATAAGGCCGATCTATTCCACTGCCATTTGATTCGTGTCACCGTGAGTGCAGTCAGCCAAGAAGGACCCGAATGGCAATGCTGGCTGCTGCTGGAAGTGAACCAAAATTTGTGGTCGATTGAGGTTCAAGGCAAGCTCGAGTTCAACGTTAACGCTGTCCTCAGCCACACCGGCAAATAAGTACCGGATGTCAAGTTTCCTTATATAATCTAACTGTCATCATGACTTACACGAGCGTAACAACCTAATAGTACCATACTTTGGCCATACTCAAGGTTAAAGCGTAAAGGCGCAGTAAGTTGTCGCTACGTATACACCTCTGGGTCGAATTGACGAAGAGACAACGTAACAGATTGACACCTGGCTTCGTGTGTGAAGTACTGGTGCGCGGTTCAGATTGTGCGGGCCCCCGGATGTGCCGAACATGTTCCCAACTGTGCATTCGTCCACGCTGTCACTCCTCGCCGCAGTGGAGTTCGTGTGGTGAATCTGACCTCCTCCGGCTTCCTCCACACTATCGCCAGTCCGAGATATCGACTTGTGACTGACTAAGCCACCCGCGCTTCGCGGTTCCAAGGGGTTTGAAGTAATGGTATGTCACAGGCTCAGGGCTAGATGCGATATCCGTGCGTTGTCACACGCAGTACCTAGTACTGTAAGCTTACAACGGTGTGTACAGCGGCGGGGGAGCGGATGAGCCCAATCATGGATCTGCCAACACTGATACATTGTTCAGGACGGATTAGTGCTTTTATGGCGCGGGACGCAGCCAAGTGGTAGCCCGTATCTCAGGCAATGGACGGACATACTCCCATCCCAGCCACGATGAAGGCCGTTGTTGTCCAGAAGGCAAGTCCCCATTCTGTCGAATGTCGTCTCGAAAAAAGCTCAACCCCGTAACACCGCCAGGGAAAGAAGGCCGTTGTGCAGGACCACCCGGTCCCCACCCTCGGCGACGATGACATCCTCGTGAAGGTTGTCGCTGTCGCACAAAATCCGGCAGACTGGAGATGTAAGTCTTCAGTCCTCTACCTGCATGTCCGTCGCTGATCGGAATCTCATCCGTCGCCAGTCGTCGACGTTGTGCAGAATGCGGGGACGGTCCTCGGGTGCGACTGGTCTGGGCACGTCGTGCAGCAGGGCAAGAACGTCACATTTCCGGAGCTCGGCATGCACGTCGCCGGTTTCGCGATGGGAGGTACTTATGTCGACGGCGGCGCGTACTCGGAGTACGTCAAGACCCCCGCGGTGCTTGCGTGGATCGTTCCGGAGGGGACTCTGAGCCATGAACAGGCTGCAACCGTCAGCGTGGGGTATGTCGTCTGTAGTTCATCATCCCCGGTGTGATTACGCAATTTCAGGCTTTTCACGGCAGTACAATGCTTGTACCATCCACAGCGTCTAGCGCTCGTAGAGCCACCGGAGAAGGCGGACGGCACCGAATGGGTATTCGTGCATGGGGGAAGTTGTGCGTCTGACTGGTTAAATCGTTCTATCCCAGTACATTCCTGACTATGTTTTGTCAAGCTTCGGTGGGCCAATATACCATTCAGCTTGCACGCCTCTCAGGATACAAGGTTGTCACGACTGCGTCTCCCAAAAACTTCGACCTCGTCAAGGCTCTGGGGGCAGATGCGGTGTATGACTACAAGAGCGCCGACGTCGTCGACGCCATAAAAAAGGTGACGGAAAATGGCGTGCGCTATGCGGTTGACACTCAGAGCACGAAGGAGACCCAAGAGCTCTGTGCACGCTGCATGGGAGCCAACGGAGGGAAGCTCATCCTAATGTTCCCGCCGACGTTCAAGGCTAAGAAGCTCCGCAAAGACGTGGAATTCATCCGTGCGTATCTCAGTTGATTAGGCGGTGACTGAAGCACGCCGACTGACATCCAATGGGGTAGACACTTTGTTGTATACCGCGTTCGGCCGCCCTTTTTCGCTCGGTCCGCAGGCGAAGTACGCCGTGCAGCCCAATGACAAGGCGCAAATCGCGGCATTCATGAAGAAGATGCCCCAGCTCCTGCGCGATGATTGTATCGTGACGAATCGCATAAAGCTGTGGGAGGGCGGGCTGCAGGCGATACCCGAAGGTTTGCAGTACATGAGGGAAGGGAAAGTTAGTGCGGAGAAGATCGTTTACCATTTGTGATCTGGATCCTGACCTGACAATAATATTCACGATCTTGAATTGGGTAGAGATGACCGGGGCGTCAGATGTGCGGGGAACCTGCGGAAAGTGAAGGATGTGTCTACGTCCAGCTAAATTCGCAATGTTTTACAATATCTTGAAGCGGTCCGTCGTAGCACCAGGGAGGTTACTGTCGGCATGTTTGCGCGCACTAGCGGAAACCCGTGCTCCGCTACGGACTGGAGGTTATCAATGATTGCATGCCAGTAGTGCTATGCGCGCTGAAGAGGTACGAAGGCCACTCCAAGTCAGCCGCCTCCTTCGGCCGCACGGGGAGTCAGCTTCAAAGCTATACTACACAACAGTCATATGCCAGTACTGCTGTGCGCGAAGACGTATACGTTGTACGCAAAGGCCACTCAGCCACCTCCCTTCGGGAGTCGGCTTCGTGGCCTCATCGAGCATTTTTCTGCTTGCAATAGTTTAGTCAACATTGATGTAAGTACGGATTCCATAGCACGTTTACGATCAAGTCGTCTTTTATCCAAACTATGGCTAGTGCTAGTGAACGGGGCCAGGATGGGCACGGGTAGCACCGCGGGAGCGCAGGGCGCATACCGCACCCGCGACCCGCGACCTACGCACCCATACCCTGCCCGGGTTCACCGCCGGTGTCGACAGTGGACCGCTGGTTGACTTACCTCGGCAGTATCTGCGCGGGTTTGGGCTTGTTGCCTGCACCCGCCGTCCTCCCCGTCCTCCGTCTTCGCCCCTCACGCGCCATCCTCACGCACTCCCGCCTGCTCGCTGTACCCACGGCGCCCTCGTCGGCTGTGTTGGCATGCGGGGCACCCTGTGCGTTCGCAGTCGGCGCATTGCGCATGCCCCGACCCTGCCATTCGCTCACGCTCGCGCAGTCCCTTCGTCGGCGGGGCTTGCGTGCTCGCCCTGCGAGTTCGCGGTCGCCATGCGTGTGTCATCGTCCGGTCGTGTGCCCGCTCGCCCGTCCACTCGTCTGCCTGCGTGCGCGTTCATCGGCCGTGTCTGCGTACTGGGCATTCGCCCTCCATGCTCGCGGTCGGTGTGCTGCGCGTGCGCCGGCCTGCCCAACAACGTCGCCGTTGCTGGTCTTTTGCTCAGCGCGTGGGGTCTGCCCACCATCCGCTCGCTCGCGTCCACACCCACTCGGTTCCGCACTCACCCTCCACCCATTCTCCTCCTGCTCGCCGCTATGCTCGCACCTGTGGTCCGCTCATCGGCCGCGCATGCACAGGGGACCTCTGCCCTGCGCGCTAGTGGTTGGTGGTGTTGCCGTGCGCCCACCGTCTACTCGCCCTTGCGCGTTCTTCGCTCACACGCGGCGGGTGGTCCGTTCATCGGTCGTGTTTGCGTGACGTGCATTCGCCCGGTGCGCTCTGACGTGCGCGCCGTCACCCGCCGTGCTTCACGTCGCCGCGCCCTGTGACTGCAGTCAGCGCGCTCGCTCGCGTGCGTCTGCACTCACCTTTCCCCGATGCCCTTCTTTAGCTCTCGCGCACACCATCCGTTCGTCGGCTGTGTCTGCACGCAGGGCATTGGCCCTGCATGCTCGTGGTCGTTGTGCGTCTTGTGCCTGTACTGTTGAAGTTTGTGTTGCTGCACGTCACGCCCGCCAGCCCCTCGCTCTCGCCCTCGCTGTGCATGTCGTGGCCCACTTGTCTGCCCGCTCGCATGCCTGCGTTCGCCTTCGTCGGCCGCGTCTGCGTGCACTGGGTGTTCGGCCACCACGCTCACGGGCGGCGGTGGACGTGTGCGCTGTCGCCTGCCGCCCGCCCGCTCTCTCGCCCGCCCGCTCTCCCGCCCGCCCGCTCGCTCTCCCGCCCATCCACTTGCTTGCACATCCGATTGCCCGTCCACGTGTGCCCACCTGCGCACCAGCTCGCCCGCCTGTCCACTGGCTCCATGCGCGTTCGTCGGCCGTGTCTGCGTGCTGGGCATTCGCCCGGCGCGCTCGCGCTCGGCGTGCGCATCGCGTTTCATGTCACCACGGCGACTGCACCCTGGGGAAGGTCAACTCCGGTGCTTCAGACCACTGGGAAGAAAGACGTACATTCTGCCTACTTCCCTCTAATCTGTATGTGGGAGCCTGCATCTCGGATGACCTAGCCTGCTTGTGTGTCCTGTCATCCGGTCGCTCAAGCGCTCACTAAGAGGATAGTACAGTGTGAGAATATGACTGGCATACCTTGGCCTTCACTGCAATCCCTAGTCGGGCTCATCATCTCCTGCGCTTGACGATCCTCACGCCGACGCGCACTCCATGGAGTATTGACAGGCGGTGGTATAGCTGCCATTTGTGCCGAGTTATTGTGGCGAAGGCGGGCAAAGGACGGCAGTGTAGCGGCATAAGTAAATTCAAGCCATCTGCATGGATATGGGATATGGAAAAAGTGTCCGCTGTGCAGAACATGTGGAGCGAGGGCCTCCGAGCTTGCAGAGGAGGAACGCGCAGTGGCTGAGGGCGCCGCGTCAGACTCAAGAGGTCGGGCAGCGCTCGGTGTTCGTCTCTCAGCCAATGAGATGTCATCTTTGTCTCGTCCAATTGTCTGCCGTGTGAAAATTATCGACGCCTCTTGTAGAGTAGATGCTAGTCTCCCCAGGCAGACGTAGAAGCGCATGCGGGATACTGATAAGATCAGATTTATGTCATTCACAGAGTAGCATCCTTAGACCATGCTGAATCAAATCAGGGTTCGGATCCGATTCGCAAGACTCAGTGTGACGGGCCACATCCTCGTGTCACAGTAAGTAAATAGGTGAAGGGCCGTGAAGCCCGAGCCTGACGTGTACTGTGATCTCAGGTATCCTCTCACAGGCCTGCAGGAAGCGCATTCATACTGCTTTGCAAGATCAGTGATCGCAGAACGCACACACAGTACACAGAATGAATACACCTCGCATTGGTGACACACGCTGTTCCGGCGCGCATGGAGCTTACGTAGCGACAGGATCAAAAATAGCGTGGTACTTATTGAGAACCGACTCTATACACACTGGCGTCCTTGACTCAGTGACAGCCTTCGATGGGACATCTTCAGACACTCAATCCGCGACAGTCGATCCCTGCATCTGCAGAACAGAATAGAAGTTGAGCGCCCATCGCTCGTCGGCCGTTTTTCGGGAATCAGGATTACGACGGTAATGAAAGACTGGTGCGGCCCATACAACTTCACACTCGACGTGCTGAGCTGAGATCGATTGTGGAACTTATCAGGGTCGCGGGGAACACGATACCAAGGTTCAGAGGCAGAAAGAAGAGATAATGAGTGATGCAGTGATGAGACGAAGTGACAGCGAGCGACTGAACTGACATTGTACGAGTATCCTCGTATCCTTGAGACGCAGCGCTGTACGGACATCGTGATTATCCTGTCAGTGAGCGAGGCGCTTCTCCGTGCCTACTGGTTTTTCAAGCAGCCGATAAGTATCGTAAAAATAGTCAGTACGGATGAGCGCAGACGCTCCACGGCGTCCTCTTCATCAGGCGGCCCGAGAGGTATGAACAGACTCACCGGACAAGGGTGTCGCTATCACGGGTTCCCGGGTCACAACAAAATGTTCGACCCGACTTGTGAAGCTTGATGAATGTCAGGCTGTTTAGATCGCGGACTGTTTTGATCGCAGACAACACGTCGGCCGTCTGCACAAAATCTGGGTCCTTGTTAATTGAATCATGAATGGCCCAGCTTAAGACTCCGTTCTGCAGACCATCGTATATTCGGTGAGAATTTGTACACGTCAACGTCATGGATGTTCTGCCTGACACTCACCGCGACAGCGTGGTGGGTTTTCCAAAGCACTGCGAAGCCTGAAGATTGATGCACACATCTATCATTCCGGAATGAATGAAAAAGAACGAATAGACGGACCCTGAGTACACCGCCGAACAGCCTGTAAGGCAGTGGCATATAGTATTGGCTGCGCATGCCTTCCCGCGGCCAGGTCTCAACCACCTTGACTTCTGGCATAAGATGGCGGCGCATTCACGGCAAGTTCGTCGGCAAGTTGGCAGTCAACACGCTGCTCCGATTGATATCCTGCGGTGTGTTCACCCAGGCTCGGGACTATGATATCCTGAGCCAACGCAGACTTCAACATGTACCTGGAGGATGCTCAGGTATGTGAAAACGTTACATACACGTTAGGAGATGATAGCGACTCCAGTTGATGATTTGACGGTGATGCCTTCAAACCTCCTGAGAATGGTGATGGATGAGTAGATGCGGGCAAAGGGCATAGCCAAGAATTATGAAGTCGAATGACTGCGCTGACCTTCTATAGCGTGGGCGATCGCAATGCATATCATGGGACCATGTCAGCATGTCGGGCCTTGATCATAGTACGCTGATAGTGCCTTGTAGCCTGAGATCGCCAGTACAATGCAGCGAGCAACGTTCCGATACACCCTAGGACCCTGCATTTGGGTCAAAGCGTTCAATGATGCGATTCACAGGATGAACTCACTACCCGGGGATTATCCTGACCGTTATGTAACAGGTCCGGAAAGCTCGGAGAGCCCTCCCAGGGTCTCGCGGAACGAGACCCTCGGTGGCAGTGACTATTGTTCACGGACCTCTCCAACTGCCATCGAAGAGATAGGAAATATGATGATAGAAGGCAGTGGTGATAAGCTGAGGCCGCAGTATAACAATCGGCGATACTGTCGATCATGTCATCGACGGCCATCCTCCCAGACTGCGACTCGGACAGCTTCCGCGTGAGGAGGGTCCAGCGAGCTCCACTGGCAGGGTACGATGATGCAGAAGATGGCACAGCAGTCCGGTTTGATAAGGCGTTATGAGACACCGGATGTTTTTCATTGAGTATGTGCTCACCAGACATCGAATTCTGAGGGTGTTTGGCTTCTGTCAACGACATGCCTGAGACCACCGACTCGGGGTTACGAGACTCGGTACATGACTTGCTTATGACGGTGAAAATTGAGCATTTCAGCTGGAATATTCTCCCGGATGCCTCAGGACTCTAGCTGTGAGAGAGAACTTGACGAATCCCAGGACGGTGTGCGTAAGATCAGTAGAAACATCAATAATAGACCACCAGCCTCCACCAGCGCTCGACCTTCCTCGAGCATCGGCGTCTAAATGATTTGCCTCATATGGTAACTCCGAGGCTCGGTCACGCCCGTCATTATGGATGATTCTCTGAATTGCCCACCGGACTGAATGATCCCCTCCTCCTCCACGACGTACCATCATTGATACTTGAGGCTTCACTATCTGATTCTCAGACATCCTGAGCTTCTCAATCGCAACATTGATGAGACTGGACTGCGCAGAAGAGCATGGATTCCCGTCGGAGTGCCTCAATGGTATCGTAGTACTTTGTCCGAGTCGTGGTAAGTACGACCGGGCCAGTCTGGTGGCAGGTCGTTGGGTGTAATTCGTGATGGCGAGAAAAAAAGTCAACTTGTGTTATAAAGCTTGGACATCGTATCTTTGTGTATGTGATATCCCGAAGTTGCGCTTTTGAGTTGTTCATCCTGCTTCAGCCTCAACCATTCCGCGGAGTATGTCTACCCTACAACTCGATTTGAACCCTACTGTGGGTAGTGTATTCATTGGCGCGCTGTTCTCCGCATTGTGAGTCTTTCTCTGGTACTGCCTTGTCAGGGACTCGAACTGATTCGTTGCACTGGCAGGTTCTACGGCTCGACATTGGCTCAAGTTGCGTATTATTCCTGGAACTATCTGCGCCGCGACAGACTACTCGTGAAGATACTCGTGCGTTTTGTATTTGTCACGACGTAGTATAACCCTGATTTTAACCTAAGTGGACCCTCTAGGTTTTTTCAACTTTGTTGGTGCGAGGGCTTGACACTCGGTAGCACGGGACTGACTAGGTCGATAAGGGCACTCGACACGGCCATAACCATCTCGGACGTCGGCGTATGTGGTCTCCAGACATCTTAATGGCCTGTCGGATGCTAAGCGAGGTTATGAATATGGCAGATTACATGGTCTTTCGTCGTCCAGGGCCATGGGCAGCTACTTGCCCTTATCGTCGTGCCGAAGTACTTCGTTTCTGTTCACGCTGTCTGCTTCCTTCTAATGTAGAGTTCAATTCAGATTGTATGCAGTGAGTTTTTCAATCTCTCATTGGAGGTTCAGCCGGCGGACATAAATCAAATCCGACACATAGGTGCAATATGCGATGTTGGTGCGGATACTCCTTGAAGAATTGAATAAACATAACCTACGACTGATAATCCGCCCAGCGCGCGACTATATGCATCGTGCAAATGTATTCAAATCCACAAGCTCTAGAAATTCCGTGAAGACTGACTCGTATCACGATGCTTAGCTTCTATATTCACGGAATCTGGCAGCGTGAGTCTAATTTACATCTGATCGCTAACGCTCAACCATCTCTACGTTTCTCAGTACTTGAGCAGTTTGGAACAACGTATAAAATGCGACTGGCGGTGACTATCCCTCCCGTGAGTGCACTTTTCTAGGCATCGGACCGTCGTATGCTGATATCAACATGACTGAGCATAGTTGGTCCTATCTCTACTGGCCCTCGGTGAGTTAAGTCCGAAGAATCATGATCACCTGTACGGTGACCACTGACCACGGACAATACTAGCATTTGGCTTCGGTGAGATGACGTTATTCATGGCAGATCACGAACGACACTAATAACTCCTTCGCCATTGACAGTGGGAGTATACGATACTGCGTGAGCAGAGCCATAGGTCACGAATGGCCACACATTGACGTGATCTCAGTACGCACGGCTGGATCATCTCGAATACTCTTCGCCCGGACGTGGTAAGCCTCTAGGCCAAGTGCGATGAAGTTATTTGAGGTGACAGACACGCAGGTGCCGAGCGCAGTCAATAACTGCGCTGCCGCAGGGGCAGACATATGTATATGTGCTGCCCTCTGGTGGACGTTGCGCAGCAGAATGACGGGCTTCAAACAGTATGCAATATCTCCGCGTTTCGCTCTGTATTGGGCTGACATACGTCTGAAGCACCGACAATCTCATCAAGACACTAACAGTCTACATCGTCAATCGCGGGATCCTCACGACGTGAGTTTCGCCGCTCCCACTAGACCATCTCGCTGATCCCAGACTGGTCGCCTTCAAGCGTGATACAGATCGTAAATCTAGGAATGGTTCGTCATTGTGTTTGACACTCGTCGGCGCCCCGAGCTAAAGAGCGCCGCGTTAGTTCTTGTCTTCCATTGCACCCAGCACGTTGACGTGGTTCATCTTCAACTGTGCGGGGGTCAAGAGTACGCCACAGCATGTCTACTTTGATGCTCGAACTCACCGAGTATTACTCACAGTGTATGTCAACTCAATGATGGCCGTGTAAGCAACGATCATGGGCTCCCATCGTCTGCGCTAACTCGTGCCTCATTGACATTTCCTTCAGCCTGAACGCCCGCCAACACCTGAAGACCGGAAACGGGGTGTCCTACGTATCCGGCTTCACAGAGGGCACGACTAAGGTCGGTGCCAGGAAGGTCGCGTCCACGAACCCGGAAACTATTCGCTTGGATACGTACAGAGGCCATTCTGCAGATGATAGTATATCTCGCTATCCGTAGTCGAGGCTTCCTTGCCTCAACCACGGCTGTGCTTTGATGCTCTGTAATTCTAGTTTCCGACTTTGTCCAAATGATAGTGAGACTGCCGCCTGCCACTTACCACAGTGGCGTCGATGATTCCTGAATAGGCATGCGATACTTGTTATCGTTCACAGACCCGACAGCAACTCGACAGGCGAGGAATCGCCTTGCAGGGGACCTAGCCTAAACGGGACCGGTATGGGTCGGAGGGTTTCCAACATGCAGCTTGATACGGATAGCCCGAGCTGAGCCCGAGCCGGGCTTCACCGTGCACGCCCGCGAAGCGCCTGAGATCTCATCTTTACCAGTCGGTGGCAGGCGAGTTCGCTTCTGCGTTGCGCACGACCGCCCGGCGACTCCCAGCATTCCTCCGCGAAGACCGACGTGCCTCCCATACAGATTTCGTAGCTGGTTTCTCTACATATCTTTGGAATTGTGGTGAGCTGTGGATACACTGGACGTGCGGACACGGCAGCGACTGGGCGACAACATGATCCCACCGCGACTGGGCCCAATACGGACTGAGCTCAAGCTTAACTTCATTCCCATTACGCCGTGCGTACAGTATCCATAATAACTGTATCAACCTATTTGTGGGCTTCCTGGTGCGTGTCGTCCCCCTCAGTGGACGTCCAGTGTCGAAACGACGAGCGCTCCCGAGTTAATCGAACTTCGCGCCAGGGTCTTGATCCGTGGAAAGCACGTACTTGAATAACACGGCTCGTTAGACCTAAGGTTCGAAAATTGCGTAAGTACCCTGGAAATGCCCACGTCCTCCAGCTGCTAAATCGTTTGTTGATGGAGCGCGAAAGTGAGCGGGAAAACAGCTCGTCGGGATCCACTGACGTCGAAGTAGCAAGGTCATGTTCGTGCTGTGGAGGTCATGTCAAGGGTTTAAACCTGTCCGATAAGTGAGTCTGTAAGCAGTGATTGCATGGATAGGAGGAGCCGCTATAACACGCGTTGACCGGCCGGGCACTCGATGTTCCGCGCTGTCCTCATGTGCCCTATGGGGGTATTCATGACATGCACGCACTGCTATGCAAGGACGTCGACATACTCAAGGCCCGGGAACTCGGGAGCCTTGACAGAAGTCTGATACTGCGATGCCGTGCAAACAAGTGGGGGTTCGCTACGAGATTAATGACAGGAAGTATTATGACATTTGTGCCAAGGATGAAAGGTACGGCAATGAACATACAAGCCGTCAGGATATCTCTTGTGATGCTCATGAAGAGGTCATGCTCGCGCCCCACTCGCATCGTGTTGATTCAGGGCCTTGGGAACCTGCTGCACAATCAATCACCTAGCGAGGCCAATCGCAGGTCAATACAACATATGATACGCCTGTATATAAAGGCAGATACACACTTCGTCGCCAGAATCGTATCTGCCTCGCGCCTCTTGGCATGGCTTGCCAACCAGCCTCCAGGAGCCCGATAGTCCCCTCCGGCGTTCATGCCTGCAAGCTTGTCAAGGCACGCGTCCCTCGGGACGATATAACTTGATGCGTCTGTCTTTCTTGAACTTGCTCGAGGTCAAGGACACGAGCGCCGGGCGGCTCGGGCGCCGGTGACCGGAATGCCCACCGACTGGACAGCGCGGGATGAGGCAGAGTAGGAGAATGCTATCCAAGAAACCATGAAAAGCACGCTCATAATGCACGCGAAGGGTGAGACGTACTGACAGCATGAACCCGGACTAGATATGGTGATTGTCACGCCCAAGTCGTACGTCTTCACCTGCGATTCCGCTTAGCGATCCCATCCAGGTTTATGCGCATATGAACGGACTTCAGCCTCTGCATCTCAGTGAACACAGCGCGCATTCTCCTGACCTATCACTTTCAGGCATACCGTCAGCGAGCCTCGTCTCTTTGAATGGGTGCAGACACCGTCCTAACACGACATTCGCGCGATGTCTAAGCCGAGGCAGACGTAACAATGATTTGGTGTATCCTTCGAGGCCGATGTCTGGGCGCGCGAGGTAGAGTCCACACCGAAATTGAGCACGGCTTCGAGGGAGGAGGAGGGCTTGAGGAGGGCACTAGGCAGCTCACCGAGCCCCGTCGTGGGCGGCAGGCAAAGGGTGGCCGACACGGTGCACGTGGATGATGGATCGTCCTCTCGCCGCGGATTCATCTCGTTTCTCGTTTCTCGACAGTGTGTTTCTTCCTCAGCTCCTTCTCTGCCCTCCACCATGCTGCCGCCAGTCTTGGACCCACCGGATGCTGCTTTGATGCAATGTATCGTGCTGGCTTACGCTCTCGACATGTCTCCACCGGTGGACTCGGGACGCGCCCGTTTGGGAGCGACTCGGTCGCTCCCCCTCACTAGCTTGAAGACGTGGGTGCTCAGCATCATCTAATGTTCTCTAATACTCTCAAAAGCTCGCAACCTGAGCCACACACGCACGCCCGGGTCGCACAAAGGAACCAGAACATGTTGCTACTCCGGCGAGACGGTGGGCTGGCCGTCACCACTGCAATGTCTTGTAAACGGTGTCCTGGATAACGCATACTTCTTTGGACCCTAAGCCTCTCCGTCTTCATTTACGTATATTGTACGTTAGTTAAGCATCTAGGTCTGGGTGGTCCGCCGAGTCGAAGACTCGGGTGACTTTGCTCAAGCTACCGCTGCCAGTACGTCTTGTCTCGTTCGTTAGTTTCCTTACATGTTTCTTGGAATGATACCAGTTCATTCAAGGTCTACCTTCACTATCAAATCATCCGCGAGCGCCGCCCAGCATCCACCTCCTCGACTGGATAACCTGCACGCTCCATGATCGCGTCAAGTGCACCGTGTTGAAGACGATGACGGCGCCTTTCTGCCAGGCGTCCAGGCATGCATCCCTGAGAAGACGGGAGGGCCCGCCGCATAGGATGCTCATGACAGCGGGAGGCGGCGATGCCTGAGGGACGAGAATGTGAGTACGGTATCAGTATATGCGATCGAGTCCGTACAGTACTGACTAGCAGCTTACCTATCTACGCAGATGCTGGTACAGCAGTGGCAGAAGCAGAGGGCCCGGCGCAAGGTACGAGCGCTACTATCTCAAGGGTAGCATACAAGGCTGTGCGGATATTGTCTAGTGGACGCGGCGGCACAGATTGTAACGGTCGTCGCGGAGTTATTTCAAAATCCACAATATGACTTTTCCCCCTCTATATCTGCCCACGCTTGTCGAAAACTGCTCGATGGAGAACATGGCGGGTATTGATATGCGATAGTTCAACAACAGTTCCAAGCAGACATACGGGAAGCGATCCGTACCGAACGAATAGTACACAACACAATACGGAGAGTGGACAACTCCAGACCATCCGGTCGACGAACACAATCGTATCGTAGACACCCAGTAAGCCCGTACGTATCAAGACTCCAAGACCATAGCTTACAAAAGCATCATGAACAGCTACACCGAGAATGCGAGTATACTACATGATATCGGCCAATCGCAATCCAAGAAGTGGTTCCTGCACGGAAAGATTCGTCTATCATCGGCCGCAGTTCGTCATGAATTGGCTCAAATTGTCCGTCTGCAGTGAACGTCAGCATTCAGCGATGATAGTCTATCCAGCAATGCACGATCGGACGTACACGTCGATACCACCATCATCCGTCTCTGAATCAGCCTTTGTTCTGATCCTGGCTGCCCGGCTCGTGGTGCGACTCGGACGGTTGTGTGGGCGCGTCGCCCGGTGCAGCTAATCCCTCCTGATTCGGACGAGGGTCGCCGCCTTGACGTTCATCTGCGTGCTCGACCGCGCCTACGAGTCCGTCCTGACGCCCTTCGTCCACGGACGTGCTTGCCTCCGCTACTACGCGTGCGGCACCCGACCCGTCTGCATGTGGTTCCGTGGCCTCTAATGGCTGCGATCGCTCGGTCAGGGCCGCGTCCTGCCCTTGAGACGATTCGTCGAGCGTCATAGCGGTCACCTGCAGGGCGTCGCTGACGCCTAGCAGTGCGGTGTCCGTCACGCTGGATGCATCGGATGCTGCGCTCGAGCGAATACTCACGGCTCGCTTCTCGACGTCGAGCTCCTGCGCTGCAGTCCTTCTGAATTTTCGCCGGACGTCACGGCTAGAGAGATGATCAGCGACGATTGAACGAGTAGAGTACAAAATTCCCCGCTTACATGAACTGCATCATAGATCGCTTCGGGCTGTCCATTCGCGGTTCCGGTGGGTGCTGCTCGTCCACAGCTTCCGATGTAGACTCTGGGTCAGCCACCTGCGGAGGGTTGACATGCTGTTCGCCTTGGTTCTGGGGCTCATCTGGAGTGCATTCGAGCCATCCTTTGCTGTTGCAAGAGTCAGCCGGGGTGCCTAGAAATTCTGAGTGTCAGAGATTACTGACTAGTTGTCTGGCTCTATCCCATCCGCTTCCAGGCGCTGTTGTGTCGATTTCGTGACGTCCGTCAACTCGATGCGGAATCCTGGAATCATCCCCGATGGCGTCCAATAATCGCACTTGAGCACCCACTGGAGTCGCCGCGCGATGCGGTTGGTGGACGTCATGACGTTCCGGTGAATCTTGGTTGTACCCAAGGAGTCATAGATGTCGGACTGCACGATGCGAGCCAACACCCAATCGAGTCTGTATATGGTCGCGGGAGGCAGGCGTCGCATAGCGTCTTGCAGTTGCACGCGGCGGAGGGTAGCCATGTACCTGTCGAATCGGTGGAGCATGCCGGCCAGGTAAGCTCCCCTCGACGGCTCGGCTGGCAATAGGTACTTGTTGTTGACGGACAACATGCATATGGCCAGAATGGTTGTTGTGAATTGAATGATGGATATAGGGTCACGGTGTGTGCCAGCGTATATCACTGAGAGTGCATTCTGCATTGATTTCCAGTCTATTCTAGACGTCAGCTGAGGCCCTTTGCGACTGATGCAGACAGCTAACTCACCTTGAACACTTCGCAGACGATATAGCTCAGTACACGGTGCACAGTCATATGATCTTGCCTTCTCCATCCAGTCCACACGCACCCCAGTGTTGTACGACCTGTCCTCCGCAAGGAAGTCAATCGTTAAGTAGACATTTTGTAAAACATCCAAGGTAGTGCTTTGTTGCTCTACAGAAATTTTACCATCGCGTAAATGCTGAAACAAAGACATGCACGCATTGTGGCCGTCGTCGAGAGGCATAGCACGGATGATCCCAGCCACAGTGCAATGGAATGATTCAAGGTCGAGAGGTTTGCCGTCTAGTTCTGTCCGCGATCGAGTGGACGTGTCCAGCACCATGCGACCGATCAAAGTGGTAGAAGTGCTGCCCAAAACATCATATTGCAGTTGGCTACCAGCTGGTAGAGGAGAGGGCCCGGATACCCGTGAACGCGCATATTGTCGTTTTGAGAGGGCGGCGGTGACGGTTCGGCCAATTCCCGTCACAGCGTTGATTGCTCGGGCGATAGGCATCGCTCGCACGCAGGTTTCTAGTGCGCGAAGAACGTCTGTGTCGTCTGAGATGGAATAAATGTCCGAAAATAGTGATTTTTCTTCGCTGCGGGTTGTCCAGTCATCCAGGCATAACTGTTCATGTCCTAGCCAGTTACTCGTCTTCATCAACGCACGCACATGTGCTTCGCGCTGAGCAAGGAGTATGCGGACCTTCTCCATTGGTTTGTATATCCACGCGTCAATTGTGGGTGGAATCGGACTCGGTAGAACGACGAGGCGGATAACCGCGAGGATTGTGCGAGGCTGGATGGTCCAATAAACTGCCCAGCGAATCCACCGACAGGCCTCGCATATCCACCACGCTTGCGGCGACTTGTAGGGACTGTAACCGACAAATGCGGGTGACACGGAGGTGAAAGCTAGAAATAGAAGCAAGGCGCCGACGAAGACCGTGCTCGGGACGGCGATGTCGAGGCCAAGCTCCCAGAGGTAGCCCACAATCCCGACAAGGAAGAGGACGAGGGCCACCTGAAGAAGAAACGGAAGGATGCTGACCATGGACTCCACTTGCCACTTGTCCATTGCGTGCCTACGGAGCTGCCACGTCCAAGCCTTCTGGGATGCGTCTTGCAGCCCGGCTTTCTCCGTCGCATGGAAGTTCAGCCATTGGTTGACGGCTAAACCGACGGATGCGGCGCTGAGACTGAAGACCAGGGCGACGAACCACAGCGTGGCAATCCAGCGGGGTGCAGCGGGTGGCGAGGGGAAGTTTGCAGATGATGAGTTCGTAAGAACCATTGGCACCGGCACTGGGTTCGCGGAGTTGGCGGCCGCCACGACAGCGTTGGTAGGTATGTTACCGAGTTGCACGGATAGTATGCGCTCAAGGATGGCCGTATTGAAGTCGGGTGCCGGTAACAGAACAGCATAGTACTGAACCACAAAAGCAGTGAGGACAGCGGAAAACAAGCCGGCCTACAAATGGGCCAGCATTTTCTCGGTTATTCTTCCACGGATCACTAGAACGGAGGTGTAAGCGTGACTCACAAAGACGAGGAGTGTGTTGATTTCATTCCGCCATCGTTCTGCACGGTCCTTTTCGTAGGCCCACGCTGTATCTGCCAACTTCAACCACGCGTCTGGCACTGTTTGCGGGTCTCGCGGCTTCATGTACTTCTCGAATACTTTGAACAAGGCAGTTTCATCCATCACGGCCGACGGTGTTTGCGTCTCTAGCGACTTCATAAACTTCTCGAATACTTTGGTCAGAACTGTCTCCATTTCCGACGGCGTTGTCGCATCCTTCGCCGAGTGGTCTGCCGACTCAGGCAAATGCTTCGCTCCACTGGCATTCGGCCGCTCATTCGAACCGTTCTGATGATGTATGTCAGACCTTTACATGCACTTTCGAGATCACCGACTACACTCACCTGGTTTGGAGCCGCAAGCGTGGTGTCATGGGGCGATGAGGAGGCTCCAGCAGTGCCCGCGCCGACCAATTTGGATACCTGTGCATACAGGTAAGTGATCCTGTTCGCCGTTCAATTCTGCTCATACTTACTGACGGCTTAGTTCCAGAGCCGCCGCTCTTGCTGGAGCTCGGTTGACGGATGGTATCGCTTGATGACGACATCACATTGGGATCGGGAGTCTTTGCGTGCTCTCCTGAAACCGAGTGCACCGGCGATTCCTACGTTCCACGATACAATCAGTTTTCCCATTGTACCAGTGAGAAACGACAGCGCGCACCTCGGGTGCGCTCATAACAGCGTCGAGTGGTGATCTGTATAGCGTAGACAGAGGGAAGAGGGAAGAGAGAGCGAGAGGACGGGGCAAGGGACACGCAACAAATCGATGCCTTCCGCAGAACTTGAAATACACCGAGGATGGCTGCACATTGCTAACGCTCGGAGGCCTCACGTCTGCCCCAAACTCTGTGGTGCTCAATAAACATGAGCACCACTGGCATCGAGTCCGCAAGGATGCGGGCAGGCTCAGGTTCGCAGAGTAACATGAGAGAGACATGTCATAGATTGCGCGATGTCATCCTGACGCCGTTACATGTTATTAAGTCCCGGGGTCAGCATTGTACCTAACAGGCGAAATCATAAGTAAGTATTAAGGCATACGGAGGCCTACGTGTGGTCTTCGTCAACGCGCAACACGCACTGAGAAGCAACTGCACGCGTACCACCATCAACGAGAGCCCACCGAAGTCATGTAATTCAGCAGCAGGAACAGGTCCTCGTCGAGACAGGTATGGAAGTTGTCAGGCGTGTGATGTGTACGTTGACCTCGAAAGTGTGCAAGAGGCCATGTATCCACAACGAGGCACATAGGAACACAGGTATGTTGGGACCTAGCGTGGCAGCACTGAGTTCGGGCTGACTGGTTCATCACGAGAGAGCGCATTACTCACCAGTCATGTTCAAGGCCAATATCTCGGGAAGCACCCCAACAGCCGTAAGTATGCTTGCGCGGCGAAGGATAATTGGCCCGTCGGCCAGAAATGAGACATCCACATGCCTGTCGGCGGGACACCTACATTCGTGTTCATGAGACGACGCACCACCGGGACCGTGTAGAAAGCACCGAATTAGTGTTCAATTACGATGCATTGCGTGGCACCTCTATTACACTTTTGCTGGTTTCGTAAGTGCCCCACATACAAGCCTCCGTCTGGTTTATCGATTGCTTGCTGAGGGACCGCAGACGTGAGCCGGAAATCAACAATGTGTCGGGGGCCACTCACGTCGAACAAAGAAACGCGTATCCCTGCTGCTGTGTCCAAAACCTCGAGTGTGTGGCTCGGAGATCGTGTCAAAGGTCCAATGTCCACCTATGGGGTTTGTAAGTAGTAATTGGGAGGGTAAAATGAGCGGCAACAGCGGGCGCTTGATGTCCCGCCCGCACGGACCATAAGTTCTCCTTACGCCAGACTTCGAAAGACACTTTAAGGCAGCAAGATACGTGTCCTATGTGTGTGTTGTGCGTGTTCAGAGAATTTGCGTGTACCGCGAGGCAAGCAAGAAGACCATCCCCTCCGTCAAGAACTCGGAGGTGGCAAGTGCAGTGGCTGTCATGTCCGATGAGTAATCAGCATCCGTGCGTGCGTCGAAGATCACATCTTCACCCCTCCTCCTCCTCCTCACCAGCTCACCGGTCACTAGCGATGCCGATTGGAAGTCAATGCAATAAACGATGCGAGTATGTAAAGCAGGTACACACTTCGCCGCTAGAATTGTATCTGCCTCACGCCTCTTGGCCATGGTTTGCCAACCAGGCTCCAGGAGCCGGACGGTCCTCCTCCGGCGTTCATGCCTGCAACCTTGTCAGGGTCCGCGTTTTTCGCGGCGATACAGCTTGACACGACTGTTTAACTTGAGCTTGCTCGAAGCTTAAGGACACGAGTACCGGGCGGTGGCGAGTAGGGTAATACTATCCAAGAAGCCATGAAAAACGTGCTCATGATGTACGGGAAAGATGGGACGTACCGATAGCATAAACCCGAACTAAGAGATACTGTATGGTGGTTGTCACGCTCGGGTCATACGTCTTCACCTACGATTCGGCTATGCAAGCTCAGCGATCCCATAAGGTTTACGCGCATATGAACGAGCGTCAGCCTTTGCAATTCCGTTGATACAGTGCGCGCCGTGCTGTCCTGTCACTTTCAGGCATACCGTCAGCGAACCTCGTCTCTTTGAATGGGTGCACACACCGTTCTGACTTGAGTGAAGTTGAACATAGCATTCGGATTTCGCGCGATGTCTAAGCCGAGGCAGACACAAATGTGATTTAGTGTATCGCTTGAGGCTGACATCTGGGCGCGCGAGGTAGGGATTCAGGCCGAGATTGAGCGCGACTTCGAGGCGTTGCACGGCAGCTCACCGAGCCTCGGAGGAGGAGGAGCGGGCGGCAGGCGCTGGCAAGCGCGGGCGTCAATCAACCATCGCCTTGACCTCCTCAACGGTGCACGTGGCTATCCTCCTCCTCCTCCTCCTCCTCCTCCTCCTCCTCCTCTTGAGTCTTCTCGCCGCGGCGACCACCAGTGTTTCTTCACCAGCCCCCCTGTATCTTGTCTGTCCTCCGCCCCACGGCCGCCAGCCTTTCATCCACCTGATGCTGCTGTGATGCAATGTGCCTTGCTGGCCTCGACCTATCTCCACCAGTGAACTCGAGATGCGCCCGTTTGGGATCGACTCGGTCGCTTTCCCTCACTAGCATGAGGGCGCTGCTGCTCAGTGCCATTTAACCACTGCCCAATATTAGAAAACCGAGCTGCGCACGCATCTCCCGGGTCGCACGCCGAAGACATATCGCCGCCCAGTAGTGTTGCCGCGAGTCGAGGTCGAGCGGCGCCCAGCATCCGCCTCTTCGATTCAACCAGCTACACGCTTGTTTATCACGTCAAATATGGCATTGAAGACAGTGGCGCCCTTCCGCTAGCCGTCCAGACACGAATTCTGGAGAAGACGAGAGGACTCCGAGTCGTTGCATGGGAGGCTCGTGAGAGCGGGAGGCGGTGGTGACAGAGAGACGAAGCTGTGAGTACTGCATGTTTATATTGAAGTCCGTGCAGTGCTGACTGGTAGCTTATTTGTCTACGCAGCTGCTGCTAGTGATGCAGCAGTGACAGAGTCAGGTCCGTCACCCCGGCGCGAGGTACGAGTGTCGCTACTTATCTCAAGGGTAGCATAGAATACTGCGGGTATTCTTTAATGGATGCTACGGCACAGATTGTGGCGGTCATCGTGAAGCATGTTCAGAACTCACAATATAATCTCTTATCTTGTATCTGCTCTTGCTTGTCGCGGCTCGACGGAATACCTTGGTACGCGATAATCCAACAACGATTTCAAGCAGATAAACGGGAGGCGATTCGCACTGAACGAATAGTACATACAATACAGACATTGAACAGCAACACCCCGTTCGTGGAAGTTCCAGGCAATCGGGTCGGCGAACGCATGTGTATCGTAGAACAGTCAGTAAGCCCGTACGCATCAAGACTCCGAGACCATAACTTACGAAAGCATCACAGACAGGTATAAGAAATACAAGAGCGTAGGGATAGCAGCCAAGCGCAATCCAAGACAGATCTTCGTGTATGGGGTTTCGATCGTCCGTCCGTCACTACTGAGTACTGAATGTTGAACGTCAGCAGTCAGCGACGATGATATGTCTAGCAATGTGTGACGTACACGTCATACCCGTCCGTGTCATCCTCCGAATCCCCGATCAGCCGCTGCTCTCGTGCTGGTTGCCCAACTCAGACTCTGCAACTCGGATTGCGCAGGTGCGTCTTCGGTGTCAGGTGTTTCCTCCCATCGCGCGTCGTCGTCTCGGTGTCCATCCGCGTCCTCGCTCGCGCTTTCGACCTCGTCATGAGGGCCTTTGTCCGCGCCCGCGCCGTCGTCAACTACTCCGCGTGTGACATTCGGGTCGTCCGCACGCGTTTCAATGCTATCTAGCGGCTGCAAAGGCTCGGTCTGGGCCGCGTCTTGCCCTTGCTGCCATTCGTCGAGCGTCACAGCGGTCACCGGCAGGGCCCCGCTGACGGCTGGCGATGCGGTGTCCGCACTGGGTATATCTAGTGCTGCGCTCGGGCCAGCGTCCACGCCTCGCATTTCAACGTCGGGTTCCTGCACGGCTGTCGGTCTGAATCCGCGTCCAATGCTGTAGCTAGAGAGAGGATGTGATCAGCAACGAATGAACGAGTATGCTGTGTGGTCCATCGCTTACGTGATTTGCGTTATAGATCGTACCGGACGGCTCAATCGTGGCCTCAGCAGCTCCTGCTCATCCCCGGCTTCCGACTTAGGTTCTGGGTCAATCGACTGCGGGAAGTCGACACGTCGCTCGCCTTCGCTCTGGGGCTCATCCGGAGCACATTTGAGCCATCCTGTCCTGTTGCAAGTGTCAGTGTGTCTTGGACATTCTGAGCATCGAAGATGACTGACCAGTGTTCTAGCTCTGTCCCATAATCCTCCAGGCGCCATCGTGTTCTTGTCACGTACCCTGGCAAGTGAATGCAGAACCCTTGGACCGTCCCTGGCGGTGTCCATACATCACTTTTGAGGAGCCATTGGAGTCGCCGCGCGATGCGGTTTGTGGACATCATCACGTTCCGGCGAATCTCGGTCGTACTCAAGGAACCATAGATGTCGGTTCGGGGCATGCGGGCCAACAGCCAGTCGAGTCTGTATATAGCCGCGGGAGGAAGGTGTCGCATCGTGTCTTGCAGTTCCTTGCGGCACAGCGTTGCCAAGTACATGTCGAACTGTCGGAGCATGTCGGCCAGGTAAGCTCCCCTCAATGGTTCGGCTGGTAATGTATGGTCGTTCTGGACAGACAACATGCATATGACTAGGATGATTGTCGTGATTTGGATGGTGGATACAGGGTCATGGCGTGCGCATACCGTCGCGACTGCAGCCTGTATGCATTGCCAGTCTATGCCAAATTTGAGCTTACACTCTATACAACTGGAGCGGACAGTTGACATACCTTGGACGTCGTGCAGACGATATAACTTGGTTCGCGGCGCACAGTCATATGATCTCGCCTTCTGCATCGCACCATTGTGGATGGCATTGGCGTACGTGGTGTCCTCCGCAAGGAAATCAATCGTCACGTACACGTTTTGTATAACATCCAAGGTGGCCTTTTGTTGTTTCGTGGACAGCCGACTATTGCACAAACGCTGAAACAAAAACATGCAGGCCTGGATTCCATCGGCGAGAGGCATAGCGCGGATCAATCCAGCCAACATGCAATAGTTTGAGTCCCAACCGAGAGCCTGAGTGTCTGTCTGTGGGCGAATGAACGTGTCCAGCACCATGCGACCTATCACAGTGGTGGAGGTGCTGTTCAGAACATCAGACTGCAGTTGACTACCAGATTCCCGAGCAGAGGGTCTGGACACCCGTGAACGCGGATCCTGTCGTTTTGATAAGGCGACGAAAGCCGTCTGACCTATTTCCGTAACATTGGTGATTGCTCGGGCGATAGGCATCGCTCGCATGCAGGTTCCCATTGCGCGAAGGACGTCTGTGTCGTCTGCGATGGAGTATATGTCCGTAAACAGGGACTTCTCTTCTCTGCGGGTTATCAAGTTGTCCAGGTACAATTGTTCATGTGCCAGCCAGTCAGTCGTCGTCATCAATGTACGTGCGCGTGCTTCACGCTGAGCAAGGAATTGACGAATCCCCTCCATCCAACGGTATATCTGACGCGCGCGTAGAGAAGAATGCCATACCGGAGGCCGAATCCCGAGGCAAGCAGTGATCATGCGATGGAGACGCAAGGAGGGCCAGTAAGCTACCCATCGTATCGATCTGCAGGCCTGGCATATCCACCACGCCTGAGGTGATTTGTAGGGACTGTAACCCACCAATGCCGGCGACACGGATGTGAAAGCGAGAAAGAGGAGCAGGGCGCCGACGCAGAACGTGCTTGGGACAGCAATGTCGAAGCCAAGCTCTGAGAGGTACCCCGCAAACCCGACGAGGAAGAGGACGAGGGCCACCTGAAGTAGAAGCGGAAGGATGCTGACCATGTACTCCACTTTCCACTCTTCCAGTGCACGTCTACGGAGCTGCCACGTCCAAGCCTTCTGGGATGCGTCTTGCAGGCCGGCTTGCTCGGTCGCGTGGAAGTTCAGCCATTGATTCACGGCTAAAGCGATGGATGCCGCGCTGAGACTGAAGACCAGGGCGACGAACCACAGCGAGGCAATCCAACGGGGTGCAGTGGGTGGCGAGGGGGAGCTTATAGACGAGGAATTCGTACGACCCGTCAGTATCCGCGCCGAAACCGAGGACTCGGAGCTGGCGGCGGCGACAACGGTGTTCGTAGCCGTGTTACCGAGTTGCGCGGATATGCGCTCAAGAATGGCCGTGTTGGGGTCAGGTGCTGGCAGCAGAACGGCATAGTACTGAACCACGAAAGCGGTGAGGACGGCAGAAAACAAGCCGGCCTACAAGGGAATCACCTCTTAGTCGTGCTTCGCGTGCGCTCGATCAACGGTGTGGACGCAACTCACAAAGACGAGTAGTGCGTTAATTTCATTCCGCCATCGTTCTACACGGTCCTTTTCGTAGGCCCACGCTGTATCCGCCAGTTTCAACCAAGCGTCTGGTGCCTCTGTTGGGTCCCGTGGCTTCATGAACTTCTCGAGTACGTTGAAGAGAGCCTTTTCCTGTTCTGACCGCGCTGTTCCCTGCGCTGGAGGGTCTTTTGATAGCGGATCTTCCGCCCTATCCGTTTGCTCACGCGGGTTCTGATGGTGCATATTGGACTATGATCAATTGATGCATAAGAGAATTATCGATGTTCGTGCTCAGGCTCACCTGATTCGGAGGTGTAGATGCAGATTTACGAGACAATGGGGAGGCCCCCGTAGTCTCTCCACCATCCAGGTTTGATGACTGCCATGCATATAGGTGAGCAATCCCGTCTGCCCTTCAAAATCGCAAATACTCACTGACGGCCCGGAGCCGTTGCCTCCGCCAGAGCCTGAGCTCGTTAAACGACGGTGGTGATCGGAAAAGGCACCCCGCTGGGGTCGGGAGCCATCGCGTCCTCTTCGACACCCTGGTTTAGTGGGGTCAAAGAATCGGCCGACGGTTCCTATACAGTCCACGGATACAACGGCGATATCAGTTTACGTGTCGTGCCAGTGAAGAACGACGGTGCGTACCTCGGGTGGGTCCATGATGATGTTGTATGGCGGTCAGTGTATCTTACAGCGATGGGGACGGGTAGGGAAAGCGAGAGGACGACGGAGGATCGTCTCAAACAGCTGTCTCAATTGTGAAACCTCACGTAGGTCACGGCAAATGACAGAGCTCCCACAGGGGAGGACGCCGAGACTAGCCATCGGATGTTGGAAGCCGAGGATGTATGTCGTCGAAGTGGTGCTGAATGGAGAGCCACACCGCCAAGCTTCAAGTCCGCAGGGTTTGGACGCTCACGTATTGATATGGAAGGGAAGGTATGTACATGCAATGGGCTGTGCGATAACAATGTAACGCTGTTACGTGGTGCACGGTTCCGGCGGCCACATTGTACCAACAGGGCAACCATGATTGGACGAGACGTACCCGGGTCGTACAGAAGCGTGTGGTCTCTGTGGTGTCCATGAGCAGCCGCCGAGGCACTGCATCGGGGCCGCCCGGATGCCTTCAATTTCCCGGGGGCATAGCCTTGCGAAGCTGTCCAGAATAGCGAAAGATTTCTGTCGAGAGACGCGATCAAAAGAGTTGTTAATCGTGTCATAGCCTCGCAAGAGGGAAGAGACAATGTTTGTAACGAGACGCGTTGGAGTGCTCACATTGGGATCTAGAGCGACCGCACAGATCCGAACTTACCGAGACGAGAGAACGCGTGTAACGTACCAGTCATGTTCCCGACCGATATGTCGGGCAGCACCCCGACAGCTAACTGGGTTTGCGGGGCAGGGAGCCACTCACCCGTCGGCCGGGAATGAGATTGGCGCGTGCCTGTCGGGACACGCGTCTCATAAGGTGACATTCGCAGCAGGCCTTTGCGCTTACATACAGGCGCAAAGCCGTGTCGAAGCTGATTCGGCTCACGCAAGAGCAGTACCGGCATTCGCGGCAGCCGCCTCAGTTGTGTTCAGTGTGCGACTGGCGACCACAATATGAACCTTCATACGAGGCTTCCATGGTGCGTGTCGTCTGCATTAGACGTCCGCTCCCAGATATCGAGCACTGCCAAGTTCATCGGACGACACGCCACTGAGGCTGGCCGGCGGGCACGGGAAACGCAAAGGGAAGGCGCGGGGGCGGGAGAGAAACGTCGGGAGGAGAGAGCTGCAGCCAGAAGCAGAGGAGAGCACGCAGAGAGCGGTGCTCGTGAGTGAGCGAGAGGGGCCAGTGGGGGACTTGAGCTTGAGCCGCAAGCCTGAGAGACGGGAAGAGCACTGACGCGGGACGCGGCAGCCAATCAGGAGTGCAAGAACGCGTTTGAGCGCTCCGACGGGCGTCGTTCACAGGCCGTCGACCGACTCCAGGAACTCCGAGGGAGCGTTGAATTGCTGCGATGATATGCGAACAAGTGGAGGTCTGCTACGAAATGGGCGACAGGAAGTGTCTGAGTCAGGTACATACATGCAGGGTCTGCGTCGGGCTCGTCTCAGTTGCGGACGCCGGGACAGGGTGAACGGAAGCCTCTCGCGCACGCCTCAGCGGCGCGGTTCAATCGCTCGTCTCTGGAGACCGGCTCGTGTGTCTATCTTGAGCAGGGCGACACCCAGCGACACCCAGTGCACGAACCAGCACGGCATGCGAATCCCTGGAGAGGCCCGGGTCGCCGTATAGATTGCCCGGTCGAGCGAGCCCAGAATGCCGGTTCAGTGCGAACGACCAAATTAGACCTGAATGTCGTATCATCCAGCGCTTTGATGCTCGTCAAGGAGGCGGATGCCATTTGAGCAGCGCCGCGCCGTAGACTTGACGACGAGCCTACTGGCCGTTGCGCGATGGATGCTGGGTGTCCCGGTATGCGGTGGGCCTCAGGCTCGCGGCGTGTGACAGCTCAGAACGCAGACGCGACAGGTCGTCGTCAGCCTCGATGCATTCAAGGGTAACAGACGACTCACCTTGCTGCCTAGCGTGGATCAGTCCCTGCCACCCGTCGGAGCATCGGTAACCCAGCGGCGACAGCGCATCGTCCACCGGTGAGCTTGAACCACGAGACGGCCGTCCGGCAGGACTCGGTCGTGGTGCTCGCGGATGTCTTCAAGAAGTCCGTCGGTTCGTGTTTCTACTGTTCGTGAGCGCGTGGACAGGGAGACGACCTGCGCTCGCACCTTCCTCTGCTCGCTACTGCCCTCCTCCCTCTCGCCTTCCATCCTCGTCTTGCGCGCATCCAGCCTTCCGGCTCCTGCTACGTCCATCCTCTGTTCGATCTTGTGTGATTTGTGCTGATTATTCGTCCCAGGTCTCTCGGTGAACGTCGTAGTACGGCGAGTTGATCCCGACGCGTCGGGCTGCGCCTCCACCCTTAAGTGACGTGCGTCTGTGCGTGGGCTGATGCTCGTACCGCCTGACGCGTCCACACCAGCTCCCGTTCTCGCCTTCCACGTCTCGTCTTGTCCAACCCACCCGCCTTGCTCGTGTCCCCCATACGTACGTCGCATCTTCATCCTGACTTAGTGCGTGCTGACGTAGCTCGCCCGTCGTCAGTGAAGATCGCGGCACACGACACACGGACACGTACCGCCACTCAACCCTCTCCAGCGCCGCCAGCTCAGGAGGCCATTCTGCGGGCTGCAGAGCAGTCAACCAAGTCGCACATACCGAGCTGGAAAGCGTCAAACGCGTGTCTCAGGCCACCCGTTCACGGACCCTGGCCGTACAGTAGCACACGGGTGCTAGACGCGACTGTGATCCGCATCGACGTGCGCGGCGCGTAGAGATGGCGAGATTGGGATCGAGAGAGGCGGCTGGCCACCCAAGTGCGACAGAGGGAACGTTGGGTGCAACTACGAAGTGGGAGTCGCGACGGGGACGTAGCTGGCGTACGATCAGACAGCGTCGTGCGTGCGCGTGAGCATTCGAGATGCTTACCCAGCTAGTACGGTACCACGCGTGTCTTCACGCCATCCGTCCGTGCGCGTCCGTCCTCGCGTTGCTGGCCTGCCGATACGTAGAGCCCGTGCCGAGTGGTCGTCCGCTGGCCGAGTCGACGCTTCTGTGTGGGAGGCCGAGGCAGCGTCCAGGAAATTGAACATTTGAACTGTGAAGGAAAGAGAAGGACGTGCGGTTGAGCGTGAGCCTCGGAAGTAACTCGGAAGTAAATTTAGCGTCCGCTGAGCGCCGCAGATTGCATCTTTACCGGACGTTTGCAGCTTTGGACCCTCCTTTTGGCCTCCTCGTCGGATTGTGCGTCTGCGCCATGCTCGACCGGTCATCATTCCTCCGCAGAACACCAACGGTAGACGCACCGCGGAGAATGCGGGGATTGTGACACGCCATGCATGCGGACGTTGGTAAGTACTAGTATATGGAGGACATGCCAGTCACCAGTGGAGGGTGGAGGTCGGACGGGAGGCTGGACCCCGGTCGGCGGCGAGCGGAGCGACTCTCAATGACGTGAGTTGCGTCTCACAAGTACTCTCTCGGAGTCTATGGTGATTACGCAGATTTCCCGGGCACAAGCTCCGCGCAGGTAAGTAGTCCGCCTCGACCTTGAGCTGTACTTGGTCCTCACTCATCCTTGCCTACTTCTTGGCCATCGTCTCGTTGTACGCCTTCTTCACTGCAATGCATACGTCCCTCACTGCATCAGCCACTACCAATGCCCGCGGACTGAGAGTCCTGCGCTTATCCTCGCGCGAACGTCGACGTTCTCGTAGCGCATATCCACATCTCCATTACTCGTTCTCCGACATTTATCGACGAAATGAAGGCTGATTGGTGGACTGGCCGATGTTGCGGCTGCTGGGGTTTCTTTCTTCCAAGAGTGTCGCGAAGCTCGACGGCTTCGCCTCGCCCGTGTCTCCCCACACATGTCCATTGCCTCGCCCGCGTACCAGCCCGTGTACGCCTCCGAGTCGCCTCGTCGCAGCCGTATGCGGTGCACCCGCGCCCCGCGGCGAAGCCTGTCAACCGTCCATTCGGTGCGTTGTACGCGGGCAACGACCAGCATGTGGCGCATCCGGTCAACTTGGATGCGCTGCAGCAGGGCGCCGGACAGGAGAAGAGATGGCAAACTCGAGGATACGGTCCGTCGCGATATATCTGCAACACGTCATCCTGCCCATCATGATGTCTTTCTCTTCCCTGCAGATAGCCACCTCCGCCGCTGGCGGTGTTGGCTCCGGCGCCAGTGCTGCGATGGCACTGGCATCGTCGGTACTGTCTTTTCAGACCTCTCCGCTTCCGCGCTGCCAATACCGTCATGACGGTCGTTACTACTTCCTCGTCTGGCTGCCTTTTATATGCTGCCTTTTCTGTATTGACTGATGGGTGGGCTGTCGTACTCTGCAACGATGGCGGTCTGCATACATGCACTAGCAATGGGATGTTCGGTTGGCAAGTAGTAGAGTCCAATGGGGGTGCGCGTGCAATGGGCCGCCAAACATGAGGCGACCCAGCGATCCCTCTCGACGGAGGGATTGAGGTGAGCTGTCTCAGCTTTACGCCTGCGTCTGGGCGGCGTTAAGGATCGTCACACCCAAGTCACGCCTGGTGAGGTGTCCCGATTACAGGTCATTGCGCGTGGCCAACAGTTACTCGACACGCATTCAAGTTATGCTGTGTGAGTGCTTCTACTCAACTCACGTTAAATGAAGAACCCGTCTGTGATCCGCACAGCTCTCACCTCGAAGCAGATATCCGGCCGCCTTTGAATGCATGTGGTCATCGTAGATGCCTCGTGCGGGCGATGCAGCAGAGATATGGATGTGAAGACGTAGACAGATGCGTCTACATCCGAAGGCGGATGGGGAGGAGCCTCTCGCCAATAGGAGCAATGCGGTAACTGACATCTGTATCTGAACAGCTTCGAGGCTTCGTGGAATGATGAAGTTGAGTTTGAAGATGTGTATTGCGGGTGCAATGTCTGACATCCGGTTCTTCTTTTCATGTATCTGCGATGGTGAGCCGTGGGAGAGACTGCGGTCCTTCGCTGTGCAAGGATGAACGGCGACGACGCTGTGCAAGGCAAGCATCGCGGGTACAGCAGATGCCAGTGAAAAGGTTCTGGACAGCGGTACGCTATAGCTCCCGACCTACATAAGCTGCGGTGGATTCGAAGGTGAGTCCTGTGGACTTCTGGTCATCTGCTGTCCTTTGGAACCTCGGAAGCTGACCCTCGAGTGGCCCAGATAGATGGGTGAACGCCTCATTTCCGGGCAGGCAAACATCGGGGTGCATCGACGATGATCCATTCGTGCGAGCATTGCAGGCAAGACGGTGTGGCACTGCTTGTCAGTGGACGGATAACGTTCCTCAGATCGTATGTGATCATATACGTGATCTATCTATATTGCAAGACCGATTCTCTTTTGCTGGGTAGTCATGAATGCTGTGGAGCACTCGAGCTTCGTGAAGTTGCGAGCTCATGGCGGGTCCGCGCGATGTACGAGTCTACGACAAAGCACGCGTTGAGCTAGTTCGTGGCTTCTCTTAACACAGGTGCGATGGTGAGCTCGTTTCAGATTTGGCTGTATCGTGTCAGTCTGCATCGAACGAACAGATGCACGCCGCACGAGTGTCACCGCCATGCTACAGAAAATCCGGCGAGAACCCCCGATCACGGTACCGCCTTCGTCTTCGAGCTCCATGTCCATTTCGCGAGACGTTTTGATCCAAAATGATTTCATTCGCAGCACGGTGTGAGCACAGTCGATGCTTGGAGAGTGGCATATTACAAGTTCCCGTCTCGCGGAACCTCCTGCCGGTCGATCTTCGTGTTGCGGTCGTCGGTCTCAACAACCTGTCTCGACGTCGGCCACCGACACCAAGCCAGCGAGCCAAGATCGCGTTGGAGATCGTCGGCCCCAGCCCGCCCTCTCGCCCCAACCTCAACAGAAGCGATCCCACCCCGGTCTGGCACCCTCTGCTCAATCACCGCTCGACCTGCCGACGTTGTTGCTCAGCACCCACACGAGGCACGCGATGACGGTCGCGTGGTCGTCCGTGATACAACTTAGTCGCTATCCTCTGAGTGCCTCGTCGGCGCATGCCAGTGAGGAACTGCTCGTGGTACTGTACCCTTGACTGATCTCGAGCTTGACGAGGGACGCGCCTTGACGGGATCGACTGCTATACAATACACGGATGCAACAGAGATATAGTTAGTCTTCCTGCTCTGCCAGCGAAAATGACAGTGCGCACCTCGGACGGGTCCATGACGGCGTCGGATGTTGCCAATCAATCTAGCATAGAGAGATGCAACGGGGCCGAGAAAGTGAGAGGACTATGGCAGGGCGGGGTGAAAAGCGACTACGTGTAGGGGACTCAGACGCATGGCTTCACGTAACTTAGCTCGGGTGTAGGACACGCAACGACGTGCAGGGCCCGGGGCTGTACACAGAAGCCCTCCACCGTAAAGCGCCGCATCGCATATTTCCGACGCGATCGAGGACGTATACCACCGAGTCTGAGCTGCGGCCTGTGCACGTGCTCTAATGGACAGATACACCGCTGAGTTGCCGCTGAGTACTGAGTACTGACTCTACTGAGAAAGTGATCTTGCGGCTGGATCTCAGGCTGAGCCTGACCGCAGATGGGCGCTCGTCCCGCACGCGCCTCGACCTTTCTTCCGACGGCCACGACTTGTGTTCTCGACAGAGCTGACGACCTACTGCGCCATGTTTGACGTATGCGACGGCGTGTTTCTCCTAGTCAAGACGACCGCTGGACCTAGACGAAGCGACAGACACTACCATCATAGGTTAGTACTTACTGGAGGAAGTACTAGCATCTGCGAAGCGCCTAACTTGAAGATCACATCTTTACCAGTCGTCCGATGCTGTGCGCGATCAAGTCTGCGCTATCCTCGACTACTCATGCAAGCTGTTCTGCAGTACATCCTCAAGCCACGCACGTAGAGCGCCGAGGTTATCGCACGCCGCGCACCATCGGTCATGTGGGAATGTGGGAATGCAGGGGAGATGGCCTCCCGCCCTTCGTTGTACATAACCCCCGGCGCCCGCACTATGGCCATTGCTACTCACCAAGATCCGCTGATACCATCGTCAGTTATGGAGCAAACTAGTTGGAAAGTGAAGTAAACCTTGCTTTTCTCCGCAGCTGCACGATGAGTCTTCGTCCACACTTGATCATCTTCCACTGTTCAACTTGAAGGTGCTTTGATCTCGACGGACTCGCCAAGTTCCGTGTTTTCTACAGAGGAATCGATGCCCCAAAAGTAGTTGCATTTACAGCATGCACTTTATACAAGGTGCAATCACTGTCTGTATGGTGGTAGGACATGCCAGTGCGGAGCCTGTATGGCCGCATATGGATCAGACCTCGCGCGCTTCATTTCGCAGGAAGATCGCCGCACCAGGATTTGACATAGGTGTCCTATTTGGGCGTGTATCGCTGCACCAGGATCGGACATATGGGCGCCTTGTCTGGAGTCCTATGATCCCCTCCTCCACGATGAATCATCATTGGTAAGTACATGAAGCTCTACCACCTGATACTCAGATATCAATCTGAGCTTCTCAATTGCACCATTGATACGACACCGCAGAAGAGATGGGTTCTCCGTCGAGGTGCCTCATTGGTACCTACTTTGCCCGAGTCGTGGTAAGTTACAACTGGGCCAGTCCGGGTGGCGGGTCGTTAGTTGTGATTGGTGATAGCGGTAAACAAAGTCCACGTATCATAAAGCTTGGACATCGTGTCTCTGTGTATGCGATGTCCAAGTCAGATACGGCGAAGCTGCGCCCTTGGACTGTTCAGTTTGCTGCAACCTCAACCATTCTGCCGAGTACTATGTCTACCCTACAACTCAATTTGAACCCTACGATGGGCAGTGTGTTAATTGGCGCACTTTTCTCCGCATTGTGAGTTTTTCCCTGGTACTGCCTCGCCCTGAGGGACCCGAACTGATTCGTTGCACCGGCAGGTTCTACGGCTCGACATTGGCTCAAGTCGCGTATTACTCTTGGCACTATCTGCGCCGCGACAGACTACTCGTGAAGACACTCGTGCGTTCTGTGTTTGTCACGACGCAGTATAGCTCTGATTTTTGGCGGATCATTCAGGTGTTCTGCACATTGTTGGTGCGAGGGTTTGACGCTCGGTAGTATGGGACTGACTACTAGGTCGACAAGGACGCTCGACACGGTCATAACCATCTCGGACGTCGGCGTATGTGGCCTCCAGATATCTTAATTTCCTCCTTATGCTGAGCGAGGTTGATCATATGGCAGATTGTATGGTCCTACGTTGTCCAGGGCCACGCGCAGCTACTTGCCCTTACCGTCGTGCCGAAGTACTTTTGATCTGCTCGCATCGCCTGCTTTCTTCTAACGCAGAGTTCTCTAGAATTTTTGCAGTGAGTTTTGTAGACTTCTCGTTGGAGGCTCAGCCGTCGAATATCAATGACATAGGTGCAATATGCGATGTTGGTGCGGATATCCTTCTCTCGAACAATTGAGCAAACATAATACACGACTGATAACTTGAATCCGACCAGCGCGCGACTATATGCGTTGTTCAAATGTATCCAAATCCACCGGCTCTAGCACTGCTACGTGAATTCTGACTCATATCACGATATGTAGCTTCTATATCCACGGAATTTGGCGACGTGGGTCTAATCCTGCATCTGGTGGCTAATGCTGAACCCTCTACGTTTGTCAGTATTTGGGCAGTCCAGATCAACGTATAACTTAATGCGACTGACAGTGACTATCCCCCCCGTGAGCGCACTTCTCCATTCATCGGAACGCTGCATGCTGACATGGACATGCCTGAGATAGATGGTACTGTCTCTACTGGCTTTCAGTGAGTTATATGTCGGGAAGATCATGATCGCTTGACTGTACGGTGACCACGCACGATGCTAGTATCCGGCCTCGGTGAGATGGCATAATCCATAGCAGATCGCCGCGGCGCTGACGACTCCTTCGCCATTGACAGTGGGAGTCTACGATACTGCGTAAGCAGAGCTGTGGGTCACGAATGGCCGCACATTGACTTGTTCCAGTACGCACGGCTGGATTATCACGAATACTCTTCGCCCAGACGTGGTAAGCCTCTAGGCCAAGTACGATGAACTGATTTGAGGCGACAGACACGCAGGTACCGAGCGCAATCAATAATTGTGCCGCTGCAGGGGCGGACGTATGTATATGCATTGCCCTCTGTTGGATGTTGCGCAGCAGGATGACGGGCTTCAAAAAGTGTGTAATTTCTCTGCATTTCGATCCGTACCGGGCTGACATGTGCGCCTGAAGCACCGACAATGTCATCCGGACACTTACAGTCTACATCGTCAACCGCGGGATCCTCACGACGTGCGTTTTGCCGATCCCACTGGACCATCTCGCTGACTCCAGAATGATCGCCTTCAAGCGTAATACAGATCGTTAATCTAGGAATGGTTCGTCATTGTGTTTGACACTCGTCAGCGCCCCGAGCTAAAAAGCGCCGCGATAGTTTCTGTCTTCCATCGCACCCAGCACGTTGACGTGGTTCATCTTCAACTGTGCGGGAGTCAAGAGTACGTCCCAGCATCTCTACTCTGGTGCTCAAACTCACCGCGTTTCCCTCGCAGTGTATGTTAACTCGATGATGGCCGTGTAAGCAACAATCATGGGCTTCCATCGTCTGCGCTAACTTGCACCTTATACACACTTCCTTCAGCCTGAATGCTCGCCAACACCTGAATTCCGGCAGTGACGAGGTGTCCTACGTATCCGGCTTCACAGAAGGCACGGCTAACTTGAAGGTTGGCGCTAGGAAGGTTACAGCCACGGATCCGGAGACTGTTTGCTTGGATACGTACTGCGGATGATAGTCTGTCTCGCTATCCTTAGTCGAGACTTCCTGACTCGTGGTGTCGTGGTGTTGCCGCTCTTGTCAGTCGAGGACGCCCGAGTATGTGCTTCAGTGCCAGTGTACGCTGTTTCCACAACCACTATGGCTCTAATGCTATGCTATTCTATTTTCCGGAAGTACTGACAAGATGATGCTTGCAGTGGCGCTGTTCTGAAGCAGTCGGTGTGTCGACGACGGCGGAGAACGTGTTTGGAAGGAATGGTCGCCGTATGGCACTCGGTCATAAATGCGGCGTGCGGAGGTAAATTAAGCATCCGCGAAGCGCCTAAGATCACATCTTTACTGGTCCTCAACTCAACGGCAACTGGTCGTCCTCAAGGGCCCTGTGCGGTGTCGCGCATCTACGCTGTCCGACTTGGCGACTCGTCGCTCCACCGCAGAGCACCCACAAGCCACAGATGGAGAGTCCCAGAATTGTCACGCGCCGCGGATTAGCGGTCGTGTGGAAGCCACGGCATGATATGGGAGAGCCCGAGAGGGCTGGACCTCGGTGAGTCGCCGCGAGCAACTTGCACACATTAGCAAGAGCTGCCTTGCTCACCCTGTCTTTATGCTGTTCGCATAAAGATATAAAACTAGCGACAGGTCTTGTAGATGTCGTCGCGAGCCCGACCGATGAATGGCCTGTCGTCGACCAGTTCGTTGACAGCAGCGCGCATGTATGCGGTCTCCCGATCTAGCGGACAGCACTGCATGCGCGTTGTACGCACCATTCCCTCTCCCCCGCTGCTTCCGACGTTTGCGGGCCGATGGGACTTGCCTGCACCGAGCCTATAGAGCGGACGAGGGGCCAGGGCACAACAGTTGGACACCCGAGGAATGATGCGACTGGCGAGGGCATAGTGGATTAAAGAAGGGGAGCAGTGCAGCGGAAAGCGACTCGAATCCATGTCGCTTCAATAAGGAGAGTCGACCGCGCGGCGCGTGGTGGTATCGGATGCAGCCTCGTACGTCGCGCACACGAGCACTTAAACGACGCTTAATACAATAACCACCAAAGTGCGAAGGTTCGGAAGCCCTCTCGCTGAGTCGCCTTCTACGTCTCGCCCCAGTGCGCTAGGCTCGTCATCCGTCTGCCAAGACAAAGAGCCCATGCCGCTCTCCATCCTCCACTCACGCTCACGCACGTCCAGTGCAAGAGCTGAGAGAGACGCGCTCCCGCTCCTTCGAACGGTTTCCCGTGCTGGCCTCGATTATTGTTGATGTGAGTTCCCTTTCGGTGTCGTGTACCTGAGATGTCACGGTCCGACTCTACGCTTATGCTGATACCACGCAAGGATGCGCCTGCGACAACGACGAGTCATATCAAGTACCTCATGCGCCGCAGCAACACGGCAACTTCTCGGCCTGTGGCAGCTGCACATTTAGCTCCGTGTGCTTGAGGACGAGACCCCGACGACATCGTTTTTCGCCACTCCCAGGAGGATTACTGGTACATAGGAGATTCTCCGGAACAATTGCGGGAACGTGTGGTCTTGCGGAGAGTAGTCTCAGGTATGTATCCCCGGTGCGATTCAGATGGTTGCCGTACTGACGCGAGGCTCGCAGAGCCTCATCTTCATCTATCCACGAGGCCTTCGGCAATCCATGCACGTACTACAAGCGTTATCTCCGCGTCCTCGACTTAGCACTAAGCAGACGCGGCCCCGTCCCTACCTCGCGCGCCCCTCATCATTGGGTAAGACCACGCAGGACTCCGGCAGGAGTGGTTTCGGACGATTGTTCTTTGAAGACCACGTCGCGCTTTCAAAATCGTTGACTATTTGTTCCCGCGTCCTCAATCATATGTCGGTGAGTTCATTTCATCCGGTCATCCGGAGTTCTCCTCAACAAATATATAGGTCGGGTGCCCGATTATGGGAGAAGTAGAGCACGTACTAGTCTCCCTAGTACTGCCTTTGTATGTAGTCTGCAGCCAGTCGGCGACGCATGCGTGCACGTCGTCACAAATACGACCTGCTCACTGCTCGAGTAAGCAGCGAGTCGGATCGGCCTAACATCGCTCGCTGGGCAAATACTTTAGTTGAGTACACGCTGGGCTTGTCTCAGTTGCGGACGCCAGGAGCCTCGCGCCTCAGCCGCCGCCTTTCTCAATAGACCAGCGCAATTTTGATCGCTCGTCTTAGGAGACCAGCTCGTCCATCGTGAGCAGGACGACCTCCTGCGACATCCCGTGCACGAACCAACACCACACGCGCACGAGGCCGGGGAACCCATGCATACTTACAGCCTGAGAGGCCCCGGTCGACGTATAGATGCATCGGTTCGGTACGAACGACCGACCTTGACGTGAACGTCGCGTCGTCCCGCACCTCGAGGATCAAAACATGCCGCAACGGTGGCTGTGAAGACGACGGGTCAGGAAGCGAAAGCCGGTACAGGGACGCTATATGCTTACAGGCTACGGTCGTGCTTAGTAAGAAGGTGGATGCCGTTCAAGTTTGGGTAGCACCGTACCGTATGACTTGACGATGAACCGACCGCCGCGTGATGGCGCGTGTCCCGGTGTGCGGCCCATATACGACCGCCCTCCCCCACTCAATAAGGTCGTGTTTAGGGTCTGCCTACGGGAGACTAGTGTGCGGCGCGCCTCGCTGCGTGCGACAGCTCGAAATGCAGATGCGACAGGTCGTCAGCGCGTCAGCGTCGATGCACTCATGGGCGAAGACCGCTCACCCTGCTGCGTAGCGTTGATCAGTCCCCGCTACGCGTCGGAGTGTCGGTAACCCAGTGACGGTAGCCACCTCGTCCACCGGCCAGCATGAGCCATGGGACGAGCGTCCAGCAGAAGTTGGTCGTGGTGCGTGAGGATGTCCTCAAAATGTCCGTCGGTCCACGTTTCTGCCGTTCATGAGCGCGCAGTGGACAAGGAGACGATCTAAGTTCGCAATGCGCACCTTCCTCTGCTCGGCACTACCCTCTTTCCTCTTGTATCCCATCCTCGTCTTCCGCGCAGCGCGCACCCAGCCTTCCGGCTCCGGCTACGTCCTTCCTCTGTTCGATCTTGTGTGATGTTGTGCTGATTATTCGTCCCAGGTCTCTCGGTGAACGTCGTACTAGTAGTACGGCGAGTTGATCCCGACGTGTCGGTCTGCGCGTCCACCCTTCAGTGACGTGCGTCTGTGATGCTCGTACCGCCTGACAGTGGCCACCGGTCCCGTTCTTGCCCTCCACGTCTCGTCTCGTCCAACCCGTCCGCCCTCCTCGTGTCCCCGGTACGTACGTCGCGTCCTCACCCTGACTTCGTGCGTGCTGACGTGGCTCGCCCGTCGTCAGTGAAGATCGCGGCATACGAGACACGGACACGTACCGCCACTCAACCCTCTCCAGCGCTGCCAGCTCAGGAGGCCATTCTGCGGGTTGCAGAGCAGTCCACCAACTCGTGCATACCGAGCTGGAAAGCGTGGAACGCGTATCTCAGGCCACGCGTTCACGGACCCTGGCCGTAAAGTAGCACACGGGTGCTAGACGCGACTCTGGTCCGCATCGACGTGGGCGGCGCGTAGAGGTGGCGGTATTTAGGAGAGCGAGAGTGGTGAGCGACCGAGGGCGACAGGGGCAACGTTGGGTACCATACGAAGTGGGTGTCGCGACAGGAACGTAACAGCTGGCGTACGATCAGACCGCTGAGCGTCGTGCGTAAGCATTCGAGACGCTTACCCAGCTCATACGGTGCCACGCGTCTCCTCACGCCATCCGTCCGTGCACGTCCGTCCTCGCGCTGCTGGCGTGCCGATACATAGAGCCCGTCTCGAGTGGTCGTCCGCTGGTCGAGTCGTCGCTGCTGTGTGGGAGGTCGAGGCAACGTACAGGAATTTGAACCAGCTTGACGGAAGGAGGTGGTCTGACGTCAGGAACTCGTCGAGCCGCGGAACTAAATTTAGCACTGAGCGCCCAAGATTGCATCTCTACCGGTCGTCAGCGATTTGTACCCGACCAGGCGCGTCATTGTTCCTCCACAGACCACTGGGGCTGGTGAGCCACGTCAAAACAGGACCGGTGTCATAGCGTGTTGCGCATAACTGGGGACAACGCTTCAATTTCCCTGTGACGTCGATGGGCATCTATCTGTCCTAGGAGCAGCCAGTGAATACATGGCATAGCGTAATAAACAGGTGGGTATTGGCAACATACAGCGCATCAGTGACTAATGAGCAACCACTGACGCCGTAAGAGGCTGTCTGAAGGGATTGGCACGATCTTCATGTACAAAATACGAGGGGAACCACACGGCGTGCGCACAGACATCAATGATCACAATGGGCGGTGACACAAGTGTCACTGTGAGAACCGAGGACCGTAGTTACCTCAATCGGCCGCCGGACAGCCTTCGTCGCGAGTTGCTCCATAATTTCGAGACAATATATCGTCTACTCGGAGCTACGAGTCGGACGTAACCTTCCCTCTCGAAGACACGGGACCTGTCGCAGACGACGCGTTGGGCCTCTGAGGTACTAACTTCATGACGGAGGGGGATTTGAACATCCAGCGCGGGGAATCAAGATCTGAAACGTACCGCATTGTTCGGCCTGCTAGATCGACGACTCACCTTGAGCTGTGCTAACTACTCTGCGGGTTCTGCGCAGCCTCGCGTTCGATCATCATGTAACTTTCAAATGTAAGAAAGTATTCGAGATTTATTTACAGAGCTACACCTAAACCTATAAAGGCGAAGTGGTCGAGGGACTTCACTGACCCAGTCTGGGACTCGTCCTGCCATTGCAGCGATATCGATTCGTCGAGCGTCGTCGCGGTCACCTGTGGGGCCCCGCTGACGGCTGGCGGTCCGATGTAAATTACGCTGGATGCATCGGATGCTGCGCTCGAGCGAGTATCCACGCCTTGCATCTCAACGTCGAGCTCCTGCCAGTGCGCGGCAGTCCCTCTGAATTTTCGCCAGACGTCACGGCTAGAGAGATGATCAGCGACGATTGAACGAGTGGAGTGCAAAGTTCATCGCTTACATGATCTGCAATATAGCTCGCTTCGGACTGTCCGTTCCCGGCTCCGGTGGGTCCTGCTCGTCCCCAACTTCCCACGTAGACTCTGAGTCAGTCACCTGCGGGGAGTCGACGCGTCGATCGCCTTCACTCTGAGGCTCATCTGGAGCGCATTTGAGCCATCCTCTCCTGTTGAAAGTGTCAGTGCATCTTGGACAATCGGAGTGTCGAAGATTGCTGACCAGCTGTCCTGATCTATCCCATGATCTCCTCCTAGGCGCCATTGTGTCCGCTCCACGTACAATTGCAAGTCAACACTGAACCCTTGGACCGTCCCTGGTGGCGCCCAATCATCGCATTCCAGCAGCCACTGGAGTCGCCGTGCGATGTGATTGGTGGACATCATGACATTCCGGCGAATCTCGGTCGTACTCAAGGATCGATTGATGTACCAGCCCATGCGATACAACACCCAATCGAGCCTGTATATGGCCGCAGGATGAAGGTCTCGTATAGCATTTTGCAGCTCCTGGCGGCGGAGGGTAGCCAAGTGCTCGTCGAATCGGTGGAGCATGTCGGCCAGGTAAGCTCCCCTCGACGGCTCGGCTGGCAATGTGTGCTCGTTTTGGGCGGACAACATGCATATGGCCAGAACGGTTGTCGTGATCTGGATGGTGGATACAGGGTCATGATGTGCGTATATCGTCGTGAGTGCAGTCTGCACGAGTCCCCAGTCTATGTTGAACTTCAGCCTATGTCCTTTGCAAATGAAGTGGATGTTTGACTTACCTTGAACGTCGCGTCGACGATATAGCTCGGTCTGTGGAGCACAGTCAAACGTTCTGACCTTCTTCATCTTGTCTCGCTGCCAGTACCCGATGTCCTCCGCGAGGAAGTCAATTGTCAAGTAGACATTTTGTATGACATCCAAGGCGGCTCTGTGTCGTTCTGTGGACAGTTTACCACTGTGTAAACACCTGAACAAAGTCATGCAGGCCTCGATTCCATCGGCGAGAGGCATAGCGCGGATAAGTCCAGCCAAGCAACGGTTAAAGTCCAAGTCAAGACTCGGAGGGCTGTCATCAGGTTCTGTATGCGCGAGAGTGAACGTGTCCAGCACCATGCGACCTATCGAGGCGATAGTGGTGCTGACAGAGTCGTCATGCTGCGCCAAATTACCAGACTCCGGAGAAGAGGACTCGGACACTCTTGAGGGTGGATACTGATGGTTCGACAAAGCGGCGAATAAGGCTTCGCCCATTGCCGTCACTTTTAATATTGTTTCGGCAGTCCCTTGATCGCGCCGGGGCCGGAGGGAGCCGTCGATGTCTGCGTCGTCCGGGCCCAAACACTGAAATAGCCACTTACACACCTCGATCCCGTCGGCGAAAGGCATGGTGGGGGTAATGGCAATCAAGGTATGACAGATTGGGTCCAAGCTGAGACGAATGTCGCCAAGTTCCAGTTTTGTCTGTGCTTGAATGAACGTGTCCGCCACCATGCGACCTATCAAGGCGGTAGCAGTGCTGTCCAAGCCATCGGATAGCAGTCGATCACCAGGTACCGAACGAGAGGGCCCGTACGCTCGTGAACGTGAATCCTGTTGTTTCGACAAGGCGGTGGCAACGGTTTGGCCAATCCCCGTCACGTTTTCGATCGCTCGGGCGATAGGCATCGCTCGCACGCAGGTCGCCATTGCGCGAAGGACGTCTGTGTCGTCTGCAATGGAGTAGATGTCCTTTAATAGGGACTTTGCTTCGCTGCGGGTGGTCCAGTCGCCCAGACATACTTGTTCATGTGCCAGCCAGTCAGACGCTTCCATCAATGTACGCATGTACAATTGACGCTGAAAGAGGGAATCGCGGATCTTCTGTATCTGTGTGTATATGCGAGCTACACGAGAGTCACTGGACCACGACCCAGTGAGAGAAAAAATCCAGCTGTCGACTCGGTTGACGAAGGGGAGGATCGTCCGACACAACTGCAGGAGGACCCAGTAAACCACTGGCCACATGGGTTTGCAGGCCTTGCGTATCCACCACGCTTGGGGCGACTTGTAGGCACTGTAATCCACCAATGCGGGTGACACGGAGGTGAAAGCTAGAAAGAGAAACAAGACGCCAACGAAGACCGTGCTCGGAATGGCGATGTCGAAGCCTAGCTCCCAGAGGTAGCCCACGATCCCGACGAGGAAGAGGACGAGGGCCACCTGAAGGAGAAACGGAAGGATGCCGACCATGAACTCCACTTTCCACTTGTCCATCGCATGCCTACGGAGCTGCCACGTCCAAGCCTTCTGGGACGCGTCTTGTAGCCCAGCTTTCTCCGTCGCGTGGAAGTTTAGCCATTGGTTCACGGCTAAACCGACGGATGCGGCGCTGAGGCTGAAGACCAGGGCGACGAACCACAGCGCGGCGATCCAACGGGGCGCAGCGGGTGGTGAGGAAGCGGTTGTAGATGAAGTGTTCGTAGGGACCGTCGGCACCAGAGCCGAGGCGCTCGCAGCTGCTACGACCGCATCGGTGGCCATGTTACCGAGTTGTGCTGATATGCGCTCCAGGATGGCCGTGTTGGGGTCAGGTGTTGGCAACAGAACAGCATATAACTGAACCACGAAAGCGGTGAGGACAGCGGAAAACAAGCCGGCCTACAAGGGAAGCATCTCTCAGTCGCTCTTCGCGGGCGCTCGGTCAGCGGTGTGAACATGACTCACAAAGACGAGGAGTGTATTGATTTCATTCCGCCATCGATCTGCACGGTCCTTTTCATAGGCCCACGCTGTATCCGCCAGTTTCTCCCAAGCTTCTGGTGCCTCTGTTGGGTTCCGTGGTTTCATGAACTTCTCGAGTACGTTGAAGAAAGCCCTTTCCTGTTCTGACTGCGCTATTCCCTGCGCTGGAGGGGTTTTTGATGGCGGATCTTCCGCCCCATTCGTTCGCTCATGCGGGTCCTGATGGCGCATATCAGCTTATGATCATTTCACGCATAGGAGAATGTTCGATGTCCGTGCTCACTTGAGTTGGGTCAATTTCGTCAGGCAACGGGAACGCTCTCGTAGCACCCGTATCGGCCAGGTTCGACGGCTGTGCATACAGGTGAGCAATCCCATCCGCCCTTTGATCCCATATATACTCACTGACGGACTAGAGCTATTGCCTTCGCTAGAGCCTAAGCCAGCTGAACGGATGGCAGTGGTCGGCGACGGCATCGCACCGGGGTCGGGAGTCATTGCGGTCTCTTCGACGCCATGCTTTGGTGGGATCGAAGAATCAGCCGACAGTTCCTGTATAGTCTACGGATACAACAGCGATATCAGTATGCATGCCGTGCCAGTGAAAACGACGGTGCGTACCTCGGGTGGGCCCATGACGGCGTTGTATGGTGATTGGTCTAGCGTCGAGAGATGCGACTGGGCAGACTCGGAGAGCGAAAGGACGACGGAGAGTGAAACAATGTTTCGTATAGCTGACTCAGTCGCGCAACTTCGCGTAGATCAGGGCGAGTGAGGAAGCTGCCAGAGCAGGACACCGAGCCTGGCTGTCGGACGTTGAGAGCGCGAGGATATATGTCGTCGAAGTGGTGCTGAACAGAGACCAACACCGCCGAGCCTCGAGTCCACAAGGGCGCTCGCAGATTGACATAGGAGGGAAGGGGCATGCCAAGGTTGGACGAGATGTACCCGGGCTGTACAGAAGCGTACGTGTGGTGTCCATGAGCAGCAGCCGAGGCGCTGCATCGGAGCCGCATGCCTTTGTCCGCTCTCAGGCAAATGTTGGCAACTACAGCCATGCGATGCTGTCGAGCATCGCGACAGTGGTCCCTGTCGAGATGCGGTTATAGAAGCTGACAATCGTGTCATAATATGCGACGATGTTTGCAATGAGGCGCGTTGGTGCTCACATTGGGATCCGATCTAGAGCGGCCGCACAGATTTCGAGCTGACTGACACGACTCGGAGAGAACGCACATAACCTATGTACCAGTCATGTTCCCGACCGATATGTCGGGCAGCACCGCGATAGGTAATTGGGTTTGCGGGGCAGGCTGACCGGTCGGCCAGGAATGAGATTGGCGCGTGGCTGAAGTAGTTCCGCTTGCATGCAGGCGAAAGATCGTGTCGAGGCTTATTCGGCTGACGCAAAGGCAGTACTTAGCGTTCAGAAGGGCTCACCGCAGGACGCCTGCTGGCTTGTATGGTCTGCAACGGAGGTTGCAAGCGGTGTCCGGCTATGGGCTCATCTGCTGATTCCTCGCTCTGGGGCACGTTTCTTCTGATGAGTCCGTTGACACCGGTAAGTGAGACGTTTCGCCGAGTTGTGCGGGAGGTACAAGAAGATCATCAAGTACTAGACTGCGGCTTCGGCACTTTACACGATGACTATCACCGCAGCGACCGCGGCTGTCACCCCAATTGTGTTCAATGCGTGACTGGCAACCAAAATACGAACCTTATTCGGAGGCCTCCATGATGATGGTGCGTGTCATCCGCCTTGGACGCCAAATGAGTAGCGAGCGCTGCCGAGTTCATCGGACGACGCATCACTGGGGCCCTAATGCGTAGGAAGTACCCCACATAGTCACGAAGTCCGGCTGCTCAATCGCTCGCAGACGTGAGTGGCAAATCAGCACTGTGTATACACTCACATTGAACTGTCGTTGTATCGGTGGCCAAAGCCTCGAGTGTGTGGTAAGTCATGTCATAGGGCTCGAGTCAAGCATCTAGACGTCCAAGGTCCCCTTGAGTCCGTAAGTAGTGTTTGGGACTCGGAGGATGAACAACGGGCATTCGACGCACCGCTCGCACTGACCTCAAGGGCCTCACGAACTTGCGCGAGACTTCGAAAGAAGCGAGGCATAGCTATACTTACATGCATATTCGGATGAATCGCCGAGCTCGAGGCAAGGACAGGGCCACATGGATCCGAGACTGTGGAAGCGCCCAAGATCACATCTTCACCGGTCGTAACGACTCGAATTCCTCCTCCTCTGTCCTCCTTCGTCGTGCTTGACTCTGTCTGATTTATCGCAACCTGAGCTGGCTGCACACGCATCTCCCGGGTCGCACGAAGGAGCACACCGCCGCCACAAGAACACGGGCGCATGACGGGCGCGGGACGCTAGGCTCAGCTGACGTCACCCTCCAACGCCTCAATATCGTCCTGGATTGGTCCTGGACAGCGCGGTCTGCCTTGGTCCCCAAGCCTCCCCGCCTTTGTGCGCAAACACATTGGTGGAATCCCCAACTTAAGCGGTCACGGTCCGAGTCCAGCAGTCGTTTGACTTCACCTGAGCCCCTGCCGCCAGTGAGGCCTCCTGCCGGTACGTCCTGTCTCGTTCATCTATTGCGGTTCTCGGTTTCCTGCTTCATTACAGATCCGCTTGGATGTGCATATTCCCTTCACACTCTATTCTTCAATGTCGATTCACCCGCGAGCGCCGCCCAGCATCCGCCTCCTCGACTGAACCGGCTGCACGCCAAGTTGACAGTCGCGTCAAGAGGTACTCCGTCGAAGACGGTGACGCCCTTCCGCCAGGCATCCAGGCATGAATTCCAGAGCAGAAAGGAGGGTTTCGAGTTGCCGCATGCGAGGCTCGTGAGAGCAGGAGGCATTGATGGCCGACTGAGGGACTAGACCGTGAGTACAGTATGATTATGTGCGATCACGTCCATACAGTGCTGACTGGCAACCTACTTGTCTACGCAGTTGCAGGTGCGGCAGTGACAGGCAGGTCCGTCAGCCTGGCGTGAGATAATTGCTATCATCTCAAGGGTAGCATACAGGACTGCGGCCATCGTCTACTAGTAGTGGGCGTGGCGCCACAGTGCTTGTAACTTACGGTCATAGCGATGTATGTTCCGAGCTCGCAATATGATTTGTTATCACTCACATCCCCGCTCACTTGTCGCAAGTTGCTCGACGGGACGTCGCGTAGCATATTGAGGTGCGATAATCCTAACAACAGTTCCAAGCAGACGTACAGGAGGCGATTCGTACCGAACGAACTAATACACAGACATCAAACAGCAGGCCCCGTTCGCGAAACCTCCAGGCAATCCGGTCGGTGAACACAAGCGTATCGTAGACACAGTAAGCCCGTATGCATCAAGATCTCCATGACCATAACTTACAACAGCCGTCATGGACAGCTGTAGTAACGAGCGCAAGGATTTACGAGACATCAGCCCATCGCAATGAAAGAAACTGTTCTTGCACCGAGAGATCTATCATCGGTCGCGATTGGTCAACAATCGGTCTAGACTGTCCGTCTGCGGTGGACGTCAGCATTCGGCGGCGATGGTCTGTCTCGCGACGCACGACGTACACGTCGATGTCACCATCCTCCATCCTCCGAGTCCAAATCATCCGCTGCCGGCGTTCTGGCGGTCCAACTGCAAGCGCGACTCGGATTGCGCGGGTGCGTCCCCAGGTGCAGCTATTTCCTCCTGACTCGGACGCGCGACGCCGTCTTGACGTCGATCCGCGTGCTCGATCGCGCCTACTAGTCCACCCTGACGACCTTCGTCCGCGTCCGCGCCGCGCTCAGCTACTCCGCGTGAGGCATCCGAGTCGTCTGCGTGCGGGTCGGTGTAGTCTAGGGACTGCACTGACCCAGTCTGGGCCGTGTCCTGTGCTTGCGGCGATTCGTCGAGCGTTGTAGCGGCCGCCGGCGGGGCCCCACTGACGGCTGTCGGTGCGGTGTCCGTCACACCGGGTACATCTGGTGCTGTGCTCGGGCTAGTATCCGCTGCTCGCATTTCGACGTCGGGTTCCTGCGTGGCAGTCCATCTGGATCTGCGTCGGATGGCATGGCTAGAGAAAGGATCAGCGACGATTGAACGAGTGGGGTGTGTGGCTCATCGCTCACATAATTTGCGTTATGTATCGCTTCAGACTGTCCATTCGCGACTCCGGTGGGTCCTGCTCGTCCACAGCTTCCGATGTACTAGGCCCTGGGCCAGCCGCCTGCGGGGAGTCGACGCGTCGATCGCCTTCGCTCTGGGGCTCATATGGAGCGCATTCGAGCCATCCCGTCCTGTTGCAAGTGTCAGTGTATCTTTGACACTCTGAGCATCGAAGATGACTGACCAGCCTTTTGGGTCTATCCCATGATCTTCTAGGCACTCTTGTGTCCATTTCGCATACATTTGCAAGTGAACACTGAACTCTTGGACTGTCCCTGGCGGCGTCCATACATCGCATCCCAGCAGCCACTGGAGTCGCCGCGCGATGCAATTCGTTGACATGATGGTGTTCCGGCGAATCTCGGTCGTACCCAAGGAATCATAGATGTCGCTGCGGTACATGCGAGCCAACACCCAATCGAGTCTGTATACGGCCGCGGGAAGGAGGTGTTGCACAGCATCTCGCAGCTCCTTGCGGTGGAGGGTAGCCAAGTACTTGTCGAATCGTTGGAGCATGTCGGCCAGGTAAGCTCCCCTCGACGGCTCGGCTGGCAATGTGTGCCCGTTTTTGACGGACAACATGCATATGGCCAGAACGGTTGTCGTGATCAGGATGGTGGATGCAGGGTCATGGAGTGCGTATACCATCGTGAGTACAGTCTGTATGCACTCCCAGTCTATGCTGAACCTCAGCTTACGCCCCTTGCAATTGAAATCGATGTTTGACTTACCTTTAACGTCGCGCAGACGATATAGCTCGGTATGCGGTGCGCAATCGTATGATCTCGCCTTCTCCATTGTGCCATTGTGGGAACCTCTGTACCAGAAGTCTTCCGCAAGGAAATCAATCGTCACATAGACATTCTGGATAACATCCAAGGTGGCCCTTCGTCGTTCCGTGGACAGTTCTCTATCATGTACACGCTGAAACAAAGTCATGCAGGCCTTGTAGCCATCGGCAAGAGGCATGGCGCGGATCAGTCCAGCCAAGGTGCGATTGAAAGATTTCACATCGAGATGTCTATCGTCTAGTGGTTCTGTCTGCACTCGAGTGAACGTATCCAGCATCATCTGACCTATCAAAACAGTAGCAGTGCTGTCCAGACTGTCGTATTGCAATTGATCGCCAGGAGTGGAAGGTGACTCCCCTGACTCTCGCGCGAGCGAATCTGCATATGCTTGACTTGACAACACGCTCGTTCTTGCCTCGCCGATTGCTGCCACCTCTCCGACTCGGACTGATGGGAACTGGGATTCCTTCTGCAGGCAGATCTTCATCGCATACAGGGTGTCCATGTCCGTAGTCATGTTGTAAACGTACGAGAACAACGTTGTCTTCGTGTTCTGGCCAGCAGACAGCAGCCTTCGCAGGCAGAGTTGTTCATGCCCGAGCCAGTTCGTCTTCATCAATGTACGCAGGTGCGCTCGATGTTGAGCAATGGGGACACGGAGCGCCTCCATCCCATCGTATATGAGATCCGCGACCCACGATGAATTGTCAGGCCCAATCCCCAGGGAGCTGAGGATCGCACGACGCAGTCCGAGGGCGAACCAGCAAACCATACACTGCGTCGATCTGCAGGCTTGGCATATCCACCACGCTTGAGGCGACTTGTATGGACTGTATTCAATGAGCGCTGGAAGAAAGGAGGTGGCGACGAGGAATAGAAGCAGTATGCCGACAAAGACCGCGCTCGGAACGGCGATGTTGGTTCCGATCTCCAAGAGATATCCGATGATACCCACGAGGAAGAGCACGAGTGCGATCTGCAAGAGGCAGGGGAGGAGGCTCACGATGGACTCGACCTTCCACGTGTCGATCGCACTCCGCCGGAGCCGCCAGGTCCACAGTTTCTGAGGTGCACTTCGCAGCCCAGTCTGCTCGACGTGAAAATTCAGCCACTGATTGATGGCCAACGCGATAGAGGCGGCGGAAAGGCTGAATACCAGGGAGATGAACCACACGGTGGCAATCCACCGCGGCGGGTTGGGCGGCGGAGAAGGGCTGGATAGTGAAGAGTCCATGGCAGCCACCAACGACGATGAGCCGGTCGTGACGACAGCACCCATTGCCGCGCCACCAAGTTGCGAGGATATCCGTTCGAGGACCAGTAATGTACGCGCCGAGATCTGTGTTTGCTGCTCCAAGATATCTGTGTTGAAGTCGGGAGCTGGCAGCAGACCGGCATAGTACGGGGCAACGAAGGCGGTGACGACAGCAGAGAATAAGCCAGCCTATACATGACTCAATTCAAACCACTGCGCCTTGGCGCTGATCAGAGACATGGACGTGACTTACGAAAACCAGCAGTGCGTTGATTTCATTCTTCCATCGTTTGACGCGCTCCTTTTCGGTTGACCATGCTTCCTTGGCCAACGTCGACCAGGCTTCAGAGAGTTCGTCGACTGAGCCTTGGTACTGCTTCTGGTCCCCGAATTTTCTCAGTACGTTCACCAAGGATTCTTCGAATCGTTTCGTCGCATCGTTCAAAGAAATGTCTCCCAATTTCATATCCTCCGTCGTAGAGGCCTGAGCACCGGGATCCGCGAGAGGCTGCAGAAGCCTTCGTCAACAAAATTACTGCACAGACCATCCCGCTCATGCTCACCTCGCTTTGTGAAGGCGCACTTGCCCCTTGTGATGTATCGGGTTCATGACACTGTGATGATCGCTCCATGCGCAGCTGAACGGTGATTAGAACGGAGGAAGCTCACCTGAGTTGAGGCAGCTTCGTCAGGCAACGGGGACACTCTCGTAGTGCCCGTACCGGCTGGGTTTGATGGCTGTGCATATAGGTGAGCAATAACATCCACCCTTCGATCCTGTACATACTCACTGACGGTCCCGAACCATTGCAGCTGCCAGAGCCTAAGGTTGTCGACCCGACGGCAGTGGTCGGCGACAGCGTCGCGTCGGGGCCGGGAGTCGTTGCGTTGTCTTCGACACCCTGGTTTGGTGGTATTGAAGCATTAGCGGACGGTTCCTACACAGTCCACGGATACAACAGAGATGTAATCAGCCGTCTGCCGCGCCAGTGAAAACGGCGGTGCATACCTCGGGTGGGCCCATGACGGTGATGTATCGCGATTGGTCTAGCGTCGCGAGATGCGGCTGGGCAGACTTGGAGAGCGAAGGAAGGACTGACAGTGAAAGATAGCTAAGTACCGTATAGCTAACTCAGTCGCGCAACCTCACGTAGATCAGGGCGAGTGACAGAGCTCACAGAGGAGGACACCGAGACTGGCTGTCGGACGTTGAGAGCGCGAGGATGTATGTCGTCGAAGCGGTGCTGAACGGAGAGCAACACCGCGAAAGCCTCGAGTCCGCAAGGTTTGGGCGCTCGCATATTGACATGGGGGGAAGGGGCATGCCAAGGTTGGACGAGATGTACCCGGGCTGTACAGAAGCGTACAAGTGGTGTCCATGAGCAGCCGCCGAGGCGCTGCATCGGAGCCCCATGCCTTTGGACGCTCTCAGGCAAATGCTGGCAATAGGCTACAGCCATGCGATGCTGTCGAGCATCGCGACAGTGGTCCCTGTCGAGATGCGGGCATAGAAGCTGTCAATCGCAAGTCAATCGTGTCATAATATGCGACAATGAGTCCGCGACGAGGCGCGTTGGGTGCTCACATTGGGATCTAGAGTGACTGCACAGAGTTCAAGCTGACTGACAGGAGAGAACGCACATGCATAAGCTTACCAGTCATGTTCTCGACTCGGACCGATATGTCGGGCAACACCGCGACAGGAAACCAGGTTTGCGGGGTAGGCTGACCCGTCGGCCAGGAATAGGATTGGCGCGTGGCTGTCGGGACATCGAGCTTCATCCGCAGCTAAGTAAGCAGTTCCGCTTGCATGCAGGCGAAAGATCGTGTCGAGGCTTATTCGGCTGAAGCAAAGGCAGTACTTAGCTTTCAGAAGGGCTCATCGCAGGACACTTGCCGGCTTGTATGGTCTGCAACGGAGACTATCACCGCAGCGGCCGCGGCTGTCACTCCAATCGTGTTCAGTGCGTGACTGGCAACCAAAACACGGACCGTATTCGGAGCCTGCCTCCATGGTGCGTGTCGTCCGCCTTGGACGTCCGCTGCCATTTAAGTAGTGAGCGCTGCCGAGTTCATCGGACGATGTGTAACTGGGGCCCTGATGCGTAGGAAGTACCTTCGCCGATCTCGTAGTAAGTATCCCACATACGAAGTCCGGCTGCTGATCATTCGCTCGCAGACGTGAGTGGCAAATCAGCACCGTGTAGCCACTCACGTTGAACTGTCGTTGTCTCGGTGGCCAAAGCCTCGAGTGTGTGGTAAGTCGTGTCATAGGGCTTGAGTCAAGCATCTCAGAGACGTCTAAGGTCCCCTTCAAAAGTCCGTAAGTAGTGGTTGGGACTCGGAGGATGAACAACAGGCATTCGATGCGCCGCTCGCGCTAACCTCAAGGGCCTCACGAACTTGCGCGAGACTTCGAAAGAAGCGAGGCATAGCTATACTTACATGCGTGTTCGGATGAATCGCACGTACCGCGAGCTCGAGGCAAGGTCGGACAGGGCGGCCACATTTGGGCCACATGGATCGGACTGTGGAAGCGCCCAAGATCACATCTTCACCAGTCGTAACGACTCGAATTCGGCGACCTCTGTCCTCCTCCTCCTCCTCCTCCTCCTCCTCCTCCTGTCGTGGTTGACTCTGTCTGATTGTACAGCATAAGTACATCATGGCATTCGATACCTCTGAAATTTCGTCATCCTGTGCAGAGTGACTGCGTGGATCCCATAACGACGGAACCATTGTCGAGGAACCGTAGGAAAGCGTGGCTGACGGCCCACGGGTATTAACTTAGATGGATCTGGAGGCTGCCTGACTCCTGTGACTCCTGTGAGTGCAAGGCGCGCAATCAGAGGACTTAGCATGCCGATTACTTTCTTGCACTGTGTCCATTGAGCTTCATTGACAACAGCCTGCATATACTAACACTCTCACCCAATCCGACAAACGGTAAGTAGCGTAGGCGCATGACGTGCAGCACAATCGCTATCTTTCTGCGGGGACGGAAGACGGGGTTTGCGGGGTGCAACCTATATTGCTTCGGTGCCGCGTCTATCCTTACCTGAGTCGCATACAATGGACCGATGCATGCTGCGGTAGTTCCTTGTGAACCCGCTGGATGGAATGGCGACCGATGGGCTGTCCAGCCGCCTGGGGAGACCACTACCTATCCGACGACCCTCGACCTCTCATCCTTGCAAAGTCCGTCATACCCCAGAATTCCTGCGCGCCGTCTTCCAACGGTGAGCCCCGACGACCCTCGCCTTCCCAATCTCAGTCACGCACGCGCGTACGATCAGCGAAATGACGGTGAACTAGGTCAGGTCCGCTTCTTCCAGCGGATCTATTACCATGGATCTGAACGTCGAAGAGGTGAGTTTCCTTTGTTTGTCACGTACTCGAGAGATCAAATTTCAAACTCGATGCCTGTCATTATGCTAGGGCGATCTACGCCAAAAGCGCCTCTTGCGCCGAGCCGCCAGATGCCAGACGTCCAGCCGCTCGGCCTGTGGAAGTGTCCACTGCTGCGCTCAGCTCCGCAGCCTTCGGAAAGATATGGGTGACGATGTCCGAGAGGGATGGGAGACCCCTCAGGAGAAGGAAATGCAAACAGGGGTAGGGGCTCGGAGCGGAGAAATCGCAGGTGAGTATCCCCAGCGCGATCTACGTCTTCGCAACGCCTGGTGCTAATGTGTGTCTCGTAGTGTTCTACTTTGCAACCCGATCACTAGAGCCTGAGGCTCGACGGCCGAACCGCTGAGGTCCACTTCAACTCCCGCAACTACCTGAAATCATCCACATCACTCTATTTTGTCGTTACCGTGCCATCACCCCTTCTAGGTCGACACGTCACGAACTTGCGGTGCCTCAAGGGGTCGAGGCGCGCCGTGCGTCCGCACGTCAGCGCCGTGTGGGGCATGTCCTTCTGTCAGCCAGGCATGACCGCGATGGGCCTGAATGTCGTCGAGACCGTGTATACTGCACTATCAGAAAGTACGTTAATATGCGCAAGTTTCACCAAAGGCTTGTGAACTAATTGATAGCCACAGCACTCGAAGTGACTTCCTATGGACGGGACACATATCAATGCGTCTGCCGTTGCCGTCTGCTCCTCCCCGACACTCTGTTCTCTTCGACCGACACGCGCGTACTTCATTTGCCATATCCTCACGCCCTTGACTCATACAGACCGCGCCACCCAGCCCTGATCTCGCTCCGTCCATCTCGTCGTCCAGCAAGACCAAGCTCGAGCGTCATCGAGCAGTCCGTTTCGAAAATTGCGTCACGCTCTGAACGGGCGTGCAGGCGCGGACGGAGGAGACAAGGCGCAAGATAGTGCCGAGGGGCAGTACGTGAGCCTACGGAGCGGAGACTAAGATAGCACTGGCTACGAGGTAGTGCGTCTCATTCGCTCCTATGTCGCTCGTCTTTGCTGATCGATGCCTTCGCCAGTTTGTCGGCTGCACAAGGGACGCGTGTTGCCGTGCCGCGAGAAGCGAGAATCTTCCGTGGCTGCGTGAGGCGAGGTTGCGCGGCGATTGGTGCTTACTATTCCATCTGTCGCTCGTCTTCGTCTGGCGTATACTGGGTAATACGGATTCAACTTTCAGCTCGGGCATGGTGCGCTCGTCCACTCTCAGTGACCTGGTCCAAGAACCTCACGTTCGTGGAAGGCATATACGGCCTTGTTCCCCGCCGCGTTGTGGCCTAAGCTCGGATCGTGGGGCAGGATACTACTAGCCCGTCGGACGGGAATCACATCAGCGCATACCTGTCGAGACACTCATCTTACGTTCTTCCTCCACATCTATTCCTCGGTCTGCCAAGAATCGGTCGCAGACACACTCCCTAGTAGTCCCGCTATTGCGCGCGACTACACTCCGGTACCGTGCACTGTGCTCTGTGACTCCGCTTCTGCTGGTTATCTTCCGGGTTATATTCCAAGATGGTCCGGACTGCACCCGTTCTACCATCCTTCGCTCGGCTACGCACTGCAATTGTAAGTGCGATGACGGTGATGGAGATACACATACTCCTCGAATCACGAGGTGAGTCATCTTCCATTGTCGTGTACCCGCGACATCCGACTCAATGCTTTCTCTACTGTACCAGGACGTGCCCACGACAACGACGAGCTACGCCAGGTGTCTCCTACGCTGTGACATCTACACAGCGTTCAGCTGCTCGGCCGGTGGAAGCGCCGCGCCCGAGCTCATTGCTACGCTCCCTTTGGCCACCACTCGCGTACTTTACGTGCCAGCCCTCGACTCGACAGACACCGCCCTGCCAATCCGTCAACTTACTGGTCATCCAGCAAGTATGACCAAGTACGAGCGTAATCGAGTGGTGTAGTCTTGAAGACCGCATCGCGCTCTCGTCAGGCGTGTGAGCGGGGCCCTACCCTATGCGCTTGAAAGGACCTCTCACCATAGCTTCGATTGTCGAGAGGTGAGTTTCCTTCTGTTGCCATGTGCCCGGGACGCCGAACTGTAGAATACTGCGTCAGGCCGAGCCCATGACGATGGCGAGCCGCGTCCAATGCCTGTTGCACCGCTAGCAGCCTCGCCTCGATCCATTTGACCTGTGGAGGCACCGTATCCACCGCCACGCAGGGAGACGTGAGGTCTCGGAGACTTCTATGTTGATCTCCGGATCCTGCGCGCTTCTATCTCGCGTCAGAACGCAGCTTGCGCCGACCATGCACTACGCATCCATCCTCCTTCCACCCGCCTGACGACTGTTATGCTCCGCCAAATCAAGGATAGGGTCCCTCGCCGAATGGTGGTTTCTCGAGCACAATTTCGCACCTATGTCGGTCGAATCGCACATACCGACATTGCCCGCGGATGGCGTCGCTACGTCGCTGCCTGCGTCACAAGCGAGGGGTTGTCTACCACCGTGACAGGGGAGTGTCAGAGCCAGACAGGACGCGGCTGTACGGCGACAGTACCAATGTCTAACATGCACTGCACTAGCTTCTTCTAGGTTGTCATATGGTCGACGTGACGCGCCCGCCCTCCCTCGATCGTTGTCAGCCGGGCTAACGACTTCGCGAGTATCATGCCTGGGTGCGTGGATCTGCTATGTATATGACCAATGATGTATTGTATAGTCGAGACTAACCGGGCGGAAGCTACTGGCGATGACGGGATCAGGAAGACATCGGAGGTCACCATCTCGTAAAGTCGTAAGGGCTACATAACTGCCGCCTCCAGACCTTTGGAGCGAAGATTCAGTTGTCACACCCAAAGTAGTACGTAACAGCAATACACCTAATAAATTATGTTTGAACTTCTTGATGAGAGAGTGGAGGAGCTAGGGCGTGCAACAATTCAAGCAAGTGCATGTCCGCGGCGTGGACGGGGTAGTTTTCATCGACCCGATGGTTATATGCGTGCGTCAACACCGGACCCAGGACCCAGTACGCCGCGCCGCCACGTATGGGTCGAGCAGGAGCATGTAATGACGACCCACTGTCGCTGCTCTTGCTGTTCCTGTATTCTAGGTGAACGCGGTGCAAGGAGAGGGCCGGCTGCCGAAATGTATGGTCGGAATGCACATACCATGATGCAAACACGGTCAGCGTCGAGCTTGGTCGGCAGGGTATGCGCGATTCCGGCGGCCAACCTCGATTGCGGCTTCGTATAAGTACCGCCCGAAGGTACTTATGTTGTCACCTCTCTCGCTGTATGGTGCTGGAGTACTAATCCTTCGTGCTTATGTGCTAGTATGGTCGGTCCGGCGGAGGGTCCTGGTGCGCAGGATCTGAGAATCTGAAGGAGGGTAGTATGCGCGATTCCGACGCTCTAGCGGCTCCACACTCTGACAGATTGTCAGGTCGGTAGTACATCGCCTAGCTACATACCCAAGACAGTCCGAACAGGATGCGCTCCTGTCAGATTTCAAGCAGGGCACGCGCGGTCCCGGCGGCGGACAACTTCAAACGTGCCCCTTGGATTCCGTGTATGCGAAGGTATGCATTTTACCCTACAGTGACATACTGACATCTTCTGAGCAGATACCGTGAGTAATCAATCGTGATGCGTACAATATATGCGATCTCGATGGTCAACAGTACAAGACATGGTCAACTACCTCTCAACCGACCCAGACTTGTCAGGTGTATACGGACTCTCGTCGTTCGCTGACTGCGTAATTCACACCGTTGCAGTACCTTCTAGATTTCATTGCTGTACTCTCAACTTGATCGTCGGTGAATCCATTCCGGTTGCCCAGACAGCTCATAACAAATATATTGGTCAAGGAACAGGCCTAGTTACAGGAAGACTCGACTACGTAGTAGTACCTGTAGTACTGTCGCTTGTAGTCAGTCGATGACGCATGTATGTACACGGTCATGGGTTACGACCGGTTCGCTACTCGAGTAAGCAACAAGGCGGACTGTCCTGATCCTCGCTCATTGGGCAGCTCCCATACACAAAGTCTGTGTTGGGCTCGTCTCGGGGACGCCTTGTCAGGACGAAGGGGAGCCTCGCACGGTTCGATCGCTCGCCTCAGGAGACCGGCTCGTTCACTCGGAGCAGGGAGACCTTCTGCGACACCCCATACACGTACCAGCATGACATGCCCACAAGAACACATGTGTTCCCATGAATGCAACGCGGGAGGCCCGGGTCGCCGCGTAGGTCGCTCGATCGAGCGAGCTTGGGGTGCCAGTTCGGTGCAAACGATCAAACTAGACGTGGACATCACGTCGTCCTGCACCTCGATGTTAACGTTTATCAAGGAGGCGGACGCCGTTTGGGCAGCATTGCGCCGTACAATTTGACGAAGAACCTGCAGACCATTAGGCGTGTCCCAGCATGCGGCGGGCCTTGCTGCGTGCGACAGGCTACAGCTCATAGCGCAGGCGTTATAGTTCGTCAGCCTCGGTGCACTCACGGGCAAAGACCGCTCAGTGCTGACCGTACTGTCGGTCCCCGCCACACGTCGAAGAGTCGATAACCAAGTGAGAGCAGCCTCGTCGTCCGCCTGCCAGCAGGACTCGATCGCGGTGCGTGTGGATGAGTCTTCAAGACGTCCGTCGTCCGCGTTTCTGCCGTTCGTGAGCGCGCAGTGGACAAGGAGACGATCTACGTTCGCACCTCCTCTGCTCGGTACTGCCCTCTTCCTCTTGCATCCCATGCTCGTCTTCCGCGCAGCGCGCACCCAGCGGTCCCAGCCTTCCGGCTCCGGCTACGTTCATCCTCCGTTCGATCCTCTGCGGGTGCGTGCTGACTTTTCGACCGAGGTCGCTCGGTGCTTGTCGAGCTGATCCCTGCGCATGCATCCTTCAGCGAGGTGCTTCCGTGCATGAGCTGACGTGCATAAGTACTGCCCGACGTGGCCGGGTCCCGTTCTTGCCTCCGCGTCTCGCGTCGTCCTACTCGTGTCCACGTCGCCTCCTGAGCCTAACTTGACCATGCTGATGTAGCTCGTTAATGTACTGCTGTACGTGCAGCGCCGGTAATTGCATGGACTGCGGTACGTGTTCTGCTCCGCTTCGTGCGTGCAACTGCAGTCCGCGGAGTGTCCTCCCGAGACAACGTTGCAGTAGAGTGTTGCGCCGGTACAGGAACACGGGACGTGCTCTGGAGCGGACGGGGCGGCAATATATATACGTGTCCCATGGGTTGCGGTCTTCGCTGGCGACGGGTGCTACAACTGACCCGCATCGACGTAGGCAGCGCGTAGAGGTGGCGAGATTGGGAGAGCGAGAGGGGAGAGCAAAAGGGAGAGCGAGAGGGGAGAGCAAAAGGGAGAGCGACCCAAAGGCGATACGTATCCAGGGGTCGTTAGGTGCAATACAAAGTGGGAGTCGCGACGGGCTGCAGCTAACTTACGGATCAATCAGCGTTGTGCTTGAGCATTCAATATAATGCTTACCCAGGGAATACGGTGCCACGCGTATCTTCCCGCCATCTGTCCGTGCGCGTCCGTCCTCGCGTTGCTGGCCTGCCAATACGGGGAGCCCGGCCGAGTTGTCGTCCGCTGGCCGAGTCGACGCTGCTGTGCGGGAGGTCGACGCAGCGTCCAGGGACTTGCATTGTGAAGGGAAGGATGTGGTCGGTCATGCGGTCGAACCGCGGAACTAAAATTAGTGTCCGCGAAGCGCCCGAGATTGCATCTTTACCGGTCGATCGAGTCGGCGGTTGTACCCGACCACTCATCGCTCCTCCGCAGAACACCAGCAGCCCACGTCAGCATATAGGACCGATTACATCGCGTGCTGCGAATATCGGGTGTGTGGATGTGACATTTTACGCCGCCAACAGGGATCTATCCGTCCAGGACACGCAGAAGGTCGAGATCGGCGGTCGGACGAGGCTCGACTCGTAGAGCAACGCGATGAACTTGAACCAACTCTCACGACAACAAGAGCATACGACATATCAGGAAGCGCAAGACAAAGGACATTCGTGTATTGCCAGTGAGAGGTTCGTGGACTATGGGTCGTCGATCCCCCCCTCCCCCCCGTCGCTGCATCCAAAGAAACAGCGTCAGCACGTAGCGACGATGATCTTTAAGCATTGCAAGACGTACGCGTCAAACCGCCATCCTACCTTTTCTTCCTCAGCCGCTGCTCTCGTTCTGGCTGGGCGACTCGGAATGCGACTCGGGCTGCGCAGGTACATCTCCGGTGCCAACCAATCCTCCTGACCTGTGTCGCCACCCCGATGTTCGTCCGAGTCCTCGATCGTGCCTCCAAGTCCGTCCTGAGGGCCTTTGTCCGCGTTTGCGCTGTGCTCAGCTACTCGGCGTGCGGCATTCGGGTCGTCTGCGTACGGGTCGGAGTAGTCTAGGGACTGCCCTCAACATGGAGATTCGCCTCACTCCTTCGAGTGAACCTCCCTCGACAGCCTCGATCGTCGGTGAGGTAAGTCTCCTTCCGTTGCTATGCACTCGAGATGTCCGACTTAGCACTTATTCTGACAGGACGTGGCCATGATGACGACAAGCACCTCATACGCTGCCAGCTCACAGATTGTAACGTTTATCGCGAAGTATGTTCGGAACTCACAAATAATCCTTCCACTTATATCCGCCCTCGCCTGTCGCAGACTTTTCGACGGAACATGGCGTGTTATATTGATATGCGACAGTCCAGCAGAAATAGCAAATAGACGTACGGGAGGCAATCGCACCGAACGAACTAGTACACATCAAATACAGATATTGGGAAGCAAGCCCCGTTTGCGGAGGCTCCAGGCAATCCGGTCGGCGAACACATGTATCGTAGAGCACACCCAGTAAGCCTGTACGTATGGAAACTCCGAGACCATAGCTTTGCAGACGATCACGAACAGCTGTAACGAGCTTAATATATCAGTCCTTGCAATGAAAGACATCGTCCGTGCACCGAGAGACTCGTCTATTATCGGTCACTGATCGTCAAGAATCGGCTCAAACTGTCCGCCTGCGGTGGACGTCAGCATTCGGCGACGATGGTCTATCCAGTAACGCACGACGTACATGTCGATACTACCATCTCCCCTCTTCGTCATCAGCCGCTGTTCGCATTCTGGCTGCCTGACTCATGGTGCGACTCGGACTGTTGTGTAGGTACGTCACCCGGTGCAGCCAATCCCTTCTGCCCTGAGTGCCTCGGACGCGCGTCGCCACCTTGACGTTCATCTGCGTGCTCGATCGCGCCTACGACTCGTCCGTCCTGACGACCTGTGTTCGTGGACGTGCCTTCCTCCACTACTGCAGATGCGGTATCCGAGCCATCTACATGCGCCGTTTCGGTAGTATTTAGTAGCTGCGCTGGCCCAGTCCGCCGGGCAGCATCTTGCTCTTGCGGCGACTCATCGAGTATCGTAGCGTTCGCTGGCGTGGCTCTGCTGACGGCTGGCGGTGCAATGTCCGCCGCACCGGGTCCATCTGGTGCTGCGTTCGAAGCGGCTCCTATGTCCCCCATCTCAGCGTCGTGTCCAAGTTCCTGAGCGGCAGCCCGCCTAAATCCGCGTCGGATGCTACGGCTGGGCACAAAATCAGCGACGATTACACAACAGGAGTGCAAGGTTCACCGCTTACATGAACTGCATTATGAGTCGTATCGGACTGTCCGTTCGCGGCGCCAGCCGCTCCTGCTTGTCCCCAGTTTCCAATGTAGGCCCTGGGTCGGCCGCGTGCGGTGTGTCGACCTGTTGATCGCCTTCGCTCTGGGCCCGGTGATCTGGAGCACATTCGAGCCATCCTTTCCTGTTGTAAGTGTCAATGTGTCTTCATATTATGATTATGAGTGGCGAAGACGACTGACACACTTTCCGGGTCTATCCCAAGACGCCGTTGTGTCCAATCCACACAGCTTTGCAAGCCAAAGCGGAATCCTTGGACCGTCCCTGGCGGTGTCCATACATTGCATTGCAGCAACCATTGGAGTCGCCGCGCGATGTGGTTTGTGGACGTCATGACGTTCCGGCGCCGGTGAATATCGGTCGCACTCAAGGACCAATAGATGTCCCAGTCGGTCATGCAATCCAACACCCAATCGAGCCTGTATATGGCCGTGGAAGGAAGCTGTTTTATAGCATCATGCAGCTCCTTTCGGCAGACGGTAGCCAAGTGGTCGTCGAATCGGTGGAGCATGTCAGCCAGGTAAGTTCCCCTCGACGGCTCGGCTGGCAATGTCTGCTCCTTTTTGACAGACATCATGCATATCGCCAGAACGGTTGTCGTGATTTGGATGGTGGACACAGGGTCATGGTGTGCGTATACCGCCGTGAGTGCAGTCTGCATACATTCCCAGCCTATGCCAAACTTCAGCTTAGTATGCCCGGGCCCCTTGCGATTGAAACGGATGTTTGACTTACCTTGGACGTCGCGCAGACAATAGAGCTCGGTACGTGGTGCACAGTCGTATGGTTTCGCCTTCTGCATTGTGTCATCGCGGGAATAGTGCCACCGTGACTGATCCTCTGCAAGGAGATCAATTGTCACATAGATGTTTTGTATAACATCCGAAGTGGCTCTTTGATGTTTTGTGGACTGTTGACCATCATGTAAATGTTGCAACAAAATCATGCAGGCCTTGGTTCCATCGGCGAGAGGCATAGCGCGGATCAGTCCAGCTAAGCAACGGTTTGAGTCCAAGTCAAGGGGACTGTCATCAAGTTCGGTATGCGCGCGAGTGAACGTGTCCAGCACCATGCGACCTATCAAAGCCGTGGAGGTGCTGTCCAAAACATCAGATTGCAGCCGGCTACCAGATGACGTAAAGGGCCCGGATGCCCCTGAACCCGGATCTTCAAGTTGTCGTTTTGACAAGGCATCGAAAACAGTTTGGCTGATTCCTGTCACAGCTTTGATTGCTCTGGCGGTAGGCATCGCTCGCACACAAGTGGCCATGGCGCGAAGGACGTCTGTGTCGTCTGCAATAGAATAGATGTCCGTAAGTAGTGACTTTTCTTCACTGCGGGCTGTCCAGTTATCCAGGCATAATTGCTCATGTGCCTGCCAGTCACATGCCTCCGTCAACACGCGGACGTGTGCTTCGCGTTGAGCGAGGGGTCTGAGGAGATTACTCTCCATCCATTGGTATATGCCATCCGCGCGAAAAGATGAATCCGTAGTCGGACGTCCAATCCCCAGAAGGACGAGGGTTATGTGGCATAATTGCAAGGGTGTCCAGTAGACTGCCCACCGCATCCGCCTGCAAGCCTCGCATATCCACCATGCTTGGGGTGACTTGTAGGGACTGTAAACGACCAATGCGGGTGACACGGAAGTGACAACTAGAAATAGAAGCAGGACGCCGACGCCGATCGTGCTCGGAATAGCGATGTCGAAGCCAAGCTCCCAGAGGTAACCCACAATCCCAATGAAGAAGAGAACGAGGGCCACCTGAAGGAGAAACGGAAGGATACTGGCAATGTATTCCACTTGCCACTTGTCCAGTGCATGCCTACGGAGTTGCCACGTCCAGACCTTCTGGGATGCGTCTTGCAGGCCAGCTTGCTCCGTCGCGTGGAAGTTCAACCATTGGTTCACGGCTAAAGCTACCGACGCCGCGCTGAGACTGAAGATTAGGGCGACGAACCACAACGAGGCGATCCAACGGGGTGCAGCGGGTGGCGAGGAGAAGCTTGTGGATGAGGAATTTGCAAGAACCTTCGGCATCAGCACCGAATTCGAGGAGCTGGCGGCCGCGACGACGGCGTTCGTAGCCGTGTTACCGAGTTGCGCGGATATGAGCTCGAGGATGACGGTGTTGAAGTCGGGTGCCGGCAGCAGAACGGCATAGTACGGAACCACGAACGCAGTGAGGACGGCGGAAAACAAGCCAGCCTACAGGGGGATCATTGTCATCTCGGTTGCTCTTCCCCAGAACACTAGAACGAAGGCGTGAACGTGACTTACAAAGACGAGAAGTGTATTGATTTCATTCCGCCATCGTTCGACACGGTCCTTCTCGTAGGCCCACGCTGTATCTGCCAGCTTCAACCACGCGTCTGGCGCAGTCTGCGGGTCTCGCGGCTTCATGAACTTCTCGAATACTTTGAGCAAGGCAGTTTCATCCATCACGGCGGACGGCCTTTGCGGCTCACGCGGCGTCATAAACTTCTCGAAGACTTTGGTCAGAACGGTCTCCATTTCCGACGCCGTTATTACATCCTTTGCCGAGTGGTCTGCCGACTCAGACGGATGCTTCGTTCCACTGGCATCCGACCGCCCGTTCGAACCCTTTTGGCGTATGTCAGACCTTGACACGCAGTTAGATAATGACTGATCACGCCCACCAAATCGGGATTCGGAGGTGCAGGCGTAGTGCCATGGGGCGACGAGGAGGCTCCCGTAATGCTTGCGCCGACCGCGTTGGATGCCTGTGTATACAGGTAGGTGATCCCGTTTGCTGTTCAATTCTGCTTATGCTTACTGACAACTCGGCTCCAGAGCCGCTATTGTCGCCAGAGCCCGTTCGACGGATGGCATTATTTGGCGACGATGTAGCATTGAGGTCGGAAATCTTTGCGTTCTCTTCGGGAATCGAGTGCACCGGAGGTTCCTACCACGAATACAATAGGTACAATCAGCTTTCCTCAGGCTGTTGGGCCAGCGAAGAACAACGGTGCGTACCTCGAGTGGGCCCGTGGTCATAGCGTCGGATGGTGATCACTGCTCAGTCTATCGTATAGAGATGCAACAGAGCGAAGAGAGCGAGTGGACGAGGAGAGGAGGCAGATAGCTAGCTACGTATGGTGGACGAGGACGCACAACCTTATGTAGCTCAAGGCGGGGGACACGCGACAATTCAAAGCCATCCGTAGAACTTGAGGCACACCGAGGATGGCTGAACATTGCTAACACGAGGCCTCACGTACGCCACCGAGTCCCACACTGTGGTGCTCAATGGACATGAACACCGCTGAGCATTGGGTCGGCAAGGATGCAGGCAGGCCCGCAGAGTAACACGAGAAGGAAGGTACATGCCGTAGATTGCGTAATGATATCGCGACGCCGTTGCGTATTATCCAGTTCCGGGAGCAATGTTGTACCTACTTACAGGGAAACTATGATGGGACCAAGGCATACGGAAGCCTGTGCGTGGTCTTCGTCAACGCGCAACAAACACTGAGGAGCATGCCTACCATCATCGACGAGAGCCCGCTAGAGTCGGTTCATTCAGCGACAGTAAAGTGTCCCCGTTGCACACGTTGACTTCGCAGGGGCCATGTATCCACAAGGAGGCGAGGTGGATTAAGGCCCACATTGGGGCCTAGCGCCATAGCACTGAGTTTGACCTGACTGGCCCATCACAAAGAAATGCGCATAACCCACCAGTCATGCTCCCCGCCAATATGTCGGGCAGCACCCCAACAGCAGTAGGCTTGTGCGGCGGGGTACCACTTGCCCGTCGGCCAGGAATAAGACAGCCACACGCCTGTCGGAACACCTGTCAGTGCCTTCACAGCGACATTTATGCCCGCGGCGCAGATCTCAAGACACGAGCACTGTTATGAGGCTTCCTTGGTGCGTGTCATCCGCTTGGACGTCTGTTGGCAAAGGGCGAGAACGTTCGTGTTCATCGGGCGGCGACGCACCATCGGGGCCCTGATGCAGATGCGTAGAAAGAACCTACATAGTAAACTATGACTCATTTGGTGGCACGGTGCACGTTCGCCGATTTTGCAAGTGTCCCACATACGAAGTCTCCGTCTGGCCGTTCAAATTGCTTGCTGAAGCGCTGACTCCGCTGAGGCCTGAGGAATCGCAGACGTGAGCGAGAAATGGCCGCCAGCGATGTGTCGGGGGTCACTCACGTCACGGTCGAACAAAAAAACTCGTGTCCGTGTTTCTGTGGCCAAAGCCTCGAGTGTGTGGCTCTGAGGTTATGTCATGACTCCAATGTCCACCTATTGAGTCCGTAAGGAGCGATTGAGAGGGTGAACTTATGAACAGCAACAGCACCTCAAGGCCTACTTACGCGAGACTTCGGGAGGCAAGGCAGCCGGCCATGTACCCTATGTGCGTGTTGTACGTGTTCAGAGAAATTTCACGCACCGCGAGGCAAGCGGGAAGACCGCCCCCTCCGTCAAAGAGGTAGGTCTGTCTCAAGTGCAGTACTGCGGTTGGCGGAGGCTGTCATGTCAGGACCCCCGAAAATTGGCTGAAAGGCCTGAGCCTAATCCAGACAGATTTTGGATAATTTTAGGCCTTGGCCGGATCGGAATCCAGACAAAAAGCTCCATTTGGTGGTCATGCCCGATCTCTTAGTCCAGACATTTCCCTGATAGTAGATCTGGTCGGATACCTGTCCAGACAAGTACATAGAGATACACGGTGGCACCGCTGGTGTCTTATGTGTAAATATTCGGTGCCTAAAATGATTCATCCTCACGTGTAATATGTTGGTAATATTTGTTTCGATTTACGAGCAAACTCCGTATGGCAATGCCTGACTGGCGACTTGCTGTCTGTTAAGTTCAGCAAACGTACGGACTCAATGCAAGGTGACATCATCCAAGAGAAGCACCATGTAATGCCAGCCATGCAGATGTAATGCCAGCCACGCAGTTGGTTAAAATTGATTGTATGGTCCCGGAGAATTCGATACAGTCTATGCCTTTCACTCAGTGACACAGAAATACATACAAATATTAACCTAGGAAGAGGATTAGTAGACTATGTAGTTTGACTGTCACCGTCGAGAATGCTCTCCAGAGCCCTAGAAGAGCAATACAGACAAAAGAAATCGGTTTTATAGAGGCCTGATCCGTCAATCCAGACAGAAAAAACGAATTTGAAGGCCTGATCCAGCAATCCAGACAAAATCGCAAAATCTGAGGCATGATTCCGTAATCCAGACAATTAAGGTATCATGACCGACATGCCGGATGGCAATCCAGACATTTTGGCGTTCGGACGTCCAGACGTTTTTGCCAAAATCTGGGAGTCCCGGATCTGGCCTTTCAGCCAATTTTCGGGGGTCCTGTCATGTCCCGGTCCGATCTGCGAAGGGAATCCGGGAACTGCCGGGCCCCTCCTCCTCCGGGAGGAATTAGCATCATAGCATCCGCGAAGCGCCTAAGATCACATCCTCACCGGTGTGGTGGTCCGCTAGTGCGTGTGTGTGCTGTCTTCGACTGCTCATCGCTACTCCGCAGTACATCCTCGAGCCACGCACGTACAGCGCAGAGATCACCACCCGCCGCGCATCGGTGGTCATGTGGGAATGACGACATATGGGGGAGATGGCCGTCGAGTAAGCCGGGAAACGCAGGGGAGTTTGGGATCGGAGGAGGAAGGCTGTCGGACCTCGGTGAGTAGAGCACCACGCAATAGCGCGAGTCACCTTTCTCACCCTTCTTGCGCTGTGCTCATAGAGATATCGCACATGTGACTGGTACATCTTGCAGGTGCCATTGCAAGCTTGACACGGTGACCTTTGAACGGCCTGTCATCGACTTCCGTAGACGTATATATACGGCCGCCCAGTCTGTCGGACAGCGTCGTACGTACATAATGTGCTCTATACATTCTTCGTTATCTCGTCAATCTTCAAATCAGCAGGCCGACGGGGGCTCCCTTGCTAGAGCGCACGAGGAAGACGACGTCACGCTAGTAGCGTCCAATATACCACTAAGGATACCCCTGGCGAGGACGGAGTCAACTTGAAGGCAGGGACCTCCGAGATGGAAATGAGCAAGTGCTTTTGCTGAAGGAGGGTTCCAGTCGCGGCGCATAGTGGACACATCTTGGACCCTGGTACGTTAAGCAACACACCATTTCTCATCTCTCGTCCCGCTCGTCTCTCCACCCTCACGGCAGTAACACCACACCGACGTTCTTCAGTACGCCTCTACTCGGGGCCTCGCGAATCATTGTCCTTCGGTCCTACAGCCACATTTGCTTCACCGAGGACAAGGGGTCTCGGCTCCGATTCCTTGTCTGGCCAACGCTCGCTCGGCGGCAACGAGGCAGGGTCCTTTGTCGACCATGTTCCCTTTTAACTCATCCAGGTTCGTAATCTATCTTCTTTGTCCAATAAATTCCTGATTCCATGCGCAGGTTGAGAATACATCGACATAACCTTCCATTTATTGTCACTGAGGTCTAGGCCCTATGTAGACATTATAAGTGTTCTTCACCGGCTTCTGCACCTCCCGTTTTGTCCCGTAGCGTAACCCTCCGCCGCCGCTTCGGGCAGTCGTCGGAACCTGTCGGTGGTTCTCCCATAGGCGGTACGGCCTCTGACGTTGCTGACTTCGTATACGGCTTCAGGTCCGTCCTTCGCGCTCACTGTCGGCTGCGCAGGCGATGATGACCAGACGACTTCTAGGCATTCCGTGACTCGTTTCCTTGCCATCCGAGCACTCGAGCGCAGCCCGGAAGACCGCTACGCGGCCCACCTCTTCAAAATCGCAGAAACTGTGCGCAACTTGGACTCGGCAGAGGTCGTGGTCGTGGCACCTGCATATCGGTCTTGCGTCGCACTTGCCTCCTAGAGCAAACCCCGCAGATCTTTCAAGCTGAGCTGTCGTCTGCAGTCGAATCCTCCCCTGCTATGACGCTCAACACGCCCTACGTGGTCACGCTCGCGCGGGCTGTTGGACGGCTTTCAAACTCGCCATCGGCTCGGCGACCCCCTGGGCATGCGGCGCAGCCTAGATTAGATTCTCTGGTGCGTCCATCTTACCCTACACTATGCACACCGGCAGGGAGTTAATGCATCCGAATAGGTATTCGTGACCTCGTCGCAAGGAATCCTGACCCACGGGGCCGTCGAACGGACGGCAATCGCTTATCGAGCAACCTGTCTTCAGCCCAGTGACCGTCGCAAGGCTCGGTCGAACACAGATACGCGCTCACGAATAGTCCGCCATCCTTCCAATCTTGGGAACTACACCTCAGACCCGTATCCGACACTGTCGCCTTCTCGTCGCCTTCCAAGACAAGTGCATCCGAGTCTATCGTGTCTCGTTATCACCGCCAGACCATGTGTTCGCGCTCGTTCAGCGCGGTGACGGGGATGGGTGGGCCCACACCTTCCAGCGGAGCTCGCCATGGCTTCGAATGTCGACGAGGTATGTTCCATCCTGTTGTCGTGTACCTGAGACGTCCGACTCGATGCTTATGTCGTTTATCGCGCTAGGACGTGTCCACGACGTCGGCGAGCCACGTCACAAGGATCATACACCGCTACAACGCAGAAGCTTGTCTCCCCGTGGCAGCTACACGTTCAGCTCTGTGTCCATGAGGACGGAACCGGGGAGGCTATCGCCTTTTCCTCCTCCCGGGAGCTCCAGACGAATTGCGGGGACGTGTGGTTCTCGGAGAGTAGTTGCAGGTACGTATTCATGGTGTGATCTACGTAAGTTGCCACGCTCATGCGAGGGTTGCAGCGCCCCTCCTTCGTCGATACTCGAAATTCGTCCAGCGAACCACGCACGTACCCCAGGCGTTATCTTCGCGTCCTGGATCCAACAGACGCAGCCGTGTCCTTGCCCCGTCAGCCCCTCCCCATTATCCAGCGCAATACCACGCAGGTGTGCTTTCGAACCGTTGATCTTCGGAGATCGCGTTGCGGGTTTACAGGCGCCAACGTCGGAGTCGGCTCGTGGTGTAGGAGTGCAGCGTAGAGAAGCAGCGGGCGAGCCTGCGGGGGTACAAGGCACAGATGGTCCTGGCTGTGAGGCGGTACGTGGCATCTCACCTCGTGTATCCCGTCTTTGCTGACAATGTATGCCTTTGCTAGCCCAATAATTGTAAGACCAGCAAGTGGAAGGATGCCAGCTGTCGTGACACGGGAGGTGAGCACGATCGCTTCGCGAACGGGTCGTAGTCGGCGCTTACCTCTCCATCCGTCGCTCGTCGTCCTCTGATACACACGGCGTACCCCAGATAAGGTTTCAAGCTCGGGCGTGGTACACCCGTTGTCGCTCACTTGCAGTGCTTCAGTCCAACAACTCTCGTGAATTGTATACGCGGCACCCATCAAGTCATGCGCGGTGGACCTGTTCTGATATGTTCGTACACTCCGTTTTCAAAGCTGAACGACGTCCACTCTCCCCAGTTACGCGAATAGGCAGTTGGGTCGTCAGCGCCATGCTCACCAGTATAAAAAAGTGTGCTGATGAAATTGCATTGCAGATTGATGCAGAGGCTACTGCCATCGTCGTGGTCGCGAGAAAGTTTCATGATGAAGGGAAGACATACCGCATCATCACGACGCAATGTCCTGGAGCAAAAGCTTAAAAATGCGAAACTCGCTTGGGAGAACAATGCTTCAAGAATTCAACGTCGACTCATTCCAAGGTGAGAAACAGGCTGTGCTTAGCGGACGCTCGGTTGACACGTCAACGTACGGTCAGGCAACGAGCAAGCATACATCCTCATCTCCATCCATCGTGCGGACAAACTTGGCTTCCTCGCCAACTTGCGACGATTAAATGTCATACTCTCGTGCTGCAAACACGGCATGGTCATCTGCACAAGCCGGGCATTCATGGAGGGCAAGGCCAGATCCTCGCTCGAGGGCCAACTCGCGAAGGAATGGGAGGACGGACGGGTTTCCTGGCGGGACACGTTGCGGGGCAGGTTCTAACGGGTGCTCTACTTGACCTTGTTGCCTTCAATTCTCACATTTTGCTTGCTCTCATTATACGATACCGTCTAAGTAGGAATGCTATCATTCTGCCGTTGTGCGCACGACGACAAGGCCCTTCCGTTCTGACGCATTGTCGGCCACGCACAACCACAAGACAGCTATGCTCGCCACTCATGTCACAACAACGCACCCTCTCCTGAGCAACGCCATTAACGATTTACATCGCGAGAGTGCATATCACGTCCCGGTATGTCTGTGCCTTCCGCTCATATGCTTGCCTACGGCGTTATCCTATACCCTCCACAAGACACGGCCGAGTACCTCGCAACTGGCCAAGGCTTGTCAGGTATTGTACGGATTCTCTCGTCGTCCACTGACTGCGTAACTCACATTGACGTAGTACGTCCCAGGTGCCGCGTCCTCAGTTCAACATCGGTAAGTTCATTGCATTCGGTCATTCACAATTCTTCTCAAGAAATATATAGGGCGGGGGACGTGCACGGTTACAGGAAGACTCGAGTATGTACTAGTACATGCAGTACACTGTCGTTTGTAGTCAGTCGACAATGCGCCCACGCATGCTACGACACGCTCGATACTCGAGTAATAAGCAGCGAGGTCGGATCAGCCTGATAGTCGTTCGCCGGGAAAATGCCATGGCAGGGTACATGTGGAGCTCGTCTCGATTGCGGACGCCGAGTCAAGGTATGATGGGAGCCTCGCACCTCAGCCGCCGCCTTTCCCCGATAGACCGGCGCAATTCGTTGCACGAACCAGCACGGCACGCGCATGAGGAGACCCGGGAATCCGCGGATACATTCTGGGAGGCCCGGGTCACCATGTAAATCGCTCGGTCGAGCGAGCCCAGAGAGCCGGTTCGATGCGAACGGCCAACCTGGACGCCGACGTCTGAGGACGTTGCGCGTCCTGCACCTCTATGCTGATGAGAGGCAGATGCCGTCTGGGTAGCACCGCGCCGTATGACCTGACGAACCTACCGACCGTTGCGCGCGATGGCGCGTGTCCCAGTACGCGGTGGGCCTCGCCGCGTGTGACAGCTCAGGACGCAGGCGAGATGGCTCGTCAGCCTCGGCGCACTCACGGGCAGAGACCACTCACCGTGCCACCTAGCGTGGATTGGTCCCCACCACGCGTCCCCACCACGCGTCGGAGAGTGTAGGTAACTGAGTGGTGGAAGCCGCCTCATCCACCGGCCAGCATCAACCACGAAACGGGCGTCCAACAGGACTCGGTCGTGGTGCGTGCGGATGTCTTCAAGACGTCCGTCGGTCCGTGTTTCTGTCGTTCGTGAGGCCGTGGACAAGGAGATAACCTGTGTTCGCACGTTTCTCTGCTCGTTATTTCCCTCCTCCGTCTTGCCTCCCATCCTCGTCTCCCGCGCAACGCGCACCCAGCTTTCCAACTCCGGTCACGTCCTTCCTCCGTCTGAGTCCGTCGTTGATAACCTTTCTCATCCCAGGTCGCCCGGCGTACGTCGCAGTACGGCGAGTGGATCCCGACGCGTCGGTGTGCGCGTCCACCCTTCAGCGAGGTGCGTCCGTGCGTGCGCTGATGCTCGTACCGCCTGACGCATCCACACCAGCTCCCGTTCTCGCCTTCCACGTCTCATCTCGTCCAACCCGTCCGCCCTGCTCGTGTCCCCGGTAAGTACGTCGCGTCCTCATTCTGACTCCGTGCGTGCTGACGTGGCTCGCCCGTCGTCAGTGAAGATCGCGGCACACGAGACACGGACACGTACCGCCACTCAACCCTCTCCAGCGCTGAAAGCTCAGGAGGCCATTCTGCGGGCTGCAGAGCAGTCAACCAAGTCGCGCATATATCGAGCTGGAAAGCGTGAAACACGTATCGTAGGTCACGCGTTCACGAACACTGGTCGTACAGCAGCCCACGGGTGCTAGACGCGACTGTGGTCCGCATCGACGTGGGCGGCGCGTAGAGGCGGCGAGATTGGGAGAGCGAGAGGGCGAGAGAGGTGAGCGGCCCATGGGCGATAGAGGAATCGTTAGGTGCAATACAAAGTATGTAGGAGTCGCGACGGGCTGCAGCTGGCTTATGATCAGTCAGCGTCGTGCGTGAGCGTTCGAGATGCTTACCCAGCTAATACATCGGAGCCACGCGTGTCCTCACGCCATCCGTCCGTGCGCGCCCGTCCTCGCGCTGCTGGCATGCCGATACATAGAGCCCGTCCCGAGTGGTCGTCCGCTGGTCGAGTCGTCGCTGCTGTGTGGGAGGTCGAGGCAGCGGCCAGGGACTTGAACCAGTGTGAAGGAAGGTGGTCAGACGTCAGTCGACCCGCGGAACTGAATTTAGCGTCCGTCCGTGAAGCGCGCAAGATCGCATCGCTACCGGTCGCCTGCGGTCGTACCCGACCAGTCATTGCGTATACTCCACAGACCGCTGGCGAGCCACGTCGACAAAGGACCGATGTCATCGCGTGTCGTGCATAGCTGGGCACCATCGTTCAATTTCCCTGTGACGGCATAAGCCGTCGACGGGCATCTGTATGTCCTACGAGCAGCGAATTACATGGCATAGTGACTTAGAGTGATAGACGGGCAGTGGGTATCGACAACGTACGGTGCATCTGCCAATACCTAATAGAGAACACTGGCGACATTAGAGGCTGTCCGAGGGCAATGGCAAGGACCTGTATCTACAGAATACGGGGTGAACCACACGGTGCCATGTGCGCGCAGTCATCACCATGGCAGGGACACAATGTCTCTGCGGGAAACGAGGGTTGCACCTCAATCGGCGTCCGGACAGACTTCGTCGCAGCCATGCGAGCTGCTCCATACCTCCAGGACAAGCCTCATCGTCTACTGGGACCTACGAGTCGGACATCGCCTTCCGTGTTCAGTACATGCATGGGACCTGTCGCAAACGACGCGTCCGGTCCCTATGAGGTACTTCATAACGGAGAGTGATATTAACAACCAGAATGACGAATCAAGATGTGAGACATACCACGCTTTTCGGACCTCCTCGATCGACGACTCGTCTTGAGCCGGGATATGTAATCTGCGAGGTCTGCGCAGCCTCGCGTTCGATTCGAGATGGCTGACATCCAGTCATCGCGGCCAGGAGGGTACTGATGGGGTTGAGAGTCTCTGATGACGACGACACCTGCACAGTAGACAACCGGGAGTTGCGCACACTAAAGGATGATCAGACGAGATTGCATAAATACTGAACGATACGGCAGCCTGCGCGAGTAGGACTACAAGGGAGCCAATACTTACGCGCTACGACTGCATGTGTCCAACGGGGACATCGAATCGCGCAGCATTATGCGCTATCGCCGACAGTTTGAACTCACCATATCAGATCGGGGACCGACACCAAGTACGACCGCCGCGGGGACCGGGTCAGCTGTATGCACCGGTCTTGGAGGCGCGGGTGTACACCGTCATTCTACATGACGCAGTGGGGCTCGCCGCGACCGCGGTGAAGATTACTGAATGGATCATGCGCGTGAGCCGGCAGCGACCTCCGTGCGCATAAGCTCACCTTCGGTTAGTATGATTCGCGAACAGAGCACGTTCGTCGCACTCGGTGTGTGAATCAGTGGGCCGCCGTGGATGGAAAGGCATGTAGTCGGGAGAAGGGGACGTGGCTCGCGGCTTGTGTTGTGGTACCGGTGGAACGGCTGAATCAGAATAGCACTCGAGCAATACCACGCTCGATCGCGCGCGGGGCTCGGGATACCGAGGCGAGATCCACTCCGTCACAGTGTCTCTTGATCGACACTGCCGTGAATGACGGACGTCCCTGTCGACCTGGCGCCGGTCAGCCGATGCTACTACGCATTTGAGTTGACGTTGAATACTCACTCTGTGACACGAAGTCTTGCGAGAATAGTGATAGTCGACAGGGCAGCGGATGCTTATGGCGATACCGGGCGCGAGAAGAGCAGAGAGTGAGTCAGATCTAATGGCAGGGCATGATTCCGGACAACCTACCAGTGGCATTTGTCCGGATTTGAACTAGCTTTGCTGGCACGTATACCCGACATCGTGTCTCGACTCACGCTATGGTTAGTTGCACGCTAGAGCAGCGCGGTACTCACCCGGTTTCACTGCCCGGGCCGCCCACTACTAGCAGAGGGGCAACGAGCGAAGGCACGCATGCGGCTTCGCCCACGGTGCTCGGCAGCCGACAGGAGGGCTACTCCAGCAAAGGACCTGAGGATTGTTACTTCAGGTAGTCGAGAGACTCAAGTAGAGATGCTCATAACAAGTCGGATGGGTAGGAGCGCACGGATGCCCGGGGGTCGCACGCCGGCAGGACTGATGCCGTTCAGCGGTCGATACTCCGGGGAGGACGGATACGAGGACTGGCCAGGGACGAAGGATAACGTAGCGGGGGGTCTTTGAATTGTATCCATGACCCGGGGCCAGAGGAAGCGTGCGCAGGTATGCGTAGAGTAGGGGTGAGTAGCCGGGGACTCGGAGGAGTGCAGCAGAGGCGGGGCTCTTGTGCCAGGTGCTATTGGAGAGGCTACGCGAACGGCGACCACCAGCGCAGCATGGCGGCGAGGAGCAGAAAACGCGCGATAGTTCGAACGTTCTCGCTGAGGCTCACTGCCGTCAGTGGAGGGGAACGAGGGTGTGCGACGCGCCCAAGACGCGCCTCGGACGATTGTCGGAGACGGCGGGCGGACCGCCCTCGACGAGCTCAGTTGGCGCCGGGCGACATTGCCATCTACTCCTTCCCGACCTTCAATCGATATTACAGCCTGGGCTACACACGCATCTCCCGGGTCGCACGAAGGAGCACGGCGTCGCCACAATGTACAACACGGGCGCATGACGGGCGGGACGCTGGGCTCAGCTGACGTCACAGCCTCGGGGTACAGCGCAGTCTGCCTTGGACCCCAAGCCTCCCCGCCTTCGTGCGCATACACACCGGTGGAACCCCTAGTCTAGGTGGTCCAAGTCGAGGAGTCGGATGACGTCGCTTGAGCTCCCACCGCCAGTGACTCTGCTCGAGGCCTCTTGCCGGCGGTACGTTCTGTCTCGTTCGTCTACGGTTTGCGTCGTCCTGCTTCATTACAGATCCCTTACCTTTTACATGCTCACTTCACGCTCTATTCTTCTATGTCAATTCATCCGAGAGCGCCGCCCAGCATCCGCCTCCTCGGCTGAACCGGCTGCACGCTCGACAGTCGCGTCAAGTGGTACCGCGTCGAAGGCGGAGCCCTTCCGCGAGGCGTCCATGCATGAGTGTATCAGTTAAGACGGGAAGGCTGCGACTCGCCGCATGCGAGGCTTGTGAGAGCAGGAGGTGGTGATGACCGAGGAACGAGACTACGGTATGTACTAAAGCTTACCTAGTCTACACAGATGCTGGTGCAGCAGTGACCGAGGCAGGTCCGTCAACCCGGCGCGACGTACGAGCAATGTTGCTGTCGCAGGGTAGCACAGAAGACTGCGCATATTATCTTGTGGCCGCGGTGGCACAAATTGTAACGGTCGTCGCGAAATATGTTCAGAACTCACAACATACTTTTTTCCCACTTATATCCGCCCTCGCTTGTCGCACACCGCTCGACGGGACGTGGCGCGTTATGGTGATACGTGATAGTCCAACAGCAATTTCAAGCAGACGTACAGGAGGCGAGTTGTACCGAACAAATAGTACACGACATGATACAGACGCTGGACAGCAACACCCCGTTCGCGGAAGCTCCAGGCGTTCCGGTCGGTGAACACAAGTGTATCGTACACACAGTCAGTGAACCCGTTCGTATCGAGACTCCGAGACCATAGCTTACACAAACATCACAAACAGCTATACCGAGAACCAGAGTACATACACGAGAGATCAGCCCATCGCAGCCTCAGAAATCGTTCGTGCACCGAGAGGTTCATCCATCACCGTCACGGTTCGTCAAAAGTCGGCGCATGCTGTCCGCCTGCAGTGAGCGTCAGCATTCGGCGGTGATGGTCTATCCAGCAACGTACGACGTACACCGTGACGTCAATGCCACCACCCTCCGTCCTCCGAATCAGCCGTCGTTCGGACTCTGGCTGCATGGCTCGCAGTGCGACGCGGACAGTTGCGTAGGTGTGTCGCCCGGTGAAGCTAGTCCCTCCTGACTCGGACGCGCGTCGCCGCCTTGACTTTCATCTGCGTGCTCGGACGCGCCTACGAGTCCGCCCTGACGACCTTCGTCGGCGTCCGCGCCGTCCTCAGCTACTCCGCGTGCGGCACCCGAGTCGTCTGCGTGCGGGTCTTCGTAGTCTAGAGACTGCACTGACCCAGCCTGGGCCGCGTCCTGCCCTTGCGGCGGTTCGTCGGCCGTCGTCGCGGTCACCGGCGGGGCCCCGCTGACGGCTGGCGGTGCGGCGTCCGTAGCACCGGGTGCATCTTGTGTTGCGTTCGTATCAGCCCCAGCGGCCCCCTTCTCAGCGTCCGGTTCCTGCGCTGCAGTCCCTATGAATTTTCGCCAGACACCACGGCTATAGAGAGGGGATCAGCGAACGTGGGACGAGTACCAGATTCACCACTTACATAAACTGCGTTATAGATCGCTTGATACTGTCCATGCGCGACTCCGGCGGCTCCTGCTCGTCCACAGCTTCCGATGTAGGCTCTGGGCCAGCCGCCTGCGGGGAGTCGACGCGTTGATCGCCTTCGCTCTGGGGCTCATCTGGAGCGCATTCGAGCCTTCCTTCCGAGTCCCTGTTGCAAGTGTCAGTGTGTCTTTGACATCCTGAGCGGCGAAGATGACTGACCAATCTTTCGGGTCTATCCCTTGTTCTTGTTCTAGGCGCCGTTGTGCCCACCGCACGTAATATTGCAAGTAAACGCGGAACCCTTGGACCGTCCCTGGTGGCGTCCAATCATTGTATTCCAGCAGCCACTGGAGTCGCCGCGCGATGTGATTGGTGGACATCATGGTGCTCCGGCGAATCTCCGACTCCGAGTCGGTCGTACTCCAGGACGCATAGATGTCGCCACGCCAGACCATGCGAGACAACACCCAATCGAGTCTGTATACGGCCGCGGGAGGGAGGTCTTGCACAGCGTCTCGCAGCTCCTTGCGGCGGAGGGTAGCCAAGTGCTCGTCGAATCGGCGGAGCATGTCGGCCATGTAAGCTCCCCTCGACGGCTCGGCTGGCAATGCGTGCCTGTTTTCGACGGATAACATGCATATGGCCAGAACGGTTGTCGTGATTTGGATGGTGGATACAGGGTCATGGGTTTCGTATACCGCCGTGAGTGCAGTCTGTATGCATTCCCAGTCTATGTCGAACTTCAGCTTATGCCCCTTGCGATTGAAGCAGATGTTTGACTTACTTTCAACATCGCGCAGTCGATATAGCTCGGTTCGCCGTGCACAGTCGTATGTTCTCGCCTCCTGAATCCTGAAATACTGCCAGTACATCCTGTCCTCCGCGAGGAAGTCGACTGGTACATAAATATTTTGTACAATATGCAATGTGGCTCTTCGTTTTACCGTGGACAGTTGATCACCGCGTAAATGCTGAAACAAAGTCATGCAGGCCTTGGTTCCATCGGCGAGAGGCATAGCGCGGATAAGTCCAGCTAAGCAACGGTTTGAGTCCAAGTCAAGAGGGCTGTCGTCAAGTTCTGTATGCGCGCGAGTGAATGTCTCCAGCACCATTCGACCTATCAAAGCCGTAGAGGTGCTGTCCAAGCCATCAGATTGCAGTTGACTACCAGATGCCGATGCAGAGAGCCCGGATGCCTGTGAACGCGGATCCTGTCGTTTTGACAAGGCGTCGAAAATAGTTTGGCCGATCCCCGTCACGTTTTCGATTGCTCGGGCGATAGGCATCGCACGCACGCATGTTGCCATCGCGCGAAGGACATCTGTGTCGTCTGCAATGGAATAAATGTCCATTAATAGGGACTTTGCTTCGCTGCGGGTGGTCCAGTCACCCAGACATGACTGTTCATGTGCCAGCCAGTCAGATGTGTCCATCAATGTACGCACGTACGATCGACGCCGAGAGAGGGAATCACGAATCCCCTTTATCCGCCTGTAAATGCGAACTACGCAATCGGACCGAGACTGAGTCAGAGAAATAATCCAGTCGTCGACTCGGTCGACGAAGAGGAAGATAGTCCGACACAACTGCAGGAGGACCCAGTAAATCCCCAGCCACATGGGTTTGCAGGCCTTGCGGATCCACCACGCTTGGGGAGACTTATAGGCACTGTAATCGACCAATGCAGGTGACACGGAGGTGAAAGCTAGAAAGAGAAGCAAGGCGCCGACGAAGACCGTGCTCGGGACGGCGATGTCGAAGCCAAGCTCCCAGAGGTAGCCCACAACCCCGACGAGGAAGAGGACAAGGGCAACCTGCAGGAGAAACGGAAGGATGCTGACCATGCGCTCCACTTGCCACTTGTCCATCGCATGCCTACGGAGCTGCCACGTCCAAGCCTTCTGGGCAGCGTCTTGCAGCCCAGCTTTCTCCGTCGCGTGGAAGTTCAGCCATTGGTTCACGGCTAAACCGACGGATGCCGCACTGAGACTGAAGACCAGGGCGACGAACCACAGCGCGGCGATCCAACGGGGCGCAGCAGATGGTGAGGAGATGCTTGTAGATGAAGTGTTCGTGAGAACCGTCGGCACCGGAACCGAGGCGCTCGCGACCGCATCGGTGGCCATGTTACCGAGTTGTGCTGCTATGCGCTCCAGGATGGCCGTGTTGGGGTCAGGTGCCGGCAGCAGAACGGAATATAATTGAACCACGAAAGCGGTGAGGACGGCGGAAAACAAGCCGGCCTACAAGGGAAGCATCTCTCAGTTGCTCTTCGCGCGCGCTCGGTCAGCAGTGTGAACATGACTCACAAAGACGAGCAGTGTATTGATTTCATTGCGCCATCGATCTGCACGGTCCTTTTCGTAGGCCCACGCTGTATCCGCCAGTTTCAACCAAGCTTCTGGTGCATCTGTTGGGTTCCGTGGCTTCATGAACTTCTCGAGTGCGCTGAAAGCCTTTTCAAGATCTGACTGCGCTATTCCCTGCGCTGGAGGGTCTCCTGATGGCGGATTCTCTGCCCCATCCGTTCGCTCATGCGGGTCCTGATGACGCATATCAGACTATGATTATTTCACGCATAAGAGACTGTTCGATGTTCGTACTCACCTGATTCGGAGGTCTGGATGCGGAGTCGCGAGGCACTGGGAACTCTCCCGCACTAGTACCCGTAACGGCCGGGTTCGATGACTGTGCATACAAGTGAGCAATCCGATGATCCTCCCTTCAATTCCGCATATACTCACTGACGGTCCGGGCCCATCGCCTCCGCTAGAGCCTAAGCTCGCTGAACCGACGGCGGTGGTCGGCGACGGCGTCGCGTCGGGTCCGGGAGTCGTTGTGTTCTCTTCGACGCCCTGGTTCAGTGAGATCGCGGCATTAGCCGACGGTTCCTACACAATCCACAGATACAACAGAGATGTGAACAGTTGTCTGCCGCGCCAGTGAAAACGACGATGCGTACCTCGGGTAGGCTCATAACGGCGTTGTATGGCGATTGGTCTGGCGGCGAGAGGTGCGAATGGGTAGACTTGGAGAGCGAAAGCACGACGGACAGTGAAGATGGTACCGTATGGCTGACTCGGTCGCGCAACCTCACGTAGGTCAGGGCGATTGACAGAGGTCCCAGAGGAGGATGCCGAGATAGTACTGGCTATCGGACGTTGAAAAGGCGAGGATGTATGTCGTCGAGGTGGTGCTGAACGGAACCCGCCGAGCCTCGAGTCTGCAAGGTTTGGACGCTCACAGATTGACATGGGAGGGAAGGTGTGTGCCATTGGCTGTGCGATAACGTTGTAACCGTGACGCCGGTACGTGTTGCACGCTTCCGGCAGCACATTGTACCTACAGGCAGCCACGATTGGACGAGACGTACCCCGGTCGTTCAGAAGCGTACGTGTGGTGTCCATGAGCAGCCACCGAGGCGCTGCACCGGAGCCGCATGCCTTTGGACACTCGCATGCAAATGTCCGAGGTGGCAATGGGCTGCAGCTGCATGCGATGTTGTCGAGCATGACAACATCGAAAGATTCCTGTCGAAACGGTGTTGTAGAAGTTGTCAATTGTGTCACTGATCGTATGGCATATGCACTACATCTCAATATTGAGGTTCATGCGCAGCCGGCCTTTGCGCTTGCATGCAGGCGCAAAGCCGTGTCGAAGTTGCATCGGCTTGGCACGCAAAGGCAGTACCTACTCACATCCGCCGCGGCCGCGGCTGTCGCCCCAATTGCATTCAGTGTGCGACTGGCAACCACAATATGAACCTTGGTAGGGGCTTCCATGGTGCGTGTCGTCCGCCTTGGACGTCCATTGACAGATAGTGAGCGCCTCCGAGTTCATCAGACGACGCGCCACTGGGCCCTGACGCATAGAAAGTACCTAACTCATATTAGCAGTTTCGCCGACCTCGAGGTAAGTGCTCCACATACTCACAAAGTGTACGTTCTCTGGCCGCTGAATCGCTCGCTTAGGGATCGCGGACGTGAGTGGGAGATCTGCACTATGTCGGGAGCCACTCATGTCGAGCAGACTCATCCGTGTCTTTGTTTTGTTTTGTTAACCAAAACCCCGAGTGTGGCCCGGAGCTCGTGTCAAGGGTCTGCGTCGTCCACTTATTGAGTCCGTAAGCAGGGATTGGGTGGGTAGAATGAGCGGCGACAGCGGGCGCGCGATGTCCCGCTCAAGGGCCTCCTGCGCGAGACTCCGAAAGAGGCAAGCAGCTTAGTACCCCCACGCAGACGCAGACAATTCCTTCGACCTTCGTGCCTCAGGTTATGAGCAGCTATACTTACGCGCGAGCTCGGATGAAATACACGTACCGCGAGGCAAGGACAGATTTGAGCCCAGGAGTGACTCGGGAGCTTTTACCTACTGTATTCACCAGTTGCTGGAATCGTCAGAGGACGACGGCGTCGACCACCTAATAGCATCCATGCTGGAAGCGAGAGGACGATATCGTCGCGGTGACGGTCAAGAGAGTCTGTCCGCGAATTGGCGCTCGTATCGCGCAGTCGTTGTTGCTTCCGCCCACGACCTCGTGTTCTCGACAGACCTGCTTCCCCGTATCTGACATATTCGACCGTCTCTGCTAGTCAACATCCACCTATGCGACCGTCCTCCCCCACTCAAAGGGGTCGTGTTTGGAGGAGGCCTACGGAGACTAGCTTCGATCCTCCGACCTCGCCCCTCGCTCCTCGTCAGAGGGCACGTCTGCGTTGCGCTCGGCCAGCCATTGCTCCTCTGCAGAAGACGGATGGGATGCGCGTCATATACAAGTACTTGGATTATGACGCGCCGTGAAAGTGGGCGTGGGCCCATGAAGGACATCGCATCGCAATGACAGGGAGTGCAGTGGAAGGTCGAGGGCGGACGAGGAGGGGCTGGACCCTAGTGAGTGGAGCGGCGCGCAATGACGGGAGTTGTTTTGCTCACCGTCCACTCTCACCGTGCTCATAGAGCTATGATAAAGCTCTAATGAATCAATAGATCCTGTAGGTGTCGCCACGGCCTGTCGTCGACTTCCGCGGACAACAACGCGCATACATGCGATCGCCGCTCGCTCATGGTACGCGACACGACGGTCCCCATTGCTTCGTGGTCTCGAGCTGGGCAGCAGCTGGAGTCGCCTTGACTGAACGTGCAAGGCACCGAGCAATAAAAACAGGTCGCGGCCGGCGAGGTCGGGAGTGGTACCGAGGCAGGGAGCGTCGCTTACCGTTACCCGCTAGTCCGTGGATGAAGGTCCCGCGCCACACGCCTCAGCCACCTCGCGTCTCGCGGCCGTCGCCTTCATGCAATGCCCAATACCTCGCTCGAAACTCATCGTATGGCCTTGGCGACCTCATTTTCGGAATCTACGCGTCAAACACTACTCAGGCATGATGTCAGAAAGGCCAAATTGAGAGGCAGCTGCGCGCAAGACCCCACAAGAGTCCGGACGAGTCGGCGAACACCCGCACGCAGCGTAAACGGCGCGTGCGTGTCACATATCGCGTGTCGGGAGGCTGGAGGGTGCTATGAGTGGTAGATTGAGCCAGGGTTGAAGCTGTTTGTATAGTGAGTCTTCACTGCTCGTGTTGTTGTCCTTTCGTCCTTCTGTACTCGCGCGAGCAGTCCCGGGCTTATGGGATACTGGTTCGCCACATTATAAGTTATGTCGCACAGTATATCCAATCTTCATATATGTATCACTGTCAATATAATACTACTGCTCGTAGGAGGTCCAGCCGAGCTGATACAGTGGTCTTCATGACTGTTGGGTATAATCTCACACCTAACAATCAAATGGTATTCTACGCTGTATGCAATATTTCATGAGTGCATCAAGGGTCTACCATTGCACCAATACCAAGGCCTAGAGCCAAGATTCACGACCATTGACAATTGCACACTGTACAGTATGTGCACCCGAGTGATGAACCCACTTGAACGGTCTTGACTCCTGAGCTCGAGATCTCCGTGTCCGGGACATACTATATGTCGGAATGTTAGATCCGTATAGATAGAATTGTACTAATAAAACTCACCTTGGACTCGAGGCCGATATGCGGTCCTCGTCGTATGCTTGCGCTGTCGCTTATCGCCGGCTGAACATCGCCCGCCTTGGACGGTAGCCTCAAGGCTACCGTGTGCGACATGCGCCATCCGACACCGTCATATTTGATCAGTACCAATGTACATGTATAAGTAGACAGACAGAAATACGAACCTTAGAGTTTTTCCCCCGAGCTCTCCGATCTGCGCCCCGACCCTCAAGCACCTGCGCGTCGAGTCGATACTCGCCGCTGTTCCATCGCGTCGTATACGCGATACTATAGTTCAGTCACCCTACAGCCTACCCTAGTCTCCTGGCCCACGATGTATATACTATGGCACTCACGCGCCGTTTACGCTGCGTGCGGGTGTTCGCCGACTCGTCCGGACTCTTGTGGGGTCTTGCGCGCAGCTGCCTCTCAATTTGGCCTTTCTGACATCATGCCTGAGTAGTGTTTGACGCGTAGATTCCGAAAATGAGGTCGCCAAGGCCATACGATGAGTTTCGAGCGAGGTATTGGGCATTGCATGAAGGCGACGGCCGCGAGACGCGAGGTGGCTGAGGCGTGTGGCGCGGGACCTTCATCCACGGACTAGCGGGTAACGGTAGTCGCTGCAGGAGCCAAGTTGTCCGGATTGGAAGGGCGGAAGTAGTGCTGCGCGCAGTCACGACACGTCCTGGCATGGTTGCGCGCGCGCATCCCAATGCTACGACGCTCAACGCCCTCTTCTCAAACAGAGACATAGACATCCCCACTCAGCAACGTCTCCACATCTCACCCGAAGTACCCGTCTCGGAGCCGTCATCTCTGGACATTCTCTCAACACTCACGGCAACAACCGCATGCCGATCTTCTTCAGTGCGCTCCTACAGTATCTGGAAGCCTGCTGTTCCTCGCGTCTCGCTCGTGGATTCGCTTTCGTCGTTGAGGACAAGGGTCTCGGTTCGCACTCTCCTTCTCATTCGCCGACTGCGTAACTCTCATTGTCGCAGTACCTCTTTGTTGCCGCGCAATTCAACGTCGGTGACTTCATTCCATCCGGTCACCCAGAGTTCTTCTCAACAAATATATGGGTCGGGGTACGAGCCTGCTTACAGGAGGACTCGAGTACGTACTCGTATCCGTACATAGTACTGTCGTTTGTAGTCTGCAATCAATCGACGACGCCCTCGCTACTTGAGTAAGCAGCGAGTTGGATCGGCCTGATTGTCGCTCACCGGTTAGTTCCTATGGCAGAGTATATGCAGGGTCTGCGTTGGGCTCGTCTCAAGGACACCGGGTCAGGATGAATGAGAGTCGATCGCTCGGTTCAGGAGACCGACTCGTCCACTTAAGCAGGGTAACCTCCTGCGACGTCCGGTGCACGATCCAGCATGGCGCGGGCACGAGGAGACCGGGGAACCCGTGGATACAGCCGGGGAGGCGCGGGTTGGCGTATAGATCGCGCGGTCGAGCGAGCCCAGGGGCGCCAGGTCGGTGCGAGCGACCAATCTAGACATGGACGTCGCGTCGTCCAGCGCCTCGATGCTGATTCAGAATGCGGATGCCCTTTGGGCGACGCCGTGCTGTATGACTTGACGACGAATCTGCCGACCATCGCGCAATGGCGCGTGTCCCGGTACGTGGCGGGCCTCGCTGCGTCCGATAGCTCGTCAGCCTCGGTGCACTGACAGGCAAAGCCGCTCACCTTGCTGCCCAGAGTGGACAGTCCCCCCTACGCGTCGGAGAGTCGGTCACTGAGCGATGGCAGCCGCCTTATCTACTAGTCAGCATGAACCACGGGACGGGCGTCCAGCGGGACTCGGTCGTGGTGCATGCGGAGGTCGTCAAGACGTCCGTCGGTCCGCGTTTCTGTCGTTCGTGAGCGCGTGGACAAGGAGACGATCTGGGTTCGCACCTTCATCTGCTCTCTACTACCCCCCCTCTTGCCTACCGTCCTCGTCTTCCGCACAACGCGCACCCAGGCTTATGGCCTTGGTCATGTCCTTCCTCCGACTGATCCCGTTGTTGCTGACTTCTCTTCCCAGGTCTCTCACTGCACGTCGCAGCACGGCGAGTGGATCCGACGCGGCGGTCTACACGTCCACCCTTTAGTGAGGTGCGTCCGTGCGTGTGCTGGCGCTCGTACTGCCTGACACTTTCACCAGCTCCCGTTCTCGACCTCTACGCCCCTTGTCGTCCAGCTCGCCCGCCTGCTCGTGTCCCCGGTACGTACGTCGCGTCCTACATCGTCCCCGTGGCCCACTCCGCTGTTACTTCGTCACGTCCATTATCATCCAAAGAAACCGGGCCAGAGCGTCGTCGAGCAGCCCATCTTGAAGACGACGCCACGCTTTCGCCGCCGGTCGGAGGAGGCGGTCGGGCGCACGGTGTAGGAGGACAGCCGAGGTCGGTAGGTAAGCCTGCGAGAGCGGTCGGCGCAGACCGTCCTCCGGTCTTGACGAGTGCTTTCGCGGGACCCTCGTTTGCTCAGCAGGCAGGAGGGCAATGTCTCATCGTGCGACGAGGGGCGAGCCTGGCTGTTTCGTGGACGTTTGCGGAGTGGTTGTGCGGCGACCGGTGGTGATAGCCCAAGTGAATCGGTTGGCATCGTCTAACGCATACAGTTCATTGCCCGTCCGTGTAAGTAGCTGAAGCGCAGGAGTCATCAGTTCGGCGGGAGCACGGGCAGGACGCAGCAGATTAGTACTTACATCTCACAAATGAATGGGTTTTACCCACGTACCGATGCGTGGTTGCTGGCTGTGTTCCCCGTCAGCGTTGGGGCGTATGGAATTCGGGGAATGAGTGTCTGCCGCAGTAGTGCGATTACGGCGGGTTGTGTCCACTGCGCCCCATGAATCGGCTCAGGACGCGAAACAGCCACGGGCGTAATCGACTGCGCATTTTGGTGACCGCTCGCGCCGTGCCTGGTGTCGCAACACAAGGCGAGGATCGTCGGGGACGTTAGCCGGGCATGGCAAGCAGCGTACGACGCGAGTTGGGCAACGTACCTCCCAACGCACAACCGGGTACGTTCACAATCGGATATATACACTCAGGAGCCGTCGAACGGGGCATACAAGAGGGCCAGAGACCGCGAGGAGAGCGTACGGGGATCGATTTCGGGCGCTTGGGGTATGTCGCAGAGAATACCGCCGCGCGTGCCACTGTGCCGTGAGCAGGATCACTTCGGATGACTTGGATTGGGTGCAGGAAGGGTCCAGGTTCGAGATGGTAGCGTCTGGGGGCCACGAAACGGGCGGAGTATGGGGAAGGGAGAAGTCGGCCGCAAGACTCAGAGAGACGCTTTGCCTCGATGAATGCGTGCGATGAATTGACAAGATGATAAAACGCACCTGCTGGAGCTTCCCTCGTGCGGAGACCGGGCATTGTGGGGGTCGATGGGTTCGTCTCGGTTACGCGCATGCGTCTGGCTGGCGGGCGGGCACGGGAAACGCGAAGGGAAGGCGCGGGGAGGGGAGGGAAACGTCGGGAGGGGAGAGGAACATCAGGAGGGGAGAGAAACGTCGGGAGGAGAGACCAGCCAGCAGCAGAGGTCAGGAAAGCACGCAGACAGCGGTGCACAAGAGTGAGCGAGTTGCCAGTAGGAGTGAGCAAGAGGTCGCCAGAGGAGTGCACAAGAGGCGGAAAGAGCGTCGAGGTGCGACGCGGCAGCCAATCAGGAGCGCAGGAGCGCGTTTGGGCGCTCCGGCGGCGAGACGTCATTGCAGGTCCATTGGGGGCAATGCGAAGGGGGAGTCGCGACGGGGACGCAGCTGGCGTGCGATCAGACAGCGTCGTTCGTGCGCGTGAGGCTTCGAGACACTCACCCAGCTAGTAATAAGGTGCCACGCATGTCCCCACCTGCGCATTCGTCCTCGCGCCGCTGACCAATACGTAAGGCCCGTCTCGACTGGTCGTCCGCTGGCGGAGTCGACGCTGCTGTGTGGGAGGTCGACGCAGCGTCCAGGGACTTGCATTGTAAAAGGAAGGACATGGTCGGCCATGCAGTTGAGCCGCGGAAACACTAAATTTAGCGTCCGCGAGCTAGACGCCTAAGATTGCATCGCTACCGGTCGTCCGCGGTTGTACCCGACAAGCCATTGCTCATCCACGGACCACCGCGCCGGCGAGCCACGTCACAAGAGGACCGATGCCAATGTGTCGTGCATAGCCGGGGACCATTCTTCAATTTCCCTGTGACGGCATAAGCCGTCGACGGGCATCTACCCGTTCTAGTGCGAGCAGCTGGATATATGGCATCGGGTAATAACTGGGTGGGTATGGCCACGTATGGTGCGTCAGTCGATAGTGAGCAACCGCTGACAGCGTCATATGCTGTCCAAAGGGAGTGGTAAATTCCTATATCTACAAAATACGGGGGCGTGCGTGCAGACATTACAATGGCGGGGACACAGGTGTCACTGCGAAAAACGAGGATCGCACCTAAACGGGCCTCTGGACAGCCTTCGTCGCGAGCTGCTCCATACTTCCGGGGTGACACATCGTCTACTCGGACTCTCGAGTCGGACATAGCAATCCGTCTTGAGGACACGGCATGTCGCAAACGACACGTCGGGTCTCTACGAGGCACTTCATGACGGACAGGGATATGAACAGCCAGCGCGGTGAATCCAGATTTAGAACGCACCGCGCTTTTCTGTCCTCCTTGATCAACGGATCGTCTTGAAGCTATCTACTCTGCGTGTTCTGCGCAGCCTCGCGTTCGATTCGAGACGGCTGACCTCCAGTCATCACGGCCTGGAGACTGACGGGGTTGATCCGATGACGACGACACCTGCGTGACAGTAAACAACCGAACATTGCACGCATGAAACGATGATCAGACCTAATCGCATGAAGACTGAACACGAAACGGCAGCCTGCGCGAGTAGCATCACGGGGTAGCAATTAATTGCACGCTACGGTTGCATGTGTCCAACGACGGGGACATCGAATATCGCAGCATTGTGCGCTATCGACGAATCGAACTCACCATACTGTTCATCCCGGGGACCGACGCCGAGTAAGCCCGCCATGGGGACCGGGTCAGCTGGATGCACCGGTCTTGGAGGCGCAGGTGTACACCGTAATTCCATATGCCGTAAAGAGACGCAGTGGGGTTCGCTGCGACCGCGATGAAGATCAGACGAATCATGCGACCACTATGCGCATAAACTCACCTTTGGGGAGTATGATCCGCGAACAGAGCGCGTTCGTCGCACTAGGTGTGTGAATCGGTGGGCCGCCGTGGATGAAGAACATGTAGTCGGGAGAAAGTGACGTAATTGATCGCCCGCAGCCTGTGTTGTGATACCGGTGGAACGGGTGTATGGGAATAACACTCCGGCAATACCTCACTCGATCGCACGCGGGGCTCGACAGACTATGTAAGGCGGGATCTACTCCATCACAGTGGCTCTTGACCGACACTCTGCCTCGAATGACGGACGTCCCTGTCGACCCGCCGCAGGTCAGCCGATGCTACTACGCACTTGAGTTGAGTGCTTACTCTGTGACGCGAGAGTCGACAAGGCAGCGGGTGCTTACGGCGATACCAGGCGCGAGAAGCCTGAGCAGAGCGTGAGTCAGATTTAAGGGCGAGATATGATTCCGGACAACCTACTTACCAGCAGCACACGTTCGGATTTGAACTAGCTTTGCTGGCACGTATACCTGTCGTCGTGTCCCGAATCACGCTATGGTCCGTTGAACGTTAGAGAGGCGCGGAACTCACCCGTAATCACTGCCCGGGCCGCGCACTACCAGTAGAGGGCCAACGAGCGAGAAGGCACGCATGCGGCTTGGCCCACGGTACTCGACGGTCAACGGGATGGTTACTCCAGCAGCGCTGACCTGGCGATGGGTACTTCAGGTGGTCGAGAGACTCAAGTAGAGATGCTCCTAGCAAGCCGAACGGACAGGAGCGCACAGAGATACGGGGTGGCACGCCGGCGAGACCGATGCCGTTCAGCGGTCGACATTCCTGGGAGGGCGGATGCGAGAACCAGCCAGGGACGAAGGGCAACGTAGCGAGGTGTCTTCAAGTCGTATTCATGAACGGGGCCAGAGGAAGCGTGAGCGGGTATGCGTAGAATATTGGTGAGTAGCCGGGGAGGAGTGCAGCAGAGGCGGGGCTCTTGAGGTGTGTGTCGTTGGATCCAGAGGCTACGTGAACGGCGACTGCCAGCGTGGTATACGGCGAGGAGAAGAAGGTGCCCAAGAGTTCTCGCTGAGGCTCGCTGTCGTCAATGGAGGGGAACGACAGCCTGCGACGCGCCCAAGACGCGCCTCGGACGATTGTCGGAGGACGGGTGTCTCCTCCTCGACGAGCTCAATTGGCGCCAGGCAACATTTCTACTAACTTACTTTCCACTCCCCGCGACCCTCAATCGACATCGCAACTTCAGCTGCACACGCATCGCTCTGGTCGTACGCAGGAACACGCCGCTGCTACAAGAACGGGCGCATGACGCGCGGGACGCGTGGCTCAGCTGACGTCAGACTGCCGCGGAATCGTCCTGGACAACACATGCCTCCCCGTCTTCGTGCGCATACACACCGGTGGAACCTCCAATTTAGGAGATCCGAGTCAAGGAGTCGGATGACGTCGCTTGAGCTCCCACCGCCAATGACTCTGAGGCCTCTTGCCGGCGGTACGTACGTCCTGTCTTGTTCGTCTACAGTTCTCGTCTTCCTGCTTCGTTACAAATCCCTTCGGTTGTATACATTCGCTTCTTTATCCCTCAATGTCAACTCATCCGCGAGCGCCGTCCAGCATCCGCCTTCTCGACCGAACCGGCTGCACGGTCGACAGTCGTGTCAAGTGATACCGCGTCGAAGGTGGCGCCCTTCCGCCAGGCGTCCAGACATGAGTGCATGAGTTCCAGACAAGACTGGAAGGATGCGAGTTGCCGCATGCGAGGCTTGTGAGAGCGGGAGGTGGTGATGACCGAGGGACGAGACTACGGTATGTACTAAAGCTTACCTAGTCTACACAGATGCTGGTGCACCAGTGAGTCAGTGACCGAGGCAGGTCCGTCAACCCGGCGCGACGTACGAGCAATGTTGCTGTCTCAGGGTAGCACAGAAGACTGCGCATATTGTCTAGTGGCCACGGCGGCACAAATTGTAATGGTCGTCGCGAAATATGTTCAGAACTCACAATATACTTTTTTCCCACTTATATCTGCCCTCGCTTGTCGCACACCGCTCGACGGGACGTGGCGCGTTATGTTGATACGCGATAGTCCAATAGCGGTTCCAAGCAGATGTACAGGAGGCGAGTTGTACCGAACGAATAGTACATCACATAATACAGACGTTGGACAGCAACGCCCGTTCGCGGAAGCTCCAGGCGATCCGGTCGGTGAACACAAGTGTACAAGGGACGCCACCGCTACGCTCCGGCGGTTGAGTGAACATCAATGTAATTAAAGTCATAAACCATCATATATAGTAGAAGTTCGTCATAGGTGCCATTGATAGTAGTGGGTTTGTCGTGTTTGAGCAAAATTCTTGCGTGGTCACTGTGACATATGCGCGTGTACAGCTGTCCATGTGAAAACGCGTGTCTCGTACTAGTCTACTCCCACTGCGTCAAGAGTTAGCCCTTGGTAAGTAGCTGTTGAATGTCATTGCATATGCCGGCGGCCGCGCAAGAGGAGACTGACGACGGAGGAGTGTATGGCCCGAGGAAAGGGTGGTAGAGAATGTGATCCGAGGTATGAGGACGTCTTCTTCATCAATGACACTGACACCTGCAATACCCCGTAGAATGCGGACTGTGACGAGACGGGGGCCGACCGCAATGACAACAACGCGAATGTTCTTGACCAAGCCACGGTCGAGGGAGAAATTACGCAGCAAGCGGTAGACGGTGTTAACCTTCACGGTCAACGAGTGGGGAGGAAAACCTGCGGGATTCTGGCGGGCGACGTAGTCAAATATGCTGTCGGGGGAGTCGATGCCGCCGTCGTCTGCCTCCTTCAGAGAGTCGGCCGCAAGGTATGTCCCGCTTGTCTCATCAATCTGGTCGAGAACAATGCTGTTGTACCGGTCAATCTGCCTATTGGTGGGAGCAAGCATCGAACGGTTTAGACAGGCGATGGAATTGGCGAGTACATGTGTCGGGAAGACGAAGTCAATCAGCTGCTGGTCGTCGGATACATGGTGCAGGAGGTGCAGAGAGACTTCTGGACCTTCACCGTCACCGATAGCATCAACCATGTGGGCGAGCTCAAGGAGTGTTAGCAGTCGATGATCGACTGCCTCCGGGTAGAGTTCCACCTCCGACAGCGACAGGAGAGGGCCGACGTTGAAAGAAATGAGCTCAAGGTGGACACCCAACACGCCATCTGAACGCATACGCGAGCATCGGCCAAGGAAAGATATGGTAGAATTGGGGGCAGGAGCAGGAACGGTAGCCCATCGCGGCGAAGCGTCGTATATGCACCTAGTAAGTGGGAGATTTAATGAAAGCACAAAGACAGTGTTGTAATTACACTTACTGAATAGTAGACATTTTACTTTCGTCGCGCACGCGCTCATGGGCGATAACAGGGAATGACTTTGATTGGCCGTCTGCAAGCACATCATACGCGGACGCAACCGTTCCGATGCCGATGATGGTGGGCTGGAAGGACAGAACGCTCTGATCGTATTCGTCCCCGAGAGATGGATCGCCGTAGAAAGGTGAGCTGGATAGCATCAAGCAAAGCCATGCCGGCAGAAGGACAACAGGCACGCGCGATGACATAAGCAATAGTATTGTCAGGTAAGACAGTGTCGTTTGGAGGGTTGTACATGCGCAGCTCAGCCGGAATGTCGCTGCCGTTCGAGCATTCGATCAAGGTGGCGTAGTAGTTGTGGAACGTCGAAGTACCGCGTTGGCGGTTAGCGCTTGATGAACGACGGCCGTTGGTGAGGGATAGAAAGCCGAAGAGAAGAAGGTTGGTCATCGCGGGAGTTGCGGGACAGCACGTTCAAAATGGCGGGCAGGCAGCGGGCAGAAATACAGTGGAACGCATAACACTAACACGTTAGATCTGATCAACACAAAGACAACAGGCAGCCTTACCATTTTGCGAGACAATAACGAAGACAGGGGTAGAGGCACAGAATGCATGACAGAGTGTCATGCGCACAACAGACAGGAGGTACAGACGCAGAGGGGGGAAGGGAACGCGCGTCGTGCAACACTGCCCATAGCCATGCGCTGAGCGGGCTGGGACAACGACTTGATTGGAACCGAGTCGGAGGGCGGTAGTGTTACAAAGCAGCTCAATGAGGCAATAGCGGCGCCAGTTGCTGTATTCGGGAAGGCAGTCGGGATGCGTCGCGCTTCCGCAGACTTACAGTCAATTAGTAGCGATGGTCTACATAAAACACAGAAAAAAGACATAGATTACTGCAGCTTGGTAACGGCTAATGGCGCATCGAGGCATAACGAGGCATAACGGCGCATCGGCCACATCGAGTTTTACTCAGCCACAGCCGTAGACAGAAGCGCTGGTCCAAACAGGTGCAAACGAATTCACCGGATCTGCTTTAGTATACGAGTAATCGTACACACAGTCAGTGAACCCGTTCGTATCGAGACTCCGAGACCATAGCTTACACAAACTTATCACAAACAGCTATACCGAGAACCAGAGTACATACACGAGAAACTAGCCCATCGCAGCCCCAGAAATCGTTCGTGCACCGAGAGATTCATCCATCACCGTCACGGTTCGTCAAAAGTCGATGCATGCTGTCCGCCTGCGGTGAACGTCAGCATTCGGCGGTGGTGGTCTATCCAGCAACGTACGACGTACACCGTGACGTCGATGCCACCATCCTCCGTCCTCCGAATCAGCCATCGTTCTGACTCTGGCTGCATGGCTCGCAGTGCGACTTGGACAGTTGCGTAGGCGCGTCGTATGGTGCAGTTAATCCCTCCTGACTCGGACGCACGTCGCCGCCTTGATCTTCATCTGCGTGCTCGGCCGCGCTTACGAGTCCGCCCTGACGACCTTCGTCCGCGTCCGCGTCCGCGCCGTGCTCAGCTACTCCGCGTGCGGCACCCGAGTCGTCTGCGCGCGGTTCGGTGGCCTCTAGCGGCTGCGTCTGCCCGATCAGATCCGCGTTCTGCCCTTGCGGCGATTCGTCGAGCGTCGTAGCGGTCATCGGCGGGGCGTCGCTGATGTCTGGCAGTGCGGCGTCCGTTGCAGGTGCTGCGCTCGGGCTAGTGTCCACGGCTCGCATCTCAACGTCGGGCTCCTGCGCTGCAGTCCCTCTGAATTTTCGCCAGACACCACGGCTATAGAGAGGGGATCAGCGACGACTGGACGAGTTGAGTATAGGGTTCACCGCTTACATGACACGCGTTATAGATCGCTTCAGACTGTCCATGCGCGACTCCGGTGAGTCCTGCTCGTCCACAGCTTCCGATGTAGGCCCTGGGCCAGCCGCCTGCGAGGAGTCAGCGCGTCGATCGCCTTCGCTCTCGGGCTCATCTGGAGCGCATTCGAGCCATCCTTCTGAGTCCCTGTTGCAAGTGTCAGTGTGTCTTGGACATTCTGAGCGTCGAAGATGACTGACCAGTTTTTCTGGTCTATCCCTTGATCTTGTTCTAGGCACCATTGTGTCCCCTCCACGTGTAATTGCAAGCGAACGCGAAACCCTTGGACCGTCCCTGGCGGCGTCCAATCATTGCATCCCAGCAGCCACTGGAGTCGCCGCGCGATGTGATTTGTCGATATCGTGGCATCCCGGTAAATACCGGTCATACTCAAGAATCCATAGATGTCCCAGGCGGACATGCGACACAACACCCAATCGAGTCTGTATATGGCCGCGGGAGAGAGGTCTTGCACAGCGTCTCGCATCTCCTCGCGGCGGAGGGTAGCCAAGTGCTCGTCGAATCGGTGGAGCATGTCGGCCAGGTAAGCTCCCCTCGACGGCTCGGCTGGCAATGTGTGGCAGTTTCTGACGGACAACGTGCATATGGCCAGGACGGTTGTCATGATTTGGATGGTGGATACAGGGTCATCATGTGCGTAGACCGTCGTGAGTGCATCCTGCACGAGTTCCCAGTCTATGTCGAACTTTAGCTTATACCTCTTGCGATTGAACTTGAAGTGGAAGTTTGACTTACCTTGAATGTCGCGCAAACGATATAGCTCGGTCTGTGGAGCACAATCAAATGGTCTAATCATCTGCATATTGACACGACCGCTGTACCATGGGTCCTCCGCGAGGAAATCAATCGTCACGTAGACACTTTGTATAACATCCGATGTGGCTCTTCGTTGTTCCGTGGACAGTTGATCATTGCGTAAATGCTGGAACAAAGTCATGCAGGCCTCGGATCCATCGGCGAGAGGCATAGCGCGGATAAGTCCAGCTAAGCAACGGTTTGTGTCCAAGTCAAGAGGGCTGTCATCAAGTTCCGTATGCGCGCGAGTGAACGTGTCCAGTACCATGCGACCTATCAAAGCCGTAGAGGTGCTGTCCAAACCATCAGATTGCAGTTGACTACCAGAAGTCGACGCAGAGGTCCCGGACGCCCGTGAACGCGGATCCGGTCGTTTTGACAAGGCCTCAATAACAGTTTGGCCGATTTCCGTGACAGCTTTGATTGCTTGGGCAATGGGCATCGCTCGCACGCAGGTTGCCATCGCGCGAAGGACGTCTGTGTCCTGTGCGATGTGATAGATGTCCGAGAATAGGGACTTTTCTTCCTTGGGGGTATCCCCGCGCCTGGTACGCAGATATAACTGTTCATGCGCCAGCCAGTTCGATGTTGACATGAGACTTCGTACATAAACAAGATCACTCTGGAGGATATCATGATCTAACGGCGTTATCAGTCACCACTGCAACCTCCGGATCTTCCGCAGTCAGTGCAGGTCTCACTCACCGCGAAGATGCTCCCGGCTGGTCAACCCTTTCAGAGACAGGATGATCTTGCTCGTGGCAATCTTCCACCAGTGGCAGATTACTCCCCAGGATCTGGACATGAAAGAGCCTGTGCATTGCCAGAACTCTGCAGAACAACTAATAGGGGATAGGCACAGCCGGAGCAGCTGGAAAAGGAGCCACCGTGCCCGTCTGCAGGCCTCACATATCCACCATGCTTGGAGTGACTTGTAGGGACTGTAGTGAACCAACGCAGGTAACACAGATGTGGATGCCAGAAAAAGAAGCAGGACACCGACGAGGACCGTGCTCAAGACGGCAATGTCGGGTCCGAGCACCCATAGGTAGCCCATAATTCCGATGAGAAATAAGATGAGAGCCACCTGCAACAAACATGGGAGGAGGCCAACGATGAACTCCACCTTCCACTTGTTAAGGGCGTCCCGACGGAGCTGCCACGTCCGAACCTTCTGCTGTGTGGTTCGCAGTCCCGATTGCTCCGCGTGAAAGTTCAGCCATTGGTTGACAGCCAGAGCGATTGACGCAGCGCCGAGGCTGAAGACCAGAGACGCGAACCACAGGGTAGCGATCCATCGAGGTGCAGGAGGCGCAGAGGGGAAGGGCGACGAAGAGCTCGTGGGTGCGATGTCGGGGTTGCTAGACGTATTACCGAGCTGCTCCGAAATGCGCTCGAGGATGACCGTGTTGAAGTCAGGCGGTGGCAGCAGAACAGCATAATATGCTCCAACGAAGGCAGTGAGGACGGCGGAGAACAGGCCCGCCTACAGGTAGATCAACAATCACTCGCCACATTGACAAATGCATGGACACGACTTACGAAGACGAGAAGTGTATTGATTTCGTTCCGCCATCGTTCTATACGCTCCTTTTCGTACGACCAAACCTCTTTCGCTAGCACCGGCCACGCGTCTTCTTGCTTTTGCGGGTCCAGCGGTTTCAGGTACTTCTCGAATACTTTGACCAAGACAGTTTCATCCAGCACGGCCGGCGGTATTTGCGTCGAGTCCAGCGGCTTCATGAACTTCTCGAATACTTTCTCCAAGACAGTTGCATCCATCACGGCCGGCGATGTTTGCGGCTCCCGCGGCATCATAAACTTCCCGAGTACGTTGGTCAAAACAGTCTCCATTTCCGACGCCGTTATTGGATCCTTCGCCGAGTAGTCTGGCGACTCAAGCGCCGTTCCATTGGCATCTAGCACCTCATCCAGGCCGTTCTGACGTACATTCAAGTTAGACCTTGGCACGCAGCTAAGAGATCACCGGCCACGCTCACCTCATTTGGAGCTGCATGTGTGATGTCATGGGGCGACGAGGAGGCTCTGGCAGTGCCCGTGCCGACCGGGTCGGATTCCTGTGTATACAGGTCAGTGATCCTGTTTGCCGTTCAATTCTGCTTAAACTCACAGATGACTCGGATTCAGAACCGCCGTTTTCGCTGGAGCTCGTTCGGCGGATGGAAAGTTTTGGTGACAACGCCGCGTTGGGGTCGGGAGTGTTTGTGTTCTCTCCGGGAACCGACTGCACCGGCGACCCCTGCATTCCACAAATACAACAAATACAATCAGCTTTCATGTTGTAGCAGAGAGGAACGACGTGCGCACCTCGGGTGCGCTCATGACAGCGTCCGAGGGTAATCAGTCTAGCGCAGAGAGATGGATGTGGGCGGAGAGAGCGAGAGGGCGTGGCAGGGCGGAAGACAGTCACGTATGGCAGACCAACCTCACGTAGCTCAGGGTGGGGACACACGACGACTCGGAGCTGTCCACAGAAGCGCACTGAGGATGCGTCTGCACGTTGACGGCACGGGAACGTATGCCACCGAATTTGAGTCTGTGGTACGCTGATGGACAGAAACGCCACTCAGTGTCGAGTCGGCAAGGGTCCGGAAGTTCGCAGTGACATGGGAGGGAAGGTACATGCCATTGATTGCGATAACATCATGACCCCGTTACGTGGTATCCGGTTCCGGCAGCAACGTTGTACCTACACGGAAACCATGAGCAGACCAAGGCGTACGACAGCTTATGCGTGGTCCTCGTCAACGCGCAACAAATACTGAGTCGCTGCATGCGCACCATCCCTCCGCGAGATGAACGGTAAACATCGACGAGAGCCCGCTAGAGTCTGGCTGAAACTGCCTAATTTAGCGGCCCCTTTCCCGCCGAGACGGGTCTGGTATAGAAGCTGTCAGGCGTGCCATATGTACGTTGACCTCGCAAGCGCACAAGACACTATGTATCCACAATGGGGCATTTGAACACCGGCTACTAGAGCGGTAACGCTTAGTTCACTGGGCTGACTGGCCCACCCCGAGAGAACGCGCAGAACTCGCCAGTCTCCCGTCCAATACGTCGGGCGGCGCAGTAGGCCTGCGCGGCGGGGTATCACTAGCACTGGTCCGTCGGCGAGGAATGAGACAGCCGCGTGCCTGTCGGGACAGCCCCTTCACAGCGACGGTTATGCCCACGGCGCATATTCGAAGCAACGTATGCTGATTGAACACGAAGGCAGTGTGTAGCATTCGAAATAGCTCACCGCGATGTCCAGTGCTGTCGCTTCAGTGCGTACAGTGAGCAGCTGGCATACCCTGGCACGAACCTTGCCATGAGGCTTCTGTGGTGCGTGTCGTCCGCTTTGGACGTTTGTTCCCAAATCGTGAGCACTTCCGAGTTCAAACGTTCTTCGGACGACGCACCGCTGGGGTCCTGGAAAACAGAAGGTATCTTAATAATGCAATCCGTTGGACAGCACCTTTGCAAATTTCGCAGGCGGCTCACATACGGAGTACGGCTGCTCAATCGCTCGCTGAGAGATTGCGGACGTGAGCGGGAAATCAACACTGTGTCAGGGGCCACTCACATCGAACAAGGAAACTGTTGTCTTTCTTTTGTTCACCAATTGAACCCCGAGTGTGGCCGGAGGTCGTGTCTGCGCCCGTCCACTTATTGAGTCCGTAAGTAGTGATTAGGTGGATAGAAATGAACAGCGACAGCGGGAGTTTCACCTCCATACACAGGCCCACCTGATGATATCGCCCTCTGCACTCAATTTGCCATTGATAGGAGCACTCCAGTTGAACCAGCAAACTCCAAGCTCACTATTAGTACGCACATTACAGCGTGCATACAACCTTGGAACGTTACGTTGCCCATGATGAGCGAAGCACCCCAGAAATCAACATCAGCGAGCCCCCCGGGAGGGCTCGTCGCTGACGAGCCCTGTGCAGACCTTCTCGTGGTCCGGGGGGTAAGTAACCCTCTCAAGGGCGAAACGAACATGCACTTTAAGGTCTGTCGCCGTTGTTAAACGCGTAGACCAGGATATCGCCTGAGAGCGTCATCCGAGGAAACCGAGGCCAATCCACCCTCTTTCCTCCTAACACCCAGAGTGTTAGAGTACTTCTAGGTACTACGAGACTCAACGTGCCATAAAATACACGAAGTCAGAAAGAAAAATGTACCTGACGACCACGCTCACTGGTCCGATGGCCCACCCTACACTGAGCGCCCCTAGACTGAGCTAGCGCTGACCCGTCGGGCACGGCGCCAAAATTAAAGTTCCGGCCACCACCAAAACAACCTCAAACACAAGTGCCACCTGTGGCTGCACCCCTAAAACAAAGAACTCGACTGATATCGTCCGAAAAGAATGGATTGGAACTGAGTCCTCCTCTCTGCGATGCCGCCCTCCCAAGTGCTCCACCCTGGTTGCAAAACTCTCCTTTACCCACTATCATGTTAATGAGCGTCTAAAAAGAAAAATGCATACATCAGTGTCTCCATGATAACGTAACAGCGGATCTTCCCAACCGGCTATAATGTCATAAGTAAACGCTCAGCCCTCTGTTAAAAACTGGCCTCTCATCAGGGGACAAGAATCCCAGATAGCAGCGATGACACCCACCACCCCAACTAAACCTCCGCATCGACGATACAAACACTCCTCGAGATGGCCAAGAATACCAAAGCGCCCGATCCATGGACCCCCACAGTCCTAGATCTCAATGCGCCAACGCCCTCGCCACCAGCACATTGCCTCCCCATCCTCCACCCTTCGCACAACGCGTCGAATCCCTTGACGATTGAAGTGGATGGAATCCCTGAACGAAATGGTGCAACCTGGACGTGGACAGTGAAGAAACGCCCACTCTCCCAAATCGAGGCCGGCCAACCGGTCGTGCTCATTACCGGAGGATCACGTTCTGGAACCGGCCTCATCGAAGCAGTATCTGAGCTCCGGAGACACTGGATCACGTGGTCCCTCGCCGGATCACCGGGGATCTACGGGATCAGAGCTCCAACGTCATGGTCGAGACTCGCCGGTCGCGACAGAACAATCCATACAACCCTATACCACCTCTTACCGCCCCTACCACCCCCACACCTCTCTCTCACCTCGAACATGCTCATCCGCGAGAGCAACGAAAGCCCTTACGAATTTGAATCCGACGAGGAAGAGGAGGCAGAACCCTAACCGAGAGGCGGCATGGCAGGCACCGAATACGAGATTCTGAGGAACAATCACCGTAGTCTCGATCACTGTAACTACACGTCCCGCCCGCAGTAAGCTACTACATCCGGTCGATCATATTCGATATAGGGCGCCTCGCCCACTCTCAACACAGCACACGCGCGTAACTAGGAAACATCCCTACAAGTGCCACTGAAACAGTATCCTCGAATCCTATATCACGACGCGCGCCATCCCACGCACCGGGGACGGTAAAAAGAAAGAAGGTAATACGCTGCACTCAATAAGACGGACGGTGAAAGAAATCGTGAACGCACCAATACCTCTCGAGCACATAACTCTCCGAGCCCAATCTCGCTACCAATAGCGCCGGAACGAACACGGATCGAGCCAGTGCGACGCGAACGGTCGAAAGGCCGAAGCTCGCGGCGAAAAATTTAGATCCGCGACCCCTTGCTCGCTAGATCGGACAACTGCACCGCCATGCTAACAGATTAGCCGACCCGACATGCGCGCCATCCCTGGACATGGTAGCCCCGAACGTGAGACCAATGTGGCACAAAGGCCCCACAATCCCCGCCGGCAAGAAGCCGCGTCCACTTTGGGACACCTGCCAAATATTCATTGCCAATTTCGATTAACAGGCGCTAAACACTCCCAACACCGCAGAATATACCTCGAGGTCAGGGTGCGTACGAAAACCTAAGCCGCCCTCCACCACTCAATCCCAATGATTTCAATGCCTTACACACTCCCAACTCACTCACCCCGAGAAAAGAACGATAAACTCGGAAATCCACGCCAACTCTTCCTAAACAGAGAAACATAGACCTAGCCACCTACCAAAATCTGGCCGCACCCGCCTGTCCGCCATGTCGTACGCCCGATGACAAGCGCGAGAAGAAAATCACACAAAATTGAAATCCACGACTGCTACAACGTGAGCTGGAAGCTCACGTCCATCAGAACGAACGCAAACGACAACGCACAGCCCGGTGCAGTGGACCCATCGACAGCTCTTACCTCATCCTTGGCCATGAGGATAAAAGGAGGCCTGAGGCTGCGCTATCCACATCCAATAGATATCTTGCTATCCTCTGTCTCCTGCCCAGCATGAACCAGAACAAATCCGCCTCCAACGATGGGACCGATTCGCCTCCTCGTCTCGTCAGGACTAGTTCGCCGCCCGGCAGACGCCAGACATCTCTCCCTGCCCGCTCCCCGCCCTCACGCCTCACCGGAGCCAGCTCCGCCGCCTCTCCTGCCGGTAACCCCTGGGTCTCCCCCCGAGCGATCTCCCCCGTGGAACGCACTGGGCTCTCTTACGCTGCTATGGCGGCAAGGCCTCTGTCACCTTCGCTCCCGGCCCCGAACCAAGTGCCGGCTACCGCCTGCGACAACCTCGAGACCGAGAACGCCACCGCCGCCACTGCAGTCGACGCGAATTCCGCAAAGGATGACAATGGGCCCGCGTCAGTAGAAGTAGCAGCAGTTGAGGGAGGCAACGACGAAGAGGTCGTCGTTAAAAGTAAGCAGACTCATCTTTACAAAGCGCTCCCATCCCTGACTCCTACCGCAAGCCGAAGAAGCGGAGACCATGCTAGACACCTCCCGCACGAGGTCCGGAAAGAAATTGACGGCCTCTAAACAGAAAGCCAAAAAGCAGAGGGCCAAAAAGAGCGCGGCGGTAACCGGCAAGGCAAAACTGTCGGTGGGCGAAGGACACCCGGCTGCCACCTCCTCTACAGCCGCCACCTCCGCCGCCATCGTGCCAGCGCCCGAGGCCGCAGACCCACCGACGACCACGACACGGGCGGTCAGCGACACGCGCAAGCGCCGCCGTGTCTCTACCGACGTAGACGGGACAACAGCGCAGACCAGCGCCATACCTCGCATCCAGGACCCAGTCGTCGCTCCAACGCTCCCTGTGACACCCACCCAACGCGCCGGCGCTGCGGTGATCTCGATCTCGTCTTCACCGATCATTGATGACCTCCACGACCCACCAGCGGCTACGACGTCCGACATGGAGATAGACGACGTCGTCATGCTCGAAGGCGACGAAATCCCGCTCTCCACGGGGCAAATCCGTATGTTCTATGGCTTGCACCCTACCTACACCGCTGATGAGTACCGTCCTCGTCCCATCTTCGCTGCACCGGGATGTCTATCAGGACCTGGCGTCCCCGGTGCACAACCACCGCGCGTGCGTCAAGCTCCGGGCGCAACCTATATGGTCCAACGCTTTCTGGAGGAGCAATCGCAGCAGGAGACGAGTCCGTACGTCTTGGTCCGCGAGGACTTCGCAGGAGGAAACATTGAGGGTACGTCGCACGACGATGCACCACCTATGACCAATACTAACATACGGACGTCTAACAAGACTTATACACTCCGGCGACATCCCCGCGTCTCGCCTACGCCAAAATACCGGTTGGACCGCCTCCCTCTCGGGAACCGTCAGCTGCGTTCAACCTCAGCGCCGACATGAACCCCTTCCTCGGCAGACAGGGAGACCCGCTCTCCCCAGCGCTCTACACGCCCAAGGTTCACGACGCGCCTTTCTCCTCTCTTGATAAAGGAAAGGCCCCGCAACGTAATGCGACGGCCGGACCGTCGAACGCATCCCGAGACGTTGATCCCGCTACGTACCAGCGCCCTCCTCCTATCGTCCCGCCCACTTTTTCCCACCCACACCCGGTACACTACGCCCCTGGCCCTTTCCCTAACTTCCCACCTGCGCCTGTCACGCCTATTTTCCCCACTGAGCCTACCATACATCACTTCCTTCCCATCCCGCCCGCTGAGCCCGCTATTCCCGCCGAACCCGCCTTCCCGACGGGTCCTATCGCGCCGCTTCCACAGGCGCACGGTTTCTCCGCCCCAGGCGCGATGACGCGGCCCCCGCCTGGCGGATGGCTACCGCTCCAAGGCGATGATTTCTTCTGGCCTTACGGAAACATGGAGCCGAGCCAACTAGCTGTATGGACGACTGATCCCGAGCCATGCGTTCTCCTCCACTTCCTGGGCCGCAGCGGGAACGACCCCGGGAACCACGGACGCGTCACCATGGCGCATACGATCCTTAGGAAAGTCTACGACATCCGATCTGCCTCGATCACGCAGCCCATCGCTGCGAACCCCCAACCTGCACCGAATGCGTACCCAACTTTCTACCGCGTCAGTGACATAACAATTCCGCAGCGCGACGCTCTACTCCGAGACCAGTGGATCTCCACAACGGACGGCACCATCGGCATAATTGCAGCCCCCCATGAGCCTCCTACGTTCATGGGAGGATTCCGCTATCCGGGACGACTGGCGCGCACGTCTTCGAACGAGGACATCGCAAGAGGCTTCCAAGACGGCTTCGAGTCTGAGGACCTCGGGCCATACATCACCGCGCTCATCACCGCCGACATCAGGTCCGGCGGCAGATGGCGGCACCTGTCCGTCGACGACGCACGCCGCCTCGTACTCCAATCCATACGCGTCCGACAAATCCGGCTACGTGAAGGACAAGACGAGGAACCGATCGCGCTGCTCTACGTCGAATCCCCCACTGCTGACGCTGCGGAGTGGATCAACTTCCGGGACCGCGTACGCGGGCATGTCTACGGTGGACCGTACGCAGGCCCTCCCGAGCTCATCGAAGATACGTTCTTCTGCATGTATTGTCACTCATCCGACCACCCTACAGTCGCCTGCACCCTGCCGTCCACGCCTGGATGGCACGGCCCCTCCATCGCTGAAGCTCGCGAGTCCCTCACGAGAGACCGCCGAGGACAAGGCAACGGACAGAACGGAAGAGGAGGTCGTGGTGGTCGTGGTGGACGAGGCGGTCGCGGCGGCAGAGCACGGGGAAATGGCTCTCGCGGTCGTCGTAACGGTATGAACTAGTCGGACGCTATACATATGTGATCGCCCTAGATGTACCCTGTATCTGATAACAAGTACTCTCGCAACAAATATACGTCCTCTTTCGCGTATCCTCGACATGTTAAAAACATCTCGACAACCCTCCTCTCATGACTCAGATACAACCCAAATACGAATCACAGGATAGGAAACTCTCATAAACTCATCTCACTAACCACACGACACCCGGGAACGAAGCCCACACTTACTGACTGCGAACGCAGGACAGGAAAGCTTCCAAACCGCCGTGCCGTTCCTCTTACAGCGAGTGGGCACTATTTAGACTTGCCCCAGGCTGAGAAGCCGAAGCTGCCGAGGCAGCGTGTCCCCTGAGGGAACCAGGAGTGTTCCCCGCACCCGACAGATCGTTGTAGTCGGAATGTGTAGCGCAACGGTGAACAACATAAATCTAACCAACCATACGGACGATCTCACAACAACTGGCTTACCTCTCCTCCATCAGAGAGAGCTCAACGCGTCCCCCGCCCACGCTGGTCTCGATGATCAGATGGAGGAACCTGGAGACGGGGCTGCCCCTCTGCACTCCCTGACACAACCGGTTGCAGGACCAAGGCCTAGGGGCCGACGACATCCAAGGGAAACCCCCTTAACACCGGCAAAGCAGACTCCTGCTAAAACATCAGGACGGAAAACAAAAGCAGGCATACACGTTTGCTCGCTCAACATAAACGGGCGTGGAGGCATGACAGGCCCCCAGAACCAGAAATGGAATGAAATCAATCAACTCCTAAGAGAAGATAGAATTGGCATACTGTGCCTACAAGAGACACACCTAAACGACTCTGACGTCCAGAACATAGAAAATATCTACGGAAGGAGGATCACGATACATAACTCAAGTTCAACCTCTGCAACGTCCTCCCAAGGTGTTGCAACAATACTAAACCGCGAACTAGTAGACACCGCGGGTACTCAGTTCACGGAGATCATTCCCGGGAGAGCAACGCTACTCAGGACTCACTGGCACGCAAACAAACACCTCACGATAATGAATGTCTATGCGCCCAACCCCCCGCAAGACAACGCCGCTTTCTGGCAACAATTGCTGCAGATGGTGGAAAATGGAAAGCTCTGCAAACCCGACCTCTTGGTCGGAGATTTCAATATCGTAGAAGAAGCAATTGACAGAATCCCTGCGAAGGAAGACTCACCCACGGCAGTACAAAACCTAAGATCCTTACTACGTTGTCTCAACCTATTTGACGGATGGAGACTATCCGAACCCTCAAAAAAGGACTTCACCTTCCCACAGAGGGGTAGCGCATCGAGATCAAGACTTGACAGAATATATGCGACAAACGAACTAATCATGTCTTCACAAGAATGGTCCATTAAGACGACGGGAGTACAAACTGATCACAGGCTGATCTGTGCACACCTAAGCACCCGATCAGCGCCCTATATCGGACGAGGCAGATGGAACCTCCCCTCACATCTCCTAGATGACGATGAGTTTAAGAAATCAGCTGCTGAACTCGGCACAGCAACAATCAAACTGATGAAATCCACCACGCACCTAGATGGCAATGACTTCCCCAGCCCAATCCAAATTCTGCACTCGCGTTTTAAAAACGACCTTAGGGAGCTAGCGAAACGGGTCCAAAAGGAACGGTCTCCTAAGATAAGGTCTGAGATTAACCGCCTATCTATGCACCTAAAGGAAATAGAAGCTCACCCGGAATACGCTGTATCCGTCTCGATGCAAGCAGACTCAGCAGTCATACATAACCGAATACTAGCACTGGAACGGAAGCGACACAAGACGGCGAAACTCACTACCACAGCGCGGTACGTAATCAATGCAGAACGCGTCACCAAGTACTGGTCCGCGATAAACCGAGAACGAAAACCAAGGGACCTTATGTATCTCCTCCAAGTGCCTCAATCGGACCCTCCCTCCTATGAAACTAGGTCAGACAAAATGGCGGAGCTAACGAAGACCTACCACGAGCAAATACAACATCTCGACCCCCCGGGTTCTCCAGAATGAATCAAGAACACGCGATCTCAACTGTGCTCAACTCCCTGGACTCTAGTCTCGACTACACGGACCTAGAGACCCTCTCATCAGACGTCGACACAGATGAAATAAAAAACGCACTCCGTCTCGCCCAATCAGGGAGAGCAACAGGGTTGGACGGGATCCCCTACGAGTTCTGGTCAACCTTCATGCGCAACGCCGGAGAAGGAGCGTTCAACAGCCTTGAATACCTCCAAATTGTTTTCGGTGATATAGAGTCCTTCGGAGTGAATCCTGCCGGCGGCTTCGCCGACGGATGGTTATGTCCGCTCTATAAAAAAGGTGATCGCCAAGATATCAGCAACTACAGACCCATCACCCTCCTAAACACGGATTACAAAATATACACGAGAATACTCACATCTCGCCTCGGGCAAGTCGCCGAGAAGCTGATCCACCCCGACCAAGCCGGCTTTGTACCAGGAAGACACATTGAAGATCAAACGCAAACCTGTCGCGTCCTTGTAGACTACGCCGAGAACCTAGAAGAAGATGGAGTCATCATAGCCCTTGATCAGGAAAAGGCGTATGATAAAATCGACCATACATACCTTTGGCGCACGCTGGAAGCTTTCCATCTACCGCGACGCTTCATCAACAAAATAAAGGCACTATACAAACATGCACGCACGAAAGCTATTGTGAACGGTGAAATTAGCTCCTTCTTCAGTGTAATAAGGGGCGTCCGACAGGGTGACCCTCTCTCCTGCCTCCTATTTGACATCGCGATCGAGCCGCTGGCAGTGGCCCTACGTCGCTCATCGCTAATGGGCTTCCGCATACCTGGAGCCACCAACAAATTAATAACAAAACTGTTTGCCGACGACACCTCCACCTTCTTATCAAAACAGGACCGCTGGGAAGACCTCTGGCAAATCCTTGAGACATGGTGTAACGCCTCCCGTGCAAAATTCAATAACGGCAAAACGGAAGTAGTACCAGTAGGATCTGAAACTTACCAAGAAGCAGTAGTAAGAACACGTCTCCTAAACCCAGAAGATCCGTCCGCCGTCCACATCCCTCAACATGTGCGGATCGCCGCTGACGGCGAACCGGTTAGAGTCCTAGGAGCATGGATAGGAAACAAAGTTGACCAAGTAAGCGTATGGACGCCGGCTCTCACGAAAATAAAGAACTTCCTCGACAGATGGGGAAAATGCAGACCGTCCATGATCGGCAAACGTCATATAGTCCAAATGGGACCGGGAGGAATATCGCAATACCTGTCGGTAGTCCAAGGAATGCCTAAATCAATCGAGGTAGAACTGACCAAAATAATCCGTACCTTCATGTGGGGCAACAACAATGTCCCACAAATAAACCTCGCAACCTTGCACAGACCTATAACAGAAGGCGGCCTCGGTCTCCTGGACATTGAATCAAGAAACGAAGCGATAAACCTAATGTGGCTTAAACGATACCTAGACCTGGGCCCGAATCGACCTACCTGGGCCTTTGCAATGGACGCCATCATAAATAAATATGCCACAAGAGACGCAGGAGAGATCCGACCGAAAGCGCAAATCAATACTTTCCTTCAAAGCTGGCGCCCCTCACACGGAGGACAGTCTTCCATGCCCCAATATATTAAGACCATGTTATCGACGGCAAAGAAATACGGAACCCACCTAGAGGCTCTGAAAGTAGACACTTCGCTCAAGAAGCAACTCCCAACGTGGTACCACATTGGAGCAACGACGGCCCTACGACGACTAAACAACACGAAAGTCAGCGATTGCCTACGCGATAATCATGGTGTCATAACCGTTGCCGACCTCTTGCACTCCACGCGATCAACATGCGGATCGACCCCGCCGCAACAAAAACAGAACTGGGGGAGGACCTATGTGACTGCCCCGAATGCTCAAATTCAAGGGCAGCAGGATGCAGACACCCAGAGAAATGTAGGCTAGCCGCTTTCCGCATACTGAGCGAAATTTTACCGAAGTGGAACCCGCTCTCCATAGAGTACAAAGACGGCCTATCCTTAACAACGAGGCGGTCTCTTCGTAACGATAACGCAAACACGAATGAAGGAGACACCCTCACCTTCAACCCCTCAATCACCGCCAGAGGCGGTATATCTGAAACTTTCCGCGTCTTCGTGGAATCTAGCACAATGCGCGATCCCCCTTCACACCGTAAACGCCCAGGACTTGAAGTAGTTAGCGAGTCCACGCTTGTCTACATCTTCAGAGCCCTGCCAGAGAACAACGCCGGAGAAAGAGAAGCTGCGACTCCCGGCAAATATATCGCTTTCTTCGGAGAAAACGATCACAGAAATGCATCGATGCCTGTGTCCAAAGACCCCGTCTCCCACAGTTCGGCACCAGGAGAAATCATTGCCGCGTTGCATGCAGTAGCACAGACCCCGCTCGACGCACCACTTCGCATCCTGAGCACAAATGACATACTCACATCCATGATTATAACCAAATCGCCGGAATGGGAAGACCACGGTTGGATAGACGTATCGCAGGCAAGGCACACACGCGTCCTTCTCAACAGACTTCGCCAACGATGCGCCGTCACGTCCCTAGGAAAGATAGTCAGACCGGAGGACCGAAAAACACTTGATAAAGCGAGACAATCCGCCTCCTCAAACCGATCGCTGGATCTCTTCCCCCTCATCCCTCCCCCAACGCTCACTGAGCACCCGAGGTTTGACATCACAGGAGCAAAACTCCCCGCTCTCACTCAAGCGCTAGCATACAAAGGGATCATAGCATGGAGGAACACGCCCCCAAGACGAGTTACATCTACGAACCTTGACACCATCCGCAACAGGACACCTGAAGACACTATAGCAAACAAAACAATATGGCTCAGCACGAGACATAAAGACTTCAGCAGATCTTTCGCAACATTCTTGTGGAAATGCATCCACGGGGCGCTGCGATGTGGAAGCTACTGGTTGGCAATCCCCGGCCTCGAGCACCGCGCCCAATGTAGCTTCTGTGGAATGACAGAATCAATAACACATATACTGTTCGAATGCACAGCAACAGGCCAACGCGAAATATGGCAAATAATCACCGGCCTATGGCTGAAAAAAGGCTTACCATGGCCAGACATGACGACTGTAGACGTTCACACCCTAGGACTGAAAACCTGGACAGATGAAAGAAATAGAGTCAGACCGGGTGCAACTCGATTATGGCGAATTATGATCTCGGAGGCGACTCACCTCATATGGAAACTACGCTGTGACAGAGTAATTGGCCACCAAAATGAAGAAAGCTGGGAACACAGTCCCCTGCACGTGCGATGCAAACTCGCCTATGTACTGAACAGCCGCCTTGCTATAGACGTTGAGGCCACAAGAAAGCGATACGGCAAACAGGCGCTGTCTCACGACCTAGTCCTAGCCACATGGAACGCCGTCATTTATGATGAACTAGCGCTCCCGGATGATTGGACGAAGTGCAAAGGTTTTTTAGTGGGTAGTTCCCCGATCCTACGCGTTGATATAGATCCGGGTTGATGAGTCCCACACTGGCTGTTTAGCCGTGCGTAAATTGCATTTTTTTCCGTGGACTGCACTTACGGGTAACACCGTACGCAAGCTGGGCGACCGGGGCGGACCAATTGTCTGTTGCCGGCGTCTGTAAAAGCCCTCCAAAAAAAAAAAAAAAAAAAAAAAAAAAAAACAGCGACAGCGGGCGCTCGATGTCCCGCTCGCTCGGACCTGAAGGGCCTCATTGGAGTCTGGCACGAACCTGTGCAAGATTTCGAAAGAGGAAAGGCAGCGGACTCTCTACTTACGTGCGTGGTCGGATGAAATACACGTACCGCGAGGTAAGGATAGATTCGAGGCGTCTGTCACACAGTGGTCAGGCGAGATTCTTGACCTACTGGAATGATGTGCGAGTTTGCTGCGAAACTGGTCACCGCAATCGTCAGGTAGGCTGCTCCGATCGCGAGGACGACGGCGTCGACCACCCAGCCTCCACGCTCGAGGTGAGAGAGGCGATATCGCGGACGCGGGACCGCGGTGCTGGTTCTGACACCGTGACGGTCACAAAGAGCTTGCAAAGAGCCTGACCGCGAATTGGCGCTCGTACCCCGCACGCGCCGCGGCTCCGTCCTCCTCACGCAGTGACCAGCCTTTGTTCTCGCCCTCGACAGAGCTGACCACTTAATTTCTTCGTGTCTGGGATATGCGACGGTGTCTCCTAGTCAACACGATTGCTGGAACTCGATGACAGATGCTATTACTGGAGCCGGCCTTACTGCCGAATGCACTACGATGAGGCTCCCATCCTCCTCCTCCCCTTGGTCTGCCAGGTCGACGCCGACCTCTTGCTTCCCTCATCTCTTGTCCCTCGAACGGTTTCCGCGCTTCAAGCGGCGCAGACCCGGTGGCGATATGTTTCTTAAGACAGCGGGCCGCGCTCGACGCAAACCCGGACGGGTACGAGGAGAGCTCATTTCTGGGAGCGTGAGTCGCGGTTTCGCTTCTTCCATGTGCTTTCTAATGACCGAGAACGTATAATTCTAGCCAAAGTCGCTGAATCGCCCCAACGGATGCCGATGAGACAGCACGGAGCCCGAATCTGTCGTGACAGGACTCGAAAACCTATAAGGACCGTCGGACGGACACTTTGACGCAGAGCAGCCCTTGGTTGCACCTCTTATCATGCGGCTCTCAGTGCTCACCGTGGTACCCTCTCTGTAGGCGGTATTTGGTACGCGGCGTCAATGAAGAATCGTCGTTCCAGTCGCCGTGACTGTCCGCTGCTCAGCATCCGGTATGCAACGCCTCCCTAAGATCACTGACACATCCACACTCTTGTCGATCTACTGCTGACGTTCAACTTGCGCTCAGGATCGTCTTCTTCAGGCTCCGCATAGCGAAGTTTAGAAGATATGCGGATCCCTCATACGCTAAGGAACTCAGAGACGGCGACCAGCGGGTCATCCACAAGTCGAAGCTGTGCATCGCATACCGCCGCGGTTTACAACCATAACAATAGGTGCGTCTATTTCCGCGAACGTACTCTACACCGGGTATACATTCTGAGATGGCTCATCGCGGTGGCATGCAAAGCGATCATCTCGTATTGACGGGAGCGTACAGGTATTTTTACTACCTCTATGATAGGATAATCGAGGGCCCTTGCACAATCATCGAGCGAGACTCCTGCCGTGCACCTCTCCATCCCAATCCATTCGCGCTCGTCGCTCCTCACGCCTTGCGCCATAGCTTTACCGGCGACCCTATTCCCATTCCTGCATTCGAGCTCGTCGCTCCTCACGCCTTGCGCCATAGCTTTACCGGCGACCCTATTCCCATTCCTGCATTCGAGGTGAACAGCCTCGAGACGGCGTACTCGCGCACCGACGTTCCATCTCTGGACTGGCATTGTCCTGAGGGACAGATCTGTGACGCGCTGCCCGCCGCAGTAGACCGGCTTGGTGATTTGTGCGGGCCCCTTTCTCAGTCGCTCGCGCAAATCCCATACCCGGCTACACTTCTGTGCTCATATGCAACCATCTCGTGCAATGTCTTGAACGTGTTAACGTACCGTACTGTCATTCTCAACGGGTAATGGTGAATGTTCAAACACCAATGTATTGGCTTCGAGCCGTGCTTGTCTCTTGTGTCGACGAATGGTACTGTCGGCTGGTTGGGGCCGAGCCGCGGAGGTAGCATCCGCGAAGCGCCTCTAAGATTACGTCTGTACCAGTCGTCTGCAGCTTCGCCCCTCCTCGCTCCTTGTGAGAGGGCGCGTCTGCGTTGTGCTCGACCACGCATCACCCCTCGCAGACCGCCAACGGGGGACCCGTTTAGTGTGCTGGGATCTTCGTACAGCGTGTATGTGGGCGTGGGCATACGAAGGACATGGCCGCTGGCCGCGACCCGCCACGGGGAATGCAGTGGAAGGTCGAGGGCTGGACCCCGGTGACTGGAGTGACACGCGATGATGTGAGTTGCATTGTTCGCCTTCTCCTCGCGCCGTGCTCATAGATCTATAGCTCCAGTAAATTGATAGACCCTGTAGGCGTTGCTACGAGCCTGAGCGTTGGACGGCCCGTCGCCGACTTCCGTGGACAACAACGCGCATACATGGGCCTGGTTTGCTGGACGTGACCGTCCTCGCGTCGTGTGCGCGACGCATCCTTTCCAGAATTCACTGGCACTGGGAGGCAGCTGGGAGTCGCCCTGCCCGAGCCTGCGAGGAAGACAAGCGTGAGATCGGGAGTGGTACCGGGGCAAGGAGCGCCGCTGCAGGGGACGATCGCCCTCTTCCCACACAGACGCGTAGGCATCCCTGCTCCGCAACATCTCCACATCTCACCCCTAGTGCCCATTTCGGATTCGTCGTTCCTCGACATGCTCGACTCTCAGTACTCGCGGCAACTTGAACAACCGCATGCCGATCTTCCTCAGTGCGCTCCTATCTGGAGGCCCAGTGTTCCTTGCGTCCCGCTCGTATGGCTTCGCTTTTGTTGTCGAGGGCAATGGTCTCGGTTCGCACGCTCCTTCCGGCCTCGACACTGCCTGTCCGCTTGTTGGCGACAAGGGGGCGTCCATCCCGGATTGTGACCGTGTCCCCTACTTATTCAGGTTCGTGGTAACTATCTTCTCCGCTAAACAACGTCCTGATGGATCATGGCATGCGCAGCGGGATCGGAGATATGTATATCGACGGACATTGTCGGCAATATTCTTATGCGCGGTACGGACTTTAACATGGTCGGCTTCGTGGGCCACACCAGGTTCGTTCTTCTCGCTCGGGATGCAGACAATGATGATCTCAGGGCCGTCCCGCCTGCCTCTCATCCAGGTCCGCTCCTAGACATCTCGCGACTCTTTCCTGACCCACTCGAACACTTGTTACAATGGCCCAGAAGACCTCTACGCAGCCCAGCTGATATACCTCGCAGGCCGTGGCACCCGTGTTCGATCCCGCCGATTGGCAAAGGACCTAATACTGCGGCCCTCCGAGATACTATCATCATTTGGGTCCCGCTTAACACTTGTTTCTGAAGCAGCGAGTGTAGATCGTTCGCGCGTGTGGCTGGTGAAAGCTTTCCTAAGACCACTTCACGGTAGCACCCACCGAACTGTGGTCGGTTTCTCCATTTCGGTCATCGGGCGCGTCGTCACGGCTGCTCCGGAACCTGCATACACTGCATAGCCCACTACAGCTGTGAGTCACCTCGTGACGCGTACCTGCAATAGTCTAGTGCGTTAGTGCGTCCGTCCTGACGTATACTACCCTCAGTTCACTGATGCATCTTTTCAGTAAGTAGCCCATCCGTGACCTCGCTCAAGGGATGACCATCCGACAGTGCTGTCAGACGGATGGTGGTTGTTTATCAAGAGACTGGCCTTCAACCTGACCTTTTGAAGGCTCGGTTGCGATCCAGGTACTACGCGCTCATCGGTAGCCCCGCCTGCTCGTCCCATTGACGTGTCCAATTCGATGCTTAGAGGCGACTGCGCTAAGCCGTGCATACGACAATGACGGTCTACGTCAAGCGCCTCTTTTCGCGAAGTACCGTGTTTGTCGCCATGCTCAGCTCCATGTGCTTCGGGTCGTCATTAACGAGGACGACGACCTCCACCGTGTCCGTGGAGATCATCCGGAAGATCTGCAGGACCATATATGGTTACAGAGCCGGTGCAGGTGAGCAGCTCCGACATGATTTAGATGGGGTGCCGTGTTGACGTGACCCTCGCAGCACCTCACCTTCATCGAACCACAAGGTACTCCGAGTCAATCGTACACTTACTAGTAGTATGTGTGCTAGTCCCGTGCCCTCGATTCGACAAGCGCCGCTCGCCATGCTCATGCGCCGTCCGCGTCATCAACATTCAACACGACAAAGCCCGGGTGTCATCAGACGGTCCGTTTTCGAAAACTGCGGCCAGGCGTTGATATAGAAGGAGGCGGTCAATCATGACCAAAGACTGAGTGCGGTCGCGCTTGCTTTACGTCAGATGCGGTCGATATCCATCGGGGTGTCACGTCCGCGCACGACTGGCGGACCTGTTTGACATACATGCCTATGACAGCTACAGTCGTCGTCTGCCTCGTCTACCTGACTTTTGAGGTGAGCCAGTGTACCGGGTGAGCGCATTGTTGAAATATCGGCCGGTGGCGCTCGATTTAGATATCGGTTTCGCTCAGGTCGTCTTCGCCTGGATGTAGATGCTACGCTACGAGGCTATCGTTCGCATTCACTGCATCTCATCCACTGTTGGAACGTACACCCATCCAACACCGACCTTCACGCTACATTCGCGTTGGGATTCCTAATCGCCGTTCGCATCGCGCTTGACCTGGTCTTATGCGCAGCTGGGCGCGCACGGAGACGGGCCTGGACAGGAGATGTCGGTCTCCGAGCCTGCCTCTCTTTCGCGCTGGCTGGTCCTGCGTGGAGCGTGTGCAACGATTACGCGGAAGACACGACAGCATCAATGTCTAGTGAGTTGGTCGCGTGTTCTACGACTATGCTGGTGCTCGAGGAGATAAGATAGGACATGACGAAGATGGGCATTGGCCAGGTATGTGGGTCCGCATGTTCTTCGTCATGCACGGGAGTCTTGTGTTGGTTTCGCGACCGCACAGTGCGAGTTGTAGCACACCCCTTGATTTGTAGATGTCCAAGCCAACTGGTGCGACGCATGCCGTGTAGAGATGCGATGCACTACATACCGAATTGAATGCGGCCCTGGCCCGCGTGTTCCCTTCCTCTGTTCAGAACCCTGCGCAGCCACGATCCCACGTCTATGTGGTCCACCTTGATTATCGATAAGTGTTCATTTGACAGGCTCAAGGTTCAGATACGCCTGCCTCGCGCGCTCACCGGAATCAGGCGCAGGAGGCCGGGCCTCTGTCCGAATTTCTCTACACTCGCCGCTGACTGAGTGTGTGTAATGTGAGTAGCACTTTGCAAAGGTTTCAACGGTGTTTACTCGAAGCAAAAGACCGCTCCTGACATCGTGTATTTGTGTTCGATGCTTCTATACGTGCCGGTGAGCGCTACGTAGTATCGATGCCAATATATAGATCTCCTGTCATTGCCTTCACTGCCCCTGTGCTCTCCCTTTGCCCCCCTTCGACTCTCCGCAGCGCGCACCAAGAACTATCTCAAGGCCTCGTCAGGTACGATCTCGCTTTCGGCAACGAGAATATCCTTACTGATCTGAGTCACCGTGCTTTGTTCACAGTGTCGTGAGCCTAGACGGTAAACAACTCGCGAATCGACGACCTGGACGACGCATCTTGGCTTTCCTGATAGCTGGTATACACAGTGGAAATCAGGTAGTGCGCTATCACATTATGCTTGCTTCTGGAGAGCCGCGGTCTGAGACGATGCTATCAGGAGCGTGTGTCCATCGTCGCGGTTGTCGCCGCACACGTGCACGAAGCTTTAAGACTGCGTGGTCACGTCGCCGTAGCGCACATCCAATCTGAACGGAATGGACAGAGTCGAGTCGATGTAAGTGTCGCTGTCCGGATGCGGTACCATAGTTTACACATGTGGCATATAGCACAGCCGCAACGTCTGAGGGCTCCTCTCAAGGTCTTTCGATCTCGCGGCTTCCTGTGGAGGTCTGTGAACGGATCATCGACCACATAGCTACGGGATGGAATATCGGTTACACAAGGGGTGATCCACATCTGACCACTCTCATATCGTGCGCACTCGTATGTCAAGACTGGTACTACCTGACGTGGTATCATCTGCGTCAACGCATTCATCTGCGAGACCGGAAGGACGTCCTATCTCTCTCCAAGACACTTCGCGAAAGACCGCGTCTCCGTGAGGTCGTTCAACAGGTTGTTATATCGGGTGCATCACCCGGGGAACGTCGACCGATCGGGCACCTAGGGACGTTTGCCGCCATGCTCGCGGGCAAGGCCCCTAGGTTGTCGCGGATCACCATTGAAGATGCGGAGTGGACCATCGGCTCGGTCCGAACGGAGGACATCGGCTACCTAGCTGCGTTCAGCTGCATTAACACTCTATTCATCATCAATCTCACCTTGTCGAGTGTCACCCAGCTGTCCCGCCTCGTTTCAGCACTCCCGAGGCTTAGAGACTTATGGTGCTTCAATGTCAGTTGCTTGCAGAAACAGCAAGTCTCCCCGGTCTCTCTCCCACTGAACTGCGCAAATATGGAGGCTCTCGATGTGCGATGGGTTGCACCAGCAGTCGAAGACCTCTTCGTGCAGATCAGTCGGGCTTCCCGAGTGCGCGATCTCGTTCTTGGGGTGGACAGCGACTCGGAGTTGGATCCTCCCTCGGCAGCCAGCAGAAGCCAGACTGTGCTGGATACGAGTTCCACATCTGCAGAAGTGGTTACGCTCCATCTCTATCCCAGTATTCCTGTTCGTGATGGTACAATGGAAGCCACAGTCGGAAAGTCGTCTCAGTTATCTCTCGAGCCACTTGGCTGATTGTTGTGTTCCTACAGAGCGACACTACAACCTTTCACACTACGACCATCTGTGGAGGTTGGAGATATGGCTGTGCCACCCCTTCGCCGCATGGCCCTGGATCCCACATATCCTGTCTCGCATCACCTCGAAACACTTCCAGGCTATGTCTGTCATGTTCCTGCTTCGGACAGACCACATTGTCGATGACTTGGATGTTATGCTGACGACGATGCAGCAAGATGATGTACTGGCGCGATTGGACAGTATCCTGCAGGAGAAACACTTCTCCAGTAACGTTGCGTCGCGCGGCATCTGTCTAGGCATTCGCCAAGGTAACAATACTTGGGAATCTGGCTATGAGCATATTGGAACGAGTTCGGCATTACGAGATCTATGCAATCGGTGGGATGATCTCGTTTGGCAGAAGATGCCACGCTCGCATGCACGAGGTATATTAAGGTACGTAGTACCGGGGACTTGGTCAAATTGCGGAGAAGGCTGAAGTACTCTTTATAGCACTGTGCACAACTTCCAAAAACTCCGCAGTTGGAGGCAGTACGTGCGACGCAAGTGGAGACAGTACATGCGAGGTATACATACTAGCCTGCCAGCTACACAGATAAATGCCGGAGAGGCGCAACCCAAGGATCGAGATGACGAGGGCGCCCGAGGTGACACGGATTGACATCCTTGCAACCGTGCATCCTCACCCGTACCGTCGTGTGGAACCCGTGAGTACAGAACCATCACTCTCAATGTCGCTTTGCTAATTGGTAGCACGATCTCAAGGTACCGAATGTCCTCCTTAACCTCAGCAATGCGAGTCGAGATGCTGCTTGTGTCGGGGAACACATTCACATCCACTCATGATCATATGTAGCATTTCTTTTCCGGTTCTGTAGAAGCGGAGAGGCGGTATTGATGTTGTGTGCTCGAGACACATTCGAGCGTTATGTAACGAGGTTCCGTTGATGCTGAATGCAGCCAACTGTATTCGGACACCGCGCGTATCAAATGGACACTCATGTCTCGCCATAGTCGACCCGCTTCATGACCGCTACGAGCAGCTTGATACATGACATTGAGTAATAAATGGGTGGGTATTGGCAACGGACGGTGCATCAGTGAATAATGCGCAATCACTGACGCTGTCAGAGGCTGCCCGAAGCCGAAGGGAGTGGTATGGTCCTGTGTTTACAAAATACGGGGGCGTGCGCGCAGACATCACAATGGCGGGGGCACAAACGTCACTGCGAGGAACGGGGATCACACCTCAATTGGCGTCTGGACAGCCTTCGTTGTGAGCTGCTCCATACCTCCGGGACAAGACGTCGTCTACTCGGACCTACGAGTCGGACATCGCCTTCCGTTTTGAGTACAAGGGGCCTGTCGCAAACGACGCGTCGGGTCCCTATGAGGTACTTCATAACGGAGAGTGATATTAACAGCCAGAATGACGAATCAAGATGCGAAACATACCACGCTTTTCGGACCTCCTCGATCGACGACTCGCCTTGAGCCGGGATATGTAATCTGCGGGTTCTGCGCAGCCTCGCGTTCGATTCGAGATGGCTGACATCCAGTCATCGTGGCCAGGAGGGTACTGATGGGGTTGATCTCTGATGACGACGCCTGCACAGTAGACAACCGGGAATTGCGCACACTAAAGGATGATCAGACAAAATTGCATGTATACTGAACGATACGGCAGCCTGCGCGAGTAGGACTACAAGGGAGCAAATACTTACGCGCTACGACTGCATGTGTCCAACGATGGGGACATCAAACATCGCGGCATTGTGCGCTATCAACGAATTGGACTCACCACAAGTACCAGATACTGTTCATCCCCGGGACCGACACCGAGTACGCCCGCCGTGGGGACCGGGTCAGCTGTATGCACCGGTCTTGGAGGCGCGGGTGTATACCGTGATTCTACAGAGACGCAGTGGGACACGCCGCGAGTCGGCGATCGCGATGAAGATTAGACGCGTCATGCGAGTGAGCTGGCAGCGACCTCTGTGTGCATGAAGGCATCTTCGATTAGTATGATTCACGAACAGAGCGCGTTCGTCGCACTCCGTGTGAATCGGTGGGCCGCCGTGGATGACGAGCATGCAGGCAGTCGGGAGGAACGTGGTTGAATACTCGCAGCCTATGTTGTGGTACCAGTGGAACGGTTGTATCGGAGTGATGGCCGGGCAATACTACGCTCGATCGCGCGCGGGGCTCGGCGGACTGAGGCGGAATCCGCTTCGTCACAGTGTCTCTTGATCGACACTTTGCCTCGAATGACGGACGTCCCTATCGACCCGCCGCCGATCAGCCGATGTTAATACGCATTTGAGCTGAGTGCATGCTCTGTGAAACGAAGTCTCGTGAGAGTCGACAAAGCAGCGGATGCTTATGGCGATACCGGCCACGAGAAGAGTAGAGAGTGAGTCAGATCTGAAGGCGAGGCTTGATTCTGGACAACCTACTTACCAGTAGCACATCTCCGGTTTTGAGCTAGCTTTGCTGGCACGTAGCCTTACCTGTCTCATGTCCCGGCTCATGTTATCGTCCGTTGCGCGTTACAGAGGCGCGGTACTCACCCGTAATCACTGCCCTGGCCGACCACTACCACTTGAAGGACAACGAGCGAAGACACGCATGCGGCTTCGCCCACGGTACTCGACAATCAACAGGAGGGTTACTCCAGCAAAGAACCTGACAATGCTTACTTCAGGTAGTCGAGAGACTCGTAAGTGAGTATGCTCACAGCAAGCCGAATGGGCAGGAGCGCACAGAGATACGAGGTGGCACGCCGGTGGGACTGATGTCGTTCAGCAGTCGACATTCCTGGGAGGGCGGGTACGAGGACTGGCCAGGGATGAAGGCTAACGTAGCGGGAGGTCTTCAAGTTATATCCATGAGCGGGGCCAGAGGAAGCGTACGCAGGTATGCGTAGAGTATTGGCGAGTAGCCGGGGAGGAGTGCAGCAGAGGCGGGGCTCTTGAGGTGGGTGCCATTGGGAGGCTACGTGGACGGCGACTGCCAGCGTAGCACGGCGAGGAGAAGAAGATGCGCGATAGTTCGAACGTTCTCGCTGAGGGTCAAGTACTGTACTGTCATCAGTGGAGGGGAACGACGGCCTGCGACGCGCCCAAGACGCGCCTCGGACGATTGTCGGAGACGGCGGACCCTCGACGAGCTCTGGCAGTTGGCGCCGGGCAACATTGCCATCCACCACTCCCCGACCCTCAATCGACATCGCAACTTGTTGAGCTGCACACGCATCTCCCGAGTCGCACGAAGCACGCCGCCGCCACAAGAACACGGGCGCATGACGGGCGGGACGCTGGGCTCAGCTGACGTCTGCCTCGGGGTCGTCCTGGACATCGCATACCGCCTTGGACTTCAAGCCGCCCCGTCTTCGTGCGCATACACACTGATGGAATCCCCATTAGGCGGTCCGATTCAAGGAGTCGGATGACGTCGTCTGAGCTCCCACCGCCTGTGACTCTGAGGCCTCCTGCCGGCGGTACGTCCTGTCTCGGTTGTCTACAGTTCCCGGCTTCCTGCTCCGTTACAGATCCCTTTGGATGTATATACTCACTTCACGCTCTATCCACAATGTCAACTCATCCGCGAGCGCTGCCCAGCATCCGCCTCCTCGACTGAACTGGCTTCACGCTCGACAGTCGCGTCAAGTGGTACCGCGTCGAAGGTGATTCCCTTCCGCCAGGATTCCAGGCATGAGTACATGGAGGAAGAGAGTTCCAGAGGAGACGGGAAGGCTGCGACTCGCTGCATGCGAGGCTCATGAGAGCGGGAGTGGTGATGACTGAGGGACGAGACTACGGTATGTCCTATACCTCACTTGTCTACGCAGATGCTGGTGCAGCAGTGACCGACGCACGTCCGTCGGCCCGGCGCGACGTACGAGTGTTGCTATCCCAAGGGTAGCATAGAAGACTGCAGATAGTGTTGTCTAGTGGACGCGGCGGCACATGTTGTAACGGCCCCGCGAAGTATGTTCGGAACTCACAATATGATTCTTTTCCCCTTCAACCCGCTCTTGCTTGTCGCAAATTGCTCGACGGGACGACGGAACATGGTGCGTTACATTGACATGCGATAGTTCAACAAGATTTCCAAACAGACGTACGGGAGGTGGTTTGCAATAGTACGGAACGAACTATGTAGTACGCAGCACGATACGAACAACGGACAGCATCACCTCACTCATGGAAGGTCCAGGAAATCTGGTGTGCGAATACAGGTGCATCGTAGACATTCAGTAAGCCCGTGTGTATCGAAACGCCCAGACCATAGCTTATCAAAACGTCACGAACAGCTGCATCCGAGTCGAGAACAAGTGCATACATACGAGAAAACACCCCATCGCGGTCGAAGACATCGTTCTGCACCGAGAAATTTGTCTATCATCGGTCACGGTTCGTAAAAAATCGACCCACACTGCCCGCTTGCAATGGACATCGACGTCAGCATTCGGCGACGATGACCTATCCAGCAACGCACGACGTACACCTCGACACCTGCATCCTACGACCTCCGAATCAGCAGTTGTTCTGATTCCCGCTGCCCAGCTCGCAGTGCGACTCGGACGGTTGCGTGAGTGTGTCGTCCGGTGCAGCTAACACCTCCTGACTTGGACGCGCGTCGCCGCCTTGACGTTCATCCGCCTGCTCGATTGCGCCTGCGAGTCCGCCCCGACGACCTTCGTCCGCGGATGTTCCTGTCTCTGCGACTCCGCGTGCGACATCGGAGTCGTTTGCACGCGGTTCGGTAGCATCTAGTGGCTGCGAGTGCTCGGTCTGGGCTGCATCCGACCCTTGCGACGATCCGTTGAGCATCGTAGCGGTCTCCGGCGTGACTCCGCTGACGGCTGTTGCTGCGGTGCACGTCGCATTGGGGGCATCGGGTGCTGAGTTCGAGCCAACTCCTACGGGCTGCATCTCGATGTCCGGCTTCTGCGCCGTGGATCCCTCGAGTCTGTGTACTGCGTCAACGCTAGAACAAGCTCCGAGTCGTCAGCGGCGGTCGAGTGCAGTATGAGATTCACTGCTTACAGGGGCTGAGTGATAGATCGCGTCGGACTGTCCGTTCGCAGCTCCGGTGGGTCCTGCTCTTCCTCAGCTTCCGATGTAGGCTCTGGGTCAGCCGCCTGCGGGAAGTCGACGCATCGATCGCCTTCGTTCTGGGGCTCATCTGGAGCGCATTCGAGCCATCCTTTCGAGTCCCCATGATGTCGTTCTAGGCGCTGTTGTGTCCACTTCACGTACCATTGCAAGTCAACGCTGAACCCTTGGACCGTCCCTGGTGGCGTCCACTCATCGCATCCCAGCAGCCACTGGAGTCGCCGCTCGATGTGATTTGTCGACATCATGACGTTCCGGCGAATCTCAGTCGTACTCAAGGATCCATAGATGTCCCCGAAGGCCATGCGACACAATACCCAATCAAGTCTGTATATGGCCGCGGGAGAGAGGTGTTGCACAGCGTCTCGCATCTCCTTGCGGCGGAGGGTAGCCAAGTACTCGTCAAATCGGCGGAGCATGTTGGCCAGGTAAGCTCCCCTCGACGGCTCGGCTGGCAATGTGTGCCCGTTTTTGACGGACAACATGCATATGGCCACAACGGTTGTTATGATTTGAATGGTGGATACAGGGTCGCGGTGTGCGTATACCGTCGTGAGTGCAGTCTGCATGCATACCCAGTCTATGTCGAATTTCAGCTTACGCCCCTTGTGATTGAAGCGATCTTTGACTTACTGTGAAGGTCGCGCAGACGATAGAGCTCGGTATGCGGCGCACACTCGTATTTTCTCGCCTCCTGCATCATAGGTTCAAAGTAGTCCCTGTCCTCCGCGAGGAAGTCAACCGGCATGTAAATGTTCTGTACAACATCCAATGTGGCCCTTCGTTGTTCCGGAGACAGTCGATCATTGTCTAGATGCTGAAACAAAGTCATGCAGGCCTTGCTTCCATCGGTGAGAGGCATAGCGCGAATGAGTCCGGCTAAGCAACGGTTGGAGTCCAAGTCAAGAGGGCTGTCATCAAGTTCTGTGTGCGCGCGAGTGAACGTGTCCAGCGCCATGCGACCTATCAAAGCCGTAGAGGTGCTGTCCAAACCATCGGATTGCAGTTGACTACCAGATGCCGACACAGAGGGTCCGGATGCCTGTGAACGCGGATTCTGTCGTTTTGACAAGGCGTCGAAAATAGTTTGGCCGATCCCCGTCACATTTTCGATTGCTCGGGCAATAGGCATCGCCCGCACGCAGGTCGCCATCGCGCGAAGGACGTCTGTGTCGTCTGCAATGGAATAGATGTCCTTTAATAGGGACTTTGCTTCGCTGCGGGTGGTCCAGTCGCCCAAACATGACTGTTCATGTGCCAGCCAGTCAGATGCGTCCATCAATGTACGCACGTACGATCGACGCTGAGGGAGGGAATGATCGCGGATCTTTTTTATCCGATGGTATATGCGCTTTACGCGATCGGACCGAGACCTAGTCAGAGAAATAATACAGCCGTCGACTCGGTCGATGAAGAGAAAGACCGTCCGACACAACTGCAGGAGGACCCAGTGAACCACCAGCCACATGGGTTTGCAGGCCTTGCGGATCCACCACGCTTGGGGCGACTTGTAGGCACTGTAATCGACTAATGCAGGTGACATGGAGGTGAAAGCTAGAAAGATAAGCAAGGCACCGACAAAGATCGTACTCGGAACGGCAATGTCGAGGCCAAGCTCCCAGAGGTAGCCGACAATCCCGACAACGAAGAGGACGAGGGCGACCTGCAGGAGAAACGGAAGGATGCTGACCATGCGCTCCACTTGCCACTTGTCCATTGCGTGCCTACGGAGCTGCCACGTCCAAGCCTTTTGGGATGCGTCTTGCAGCCCAGCTTTCTCCGTCGCGTGGAAGTTCAGCCATTGGTTCACGGCTAAACCGACGGACGCAGCGCTGAGACTGAAGATCAGGGCGACGAACCACAGCGCAGCTATCCAGCGGGGCGCAGCGGGTGGCGAGGGAAAGCTTGTAGATGAGGAGTTCGTAAGAACCGTCAGCATCGGCACCGAATTCGAGGCATTGGCGGCCATGACAACGGCGTTCGTAGCCGTGTTACCGAGTTGCGCGGATATGCGCTCCAGGATGGCCGTGTTGGGGTCAGGTGTTGGCAACAGAACGGCATAGTACTGAACCACGAAAGCGGTGAGGACAGCGGAAAACAAGCCGGCCTGCAAGGGAATCATTACCATCTCGGTTGCTCGTTGCCGGATCACCATGTAGAACGTAGGCGTGAGCGTGACTCACAAAGACGAGGAGGGTATTGATTTCATTCCGCCATCGTTCTGCACGGTCCTTTTCGTAGGCCCACGCTGTATCTGCCAACTTCAACCACGCGTCTGGCGCTGTTTGCGGGTCTCGCGGCTTCATGAACTTCTCGAATACTTTGAACAAAGCAGGTTCATCCATCGTGGCCGACGGCGTTTGCGGCTCCCGCGCCTTCATAAACTTCTCGAGTACGTTGTATAGAGCGCTCTCCATTTCCGACGGCGTTGTCGCATCCTTCGCCGAGTGGTCTGCCGACTCAGGCGAGTATTTCGTTCCACCGGTATCCGACCGCACATTCAAACCCTTCTGATGTCTGTCAGATATTGACACGCAGTTGGATAATTACTGTTCACGCTCACCTCATTTGAAGCCACAGGCATGGTGTCATGGGGCGACGAGCCTGAGACTCCCGCAGTGCTCGTGCCGACTGGATTTGATGCCTGTGTATACAGGTAAGTGATCCTGTTCGCCCTTCAGCTTCGCTTATACTCACTGGCAACCCAGACGGAAAGCAAGCATTTTCGCTAGTGCTCGTACGATGGAAGGCAATGGAAGGCGCAGACGCTGGCTTAGGGCCGAGAGTCTCCGGGTCTCCTTCGATACATTGGTTGGATCGGACAGAAGAGTGGTCCGACGACTGCTACGCAATGTACGGATACAATGAAATACAGTCAGTCTTCCTGCTGTGCCAGCGAAGAATGAGAGTGCGCACCTCGGACGGGTCCATGACGGCGTCGGATGGTGACCAGTGTAGAGAGAGGCAACGGGGAGAGCGAGACGACGTGGCAGAGTGAAAGGCAGCTGCGTGTGGCGGGCTCAGACACACAGTCTCACGCGAGCTTGGGTAGGGGACGCGACGATTCGGGCTGTCCACGGAAGCGCACCGAAAGTGGCTACCACACGTCGACGACGCGAGGACGTATGCCACCTCGTCCGAGTCTGTGGTCCTCAAATGGGCGGAAACACCGCGGAGTAACATGGGAAGGAAGGTTCATGCCTTCGTAATTTTGATTGCTCGATGTCATCGGTATTATCCCGTTCCGGGAGCGATATTGTACCTACAGGGAAAGCGTGATTGGGCCGAGGCGTAGGATAGCCTGCGTGTGGTCTTCGTCAATGCGCAATGAACACGATAGGATTCCTGAGTGGCTGTGTGCGTACCATCTCTCTGCGCGAGTAAGTGTGAACATCGATGAGAGCTTGCTGGAGTCGTATAATTTAGCAGCAGCAACAGGTCCTCAACGGACAGAGACATCGAAGCTGTCAGGTGTGTCATATGGGTTGACCTCGCAAACGCACAAGTATCCACAATGAGGATGCCGATTTTGGGAATGATGAAAGCGACAGCACTGAGTTCGGGCTGGATGGTCCATCACGAGAGAATGCGCACGACTCACCAGTCATTTTCCCGGCCAATATGTCGGGCGGCACCCCAACAGCAGTAGGCAGGCTTGCGCAGTGGAGTCGACCGGGAATAAGACATCCGAGAGCCTTCGGGACACTGAGTTCTTTTACAGCTACAGTTATGCCCACGGCGCAGATCCGGAGCAGAGCCGCATCAACGCTGGTTCGACGCAATGCGGTACTGTCCTTCCATGGCGTGTCGTTGGACGTCCGTTCAAGCTGCCAATTGGCGAGCAGTTCCGGGCTCATCGGACTATGCGCCACGTACTGGAGCCCTGGTGCGTAGAAAGTACCTGAATAATGTGATTCGTTGGCCCACAGCACCTTCGCCAATCTCGCCAGTATCCCACATACGAAGTCTGGCTGTTCAAATGCTCGCTGAGGGATGCGAACGTGAGTGGGAAGTCGGCAAGTACTGTGTCGTGAGCTACTCACGTCAAACAATCCTCTCTTCGGTTGCCAAAGCATGGCTCGGAGGTTGTGTCAAGGGTCTAGGCCCGTCCACTTATGGAATCCGTAAGTAAGTAGGGATTGAAATTTGAGAGGATGGAATGAATAACGAACGCGGCCGCGTCCCGCTCGCACGGACCTCTGACCTCACGAATCTGCGCTCGACTTCGAAAAAGGCGAGACAGCGGAATCTGCACTTCATGTGCGTGTTCCAATACCGCAAGGCAAAGTCAGATTCGAGCCTCTGTGACACGGTGGAGAGGGCGGCCGCCCGGGAGCTCGGGATCCTTGACCTACTCGAGTGATGCGCGAATTTGTTGCGAGCGCGAGACTGGTTACTGTAGATGCGTCAGATAGGCTGGTCCGATTGCGAAGGTGTGCCTCCAGAGGGTGACCCGGTGAGAGGGGGTCTGACAGGAGCGCTCGTGACCGCGGATTGGCGCTCGTCCCGCACGCTTCAACCTTGCTTAATGCTTCCGCCCACGACTTGCGTTTTCGACAGAGCTGACCACCTCCTGCGCACACCATGTTTGACAGATGCGACAGTCTCTCCTAGTCAACACGACGGCTGGAACTCGACGAAGCGACAAATGCTACTAAGTAGGTCGGCGTTACTGGAGGAGGAGTTAGCATCCGCGAAACGCTCAAGATCACATCTTTACCAGTCGTCCGTTGTGCGCGTCTGCGCTGTCCTCGACTACTCATCGCTATTCTGCAGTACGCCCTCGAGCCACACGTGGAGAGCACCGGTATCATTGCGCGCCGCGCACCAACGGCCATGCTGGAATGACGGAATGTAGGGGAGGTGGTCGCTGAGTAGGCCAGCAGGAAACGCAGGGGAGTTCGGGATCGGACGAGGAGGGCTGGGCCTTGGTGAGTGGAGCAACACACAATAGCGCGAGTCGCCTTTCTCACCCTTCTTGCGCTGTGATCATATAGCTATATCACAAGTCACTGGTACATTTTGCAAGTGCCGTCGCAAGCTTGACCGTGACCTCTGAACGGCCTGTCATCGACTTCCGTAGACCCATATATACGGTCAGCCAGTCTGTCGCAAGTCTGTCGGACAGCGTCGTACGTATGTGATATACTCTATACATTCCATCTTATCAATCATGACATTAGCAGGCCGATGGGGGCTCCCTTGTTAGAGCCTACGAGGAAGACGACGTCACGCTGGTAGCACAGTGAGCGTTCGACATACCACCGAGGGTACCGCCGGCAAGAACGGGGTCGCTCTGAAGGCGGGGATCCTCGACACGGAAACTAAGCGAGCACCTTTTCCGTAGGAGAGCACCAATCGCCGCACGCAGTGGACGGACGCATCCTGGTACGTTACGCAACACCACACCTCATCTCTCCACCCGCTCGTCTCTCCACCCGCACGGCAACAACACCACACCGACATTCTTCTGTACGCCTCTACTCGGAACTTCGCAGTCCATCGTCCCTCGGTTCTACAGCTACGTCTGTTTCATCGAGGACAAGGGTCTCGACTCCAACTCCTTGTCTGGCCAACGCTCGCTCGTCGGCAACGAGGCGGGCTCCTTCTTCGACCATGTCCCCTTTCAACTCATTCAGGTTTGCGATAACTATCTTTTTTATCCAATAGATTCCTGATATAATGTACAGTGGGGTTGAAAATACATCGACAGAACCTTCCAGTCATTGTCACTGAGGTCTAGGCCGGGCCCCACTTATGTAGACATTACAAGTGTTCTTCACCGGCTTCTGCTCCTTCCGGTTTGTCCCGTAGCGTAACCCTCCGCCGCAGCTTAGGACAGCCGGCGGCGGAGCCTGTCGGTGTTTCTCTCATAGGCGGTATGATCTCTGCTGCTGACTTCGTATACGACTCCTGGTTCGTCCTTCGCGCTCACTGTCGGAGGCACACGCGATGGCGACCAGACGACTTCTAGGCATTCCGTGACTCGTTTCGTTTCCCGTAGAGCACTTCAGCGCGGCGCAGAAGACCCCTACGCGGCCCTGCATATGTTCGATCTCGCCGATTAGACAGCAGTCCAGATTCCGCGGCCCCCGGAGGCATTTGTCATCGTCTAGTACGTCTCACCTCTCCTGGAGCAACGTCTGCGGATCTTTCGAGCTGAGCCGTTGTCCGCAGTCGAGCTCTCCTGCCAGTGCTATGATGCTCAACACGTAGTATGTGGTCACGCTGGCGTGCAGGCTATTGTAGACTTTCGTAGGGCTTAAACTCACCATCGGCTCGGCACCACCTGGCCATGTGGCATAGCCTATATTAGATTCTAGGGTGCGTTGATCTTACCCTGCACTATGCACACTGGCATGTCGCTGAAACATCTTCCGAATAGGTATTCGTGACTTCGCCGCAGGGATTCCCAACCGACGGGGCCGTCAAACGGACGGCGGTTGCCTATCGAGCAACCGGTCTTCAGCCTGACCGTCGCAAGGCTCGGTCGAATACAGGTACGCGCTCACGGATAGCCCGACATCCTTCTTGCGAACTAAACTTTAGACCCGCATCCGACACTGTCCCTTCTCTTCCTAGACAAGTGCGTCCACCGTGTCTCGTTATCACCGCCAGACCACGCGTTCGCGCTCATTTCAGCGCGATGACGGTGATGGGTGGGCCCACACTTTCCAATGGATCTCGCCATGGCTTTGAACATCGATGAGGCATGTTTCACCCCGTTCTCGTGCCATACCTGAGACGTCGACTCGATGCTTATGCCATTGTAGTACTACGCTAGGACGTGTCCACGACGACGTCGAGCCACGTCAAACGCCTCATACACCTCTGCGACGCGGAGACTTGTCAATCTGTGGCAGCTACACGTCCAGCCCCGTGTGCCTGAGGACGGAACCGGGGAAGCTATCGCGTTCCGCTCCTCCCGGGGGCTCCAGACAAGATGCAAGGACGTGTGGGGTTCGGAGAGTGATCGCAGTTGCGTAGTCACGGCGCGATCTACGTAAGTTGCCACGCTCATGCGAGGGTTGCAGCGCCCCTCCTTCGATACTCGAAATTCGTCCAGCGAACCACGCACGTACCACAGGCATTATGTTCGCGTCCTCGATCCAGCAGACGCAGCTTTTCCTTGCCCCGTCAGCCCCTCCCCATCATCCCGCGCAATACCACGCAGGAGTGTTTTCGAACCGTTGATCTTCGGAGATCGCGTTGCGGGTTTACAGGCGCCAACGTCGGAGTCGGCTCGTGGTGTAGCAATGCAGCGTGGAGACGCGGCGGGCGACACTGCGGGGGTACAAGGCACACTGGCAGATGGTCCTGGCTGCGAGGCGGTACGTGGTATCTCACCTCGTGTACTCGGTCTTTGCTGACGACTTATGCCTTTGCTAGCCCCATGTTTGTACGACCAACAAGTGGAAGGATGCCAGTTGTCTTGAAACGGGAGGAGAGCACGGTGGTTTGGTGAACGGGTGGCGGTCGATGCTTACCTCTCCATCCGTTGCTCATCGTCCTCTGATGCATACGGCGTACCCCAGTAAGGTTTCAAGCTCGGGCGTGGTACACCCGTTGTCGCTCACCTGCAGTGCTTCAGTATAACAACTCTCGTGAATTGTATACGCGGCACCCATCAAGTCATGCGCGGTGGTCCTGTTCTGATATGTTCGCACACTCCGTTTTCAACGCTGAACGACGTCCACTCTCCCCAATTGCGCGAATAGGCAGTTGGGTCGTAAGCGCCATGCTCACCAGTATAGAACGTGCGCTGATGCAGTTGCATTGCAGAATGATGCAGAGGCTAATGCCATCGTCGTGGCCGCGAGAAAGTTTCATGATTAAGGAAGACATACCGCGTCATCACTCCTTACGACGCACGACGCAACGTCCTGGAGCGAAAGCTGACAGACGCGGGACTCCCTTGGGAGAACAAGTACTTCAACGTCGACCCATTCCAAGGTGAGAAACAGGCTGTGCTCAGCGGACGCTCGGTTGACACGTGAACGTACGGTCAGCCTGAGGCAACGAAGAGGAATACATTCTCATCTCTATCGTTCGTTCGGACAGGCTCGGCTTCCTCGCCAACTTGCGGCGAACCGATGCCATGCTCTCGCGCTGCAAACGCAGCATGGTCATCTGCACAAGCCTGGCGTTCATGGAGGGCAAGGCCAGATCCTCGCTCGTGGGCCAACTCGCAAAATAATGGGAGGACGGATGGGTTTCCTGACGGGACACGTTACGGGGGAGGTTCTAACGGGGGCTCTGCTTGACCTTGTTGCCTTCAATGCTCGTCATTTTGCTTGCTCCCATTATATGATACCGTCTATCTATTATTCTACCGTTGTGCGTACAACGACAAGGCACTTCCGTTCTGACATGTTGTCGGCCACGCATGACCAAAAGACAGCTATGCTCGTCACTCTTGGCACAATAACGCACCCTGTCTTGAGCTACAGCACTAACAATTTACATCATCACGTCCTCGTACATCACGTCGTCACAGGCTACGACCGGGTCACTCCTCAAATAGGCAGCGATTCGGATTGGCCTGATCGTCGCTCGCTGAGCAAACACCATGGCAAAGTGCACACTGGGCTCGTGTCAGTTGCGGGCGCCGAGTCAGGGTATGGGAGCTTCGCACCTCAGCGCTCAGCCGCTGCCTTTCCCCAGTAGACCGGCACAATTCAATCGCTCGTCTCAGAAGAATCCCTCTCGGACATCGCCGCCCATCTCGTTCTGAAGGGTGCGGAGCTGAGTGTAGCAGCCTTGTACGCTTCCACAGGCCGAGCAGGTAGCTCGCCCAACCTGAGCAGGGCGACCTCCTGCTAGTGCACGAATCAACACGGCATGGGTACGAGGAGATCGGAGAACCCGTGGATACAGCCTCAGAGACACGGATCGGCGTACAGGTCGCTCGGTCGAGCAAGCCCAGGATGCCGGTCCGTTGCGAACGACCAACATAGACCTGGCCGTCGCGTCGTCCTGCACCTCGATGCTTGTCAAGGAGGCGGATGTCGTTTCAGCAGCACCGCGCTGTTTCACTTGACCATGAACCGACCAGCCATTGCACGACGAATGGCGCGTGTCCCAGTACGCGGCGGGCCTCAGGCTCGCGACGTGCGACAGCTCAGAACGCAGATGCGACAGGTCGTCAGCCTCGGTGCACTCACGGGCAACGACCGTTTATCATGCTGCCTGGCCTGGCGTGGATCAGTCCCCGCTGTGCTGTGGATCAGTCCCCGCTATGCGTCAGAGTGTCGGTGACTGAGTGAAGGCAGGTCTTATCCACCGGCCAGAATGAGCTGCGAAAGGGGCGTCCAGTAGGACTCGGTCGTGTCGCGTGCGGATGTCTGCAAGGCGTCCGTCGGTCCACGTTTCTGCCGTCGTGAGCGCGTGGACAAGGACAGAGACGACCTGCGTTCGCACCTTCCTCTGCTCGCTACTGCCCTCCTCGCTCTTGCCTCTCATCCTCGTCTTCCGCGCCCCCAGCCTCCCGGCTTCGGTCATATTCTTCCTCCCACTGGTCCTGTTGTCGCTGACTTCTCTTCCCAGGTCCCTCTGTGCACGTCGTAGCACGGCAAGTTGATCCCGATGCGTCGGTCTGCGTGTCAACCGTTCCGTGAGGTGCGTCCGTACGTGCGCGGATGAACGTACTGCCTGACGCGTCCACCAGCTCTCGTTCTCGCCCTCCACGCCTCGTGTCGTCCAACCCGTCCGCCCTGCTTGTGTCCCCGGTACGTACGTCGCGTCCTCATCCTGAGTCCTGACTTGGCGCGTGTTGACGTGGTTTGTCCATGGGCTGCTGTACGTCCACCGTTCGTGAACGCGTGGCCTACGGTACCCGCGCCGCGCTCTCCGGTTCGGTACGCGCGACGTCGCTGGTTCCTCTGCACTCCGCGGGGTGGCCTGTTGTGAGATTCTCGCAGTAGAGCGTCGCGCTGGCAGCATGCGACGGACTCTGGAGCGGGTTGGGTGTCCGTATGTATGCGTGTCCCGTGTACTGCGTATCTCACTGACGACAGGTGCTAGAGCTGACCCGCATCGACGTGGGCGGCGCGTAGAGGTGGCGAGATCGGGATGGTGAGAGGCGGCGAGCGACCCAAGGATAGAGGGGATGTTGGGTGCAATTTGAAGTGGGAGGGGATGCAGCTGGCGTATGATCAGACAACGTAGTGAGTGTGAGCATTCGAGACGCTTACCCAGCTAATGCGGTGCCACGCGTGTCCTCATGCCATGCGTCCGTACGGTACCCGTTCGTCCTCGCGCTGCTGGCCTGCCGATACGTGGAGCCCGTACGGTCCGAGTGGTCGTTCGCTGGCTGAGTCGACGCTGCTGCGTGGGAGGTCGAGGCCGCGTCTTGAATTGTGAAGGGAAGGAGATAGTCGGTCATACTTACGGTCGAGCTGCGGAACTAAAATTAGCGTGAAGCGCCCGAGATTGCATCTTTACCGGTCGTTCGAGTCAAGTTCGAGTCGGCGGTTGTCCCCGACCACTCATCGATATCGCTTCTCCGCAGAACACCAGTTGGCCACGCAAAGATGGGGCCGATGTCATCGCGTGACGGCATATGTAGGCCGTCGATGGAGATCTATTCGACCCGGAAACGCAGAAAGTCGGTCGGCGGTCGGACAAGCAGGACCGAGTGGAGCAACGCGATGGCGTGAGTTGCATTACTCATCCTCTCTCATCTAACCCTGTAGTGCTGCAGCGATCCTGGAGGCCGGATGGCCTGTCGTGGAGTGCCACGCATACATGCGATGATCCATCGCCCGGCGTGGTATGCGCGTCGCGGTTGTCAAGTGCTACGTTCTTCTGGGCGCCGAGAGGTTAGCAGGGAGTTGCTTTGTCTGAGCCTGCGAGGAGACAAGCATACCAACAGTGCGCGGTTGGCGGGGTCGGGAGTGGTGCCGAGGCCTGGAGCGTCAGTGCAGGAAACGGATGAGCCTCGCTGTCTCAACTAGGAGAGCGTCGCCGTCGCGTCGTGCGTGGTGGACGTCCTGGTACGTCGTGTGCACTCCTTTCGTTTCGAACGCTGAACGACACACAACGATCTCCTCCCCCTAGACGCATGCGTAGGTCTTCCCGCTCCCCTACATCTCACTCCCAGTGCCCGTCTCGGAGCCGTCAAAATGCTGGTCTCAACACTCGCGGAAACAAACGCACACCAATATCCTCCAGCGTATTCCTAATTGGGGACCCGCTGTCCTCACGTCTTGTCAGCGAGGATAGGCATCTCGGGTCTCGCTCCTCGCTTAGCCTCCGACGACAACGCCTCCCTGCTCGTCGACGACCAAGCGGGGTCCTTCCTCGACCATGCCCCCCAATCTCTCTGGTTCGTGTTATCTGCTTCGCCCAACATCTTCCTCATTGCGCGCGCAGCGAGATCGGAAATGTATCGATGAAACTTGCCGGCGACCTTTGATGCGCGGTACACGCTGACATGGCATGCATCATGTACGATAACAGGTACGTTCTTTTCGCTCGCTGTCGGCAATAGTGATCTCAGGGCCGTCCAGCCGAGCTCTTGTCCAGGTCGGTCACTGTCAGCCTGGAGATTTTGCCACTCAATCCCTGCATTGGCACGACCCGCAAGACCCCTACGCAAGCCAGCTGTCCAGATTCGCAGACAATAGCGAAAGTGGGGCTTGTCAGAGGTCGTTCTCAAGACACCTATGTTTATCTCTCCTTGATTGGACGACGGTGCCGACTCTGCGGCCCCGGAGGTACCATAATCGTTCGGGTCTCCCTATCTTAGACTCGTTGCTTGGACCAGCACTCTTGGATTTCTCAAAGCGAATTGTCGTCCGACTTCGACTTCTCCCCTGCTACGACATGCGGTACGCGGTCACGGCTGTTCAAGGGTTTGCAAGATCGCGGCATCGTCCCTGCCGAACGTTTTTTCGCTCTCCCTTCTGGTCATCGTCCTCCACTCCGGCCATCGCGGGTATCGCTAGGGCTACTCTGGAGCCTGCAGGAACTGCATGACGCACTCCAGCTGCGGCTCATCGTCATCTCGGCTTGTGGTCTCGCGGCATGAACCCCGTGCGTCCATCCGTACCTCTACTACTACAGCCCGCTGACGCATCTTCCCAGCAGTTCTTCGTGACATCGCTGTAGGCATCTCCGAGTCGAACGGATGGCGCTTGTTGATCGGGAGACTGACCATCATTGTCGCGCAAGGCGAAGACGACGTCGTGCGAGGCGAAGGCGATGTTGTGCGACATGAAGGTGAAAGGGGAGGTGATGCTGCACACAATGAAGCACGACCACCCGCCACCGACATATTCGATCGCATTCCCACCGAAATTTACGAGACTGTCTTTGAACACATGGACCGGTTCACGCTGGTCGTTGCCGCATTGGTTCCCCGGGCATGGTATCCTCTCGCCACTTCCAGTCTCTACTCCACCGTCGTCATCGCATCACGCGCGAGCTACGACCTGCTGGTGATGCAGCTTCGCACGTCATCCCGTGTCCAGCGATGGCTACAGTCCACACACGAAGTAACGCTCGGGGATGTTTGGACCGACTCGGACTCAGGTATCCCCTTCCTGGACGCATTTCCTCTGGTCTTCGGCTATGTATGTCCTGCTCTGCAGGTGCTCGACGTCACTCGCATCCTGCGTCCTAATATGCATCCGACTTTCCATCGTGCCCTGCGTCAGTTCCAGCACATTGTGACGTTACGGCTGTATGATGTCCAACTGAGCAACAGTGTCCAGTTGCGGCAGATTGTCTGCGCGTTTATGTGCTTGGAAGAGCTCGAATTGTACCGTGTGCTACTCATCCAGCCACAGCTACGGCGCTCTGCTGGTGCTAGGCTCCAAGATAACCCTTTCCGGGATCCCTCAAGCGACTCCGAGTCGAAGCGGACAACTTCGACAATTACATGCAGGCGTTCGGACCGATGGCCAATTGGCTTGCAAGCTCCGGGATCTGCAGCTCCCTGGTCGAACTGGTGACGGTTTTCATCGACGACTCGGGGTACTCGGACACGGACGTGACAGGCCTTGCCATTGAGCATGTCAATCGGCTCCTCGAGACTACGGGGCAGTCGCTGACCTCTTTCCATTGTCAGAGCTATTTGGACCTCCGTGGTAAGTAGTCTCTCCCAGGTCCTCGTACTGAGTTGATTATTGAACATCTCACAGATCGTCCGTCTTGCAATCTCGTGAACAACACGGCCTTACGTCAATTGACGTTAGAGTCGAATTTCGACCCCTATCAGCCCATAGAGGACTCGGACTTCGCACATGCAGCAAGCCAACTTTGTGGAGTCTTTTCGACGGTCCGAAGTTACCAGCTCGAGCATATCACGCTCCACTTCAGGTTCCTGCTCCACGGCCCTCCGAACGAGAGCTTCAGCGAGTCTTGCAAGAAGCTCGAAGCCGGCTCTCGCAGCCTGCACAGTGTCTTGGTTGGGCCGTACTTCGACGCATTGAAGGACGTCAAGATTGAGATCCAGGTTGAGTATGATCCCGATGGTGGTGGCAAGAAGCAAGCGGACGACCTCGCCAGGGCGATGGCTCCTTTGCTACGGCGATTGTTCATACCATGGCATGATCGTGGTATACTAGCCATTGCCACCTACGTGATATCGCTCTTTGCTTCGACGCGATCCTCAAGGGGCTTACTTCCAGTCTGAAACAGATGACCTCAGTGCGTGTTCACTCGGTTTCGATCTTTCCACCAGATGCTGACTCCATTTGTGACGACCCAGAGCAGGAACTGTGCCTTGTATATCCCACTCAACCGACTTGTGCAACCCGTGAACATGATCGTGTACGATGTATCGACCTCACGAACGAACTGCGTACTCATCGATAACGCGAAACCAAGCCCTGAGAAGTCGAGCGTGAACCGGAACTCTCCCCAAGCGCATATTCGCCGGTTGAAGCTTGCTGATCGTTGGCCCAAACAGCGACTCGAAGACGCACTACTCTGCCTACTCCGTACAGCGCACAGATGGCCTGAGAATCATCACTGTCAACACTGACTTCTGTGCGCCGCCTTTCGCCGAAACTACTTCGTCTGCTGACAGTCTGAACTACAGGGTACACGGAAAATTACTACACCTACATGAACCTGTCGTCGTCCGATAAATCAGGCATGCTGCGCTTCTTGACCGACGAGCTCCAAGCCGCTGAGGACGCCGGTGACCGTGGTACGTGCCAAACAAATGCGCTATCGATGCACCCAGGTTCTCATGACATGTCGGCGCATCAGCGTGGATTCTTGGCCACGTTCCTACTGGCTGGTGTGGTACTAACGCCCTGAAGAATCCGAGTAACCTCTGTATGTCATCGATCCACGGACCGTTTCTGGGCCGCCTAACCTTGTGGATCCCCGCGCAGTTTATCAAATGTGAAAGTGTCTTAGTCGCCATCGTCCTACCTTGTTCTGAACATTGACGAACAGTGTGGATCGTTACTCGCCCCATGTTATCGCAGGCATTTTCTTTGGTCATGATCACGAAGATGAGCTCAGTGTTCGTGCCGTCTCCCGCTCCCCGCGTGGTGTACACCGCATCCATGATGATACTTCAATCAGATATACTATGCAAACAACGCCACCGATATCGGTGCGGACAACGCGCTCACAGTCTCATGGGTAGGTCATGCCTGCTGTGCGCCCCATTGTAGAATTTGATTGACAATTACCATCGACCAGATCATGCCGTCGGTGATCCCCCTGACGAACCTCAACTCCGGCTTCCGCATGTACGAGGTCGATTCCGGGGTGCGTCCCATTCCAGCATGGTCGCACTGATGATCCGTCAAGCTGACTCCACCCGCGAACTCCGCCAGACGTTCGAAGTCTTGGACTCCTACACGTGAGCGCCTGCGCGACATCAGGGGTGATCGCGCCGTACTGAACTCACCCGATGCTATGTAGCTGGTACGCTGACGTCAACTTGTTCGGCGCCCTGGACGGGCAGACGGAGTTCGGGCCCACCTATCAGCTCGAGTACAGTGCGCGCGAGGCGTACGGGGCGAGCATAGAGTGGGGGCCTAACGACCCCTTGAACGCGACGTGGTGGCATCTGGTGACCGAAGGTGCGTGACTCCGCGAGTCCGTCAGAAGGGTACTTACCACGGATCACCCGAAATTGATTAGCCATGGAAGCGAACTCGACGCTCGTTGAGGTAAGGATCCTCTGTCGGACTGCGCAACGTAGCTCTGAACTGACTGAATTGCCGCTTTTCATAGCTCTTCAATACGTACCAAGGCAAGAGCTCGGTCCGGTCGTCTGCCTGCACCGGCGAGTGCATACCCGCGAAGATCTGCTACATGCGTAGCGGCAGTGCCTCTATCGCCGCCGCGAACTGCCCCTCTGGACATGGTTCTGTCCAGTAGATATAAGGCAGCCAGAAATTGACGGATGGATGACGGCGTGCTGGGATTTGGCTTGGCTTGCGCGAATTTGATGTTCACTTCGAAGTTGTGTAAGAAACAAATGGTGCATTGTCACCTCCCCGTGTCACGATAACATACATTATTCTGCTCTTTGGTTATACAAACGACAGCCTAGCTAAGGCGCACATCATCAGGAAAGACCGAACGCATGAGAGGAGATACTATGTACCGCCTTGCAGCCAAGACCATCTGCGCCTTCACTCCCGCAGGCTGGCCCACCGCTTCTTCGCGCTGCCCTCCTGCGCCACGAGCCCGACTCTGACATCGACGCCTGCGCACGACAGCGCAATGCGGTCTTCAAGGGGCAAGCATTCGAAGCCATGACAGCGTGGCCTTGCCAGATGAAGAAGAAGGAAGGGCAGGGATCCGGAGCTGCATCTGCTGAGTCGAGGACGCGGCGACGACGCTTGTAGTACGTGCGTGGCTAGGTGAGAGACCATCGAGTATCGACGAAGGTGGGGCGCTGCACCCCTTGTATCAGTGTGGCACCTGACGTGGATCGCACCGTGAATACACACCTGCAACTACTCTCCGAAAGACCACCACACGTCCCCGCAGTTCAACCGGAGCTCCCGGAGGAGCGGAAGGTGATGGCCTCTCCAGTCTCGTCCTCAGGAACACGTAACCGAACGTGTAGCTGCCACGGGGAGATAGGTTTCCGCGTTGCGGCATACGAGGCGTTTGACGTGGCTCGCCGACGTCGTGAACACCTAGCGCAATAAATGACATAAGCATCGAGTCGGACGTCTCAGGTACACGACAACAGGATGGAACATACCTCGTCGACGTTTGAGGTCATGGCGAGCTCCGCTGGAAGGTGTGGGCCCACCCATCCCCGTCACCGCGCTGAACGAGCGCGAACACGTGGTCTGGCGGTGATAACGAGACACGGTAGATTCGGACGCACTTGTCTTGGAAGGCGACAGTGTCGGATACGGGTCTGAGGTGTAGTTCGCAAGATTGGAAGGATGGCGGACCAATCGTGAGCGCGTATCTGTGTTCGACCGAGCCTTGGACCGGTCAGGCTGAAGACAGGTTGCTCGATAAGCAATCGCCGTCCGTTCGACGGCCCCGCTGGTCAGGAGTCCCTGTGGCGAGGTCACAAATACCTACGGAAGATGCTTCAGCGACCTGTCAGTGTGCATAGTGCAGGGTAAGGTGGACGCACCAGAGGTTCAAGTATAGGCTACACCACATGCCCAGGTGATGCCGAGCCGACGGCGAGTTTGGAAGCCGTCCAACAGCCGACAGGCGAGCGTGACCACGTACTACGTGTTGAACATCATGGCCGGAGAGAGCTCGACTGCGGACAACGGCTCAGCTTGAAACTCGAGGATCCGCGGACGTTGCTCCAGCCTCCAGAAGACGAGTACGAGGCGAGACCCAGACGAAGACAGGTATCTCCGGGGGCCGCAGAATCCGGCGGACTGCTGTCCAATCAGCGAGATCGAACATATGCAAGCACCCCGACGACGACCTAGTTGCGCACATTTTCTGCGATGATGGACAGCTGGGCCGTGTAGGGTCTTCCGGGCCGCGCCGAAGTGCTCGAATGGCAAGGAAACGGGTCACGGAATGCCTAGAAGTTGTCTGGTCATTATGGCCTGCGCTGCCGAGAGTGGGTGCGAAGGATAACACTGGAGCCATATACGAAGTCAGCAACGTTAGAGGGCGTACTGTGTATGAGAGAACCACTGACAGGTTCCGACGACTGCCCGAAGCTGCGGCGGAGGCTTATGCTATGGGAAAAACCCCCGGGAGGAGGAGCCTGAGAAGCTGGGGAAGGATGCTCATGTCTACAGAGGGCCTAGCCCTCAGTGACAATAACGGGAATCAACACGATTCCGTCAATGCATTCTCACCACGCTGGGCATGAAATCAGGAGTTTGTTGGACAAGAAGATCACTATCACGAACCTAGATGAGTTTAAAGGGAACATGGTGGACGAAGGACCCTGCCTCGTTACCGACGATCGTTGGCTGGTCGAAGAGTCGGGGCCGAGACGTTTGTCCTCGGTGAAACCAACGTATTGTAGGACCGGGAAACCATAGACTGCGAGGCTGCGAGTAGAGGCATACTGAAGAACGTCGGCGTGGTGTTGTTGCCGTGAGGGTGGAGAGACGAGCGGGACGAGAAATGAGATGTGTTGTGTTGCGTTAGCGTATCAGGGTGCATCCACTGCGCGCCGCGACCGGCACTCTCCTGCAACAGCAAATGTTCTCGTCCATTTACGTCTCGACAGTCCCTGAATATGAACCCGTCCACGCCAGCGGTACCCTTAGAGGTATGTTGAACGCTGACCGTGTTACGGGCGGTCGCCTTCCTCGTACATACATAGGCTCCAGCGGAGGAGCTCCCATCGGCCTGCTAAAGTGATAATTGACGAAACAAAATGCATAGCGCACGTCACGTACGTACGACGCTGTCCGCCAGACTGGGCGGCCGTATGTATGCGCCTATGGAAGCCGGCGACAGGCCGTCCAATGGCCACGGTCAAGCTCGCGACCGCGCCTCCAGGAGCCGCCAGTCACTTGTGGCATAGATCTATGAGCACATCGCAAGGAGGGTGAGAAAGGTGACTCTACTCTACTCACCGAAGTCCAGCCCTCCTCGTCCAATCCCGAATTCCCCTGCGCTTCCCGGCCTACTCAGCGGCCATCTCCCGGGCCCACATGTCGTCATTCCCACACGGCACTGATGCGCGGCGCGCGGCGAGCCCTGCGCTCGCTAGAGGATGTACTGCGGAGTAGCGAGGAGCAGTCGAGGACAGCACTGATCAAGCAGAGAGCACTCAGAGCAGAGACTCGGACGCGCCAGCGTGCGACTGGTGAAGATGTGATCTTGGGCGCTTCGCGGATGCTAATTATACCTCCTAGGGCCCGGCCGTTCCCGGATTCCACCGTGACTGCCTTGAGACAAGGCCCACCTCTCTGACGGAGAGGCTCGAGGGCGGTCTTCCAGCTTGCCTGACGGTACGTGCAACTCTGAACACGCACAACACGCACGCAGGGTACATGGCCTGCTACTGGCCTGCTGCCTTGCCTCTTTTGACATCGAGCGCCCGCTGTTCATTTCACCCTCCCATCCACTATTTGCGGACTCAATAGGTGGACCTTTGACACGACCTCCGAGCCACACACTCGAGGCTTTGACCACAGAAGCAGGGCCACGAGTCTCTTCGTTCAACGTAAGTGGCCCCCGACACAGCGCAGATTTCCCGCTCACGTCCGCGATCTATCAGCGAGCAAACGAGCAGCCCGAGTTCATACATGGGACACCTGCAAGGTTAGCCCTGCCAGGTGCTATCCGACAAACTGCATTATGTGAGTATCGTCAGCACCTCCGCGTCAGCGCCCCCCAGTGCGTAATCCAATAAACTCGGGAATGCTCGCTATGTGGCGACGAATGTCCAAGGCGACACGCACCATGGGAGCCTCGTAATAAGGTTTATGCCAGGGTATGCCAGCCGCTCGCCGAACGGATCGAAGCGACCGCCGCAGCGGCCACAGTGGGCTCTTTCGAACGCTATCATCAATACTGCGTCGAATCAGCATCGATTCCGACCGTTTCTTCCGGCGCCGTGCGCATAAATGTCGCTATGAGTGTGAAGGAACGCTGTGATACAAATGTCCCGACAGGCGCGCGGTTGTCTCACTCCCGGCCGACGGGCCAGTGATCCCCCGTCGACAAGTGCTGCCCGACGACATATTGGCTGGGATGCTGTCGCTCAATGACTCCACTCCGCAAAGCTCTCAATGATGTTCACTATCAATTTCACGCACGCATGGTACGCATAAAGCCCCTCACTGCAGTGTTTGCTCCGTGCTCATGAAGACCGCGCATAGGTTTCCGTACGCCTTTGTCCACTCGTGGTTTCCCTGTAGGTACAATGTTCACCGCCGGAACCAGACAATCCGAAACGGCGTCACCATGTTATCGCGCAATAGATGGCATGTACATTCCCTCTCATATCAATGCGAGCGTCCGGATCCTTACGGACTCGACACTGAGCTGTGCATTGGCTCGGACTCGGCGGCTTTCGTCCTCGCGTCGTCAACGTGCAGTCCTCGGTGCGTTTCTGTGGACACCTCCGAGTCGTTCAATGCGTGTCCCCCACCGTGAGCTACATGAGGTTGCGCGTCCTCGTTCGCCATATGTAGTTAGCCCTCTTGCGCCCTGCCTCGTCCTCTCGCTCTCTCCGCCCACTTCCGTCTCTTTGCTCTAGATTGATAACCATCCAACGCTGTCATGAGCGCATCCGAGGTGCGGACCGTCGTTCTTCACTGGTACAATATGAAAGCTGATTGTATCTGTTGTACTCATGGGATGTAGGATTCGTCAATGCACTCAGTTCCCGGAGGGAACGCGAACACTCCCGAGCGGAATGCGACATTGTCACCAAATAGTTCTATCCGTCGACCGAGCTGTAGCGAACACGGCGGCTCTGAATTTGGGTTATCAGTGAGTATAAGCAGAACGAACGGCGAACAGGATCCCTTACCTGTCTACACAGGCATCCAACCCAGTCGGCGCGAACTCTGCGGGAGCCTCCTCGTCGCCCCATAACACCATGCCTGCGGTTGCAAATGAGGTGAGCGTGATAAGCGACGATACAACTGCGTGTCGAGGTCTGACAGACATCATCAGAACAGTTCGAACGAGCGGTCGGATGCCAGTGGAACGAAGCATTCGTCTCAGTCGGCAGACCACTCGGCGAAGGATCCGATAACGGCGTCAGAAATGGAGACTATTATGAATAACGTATTCGAGAGGTTTATGACGCCACGGGAGCCACAAACACCGCCGGCTGTGATGGACGAAACTGCCTTGGAGAAAGTATTCGAGAAGTACATGAAGCCTCGGGACCCACAAAAGCCTGAAGAAGCGTGGTTGAAGTTGGCGGATACAGCGTGGGCCTACGAAAAGGACCGTGTAGAACGATGGCGGAATGAAATTAATACATTCCTCGTCTTTGTGAGTCACGTTCACGCCTACGTCGTAGTGTTCCGGGGAAGAGAAAATGAGATAATGATGGTTCACTTGTAGGCCGGCTTGTTCTCCGCAGTCCTCACCGCTTTCGTGGTCCAGTACTATGCCGTTCTGCTGCCGGCACCCGACTTCAACACTGCTATCCTCGAGCTCATATCCGCGCAACTCGGTAACGCGGTTACGAACGCCGTTGTCGCGGCCGCCAACGCCTCGAACCCGGCGCCGGTGCCGATGATCCTTACGAACACTTCATCTACGAGCTTCAAGTTCCCCTCGCCACCCGCTGCACCCCGTTGGATAGCTGCGCTGTGGTTCGTCGCCCTGGTCTTCAGTCTCAGCGCGGCATCCGTTGGTTTAGCCGTGAACCAATGGCTGAACTTCCACGCGACGGAGCAAGCCGGGCTGCAGGACGCATCCCAGAAAGTCTGGACGTGGCAGCTCCGTAGGCATGCACTGGACAAGTGGCAAGTGGAGTATATGGTCGGCATCCTCCCGTTTCTCCTTCAGGTGGCCCTCGTCCTCTTCCTCGTTGGGATTGTGGGCTACCTCTGGGAGCTTGGCTTCGACATTGCCGTCCCGAGCACGGTCTTTGTCGGCGCCTTGCTTCTGTTTCTAGTCGTCACTTCGGTGACTCCCGCATTGGTTGGTTACAGTCCTTACAAGTCACCACAAGCATGGTGGATCTGCGAGGCCTGCAGACGCATGCGGTGGGCGGCTTACTGGGCGGTTCTGCAATTATATACTATGATCCTCCCCACTGGTATCCTCCTCCTCAACAGGATCCAATCTCTGAATTGGATTTCGCAGGATCGCACATGGCGCATGCACTTCCGAATGTCGAAGATCCGTGATTTCCTCGCCCTGCGTAAATCATACCTGCGTACGTTGACAGGGGCATCTGACTGGCTCGCACATGAACAGTTATGCGTGGATGACTGGACCACCCGCAGCGAAGAAAATACGCTACTCGTGGACATTTATTCCATTGCAGATGACACAGATGTCCTTCGTGCGATGGCAACCTGCGTGCGAGCGATGCCTATCGACCGAGCAACCAAAGCTGTGACGGGAATCGGCCAAACTGTTTTCAACGCCTTGTCAAAACGACAGGATCCGCGTTCACGGGCGTCCGGGCCCTCTGCGTCGGAATCTGGTAGTCACCTGCAATCTGATGGTTTGGACAGCACCTCTACGGCTTTGATAGGTTGCATGTTGCTGGACACGTTCACTCGCGCGCATACAGAACTCGATGACAGCCCTCTTGACTCAGTGGACTCAAACCGATGCTTAGCTGGACTTATCCGCGCTATGCCTCTCGCCGACGGAATCAAGGCCTGCATGACTTTGTTCAAACATTTACACGATGATCGACTGTCCGAGTCCACAGTACAACGAAGAGCTACATTGGATGTTGTACAGAACATTTATATGCCGGTCGACTTCATTGCGGAGGACCGTATGTACTTCTTTCAGTGCATTGAGATGCAGGAGGCGAGAACATATGACTGTGCGCCACACACCGAGCTATATCGTCTGCCTGACGTTGAAGGTAAGTCAAACGTCCACTTCAATCGCAAGGGGTGCAAGCTAAAGTTTAGCATAGACTGGAAATGTATGCAGACTACACTCACGACGGTATACGAAACCCATGACCCCGTATCCACCATCCAAATCACAACAACCGTCCTGGCCATATGCATCTTGTCCGTCAACAACGGGCACACATTGCCAGCCGAGCCGTCGAGGGGAGCTTACCTGGCCGACATGCTCCACCGATTCGACGAGCACTTGGCTACCCTCCGCCGCAAGGAGATGCGAGACGCTGTGCAATACCTCTCTCCCGCGGCCGTATACAGACTCGGTTGGGTGTTGTCTCGCATGTCCTGGTACGACATCTATGATTCCTTGGGTACGACTGAGACTCTTGGCCGGGATGCCATGATGTCGACAAATCACATCGCGCGGCGACTCCAGTGGCTGCTGGGATGCGATGAATGGACGCCGCCAGGGACAGTCCAAGGGTTCCGTGTTTACTTGCAATGGTGCATGAGACGGACACAGCAGCACCTAGAAGACGATCATGGGATAGACCCGAAAGACTGGTCAGTCATCTTCGACGCTCACTGGCAGGGTGTCAAAGACGCGCTGACACTTGCAACAGGGACTCGAAAGGATGGCTCGGATGCGCTCCAGATGAGCCCGAGAGCGAAGGCAATCAACACGTCGACCCCCCGCAGACGACTGACTCAGAGTCTACATCGGAAGCTGTGGACGAGCAGGACCCACCAGAGCCACAAACGGGCAGTCCGACGCGATCTATGACCCAGCCCTTGTAAGCAGGGAATCTCACATCCCATTCGATCGTCACTGACGACCGTGCTATAGCGTTGACGCCGTGCATAGACTCGAGGGATCCACGGCGCAGGAGCCCGACATCGAGATGCAAGTCAGAGGAGCTGGTTCGAACACAACACCAGATGCATCCCATGCGACGGACACCGCGCCGCCAGCTATCAGCGGAGCCACGCCGATGACCGCTAGGACGCTCGACGTGTCCCCGCAAGAGCAGGACGCGGCCCAGACCAGCGAGCATCCGCAGCCACTAAATGCCATTGAACCGCGCGTAGACGACCTGGATGCCTCACGCGGAGTAGCTGAGCACGGCGCGGACGCGGACGAAGGTCGTCAGGGCGCGGACGCGGACGAAGGTCGTCAGGGCGGACTCGTAGGCGCGGCCGAGCACGCGGATGAACATCAAGGCGGCGATGCGCGGCCGAGTCAGGAGGGACTAGCTTCACCGGACGACACACCTACGCAACCGCCCGAGTCGCATTTCGAGTCGGCCAGCCAGAACGCACACAGCGGCTGATTCGGAGGACGAGGATGGTGGCATCGATGTCACGGTGTACGTTGTACGTTTCCGGATAGACCATCACCGCCGAATGCTGACGTTCACCGCAGGCGGACAGCATGCGCCGACTTTTGACGAGCCGTGACGATGATAGACGGATCTCTCGGTGCACGAACATCTCGGGGCTGCGACGGGCTGATGTCTCGTATGTTCCTCTTTCGTTACGGCTGTTCGTGATGCTTGTGTCGGGCTATGGACTCGGAGATCTTGATTCATATGGCTTACTGAATATTCTACGGTACACTCGCGTCCGCCGACCGGATTGTCTAGAGCTCCCGCGAGCGAGGTGTTGCTGTCCATTGTCTGTATTGTGTTGTGTATTAGTTCGTTCGGTACAAATCGCTTCTGGTACGTCTGCTTGGAATTGTTGTCGGAATATCGTATATCAACATAACGTGCCATGTTCCGTCGAGTAGTTTACGACAAGCGAGAGCGGATATAATTAACAGAGATCACATTATGAAGTCTGAACATACATGGCGACGACTGTTACAAACATTGTGGCGCTGCGTCCATTAGACAATCCCCCAGTCCTGTATGTCAACTTTGAGATAGTAATGCCCTTACCTCACGCCGGGCCGATAGACCTGGCTCGATCACTGCTGCACCTGCAGCTGTGTTGGCAGGTCAGCACTGTATGGACTCGACCGCATATAATCATACCGTACTCACCGTCTCGTCGCCGCTTCAGCTCTCACGGGCCTCCCAAGCAACTCGGAGCCCTCCTGTCTGTTCCAGAATTCATGGTTGGACACCTGGCGGAATGGCGCTACCGTCTTCGATGCGGTACCACTTGACGCGACTGTCAAGCGTGCAGCGGGTTCGGTCGAGGAGGCGGACAATGAGCAGCGTTCACGGATGAGTTGGTATCAAAGGTTGGAGCGTGAAGCGAGTATATACATCCAACGGCATTTGTAATGAAGCAGGAAGACGAGCCTGAAAACCGTAGACGAACAGAACAGGACATACCGCCGGCAGGAAGTCTCACGGGCGTTGGGAGCTCAGGCGAAGTCAAACAAGTCTTCGTTCCGGACCGCCCAGATCGGGGATTCCACCAGTGTGTATGCGCATGAAGACGGGGAGGCTTGAGCTTGGGGTCCAAGGCGGTATGCGATGTCCAGGACGACCCCCAGGCGTTGAGTGTGACGTCAGCTGAGCCCAGCGTCCCGCCCATCATGCGCCCGTGTTCTTGCGGCGGCGGCGTGCTCCTTCGTGCTCCCCGGGAGATGCATGTGCAGCTAGCTCAGGTATCTTGCGATATAGTCGGCGGGGAGTGGTTGTCGCCCGGCGCCAACAGAGTTCGTCTAGGGCGCTGCTTCCGGCCCGCAGTCTCCGGCAATCGTCCGATGCGCGTCTTGGGCGTGTCGCTCGTCCTCGCTCCCTTGAGACGTTTGTGTCCCCGCCATTGTGATGTCTGCGCACTTAGGACGGTCAGATGCCTGTCGATGGCCTGTAGCGGAGCAATGGCTGGTGGGGTGCAACCGCGGACGACCGGTAGCGATGCGATCTTAGGCGCTTCGCGGAGGTCGACCGTATGACCGACCATCTCCTTCCCTTCACTGGCACACTGCACAGTCGCCTCGGACAACCACTTGGATGGCCTCTACGTATCGGCACGTCCCACCACTCTCGTTCTCCCAATCTCGCATCTTCTACGCGCCGTCCACGTCGATGCCAGGACAGCCCTACCACCGTCGTCAGTCGGAATCGCAGGACACAGGACACGGATACATGCCGTCGTCCAGCTCGCTCGTAGGCAATGTCATTCACTATCTGTATCGAGACTCGAAGAATGACCTGAACTGAGACAGTGGTTCACGGACTGCGACGCGTACGTGCGGAAGGTGAGTCATCCTTGTCCTGGTCAACTCATAGCTCGTTGATGTTAACATAGTGCATAGGTCCTGCTCGATGCTGGCTTTGTGCTGAAGCAGCAGCGTAGCCACCAAGGCAATGACCTGCATGAGCGTGGCCGTGGCTTCTACCAGGGCAAGTACAAAGGGCACTTCGACAACCTCCTCGGCACCTTGACGGATTGGTTCACTGCCTTCGGCGACGACCCTCTGAACCAACGGTACGTGTCACCGGCATTCCGTCAGTGCCATGGTAGCTGACACGGAATGGAATGTAGCTTCTGAACTGACTGGGCACGTCTCACCGAGGACCTGCTATTCGATGGCGAGAGCAGTCTGAAGTTCAAGCGCGAGCTTTGGATGGACATCCGCAAGGTCATCGTGCCGACCAGGGTACGTGGCGTCAATACGTTGTCACTGTAATATCACTGACGTATTATACCAGGTCGGCTATGTCTGGATTCCACGCGTCGAGTATACCGACCACGCGCTTGACCTCGTCATCGAGAGCCTCGCGCTCAGCGGGCGCAACCTCTTCCCGAACCTCGTCACCATCGAGGCGCATAACTTCCTGAAGTTCTCGCCGTATAACGCCATCCAAGACGAGGGCCGGCACGAGTTCAACCTGACGTTCAGCCAGATCAATGCGGACATGCGTGACGTTTCATTCTGCTTCCGCAAGAAGAGCGGGTTCTCGCAGCTCAGCGACTCGGGCATCGCGGACGTGCTCCTTGGCGGGCATGGTCTCACTGTTACCGCGCGTGTTGCGAGCTCGGGCAAGGACCACTCGTCTGTGGTCAAGGATGTGCACGTCAAGGTCGACACGCTGAAGTTCAGCATTCGCGACAACAAGCACGACCCTTTGTACAAGTCGCTCCGGCCGCTCGCGACCGGTCTTGTGAAGTAGCAGGTGCAGAAAGCGATCGCGGACGCGGTGCGCACGGGCCTGGAGTACGTTGATGGCCAGCTCGTAACGGTGCGCGACCGCGTGGAGGCGGCGAAGGTGGACGAGAACCAGAGCCGGACACAGGCGCTGCAGGACGTGAGTTGCATCCGGCCTCTTTCGTCATTGGAGATCACAGGGGCTGACATGTCTTCGCAGCTGTTTCAACGCAAGAAGGACGAGGCGTCGAGCGCGGACGCGAAGACGGGCACGTTCAATGTCGTGTCGAAGCGCGACTCGGCGATCCTGCAGGATGTCGGCCGCCCCGAGGGCTGGGCGAACCGCGCGCGGGAGCGGTCGGACGAGGCGACGGGCGAGACGTGGGACTCGTCACGTACGGAAGGACACATCTTCAGGACCGTCTCCATCAGTCGTGCTCGGTTTTCGACCGAAGAATGTTACGGTATACACGGTATGTGCATCCATTCGCACGTGAAGAAGACGAACATGACCCGGAGGGTGTCTGAAGGACGCGGCCCAGCCTCAGACGGAGCAGTCGCAATCAATGGACGAACTGCACGCACGCGACTTCAATGCCGCACGAGTAGCAACAAAGGCAGGACGCGGACGAAGGCCCTCTTAACGAACCCGGAAGCACGCCCGAGAGTCTACACGGACGTCGAGGCGGAAATATGGGCCAGGAAGGTTTAGTTCACACCGGCGGAGACGTACCTGCGCAACGCGAGTCGCGTTCCGAGTTGGCCAACCAGAACGAGAGCGGCAACTGATGAGGAAGAAATGGGAGGATGGGGGTTTGGTGAGTACTGTACGTCGTCGTGCATCGGTCATCGTTGATGCTGAGGCTAGCGGTCACCCTTGGGATGCAGCGACGGATGGATAACCGGTCATCGACGTAGCTCTTGATACACGAGGAACTGTCTCGGATTACGATGTTGTGTTCTTGTTACAGCTAGCTGGTTGTAATGCTATTATAGGCCATCTTGATACTGGCCTACTGGTTGTACTGTCAATGTACGATATGTTTGTGCACGCCGACCGGTTCTGCCACGAACGAAGTGTTGCTGTCGAATGTCTGTGTGCTGTATGGTCCGTTCAGTATGACTGCGCCTCCCGCACGTCTGTTTCGGACTTGACTGTTGAAACAGTGATCACGCAACAATGTCGAACCTAGCAACAATGTGAGACATGATGCTCAGTTGAGCGAGTCACGAAGATGAGGGAACATCATATTGCCAATGCTGTACATACTCAAGTTCACGGCGATCATTAGGTATGCTACGATGCCGTGCAGCAACTTGGCACTGAAGGAAGGTGTTCGTAGTGAACAGATACATCGGAGAAATTTTGCAAGTGAGAAAGGTCATGCTAACTCGAAACGGGAGAGACAAAACGTACCGCCGGCAGGAGACCTCAACTGAGAGGTGTGGCGGTGGCTCACAGGCTGTCCGTCCGCAGGAGGTCACCGGAATAGCTACCCTGTTTCAAACCGCGGCGCCGACAAAAACTTGGTTGATAAGTTGCACGCTCCAGTTCCTCCGCATAGACTCGTCTCATCCACAAGTTCAACAGTAGATCTGTAGGTGCATTGCTGGTACGCACATCGTTGGGCAAAACAACTGAATCTTCGCTTCTTTTTTACGAAAGGTGACATCTACGTAGCCATGACGAGATGGCGCTCTCCGATGACTTCCTGGTTCCGTCATTGCCAGTAGCTTCCGCCTGGTTCGTCTCGTCTATACAACATGTCATGGTTCATATGCATAGCAGATCCACGTACCCATGTTACCCGCGCAAAGTCGTTAGCCCGGTTCACATCGAGCGAGCGAGGATGGGCGCGTCACGTCCGACCACATGTCATTTAGAAGAGGTCCTGGCTAATGCAGTGCACGTTAGAGATTGGTACTGTCGCCGTACAGTCGCGTCCTACTCGTCTCTGACACTCACCTCCCTCGGTTCTGACGCAGGTTACAGTGTAGCGAAGCAACCCGCGAGTAATGTCGCCGACCGGCAAAGGTGCAAGGCTGTGCTCGAGAAACCACCATTCAACGAGGACACTTAGCCTTGACTTGGCGGAGTATAGAAGTCGGGAGGCGGGCGGATGGGCGGATGCTTGGTGCGTGGTCGACGCGACCTGTGTTCTGATGCGAGGATGGATGCGGGTGAGATGCGGAGGTCAATCAAAGTTGGAATCCGGGAAGCGCAGGATGTTCCGCGAGTGGGAAGGGCCAGGGGCCGGTCGTACGAGCATGGTATCGGTAGTCGCTTTTATGTGATCCCATTGGAGCTTTTTTGTGCATTGTATCTGCGAGTCCTATTGTAGGATGTCAGAGGCTTTGGCGCAAAAGAGTGCTGGACAACATACGACGTACGCGAAACCTTGACTGACGGACGGCCTACTGAGTACATTCGTCCTTCAGGCGCGTGTGGGTCGCATACATCTAAAGAAGCTGTTGATGAATTCGTCCTGACTTGCGAGCGGTGAATGGCGGACGGGCGGGAGGTTGCCGGTGGGGTTTATGCGTGATATTCGTTGACTTTCGGTCAACACCGAGGGCGGGGCGACACTTGCAAGCCTGTATTTCGCAACGCCGCACACACATAGCGATAACTAAGTAAAAATCAAGCCATAGAGACGATGTGAATGCGCCCAAGGCCTAGTGTCGAATGGCTTACCTGGCTCCCGAACTTCTCCACGACACACAACCCAGGGCCCTCGACATATCGCCGCCCAACGAACGTTTGAAGTGAGATGGACCCGTACTCCGCGACGTTGGGTTTGATACGGACAGTTCGCACTCATGCTGGTCACGACATAGCGAGTCCTCCGTTAGCCAGAGACGCAGTAGAAACATGAGACTGGATGCAACTTACGACAGCCTGTCACGGCGGAATCATCCTTCCTGTGTCAATGTCGACGTCGAGCGTGACCCACCGTGCGATACATGGCGGAGAACGACGTAGAGGGGCTTACTGCCCCTCATATCAACAGCGTCAGTATTCGCGGGACAGAACGCATACCTGTGGTTTCGCCGCAGCCACTTACGAGGCTTGAGGATGGCAGGGTCGCACGGGCTGCCTGCGCGTTGCCAGGTTCTCGTAGCTATCAGCTCGCTATCGGCTTGCCAGTGATGTATGAGCAGAGATCGGTGTGTAGCATGGCTTTCGTGAGAAATGCTCTGTCTCGCGGTATGTACATAGGTTGTGGGCGAACTCCGAGGCAAGCACTACTAGTATGTATGACTGGCGACCGTGCGGGGACAAGCGCGCGCGCGTCACCGTGTCCTCCGCCCAGCGGACATCGAGGACGACTCTCTAGTGACTTACTATCGGCTGTCGAGGCCACCGATGCTCAGGCTCTTGCATCTTCCAGGCTGTCCGTGGCACGGATTATCTGCCTGCTGTCTATGACATAACTCGCACAAGAGGCTCTGGCCACGAATGTCTCAACGAAATCCCGAGTACTACCTATGTATCGCCACATTCACGACATCCAACTTGGAGCTTGCACACGGACACCATGATTTTATGGCGAGGCGCTGATTTATCTGCTCTGGCCTTGCGTCAAAGCGAGTTACGTGTATTCTGGTTTCACGGACTTTACTGAATGCGTAAAGTGCAACCTGTCACCTGGAACGCACAACCTCTGCACGGGTCGCCCGTGCTCGATTCTTTCAAGTACACAGGCTTCGAGTGCTGTGAACCGCGGGTGGTAACCATACTCCTATAGTAAGCAGCCCTGATCTTCTCCTGCGACCTGATCTTGTTTGGAGTCAGAAAGCTCTGAACACGCTTTTGGACCCACACACTCGAGGCGTTGGCCACCGAGACGTCAGCACGCGGCTGCTGTTCCATGTCGGTATGTTCAACGCTGGAGGCGCTATGACCCATCTCCGCTCACGTCCTCGTTTCACGTCGGTAGACTCGTCACAGAGTTGCTAGCGCTGGGCACCGTACATCGTCCAAATGAACGAAGCCAGTGACTCAGCGACGTTTTTTATTAGCAAGTTCCTCCTCATAGTCCACCGTCTCTGCGAAAGGTCTACGTCTTGGGCATATCGGTTATGAGTCGCTGGAATAGACGCGGTCCCTGTATACTCGCTATTCTTAGAACGGGCGGCCAGATCCAGTGACTCCGTGACCGCGATGCATCGTATTGTGCATGTTCGCAGCGGGGTAGGAGCGCGGTAGCAGTGGTGCGTGTATTCAGCGTTCACGTTCAGGCCCAGGGACGGCGGTTTACGTGTCTGCAAGCTCTCATCACACTGCTGCTGGACATAAGCAGAAACTATGATTCTGTGTTTTGTGCAGCAGTGATGAATTGTAGCCGCCGATAGAACGAGCCATGTGCGGACCGTCCGCTGGCACGGCGGATTCGTTCCTAGACGAGGAATGCTCGTGTTCCGGCACTGCGCTTTTCATTGGTACACCGCGACAATACGTGTTATTGACTGAGGCTGGCACAACACCAGCGCATGCAATGATTCACCGCCTTCTATCGCCAGGTTGAGTGGATCTCGACATCAGGGCTTTAACTGACCGTCTGTGACAGTCAAGTAACTCTGATCTGCCTGGGTAGTGGTTAGTCGAGATATTGACGCGTGGTCGAAGGAATGAAAGTTTTCACGTCGATTCCCTCAAGAGCCAAACACCGTGTGCATGTCTGTGGCCGACCGCATGGCATCAACATGATGCTTGGCATGAGTGCCTTGCTCTCCAGCGATGTCAGAGCCGCATGGAGTCGGGCCCTGGACAATGCTACCACTCATTCACTCCTTAGAGCAGGCTGCGTCCTCGAGTCACTGGCGGCATCGTTGCCATATCCGCTATAAAACGCATCTGCGTCCTCTCGTGTGAACCAGTCTATCCATACGAACCTGACGTTCGGAGCCGTCGTCCTCTTACTCTCAGTTTGTTTTCACCCATCGTCTTTCTCGTTAGTCGTCTTCTCATTCCATACAGTTATGGAGTCCAAGCCTCAAGTATGTATTGCCTTGGCTACAGTAGCCATGAATATGCTCGCTCATACACTTACACAGTCGTCGAGAGAGGCCGACCAGTGTCATGGGCCGAATACTTCACCAGGGGCAAGTGCACCTTCACAAAGCGAGGTGAGCACGAGCATGGTAGTTCGTGCAGTCACTGTGTTGACTAGGGCTTCTGCAGACCGACGTGAAACCCAATGGACAGGGAGGTGGTCAGGCCTCCACGACAGAAAATACAAAGTTAGGAGACATTCCCTTGAAAGACGCGACGGGACGATTCGAAGACTCCTTGGTAAACGTACTGAGGAAATTCATGGACCAGAAGCAGTACCAAGGCTCAGTTGACGAACTCTCTGAAGCCTGGTCGACGCTGGCCAAGGAAGCATGGTCGACCGAAAAGGAGCGCGTCGAACGATGGCGGAATGAAATCAATGCACTACTGGTCTTTGTAAGTCACCTCTATGTCTCTTATCAGCGGCAAGGCGCAGCGGGTCTGAACTCTGTCTTATAGGCCGGCTTATTCTCTGCTGTCGTCACTGCCTTTGTTGCTCCGTACTACGCCGGATTGCTGCCAGCTCCGGACTTCAACACAGATATCTTGGAGCAGCAAACCCAGATATCAGAGCGTACCTTACTGGTCCTCGAACGGATATCCTCGCAACTCGGTGGCGCGGCGACGGGTGCTGCCGTCACGGCTAGCTCATCATCGTTGGCGGCTGCCATGAACCCTTCACTGTCCAGCCCTTCTCCGCCGCCCAATCCACCGCGATGGATCGCCACCGTATGGTTCATCGCCCTGGTATTCAGCCTTTCCGCCGCCTCTATCGCGTTAGCTATCAATCAGTGGCTGAACTTCCACGTCGAGCAAACCGGGCTGCGAAGTGCGCCTCAGAAACTGTGGACCTGGCGGCTCCGACGGGATGCGATCGACAAGTGGAACGTCGAAACCATCGTGAGCCTCCTCCCTTGCCTCTTGCAGATCGCACTCGTTCTCTTCCTCGTGGGCATCATCGGATATCTCCTGGAGATCGGGACCGACATCGCTGTTCCGAGCGCGGTCTTTGTCGGCATACTGCTTCTCTTCCTCGTCGCCACCTCCTTTCTTCCAGCGCTCATTGAATACAGCCCGTACAAGTCACTTCAAGCGTGGTGGATATGCCAAGCCTGCAGATCAACGCAGTATATGGTTTGCTGGTTCGTCCTCTGGCTGCGTCGCGCAATCCTCAGCTCCCTCGGGATTGGACCTCCGACCGAGACTTCATCTCCGCGCGCAGATGACATATATTACTGGATGGAGCCGCTCCGTGCACGTGTCGCTCAGCGTCAAGCTCAGCTGCGTACGTTGATGAAGACGAACTGGCTCGGGCACGAACAACTCTGCCTGCGAAGGTTACTGACTGCCGGCCAGAAAGCCAAGACAACACTGTTCTCGTACGTTTACAACATGACTACGGACATGGACACCCTGTATGCGATGAAAGTCTGCTTTCAGAAGGAATCTCAGTTCCCAGCAGTCCGAGTCGGAGAGGTGGCGGCGATCGGCGAAGCAAGAACGAGTGTATTGTCAAGTCAAGCGTATGCGGATTCACTTGCGCGACTGTCAGGGAAGTCATCCTCCACCCCTGGCAATCAATTGCAATACGATAGTCTGGACAGCACTGCTACTGTTTTGATAGGTCGCATGGTGCTGGACACGTTCACTCGCGCGCATACGGAACTTGATGACAGCCCTCTTGACTTGGACTCAAACCATTGCTTAGCCGGACTCATCCGCGCTATGCCTCTCGCCCATGGAAGCAAAGCCTGCATGACTTTGTTTCAGCATCTACGTGATGACCAACTGTCCATGGCCCAACGAAGAGCCACACTGGACGTTGTACAAAATATATATGTACCAGTCGACTTCCTCGCGGAGGACAGGATGTACCGGCAGAATTTCAGGATGCAGGAGGCGAGAACATACGACTGTGCGCCGCAAACCGAGCTATATCGCCTGAGCGACGTTCAAGGTAAGTCAAACATCCGCTTTAATCGCAAGGGGCGTAAGCTGAAGTTCAGCATAGACTGGGAGTGCATACAGACTGTACTCACGACGGTCTACGCACACGATGACCCTGTATCCACCATCCAAATCATGACAACCGTCCTGGCCATATGCATGTTGTCCGTCAGAAACGAGCACACATTGCCAGCCGAGCCGTACAGGGGAGCTTACCTGGCCGACATGCTCCACCGATTCGACGAGCACTTGGCTACCCTCCGCCGCAAGGAGCTGAAGGACGCTGTGCAACACCTCTCTCCCGCGGCCGTATGCAGACTCGATTGGGTGTTGAATCGCATGTACCACAGCGACATCTATGATTCCTTGGGTACAACCGAGATTCGCCGGGATGCCATGATATGGACAAATCACATCGCGCGGCGACTCCAGTGGCTGCTGGAATGCGATGAATGGACGCCGCCAGGGACGGTCCAAGGGTTCTGCGTTTACTTGCAATTATACGTGGAGTGGACACAATTGCGCCTAGAAGAGGCTGGGATAGACCCGAAAGACTGGTCAGTCATCTTCGCCGCTCAGGATGACACACTGACACTTGCAACAGGGACTCGGAAGGATGGCTCGAATGCGCTCCAGATGAGCCCCAGAGCGAAGGCGATCGACGCGTCGACTCCCCGCAGGCAGCTGGCCCAGGGGCTACATCGGAAGCTGGGAACGAGCAGGCACCGCCGGAGTCGCGAATGGACAGTCTGAAGCGGTCTATAGTGCAATTTATGTGAGCGATGAGCCACACGCCCCACTCGTTCAATCGTCGCTGATCCTTTCTCTAGCCATGCCATCCGACGCAGATTCAGACGGGCTGCCGCGCAGGAACGCGACGCTGAGAAGGGGGCCGCTGGGGCTGATACGAACGCAACACCAGATGCACCCGGTGTGACGGACACCACACCGCCAGGCGTCAGCGACGCCCCGCTGGTGACCACTACAACGCTCGGTGAATCGCCGCAAGGGCAGGACGCGGCCCAGACCGAGCACTCGCAGCTACCAGGTGCCACCGAACCGCGCGCAGACGACTCGGGTGCCACACGCGCAGTTGCAGAGGCAGGAACAGTCGCGGACGAAGGCCGTCAGGACGAACCCGGAAGTGCGGCGATGGAGCACGCAGATCAACGTCAAGGCGGCGACGTGCGTCCGAGTCAGGAGGGATTAACTGCACCATACGACGCGCCTACGCAACTGTCCAAGTCGCACTGCGAGCCATGCAGCCAGAGTCAGAACGATGGCTGATTCGGAGGACGGAGGATGGTGGCATCGACGTCACGGTGTACGTCGTACGTTGCTGGATAGACCACCACCGCCGAATGCTGACGTTCACCGCAGGCGGACAGCATGCATCGACTTTTGACGAACCGTGACGGTGATGGATGAATCTCTCGGTGCACGAACGATTTCTGGGGCTGCGATGGGCTAGTTTCTCGTGTATGTACTCTGGTTCTCGGTATAGCTGTTTGTGATAAGTTTGTGTAAGCTATGGTCTCGGAGTCTCGATACGAACGGGTTCACTGACTGTGTGTACGATACACTTGTGTTCACCGACCGGATCGCCTGGAGCTTCCGCGAACGGGCGTTGCTGTCCAACGTCTGTATTATGTGATGTACTATTCGTTCGGTACAACTCGCCTCCTGTACATCTGCTTGGAACCGCTATTGGACTATCGCGTATCAACATAACGCGCCACGTCCCGTCGAGCGGTGTGCGACAAGCGAGGGCAGATATAAGTGGGAAAAAAGTATATTGTGAGTTCTGAACATATTTCGCGACGACCATTACAATTTGTGCCGCCGTGGCCACTAGACAATATGCGCAGTCTTCTGTGCTACCCTGAGACAGCAACATTGCTCGTACGTCGCGCCGGGTTGACGGACCTGCCTCGGTCACTGACTCACTGGTGCACCAGCATCTGTGTAGACTAGGTAAGCTTTAGTACATACCGTAGTCTCGTCCCTCGGTCATCACCACCTCCCGCTCTCACAAGCCTCGCATGCGGCAACTCGCATCCTTCCAGTCTTGTCTGGAACTCATGCACTCATGTCTGGACGCCTGGCGGAAGGGCGCCACCTTCGACGCGGTATCACTTGACACGACTGTCGACCGTGCAGCCGGTTCGGTCGAGAAGGCGGATGCTGGACGGCGCTCGCGGATGAGTTGACATTGAGGGATAAAGAAGCGAATGTATACAACCGAAGGGATTTGTAACGAAGCAGGAAGACGAGAACTGTAGACGAACAAGACAGGACGTACGTACCGCCGGCAAGAGGCCTCAGAGTCATTGGCGGTGGGAGCTCAAGCGACGTCATCCAACTCCTTGACTCGGATCTCCTAAATTGGAGGTTCCACCGGTGTGTATGCGCACGAAGACGGGGAGGCATGTGTTGTCCAGGACGATTCCGCGGCAGTCTGACGTCAGCTGAGCCACGCGTCCCGCGCGTCATGCGCCCGTTCTTGTAGCAGCGGCGTGTTCCTGCGTACGACCAGAGCGATGCGTGTGCAGCTGAAGTTGCGATGTCGATTGAGGGTCGCGGGGAGTGGAAAGTAAGTTAGTAGAAATGTTGCCCGGCGCCAATTGAGCTCGTCGAGGAGGAGACACCCGTCCTCCGACAATCGTCCGAGGCGCGTCTTGGGCGCGTCGCAGGCTGTCGTTCCCCTCCATTGACGACAGCGAGCCTCAGCGAGAACTCTTGGGCACCTTCTTCTCCTCGCCGTATACCACGCTGGCAGTCGCCGTTCACGTAGCCTCTGGATCCAACGACACACACCTCAAGAGCCCCGCCTCTGCTGCACTCCTCCCCGGCTACTCACCAATATTCTACGCATACCCGCTCACGCTTCCTCTGGCCCCGTTCATGAATACGACTTGAAGACACCTCGCTACGTTGCCCTTCGTCCCTGGCTGGTTCTCGCATCCGCCCTCCCAGGAATGTCGACCGCTGAACGGCATCGGTCTCGCCGGCGTGCCACCCCGTATCTCTGTGTGCTCCTGTCCGTTCGGCTTGCTAGGAGCATCTCTACTTGAGTCTCTCGACCACCTGAAGTACCCATCGCCAGGTCAGCGCTGCTGGAGTAACCATCCCGTTGACCGTCGAGTACCGTGGGCCAAGCCGCATGTGTGCCTTCTCGCTCGTTGGCCCTCTACTGGTAGTGCGCGGCCCGGGCAGTGATTACGGGTGAGTACCGCGCCTCTCTAACGTTCAACGGACCATAGCGTGATTCGGGACACGACGACAGGTATACGTGCCAGCAAAGCTAGTTCAAATCCGAACGTGTGCTGCTGGTAAGTAGGTTGTCCGGAATCATATCTCGCCCTTAAATCTGACTCACGCTCTGCTCCTCTCGCGCCTGGTATCGCCGTAAGCACCCGCTGCCTTGTCGACTCTCGCGTCACAGAGTAAGCACTCAACTCAAGTGCGTAGTAGCATCGGCTGACCTGCGGCGGGTCGACAGGGACGTCCGTCATTCGAGGCGGAGTGTCGGTCAAGAGCCACTGTGATGGAGTAGATCTCGCCTTACATAGTCTGTCGAGCCCCGCGCGCGATTGAGCTTGGTATTGCCCGAACAATTTCCAATGCAATCATTCCACCGGTACCACAACACAGGCTGCGAACAATCTACCACGTCCCTTTCTCCCGACTACATGCTTTTCACCTACGGCGGCCCACCGATTCACACACCTAGTGTGACGAACGCGCTCTGTTCGCAAATCATACTCCCCGAAGGTGAGTATATGCGTACAGAGGTCGTTGCCGGCTCACTCGTATGATGCGTTTAGTCTTCATCGCAGTCGCGGCGAACCGCACTGCGTCTCTGTACGTCATGTAAACTCACGGTGTACACCCGCCAAGACTGGTGCATACAGCTGACCCGGTCCCCACGGCGGTCGTACTCGGCGTCGGTCCCCGGATTGAACAGGATCTGCTACATACGGTGAGCTCGATTTGTCGATAGCGCAAATTTGCTACGATATCCGATGTCCCCGTCGTTGGACACACGCAGCCGTAGTTGATTTGCTACCCCGTGATGCTACTCGCGCAGGCTGCCGTATCGTGTTCAGTCTGCATGTGATTCCGTCTGATCATTGTTCAGTATGCGCAGTTCTCGGTTGTCTACTGTGTAGGTGGCATCATCAAAGATCAACCCCATCAGTACCCTCCACGCCGCGATAACCGGAGGTCAGCCATCTGGAACCGAACGCGAGGCTGCGCAGAACCCGGAGACTCGATATCCCAGCTCAAGGCGAGCCTTCGATCAAGGAGGCCCGAAAAGCGTGGTACGTTCTAAATCTGGATTCACCGTGCTGGCTGCTCATGTCCCTGTACCTCATAGAGACCCGACGCGTCGTTTGCGATCCCACGTCCTCACAACGGGAAGCTATGTCCGACTCGCATGTCCCATTAGACGATGTGTCGTCCCGGAAGTTTGGAGGCAACGAAGGCTGTCCGGACGCCGATTGAGATGCGATCCTCGTTTCTCGCAGGGACGTTTGTGTCCCCGCCATTGTGATGTCTGCGCGCACGCCCCGTATTTTGTAAATACAGAACCTTACCACTCCCTTCGGACAGCTTCTGACGGTGTCAACGATTGCTCAGTATCAACTAACGCACCGTACGTTGCCAATACCTACCCGTTCATTACTCTAGTATGCTCGTAGGACGAATACATACCCGTCGACGACTTATATCGGCACAGGAGAATTGAAGGATGGACCCCAGCTATGCAGGACACGCGATGACATCGTACCTGCTTTGACGTGGATCGTCGGTGGTCTATCATGGAGGAGCATTGATACGCGACTGGTCGGGTACAACCGCAGACGACCGGTAGCGATGCGATCTTGCGCGCTTCACAGACGGACGCTAAATTTAGTTGCGCGGCTCGACGAGTTCCTGACGTCAGACCTCCTTCCTTCACACTGGTTCAAGTTCCTGGCCGCTGCCTCGACCTCCCACACAGCAGCATCCATTCGGCCAGCGGACGACCCCTCTGGACGTGCTCCACGTATCCGCAGGCCAGCAACGCGAGGACGTCGGGCGCGCACGGACAGGTGGCGTGAGGCCACGTGTTGTACCGTATTAGCTGGGTAAGCGTCTGGAATGCTCAACGCCGACTGATCGTACACCAGCTGCATCTCGTCGCGACTCCTACTTATATTGCACCTAACAATCCCTCTATCGCCCATGGGCCGCTCACCTCTCTCGCTCCGAGTCTCAGCTCGCTCTCCCAGTCTCACCGCCGCCTCTACGCGCCGCTCACGTCGATACGGACCACAGTCGCGTCTAGCACCCATGGGCTCCTGTACGGCCAGGGTCCGTGAACGCGTGTCCTACGATACGCGTTCCACGCTTTCCAGCTCGGTATATGCGACTTGGTTGACTGCTCTGCAACCCGCAGAATGGCCTCCTGAGCTAGCAGCGCTGGAGAGGGTTGAGTGGCGGTACGTGTCCGTGTCTCGTGTGCCGCGATCTTCACTGACGACGGGCGAGCTACATCAGCACGCACGAAGTCAGGATGAGGACACGACGTACGTACCGGAGACACCAGCAGGGCGGGCGGGCTGGATGACACGAGACGTGGAGGGCGAGCACGGGCTGAGCTGGTGGACGCGTCAGACGGTACGCGCATCAAACACGCACGGACGCACCTCACTGAAGGTTGAATGCGCAGAACGACGAGTCGAGATCAACTCGCTGTACTGCGGCGTGCACCGAGCAACCTGGAAAGAGAAGTCAGCAACGACGCACTCAGACGGAGGAAGAATGTGGCCGGAGTTGGAAGGCTGGGTGCGCGTTGCGCGGGAGACGAGGATGTGAGAGGGAAGATGGAGGAGGCTAGTAGCGAGCAGAAAAAGGTGCGAATGCAGGTCGTCTCCGTCCTTGTCCACACGCTCACGAACCGCAGAAACGCGGACCGACAGACGTCTTGGAGACCATTCCAGACCCGCGCGAGCCGTCACACAGACAGTAATCACAGGATACTGGGATCCGTATTGGAGGCGTTCCGAGACTCTGACCTGGTGTAGATTCTTCGTGGTCGCCGTCAGATCTTCGCGGGATGCGGTGAGACACGAATGGCGTCGCAGCATAGCCCAAGGCAAGGTGAGCATATGTCTCCTGATATTCCTCGGCTCATTTTTGTGGCTGAGGAGCGACGATGCCTGACATGCGTACGCACATGTGCGGTTATGAAGCTCGGCAGACTCCCAAGGTGTGGTCCCTTAGCATCAGTTGATTCTGTCAGTGAGGACTGCTCATGGGGTAGTTGTCGCCGATGTATTCGAAGTCTACAGCGTCGCGGGGTCGTGATTAGGCCATCAATAACAAACACGACTGCCGTTTCGTCCAAAATCGGATCTGTTCGTTGGCGGTCTAGACGCTATAGCCATGCCTAGCAGGTGAGAAGACAGTTAGCCTGCTGCGCACCCACTCAATCTCGTCGTACTCACACCTGTTTGTCATAGACCCGTCCGTACATCGTGCTAGACCCTCCATGAACTAAGTACGCAAGCGGTCCATTGCACTTCGAGAAGCTACGCGAGGCCGATCGCATGCTGGTAAGTGTGGAGGCGGCGACGACGTCGCAAACGCAGACCCGTAGCTTCCGTTGTATGACTCGGACCGGCCGCTCAGCTATTACCGGGGCCCGGGGCTGTTGACTCGTCGGACCCAGCGAACGTACCACGACGTTCTCTCGTCTTGATCATGACATCGGAAGCCTCACCCGGACGAGCCCTTCGCGTACATCGCTGTGTTGGTCGCGTCACTTGATGTGCATAAGACGAGATGGCGACGTTCCACGACGGCGACTCCTCTCAACACGCCGACTGTAGTTACGGTCTCGTACTATCCTCATCGTGTCTGCGACTCGCGTCTCGGTCGGTTGTCGTTGCACCACCAGATTTGCTTATGTCTCTGCTCGCGTTGTGTGCGTCTTGCAGTAGCACCAGTCCGTTTTGTATTCGTGCTTATCTATGCATAATGAATGTGGATACATTATTGACATAAAGTGCAACTCGTCCTGCCAATGATACGAACTCAGTGCAACTACTACAACAATCTACCTAGTTACCACCGCAACGCCCACAAGCACAGTGCACACGCACTCGAGTCCGCAGAGGTTTCGCGAGAGGTAGACAGTCGCCGTAAATGACCAACGAGACTTGCTGTCCTCGGCCTGTGCTCCCCTTTCTCGGCCAGAGTCAATGAGTGTGTTGAGGCCCAATTGGCTAGCAACAATACGAGGTACGATGTGTACCTATTTGCGGAACGTAGCTCACTCACACATAGATCTGACGCATCTATGGTCAGCATCCATAATCTTCAGTTATTAGCCTCGTTTCGTCGAAGCGCAGGACTTGAGCTGGAAAGGATTATACAGAACCGGTCGACGTCTGTACGAACCGACCCACGACCGCGATCTCTGCGATGATAGCGCACTCGCGCCCTAATCCGACACGATAGCCGGAACCAGACGAGCGTCGGAACATTGGAAGGTCTTTTGCTCAACTTTCGCTCCAGCGGGCGCGCGGCTGACGAATGTGGCTCATTGCCTTGATTGTGGTCGATGAGCATGTCTTGACTCAGTACTCAGGGCCTATCGGGCATCCTGGCCTGTTGAAAGACAAAGTCAGTTGGATGAATGAGTACAGAGCGAAGCTCGCTCACGTCTGCCTATCAGGCGACGATTTCTTCCGAGCGGCCAGGTCGGATCATTGTCCATCCAGCAAAGACGCAGGTGGGACGATGATGTTTGCGGACACGCTGCACTTCCGCGCATTGTCCAAGAAGTTGGTCAGTTGGGTCGCGTAGAGATATTCCAGGGTGTTGTAACAGGTCGACGAGGAGAAGGCGGACGAGACGCCGAGCATCTCATAACGGGAATGGGAATTGGCTGGACGGTGGGATCATCGGTGGTTGAGACGCGCATCACAAGCGAGGGGGATGTACCTGGTTGTAGCGGACGGAACCGGGTCTGGGAGACGCACTGCGCATAAATGCGTTTGCAGCAGGCCGGGGGCGGCAACATTTGACAAGGGTGGTAAGCTTTACAGGCCCGCCTTCGTGCCGATCTCGATGTCTAACAGCGCGTCGCCCACGTTGGGTGCGGTCGAATGGGCGAGCGACGAAGCTGTCTGAACCTGCGAAGTCTTTAACCTTGGTTGGTCGAATGCTTTTGTGCTTGGTCAAGCCGTTTCGCGTGCTGTGTTGTATGACCTTTGACATCGCTACGCAAAATGATCCCCAGTACGTACTTGCTCTTCGTGTCCCGATCGCTAAGCCTGAGAGGTTGTCGTGGAAGGGGTAGTGTCCACGAGATCTGTCTTCCATTGCATCCGTCGGTACGGTCCGTCTTCTGTGCATCCCAGCGCCCACGGTAACTAGCAGGCACCATGCCATAAACCATCTTCGAAGGTTGTAACTGAATCGCTGCGAGTGAATGATGTTGGACTCACCACATCCGAGACAAATCAGTCTCGAAGGGCGACGACGGGTGTACCACGCCCAAGCTAAACCTTATCTGGGGTGCGCCGTATGCATCAGAGGATGACGAGCAATGGATGGACAGGTAAGCACCGATCGCCACCCGCTCACGAAATGATCCTGCTCACCTCCCGTGTCACGACGACGAGCATCGTTCGACGTTCTAATCATACAAACAGCAGCACAGCGAAAGCATAAGTCGTCAGCAAGGATCGAACGCACGAGGGTAGCTACCACGTACCACCTCGCAGCCAGGCCATCTGTGCCTTGGATCCCCGCAGACTCACACAGCGCTTCTCCGCGCTGCCCTCCTACGCCACAAGCCCGACTGCGACATCGACGCCTACACACGGACGCGCAATGCGGCATTCGAAGATCGTTCGAGACCACTACGGGGTCTTGCCGGATGATGAGAAGGGGTGGGGCGGGGACAGGGTCGTGTCTGCTGACTGGAGGACACGGAGACAACGCCTGTAGTACGTGCGTGGTTCGCTCAAAGAAGTTCGAGTATCGACGATGGTGGGACGCTGTAATCCTCGCATCAGTGTGGCACCTTACAGAGATCGCACCGTAAATACGCACCTGCGACCGCTCTGCGAAAGACCACGTGTCCCCGCAATTCATCTGGGATTCCCCGGAGGAGCAAAATGTGATAGCCTCCTCATTATTCCTCAGACACGCGGCTCTAGTTGAACGTGTAGCTGCCACAGGGAGACAAATCTCCGCGTTGCTGCGGCGTATGAGGCGTTCGACGTCGCTCGCCGACGTCGTGGACACATCCTAGCGTAATAAACGACATACGCATCGGGTCGGACGTCCAGGTACACGACAGCGAGATGAAACATGCCTCATCGACGCCTGAAAGCCATGGCGAGATCTGCAGCATCTGCTCGGAGGTGTGGGTGGGCCCACCAATCACCGGCATCGCGCTGAACGAGCGCGAGCGTGTGTCCTAGCGGTGATAACGAGACGCGGTAGACGCACCTGTCTTGGAAGGCGACAAGACAAGACAGTGTAAAATGCAGAGCTGAGGTATGGTTCGCGGAATTGTAAAGAGGGTGAGGTTGCCGACGAGGGCGTGGAACCTGCGTGGGACCGATCCCTGTGAGAGGAAGGCTGAAGACTGACTTCCCGCTAAGCGACCGCCACCCGTTGCACGGCCACGTCGGTCGAAAACCCTGCAGTGAGGTCATAAACGCCTATTCAACTAATGATTCTGTGGTTACCAGAGTGGATACTTATGCAGACGACGACCTGCGACAACGTCAAGGTCGCAACGACACCTGCCAGGCGTACCAGTCACTTGTGACATAGCTCTGTAAAGAAACCCGTACAAGGAGGGTGAGCAAGACGACTCGCATCATTGCGTGTTGTTCCACTCACCGAGGTTCAGCCCTCCTCTGAGTCGTCCGATCCCGGCGAACTTGGACTCTCCTGTACTTACTACTCAGCGACCAAGTCCCCCACATTCCGTCAATCTCACGAGCGTTGATGTGCGGCGCGCACTAGTCCCAGCGCTCTCCGTGCGTGGCCCATGGGTGTACTGCGGAGGAGCGATGAGTGATCGAAGACAGACATTGAGACAGCGCAGACGCGCACAGAGGCGACCGGTAAAGATGTGATCTTGGGCGCTCCCCGGATGCTAAATTCGCCTCCTCTCGGTCCGGCTCAAGTGTAAAGATGTGATCTTGGGCGCTTCGCGGATACTAATTACCCCTCCACGGTTTAGTCCCAACTATCCAACAGGACCACGGCACGGACATAACAGCAATGTTCGAGACAACCCCTACTGCGAAGCTGATACATAAGTATCTAAGGATTCACAATTCCCCGTGAGCGTGGCACTACAAAGTTCGTTGTGATAGGTGCGGCAACGCTTTTCATTCAGTACGCGAGACGGTAGTCTAGGATGCGTGATACCAGAGGTACGAGAACGGCTCGGAAAGAGGCCTGCACAAGTCACTAAGCCAAGCAATACTGAGTCTAGTGCAGTAACGCAGTGCATCACCTCCTCCTCGATGCCTATCCAGAGAGGAAACATCGATGCGTGAGTATGCCATCTCGAGGCTGTTCGCCTCGAATCCACGAGATGGGGATAAGGTCGTCGGTCAAGCTATGGCGTAAGACGTGAGGGGCGACAAGCGCGAGTAGATTAGGATGCAGGGTTCCACGGCAGGAGTCTCGCTCGACGATCGTGCAAGTGGGCACCTGTACGCTCCCGTCGCTGTGAGATCATTTTACACGCTACCACGATGAGCCAATTCAGAATGTTTAGACGGTGTGGAGTACGTTCGCGGATGGCACACCTGTTGTTATGGCTGTAGACCGGACCGCGGCGGTGTGCGATGCATAGCTTCGACCTGTGGATGACCCATTGGTCGCCGTCTCCGAGTGTCTTAGTGCATGACGGATACGCATATGTTCTTGACTTAGTTATGCGAAGTCTGAAGAAGAAGACGATCCTGAGCACAAGTCGAACGTCAACAGAGGTCGTGAAAAGCGGGGACGTATTACTGACCTTAGGGAGGCGTCGCATACCGGATGCTGAGCAGTGGACACCCAAACAATCGCGGCGACCGGAGCGACGATTCCTCAGCAATACCGCGTCCCAACTACCGCCTACAGAGATGGCGCCAAGGTGAGAGCCGCATGATATGAGGCGCAACCAAGGGCTGCTCTCCGTCACGTCGTCCGTCCGAAGGTCCTTGTAGCGTTCGGAAATCCTAGCACGACCAATTCGGGCTTTGTGCTGTTTGGTTGACATCCGTCGCGGCGATACGGCAATATTAGCTAGCGAAAGTGAGCTTACACGTACTCAGTCATTCGGAAGCACGTACACAGAAAGAACGAACCCGCGATGCATGCTCGCGAAAAGAAGGCTCCTCGCATCCGTGCGTATCTACGCCGAGCGCGGCCCACGGTGTTACAATAACCGCCGTGTCTGCTGCACTTAGAGAACGAGATCACTGTTTGAGGGAGGAGAGACGAGGAAAGGAAGAGGTAAGCATCGGTCTGGCGAAGCAAAGGGGATGTCGAAAGGCAGCCTCAGTGTAGTGCATTCAGCGGTATGGGCAGGCTCCAGTGGTAGCATCTGTCGCTTCACATTTTGACTAAGAGGGACCGCCGCACATGCCAGACACGGGGAGCAAGAAGTCATCTCTGTCGAGGGCACAAAGTCGACTGTCGTGGGCGGAAGCAAGTTGTGGAGCGCGTGCGAGACACGAGCGCCAATTCGCGGTCAGGCGCCGGCTCTGGTGACCGTCCACCGCGCGCGCGACGTCGATTCTCCCTCTCACCTCGAGCATGGATGCTATTCAGTTAGGTAGTCGATCGACTCGACACCGTCGTCCTCACGATCGGAGCAGCCGACCTGACGATTCCAGTAATCCGTTTCGCAGCAAACTCGCACATCGTTCTTGCATCATTCCATAGCCCTCGAGTTTGCCTCACCTCTGCGTGACAGACGCCTTGAACCTCCCCTTTTTTCGCGGTACGTGTCAGTGTTCCATCCGAACACGCACGTAAGTAGAGTCCTCGCCTCGTTCGTAGTTTCGCACAGGTTCATGTGAGGCTCTTGAGGTCCGTGCGAGCTTGACATTGAGCGCCCGCTGTCGCTGAGCCTGTTCATTTCATCTGCCCAATCACCACACTTACGGCCCCAATATGTGGACGGGCGTAGACCCTCGAGCCCATTCAGCTGTCTCATGGATGACCATGGTACAGCCGACGTGCAGTCTCGTGGAATGGGATGGGATGGGCCGACCTCGGCCGACCACAACCGTCTCATGGAAGGTGATTGAGTCGGCCGAGCACAAGGCGGGCAAGGCGGCACAAGGCGGGCAAGGCGGTGCGTGGGATGATTGGCTGACCCAGACATTCTCGCCCAGCCGACCATTCTGTCTCACCCAAGATGATGCACTATCCGACTCTCGGCTGGAAAGCTTTTGCAGCCGACCACCGTCTTGATCCAGCCGACCTTCTTGTCTCGCCCAAGACGATGCACTATCCGACTCTCGGCTGGAAAGCTTTTGCAGCCGACCACCGTCTTGATCCAGCCGACCTTCTTGTCTCGCCCAAGACGATGCACTATCCGACTCTCGGCTGCAAAGCTTTTGCAGCCGACCACCGTCTTGATCCAGCCGACCTTCTTGTCTCGCCCAAGACGATGCACTATCCGACTCTCGGCTGCAAAGCTTTTGCAGCCGACCACCGTCTTGATCCAGCCGACCTTCTTGTCTCGCCCAAGACGATGCACTATCCGACTCTCGGCTGCAAAGCTTTTGCAGCCGACCACCGTCTTGATCCAGCCGACCTTCTTGTCTCGCCCAAGATGATGCACTATCCGACTCTCGGCTGCAAAGCTTTTGCAGCCGACCACCGTCTTGATCCAGCCGACCTTCTTGTCTCGCCCAAGACGATGCACTATCCGACTCTCGGCTGGAGAAAATCTGTAGCCGACCACAGTCTGGATTCAGCCGACTGTCTTGTCTCACCCAAGACAATGCATGAGCCGAGCATCAGCTGAGGTATCTTTCCTGGCCGATATCCGTCTTGACTCAGCCAACCTTCTTGGACCTTCTTGACCTTCTTGACCTTCTTACTCACTAAGACCTTTTTGACCCAAGGTAACTAATGGTTGGCTCATCTTCGTCAATACCAACGTGTTAAGGAGGTATCTAGGCGGGCAAATGCCAATGATGTTTCAAGGCGGAAAGTGTCAAGGAGGATGTCAAGATGGCGAGCATATTGAAGAAGCCTTCTTGGAGGTATCAAGACGGACAATGTCAAGACGGACAATGTCAAGACGGACAATGTCAAGACGGACAATGTCAAGACGGACAATGTCAAGACGGACAATGTCAAGACGGACATTTTAAGACAGACATGTTAAGACGGACATGTTAAGACGGACATGTTAAGACGGACATGTTAAGACGGACATGTTAAGACGGACATGTTAAGACGGACATGTCAAGACGGGCATGTCAAGACGGGCATGTCAAGACGGGCATGTCAAGACGGACTGGTCAAGAAGCCTCCTTGACACTCACTGTCTTGATAACCTCCTTGACATTATCGGATGTCCACCTTGACAAGACGGACAAGGCGGAGAGTATGCATCTTGATTCTCGACTCAACTTGAATGGTATGTACGTGCAACACTGTATGCTGTTTGCTCATTGGTTTGGGGCCAATGGTGTGGATGTATTATTGAACATGTCCTATAAGTTTGTACTGGGTCTATATGACTCTATAGACAGTCTTTATGGTGGGTATATCAGCAAATAGAGATGCAACGGCAAGACATTGAGGTAACCCTTGTTCTGTCAGAGACTTAGAGTGATTCATGAGCAATTGACAATGATGATACTTCGCTGATCTACTGAATTTGCTGTGGAACTATAGTAGTAGATTAGGCAAGCCACTCACGTAGGCCATTAGCCTCATTGTTGTATATGTAAAGAGCACTTTGACTTTGTGTAATCTCAGCTCATATGAGAAGAGGATCTTCGGATATGTTTCAAAAATGCTGTGTTGTTTGGAGATATTGAGAGGCATGTGGATTAGTTCTCAGCTTCTGCAAGACAATTGTCACAATCAAATGCATACAGGAGTTGTATTCATGCTGTGCCTATGGTATATGTTGCTGCTGGCAATTCCACGAAGCAATCTGGCAATGTTATAGCTTGAGATAGCTAAGAAGGTTATACATGGAGAGCATGTCTTAGACAAATGCATCCCACGGTTCAATTCTCACAGAATTGTATACTGGCCATGTACTACATATATTTATGCTTGGTACAAAGTCTCATAGCATATGGCAGCACAGAGGGGAAGTTATAATGAGAACAAGACCATCCCGGGCGACTCGGGGACATGACCGAGGCAATGTGCGAGGGCAAATCACTGGAGAGAGTTCACATATTTAATGAGCACTCTCTGGCTGCATACTCGTTGTCCGCTCCTTCATACTTCTATACCACTGAATCATAACAAGGATTGTACTGAACATATGATTATGGTATTTCGAAGTAGTAGTAGTCTCACCCATGCTCCCTCTCGTCCAAGATATTGATTATCGTTACTAGTATTATATACCTAACTTCACAGACAATGCATCTCAGTCTCATTTGCCTTCACACTCATTTTCAAGAGACTGAGTTCCTCATACACTGGCTTGCTACATGTTCGAACTCGAGAAACAGGTCGGCGAGTGTGTGAGATGGTGGGCAAACAAGACGGCAGGCAACGCGAACGGCCAATGTACAAGACGGTGGGTGAGCGGAACAGCAAGTCGAGCCATGTGGGAGATGGCAGGCAAGACAGTAGGATAGGAGAGATGAGCAGGACACTGGTTGGTGGGTAATATGGTAGATAGGCAAGTAGATAGGCAACACGGTAGACAAAACCGTGACAGTAGGTGGGTAGGCGAGACGGCGAACAGGTAAGACAGTAGGCCAACGAAATCGGCGACAGACAGACGGAAACGGGCAGATGAGAGCCTCCTGGGGTAGCGAGAATGTCGAGCAAGGGCGTATGCATGGAGTGGGGATGTAGAGAGGACGAGGCCGGGGTGCGTCGCGCGATTGTGTGAAGAAGGGTGGAGGGCGACAGGCGGGGGTAATTACCGCAGTCAGCCCTTCTCATTTCTCCTCTCTGTCGACCTTCCTGCTCCTCTCCTTGCGGTGACTCGTCCTTGTGTTAGTTGGGGCCTCCTTGGGGTGCCTTGAAGCATGCATCGACATGCCGTACGAGGCACGGGCTCACGTACGAGGCGCGGGCTCACGGACGAGCGAGCGATCATGTGGACGATCGGGTTGATGAGTGAGTGGCCAGTGGGCTGAGCAGAAGAGAGCGCGGGCGACAGTGGAGAGCGTGGGCGAGAGGGTGTAGGCGGGGCGTGAGCGAGAGGGCGTGAGCAAGAGCGCACGGGCGAGAGGAACAAGGAGCGCGTGGGCGAGACAGCACATGGGCAAAACGGCACCACGGGTGAGACGACAGGCGGGTGAGACGATGGGCAAAATGACGGGCGAGACGCAGGCGAGCAAGACGGCCGGCAGGCAGCAGGAGTACAATATCAAGAGCAAGCAAGACGGCGGGCGCGAGACGGAGGTGGGACAGAGAGATGCCGAGCGTATGAATCGGTGGGCCTGCGAGACGGTGGGCCTGCGAGAAGGTGGGCCTGCGAGAAGGTGGGCCTGCAAGACGGCGGGCCTGCGAGAAGGTGGGCCTGCGAGACGGTGGGCCTGCGAGACGGCGGGGGGCCTGCGAGACGGCGGAGGCGTGTGATGGGGATAGCGTGACGAGATGGAGGGCAAGGGCGTGTAAGACGGCAGGCTCGTAAGACGGCAGGCTCGTAAGACGGCAGGCTCGTAAGACGGCAGGCTCGTAAGACGGCAGGCTCGTAAGACGTCGGGCGTGTAAGATGGCTGGTGAGACGGTAGACGGCGGGCGTGTAAAACGGCAGGTGAGACGGTAGACGGGCAAGACGGTGCAGTGCGAGCAGGACAGCAGGTGTGTGACTAGACAGGGTATGCAGGCAAGACGGTATGCGGGCAAGACGATATGCAACAAGACGGCGTGTGACATGGTGGACAGGCGACCTGGTGAATGAGAGGGCAAGGTGGCGCGTACGCAGGCGAGTATGTAGACGGGTGGCGGCGGCGTATAACCAGACGACGCGGAGCCGGGCTGTCTGCAAGGCGAGCAGCACACGCAATGTTCTTCGCATTCATCACGCAGGCTCCTATGAGGCAGGTATCAGCATAGATACATTGAATGGGAGCGTACCTGCATGTTCTGAGCTTTATGATGCTCCGCCTCGGTACACCCTTTCTTCCTCTCCATTGCAACACTCACGTTCCGATGCTCGTTTCCGAGTTGAGGCCTAGTGGTCTTGCCACAGGAGGGTTTGTTGAGGCCTTGAGGGTCGTATGGCCAGGCTGTGCGTCAAGAGGATCGCCCACATTGAACGTTGAAGTTTCCGAGCAAGTCAGTAAGTGAACGCGTCCGAACGCGCGCCTGATCGCCGGACGCGCTGCAGCACGGCGCGTCACGTTCAGGCATTCACCAACGCGAACCGATACCTGAACTGCGCCAGCCGACGCTTTGAGTATAGAAGTAGAGCCCATCCGACCATTCTGCCAGCGCGTCGCATTACAATCGGGCATTCACCAGCAAGCCGCCGTCTTAGCTGCGGCAGCCACTACCAGCATCGGACAGCGCGGCATCAGCAAAACAGCGACTTCGTCTGAAGTCGTCTGAAACATCTGACATCAGTCGAATCAGACACCTCAGACAGATCATACCCCAGGTCTGAAAAGGGTAGATTCATTTCTGACTTCAGACGCAGTGTCTGATGTCAGCTCACCTTTCAGACACTTTCAGACACGGTTCAGACCACCCGTCAGACTCGTCGGACCTCACAAACCCAATATATTTCTAGGTCACTACGCGTACTCTTACATACATGTACATGCTATGTTTGCTCGCAGTCGGCGTGTGTCGTGTTTCCGTGCCCCAGCCGCAGACTTGTCCCCGTTGACTCGCCCGCCGTCTTGCACTTGTCTCGCCCGTCCTATCCCCATGTGTGCCGTCCATTCGTCGGTCGTGTTTGCGTGCTCGGCATTTGCCCTGCACGCTCGCGGTTGCCGTGCGTCGTCGCCCGCCAGCCACGTCGCTCAACCGCCAGTCTGGTAACCCGCTCGCCTGCCCACTGGCTCGCTCGTTTTCTCGTCAGTTCACCCTGCTTGGCGGTTCCTCAAGCACTCACCCGCTCGCGCTTCCGCCCGCCCGCCCGTTCGTCCGCCCGCTCGCTCTCTCTCACACCCGCCCACACCTCCTCCTCCTCGTCCCCACGCCTGTCACTCGCTCGTCGGCCGTGTCTGCGCGCAGGGCATTGGCCCTGCGCACTCGTGGACAACGTGCAGCAGACGGGCAACTTGCATGCTCATGGCTGCCGTGCGCGTTGTGCTGTACATTGCCATTCCCTGTGTGCAGAGTCAGCTCGCCCGTTTATGTGCATTTGTACTCACAATCGGGTCCTTCCTTCGCTTGATCGGCGGGAGACTCGTTCCTGCGTGCCCTGCGCCAATCAGTCGCGGATGCGGCGGGAGCATCGTCGGGAGCGCGGGTGCGTCTGACAGCGGGTGGCCCCGTGCCTCAGGCTGATGTGCCGCAGGCAAATGCGTCATAAATGATTGCTGGCGGAAGGGAACAAACAAGTTGTGAGGGCACTGGGGACGGACGTCTGCCAGAGCCGGACTGAGGAAAGACGCACCTGATATTTTCATTCTCAAGCATGCTGTTGATGCTCTCAACACAGCTGCGCTTCATGTTGATGCTGCGATCGTCGTGTTCGGGGCTGAGCGGACGTTTCGTACCCGAAATCGGAGGTGATGCGCGAGACAGCATTGACAGCTGGCGATTGCGGTGCATCATCGTCGGCGAGTGACCTGGCCCAGGACGTGAACCGCCTGGACCGATCCACCCACCAGGAAGAGGACCGAAGCTGCGCAGGTCAGGTGGTCAGCGATACAGCGGGCCCGAACCCAATGGGAGAGAGCCTCCGCGACACCGTCGTCCTTGTCGAGGAGCCTTGCGGGCGGTGGTGGCGCGCTACCTGTCGGCGATGGCGGCACCGAACGACTTGCGCTCCCCGAGCCTGTCGAGCTAGGGTACGGGCTGCCCTTCAGCTGCATGTTGTAGTCAGCGCCATGCTCCGATGTCTCCTACCTCCTTGGTTCCTCCTTCACGCGCTTCGCAGGTGTGTATCGCTTATGCTCTTTCTCCAGAGCCTCGCCCGCCACGGCTCCCGTTCGAGCTCTGAGAGTCCTTGTCCTTCGTGCCATTCCGGCGACGGCGGTCCTTCAGCTCGGGCGTCCCAGGCATCGGCTGCTGCAGTATGCGCAGGATCTCCGACGCATGTCTGTAGCCAATTGAAAAGAGAATGGGTGGAACGACGGGGTTGGCAGGAAAGTCGCGAGTCGCAACCGTTGACATGGACGAGTGGGTGACGTGGTGCGCCTGTTTAGGGCAGGCGCCCGCGGTACTTCGTTCCTCACCGAGTCCTCCTTCCCTCCCGTCTGAGCACTAGCGCTCCCACAGTGCTCGCGTTATGTAGTATTCGTGTACCAAGGTTTATCAGGAAATAATGTAGACTACTTACTTACTAGTAGTCAAAGCTTCGTTCAGTCTATTTCGTCAGAGCCTGTGATACTAGCTTCAAGTTGTATGTACTAGTAGTAGCTTCGAAACTACGGTCTGTCGCGACTGATACGACTGACGCAACTGAGGAGACTGACGGGCTCTGATTGAGTGAGCCAAGAACGACCGGAGGCCGCGCGGAGCATAAGCGCCCAATCACGTCAGCCATGACAGCGATCTCAGACTCCGGATCAGGCCCTTCATTAGCCTCAGGTGCCGTCAGACAGTGCGCCGTTTTGCTGATGGGACGCGTCACGGCCGGGCAATCACCAGCAAGACGACGCCTTGACTGTGCCATCCGACGGCGCTTTGAGCACGCAAGAAGAGCTCAGCCGACCATTCATTTATTGATTACAATCACCAGTGCAGTAAGTACTGTATACATCCCGCCCAGGTAAATACATCATACACTTACTATGTCGGCTGTACGATCTTCATCGTACAAGCCGACGCGTCGGCCGCTGTCGGCTCATATGATGGTGTTCCGCGAGACTGCGCGTCGGCTGTAGGATGAGGATCGGTGAGAAAGCGCTGCTTGGTGTGGACCCTCCACACAACCTACGAGCCGCACACTCGAGGCCTTGGCCACAGAAGCAATGGCATGAGGTTCTTCGTTCGTGAGTGGTTCCCGACACAGTGTTGATTTGCCGCTCACGCCCGCGATCCCTCAGCGAGCAATCGAGCAGCCGACTTCATATGCGGGACAGCTACCAGACCAAGGTGCTATTTAACGAATTGCGTTATGCAGGTGCTTTTTACGTGCCCGAGCCCCCATGGCGCGTCGTCCGATGAACTCGGCAGTGCTCTTTAACTTGAGGGAACGAACGTCCAAGGCGGACGACACGCACCATGAAAGCCTCATGGCAAGGTTCGTGCCAGGGTATGCCAGCCGCTCACCGAACACGTTGAAGGGACAGCACTGCATCAGGAAAAAGCTTTTCGGGCCATAGCGCCCACTGAAACTATGTTGCCATAATAGGCATCGTAGGGCTGGTAGACGCTGGTAGACGTCAGTACCGACTATCTGCTAATCCATAGTTGTTCATAGTACAGCATAGTCGGGTGTAGGTAGGCCATAGGGATCAATAGCTTTAGCTCATCGTATATATCAAACCATTGACGAGGATACAAACACATTACTATAATAGTACGACTAATCTCACATAGCGGTGATACTCATCCGCGCACTGTAACAATGCCGAAGGTACGAGACTTGGTCCAGACTTCATTTTATATGGTTACGGACAGAGGTGACACTCCAAGCCATCAGCTATACACAGTAGACGATGTATCGGGTATCAGGGCAATAGTCCTCGACGCTCGTTCTCCAATGTGGGCCCGTACACTCCCGATCCACCCAGCTCGTAAGACCAACTCGGTACCTGCGCGCAGGGCTCGTCGAGTTCTGCATCCCCGGGCACTTGGACGGCGGGCTCGACTGCTTGCCGAGCTCCCGCTTATCGGGCTGGCACTTGCTGGGGTCGTGCTTGTCAAGCTCATCGTGGTCGCATGCGACGTACACATTCTGGTCGTGTTTGCCCTGTTGGGATTTGTCCCCATCGTGTTCGCTCCCGTCACACTCACATATCAGTCTACATCGCACTCACCTGTGTCGCACCCACCGGCGTCGTGCTCGTTGTCGGCGGGCTCCAGGTCCGTCCTTGCTGCATGTCGTCGTAAGCGTGTTGCTCGTGTTCATCCCGCACACGCTCTTCGCGCTTGTCCTCGTCGGGCCACGGTCCGTCAGGCGTGTGTATGGAGTCCATCGACACGTCGGGTGCTTCTGAGTACGCGCATCACGAGACAAGTGATTATGTTCGTCGGTAGGCATATCGAATGAAACAATGAACGTACAAGGTACACAGCCATCAGTCGTGAATGAACCGAGCACGCTAGACGTCCAGCAATGCGCGTCCGACGTCGCCGCGTGTAGCAGCGGGTACGACGTAGAAGTCGTCCCGAGTGACGGAGGGGTTGTCTTCGCGGCCAGCAAGGCGCGCGACGCACTTCTCGTTCATCAAATGCCTGCTGGCGCGGGCATTCGCAAGGGCGGCCGTGTATGGGGTGTGTCCAGTAAGGGCGTACCTTCAAAATTTGAGCTTTCGCGCTCGTTCTATCTACTCACATTGCACACACCCCCTTCCGACTTCCTCTTCGTACTCTCCTCCCATCCCTTGTGCCCCGTACTCCCGCAGTTCGCGCAGCTCTCTCGCTCGACGCGGGATTTCCAGGTGCATCGTTTGTCGTGCGGGGGTGTCGCGAGGGCCGCGGGTTCGACCAGGGGTTGCCACAGTCAAGTGGTAGAGCACAAGAGTGTGCGAGAGGGCCGCAAGATGAGGCCCATCTGTACGTTCGGGGGTTAGGCTGGAAGATGACGAAGCAGACGAGAGGCGGCTGAGCGAAGTGGGCGAGAGAGCAGCTGGCAGAGGCGCGCCGTCGTCTGCAAGTGCGAAGCGCTCGCTTCGGTGAATGCCGACTGCAGCCACAACTGCCACGACACGCCTCTCACTGCTCCAAGCCTCCAACTCGAAGTACTTACCTCCCTTCCCTCGCGGCCGCTCCCTGCCCGCCGCATATCTTCAAGACACGCGGACGGGCACGCTCCCAAGAGGCGAGGTGCACGGCACGCAGCCGTAATGAGCCTCAGTGGAGGCTCGCTAGGTGAGTGCCCCGACTCGATGGGCCAGCTGTGTACAAGTCACGCAGCAGTCGACGCCGCAGTCTTGGGTGTCGACCGCAGATGCACGACACCACGGTGGAGTAGGCCGGTCGAGGACAGCGCATACTTCGAGCAGGACACCTTCAAGCAGGCGAGCGTCGTCGAAAAGGCACGGCAGTCCGTCGTCTCTAACGGCTCCGTCCAGCTTGCCTACGCCGAGCGGCCCCCGTCAAGTCAGGCGCGCTCGTCAAAGACGTCTTACACTGACGCGCGCCATCTCTCCAACGGCTCTGCACAACCCTCGGCCTCAAACAGTCGACCGTCATTCAGTCAATCCACCTCGCCTACCACTCGACCTCGGTCATCCTCTCCGCATCTCACGCCCGCTTCCACACCGCCCCCGCAAGCGCTCTCCCTCGTCGCAACGCCCCCAAGGTCATCTCCGCCCCGCCTCCCGTCTTCTCCCAGCTCACCATCAAGTGCGACATCAATCACCCCTGCACCTGACGAAGACCCGGATGCATTCCACGTGCGCTCGACTCGTCCGCTTGCTCGCGCCCTCGTCCCCTCGCTCGCTCGCTCGCTTGCCCGCTCTCCCCCTCGTTCGCTTGCCCATCCGCCCGCTTTGCTTGCCCGCCCTCTCGCCCTCTCGCCCTCTCGCCCGCCCTCTCGCCCTCTCGCCCGCCCTCTCGCTCGCCCGCTTGCCCTCTCGCTCGCCCGCCCGCTTGTTCTCTCGCTCGCCCGCCCGCTTGTTCTCTCGCTCGCCCGTCCTCTCGCTCGCCCGTCCTCTCGCTCGCCCGTCCTCTCGCTCGCCCGCCCGCCCTCGCCGCCCTCGTTCTTTTGCTAGCCGACCCGCCCGCTTTCGCCTCTCCCGCCCCCTCTTGCCCACCTGTGAATTCTTGCCCGCTCGCGCACGCGTCCTGCCCGCTCGTTCACGCGTCTTGCCCACCTGCTCTTGTCCACTTGCTCGCTCGACCTCGTACTAGCTTTGGCGAGTACACCGGCGGTGCAAACTCTGTCAGCCCCAGCGACCTCACTGTCAGGCCCGACCGGACTGTCTCGCCCCGCTCTCGTCCGCTTCAAATACGGCTTCATGGGCAGCATCATCCGCCAGCTCGCTGTCCACCAGTTTGATGACTACTTCGAGGAATTCACCCACCTCTACGACTAACTGATATGCCAAGGAGCATGTCGAGGTGCGTGCGCCTCTACCATGCGTATGTAGGATGCTCGCCGTCGCAGCAAGACGGACGGCCGTGTTGCACCTCGCCCACATTCTCACCCACTTAGTACTTGCCTACTCACCTGGTCGACCACGCGCCTGTGTGTGCTCTGTCTATGCATACAATACTTGTTTTCGTAGTTGTAATGCTGTGTCATCTCGCAATCTATTACAATTTATATGATGTTCTTTCTGTTATATGAGCTGCCGACGACCGAGTGATCAGTATGATCCCATATTATCAGTGCTATGCTTTGAGATGTCTACTATGATGGAATATGTCTCAGTATGTTGGCTTATGGGCCTATAGTACTATCATTCTATTGTGTCCTATGCTGTTCTATGTTGACCGTGGTGGTACTATGACCTGCTACAGATCACTACAGATTCTGCAAGCATGCTATACACAGGGGGGATTGCAATGAGCCTATACCAACTATGTCCCCTATATCAGCTGACCTAGGGATTGTCATTTTTCCTGATGCTGGCAGCGGACGCCGCTGTGAGCTCTTTCAAGCGCTACATACTGCATTTGTGTCCAATCAGCCTCAGCATCCGTTGCTTCAGACTCCTGCGCCGCGGGCATGAATGTCGCTGTGAAGAAATTGTCCTGACAAGCGCGCGGCTGTCTCTTCCTGGCCGACGGACCAGTGATACCCCACCGCGCCGCCCGACATATTGGCCGGGAACATGACTGGTGAGTTATGCGCGTTCTCTCGTGATGGGCCAGTCAGCCCGAACTCAGTGCTGTCGCTCTAGGCCCCAATACTGACGTTCTCATGTGCGTCCTTGTGGACGCGCGGTCCTTTGCACGCTTGCGAGGTCAACATGCATATGACACGCCTGACAGCTTCTATACCAGATCTGTCTCGACGAGAACCCGTTGGCTACTGCTAAATTAGACGACTCCAGCGGGCTCTCGTTGATGTCCACCGTCAGTCGCACGGAAGAGTGTCGCACGGAGGAACGGTACGCATACAGCCCCTCAGTGTTTGTCGCGCGCTGACGAAGACGGCGCATAGGGTTCCTTACGCCTCGGTCCAATCGTGGCCTCCCTGTAGGCACAATGTTGCTGCCGGAATCATATACTACGTGACGGTGTCACGATGGTATGGCAATCAATGGCATGTACCTTCCCTCCCATCTTGTCACTCCACGAGCTTCCGGGCTCTTGCCGACTCGACACTGAGCGGTGTCAGAGCTGTCGCATTAGAGCACCACACTCAAATTCGGTGGCATACGTCCTCGTGTCATCACTGTGCAGCCGCATCCTCGTTGTGCTTCTGTGGCCAGCTCCGAGTCGTCGCGTGTCCCCCTTCCTGAGCTACGTGAGGCTGTGCGACCAAGTCCGCCATACGTAGCTATATTTCACCCTGCCACGTCCTCTCACTCTCTCCGCCTACGTCCGTCTCTCTACGCTAGACTGAACACCATCCGACGCTGTCATGAGCGCACCCGAGGTGCGCACCATCGTTCTTCACTGGTACAACAGGAAAGCTGACTATATCCGTGGAATGTAGAGATCGCCGGTGCCCTCGGTTTCCGGAGACAAAGCAAAGACTCCCAACCCCAATCCGACGTCGTCACCGAATATTGCCATCTGTCGAACGGGCTCTAGGGCAACCGGCGGCTCTGGAGCTGAGTTAATTAGTATCAGCAGAATTAAACAGCGACAGGAACACTTACCTGTATACACAGGAATCCGACCTGGTCGGCGCGGGAACTGCAGGAGCCTCCTCGTCGCCCCATAACACCACGCCTGCAGCTCCAGATGAGGTGAGCGTGAACAGTTATTATTTAACTGCATGCCAAGGTCTGACATACTACATCAGAAGGGTCCGAATGAGTTGCCGGATGCCGATGGAGTAAAGGATTCGTCACCAGCAGACCACTCAGCGACGAATACGATCGCGCAGCCGGACTTGGAAGCGGCTCTGTCCAAGGTTTTGAGAAGTTCATGAAGCCGCTGGAGGCGCAAGCACCGTCGGCCGTGATGGATGAAGCCGCCTTGTCCAGAGTATTCGAGAAGTACATGAAGCCGCGAGACCCGGAAACAGCGCCAGACGCGTGGCTGAAGTTAGCAGATACAGCGTGGACCTACGAAAAGGACCGTGCAGAACGATGGCGGAATGAAATCAATACACTCCTGGTCTTTGTGAGTCACGTTCACGCCTTCATTCTAGTGTTCTGGGGAAGAGCAAATGAGATAACGATGGTTCACTTGTAGGCCGGCTTGTTTTCCGCTGTCCTCACCGCTTTCGTGATTCAGTACTATGCTGTTCTGCTACCAGCACCCGACTTCAACACTGCTATCCTCGAGCTCATATCCGCGCAACTCGGTAACACGGCTACGAACACCGTTGTCGCGGCCGCCAACGCCTCGAATGCGGCGCTGGTGCCGATGATCCTTACGAACTCTTCATCTACGAACTTCAAGTTCCCCTCGCCACCCGCTGCACCTCGTTGGATCGCCGCGCTGTGGTTCGTCGCCCTCATCTTCAGTCTCAGCGCGGCGTCGGGTGCTCTAGCTGTAAATCAATGGCTGAACTTTCATGCCACGGAGCAAGCCGGGCTGCAGGACGCATCCCAGAAGGTCTGGACTTGGCAACTCCGTAGGCATGCGCTGAACAAGTGGCAAGTGGAGAACATTGCCAGCATCCTCCCGTTTCTCTTGCAGGTCGCCCTCGTCCTCTTCCTCGTCGGGATTGTGGGCTATCTCTGGGAGCTTGGCTTTGACATTGCCGTCCCGAGCACGGTCTTCGTCGGCGCCTTGCTTCTCTTTCTAGCATTCACTTCCGTGTCGCCCGCATTGGTCAACTACAGTCCCTACAAGTCTCCCCAAGCATGGTGGATATGCGAAGCTTGCAGATGGATGCGGTGGGCAGTCTACTGGACCGCCTTGCAATTATGTCACAGGGTCCTTGTCCACCTCGGAATTGGACCTCCAACTACATCCTCATCTTTGCGCGCGGATGATATATACCGACGGACGGAGAAACCCCTCGCTCAGCGGGAAGCACACGTGCGCACGCTAACGGATGCATCTGACTGGCAGGCACACGAGCAATTATGCCTGGATGACTGGACAACCCGCAGCGAAGAAAAGTCCCTACTTACGGACATCTATTCCATTGCAGACGACACAGACGTCCTTCGCGCAATGGCGACCTGCGTGCGAGCGATGCCTATCGCCCGAGCAATCGAAAATGTGACGGGGATCGGCCAAACTGTTTTCGAGGCCTTGTCGAAACGCCAGGATCCGCGTTCACGGGCGTCCGGGCCCTCTGCGTCGGAATCTGGTAGTCACCTGCAATCTGATGTTTTGGACAGCACCTCTACGGCTTTGATAGGTCGCATGGTGCTGGACACGTTCACTCGCGCACATATAGAACTTTATGACAGTCCTCTTGACTCGGAGGACTCAAACCGGCGTTGCTTAGCTGGACTTATCCGCGCTATGCCTCTCGCCGATGGGACCAAGGCCTGCATGACTTTGTTTCAGCATTTACACGATGATCAACTGTCCACGGAACAACGAAGAGCCACATTGGATGTTGTACAGAACATTTATGTGCCGGTCGACTTCCTCGCGGAGGACGGGTACGATGACACGATGCAGGAGGCGAGAAAATACGAGTGTGCGCCGCAGACAGAGCTATATCGTCTGCGCAACATTCAAAGTAAGTCAAACATCCGCTTCAATCACAAAGGGTGTAAGCTGAAATTCGGCATAGACTGGAAACTCGTGCAAGCTGCACTCACGGCAGTATACGCACACCATGACCCCGTATCCACCATCCAAATCACGACAACCGTTCTGGCCATATGCATGTTGTCCGTCAAAAACGAGCACACATTGCCAGCCGAGCCGTCAAGGGGAGCTTACCTGGCCGACATGCTCCACCGATTCGACGAGCACTTGGCTACCCTCCGCCGCAAGGACCTGCGAGACGCTGTGCAACTCCTCCCTCCCGCGGCCGTATACGGACTCGATTGGGTGTTGTGTCGCATGGCCTTCGAGGACATCTATGGATCCTTGAGTACGACCAAGATTCACCGGAACCTCATGATGTCGACAAATCACATCGCGCGGCGACTCCAGTGGCTGCTAGAACGCGATGATTGGACGCCGCCAGGGACGGTCCAAGGGTTTCGCGTTCGCTTGCAATTCTACGTGGAGTGGACACAACGGCGCCTAGAACAATTTTATCGGATGGACTGGAAAGACTGGTCAGTCATCTTCGACGCTCAGGGTGTCAAAGACGCACTGACACTTGCAACAGCAAAGGATGGCTCGAATGCGCTCCAGATGAGCCCGAGAGCGAAGGCGATCGACGCGTCGACTCCCCGCAGACGACTGACTCAGAGCCTACATCGGAAGCTGTGGACGAGCAGGAGCCGCCGGAGTCGCGAATGGACAGTCCGAAGCGATCTACAATGCGATTTATGTAAGTGGTGAACCTTGCATTCCACTCGTTCAATCGTCGCTGATCATCCCTCTAGCCGTGATGTCTGGGGAAGATTCAGAGGGACTGCAGCGCAGGAGCCCGACGTGGAGATGCGAGCCGTGGATGCAGCACCCGATGCACCCGGTGCGACGGACACTGCACCGCCAGCCGTCAGCGGCGCCCCGCCGGTGATCGCTACGACGCCCGGCGAATCGCAGGAAGCGCAGGACGCGGCCCAGACCGAGCTTTCACAGCCACGAGAGGATACCGAACCGCGTGCAGACGATTCGGATTCCCCGCGCGAAGTAGTAGACGCAGGAATGTCTGGGAACGAAGGTCGTCAGGACAAACTCGCAGGCGCGATCGAGCACGCGAAGCAACATCAAGGCGGCGGCGCGCGTTCGAGTCAGGAGGGATCAGTTGCACCGGGCGACGCACCTACACGATCGCCCGAGTTGCACCGCGAGCCGGGCAGCGCGAATCAGAACAAAGGCTGATTCGGAGGACTCACGATTGCAGTATCGACGTGTACTAGTACGTCGTGCGTTGCTGAATAGATCGACGCCGAATGCTGACGTTCATCGCAGGCGGACAGCGTGCGCCGGGTTTTGACGAGTCATGACCTTCGATAGACGAATATCTCGGTGCAGAACGATGTCTTGGGCTGCGATGGGCTAATTTCGCGTTTACTCTGGTTCTCCGTACAGCTGTTCATGATGCTTGTGTCAGCTATGGACTCGGAGGTCTTGATACACATGGGCTTACTGAATGTATTCCACGATACGCTTGTGTTCGCCGAACACATTGCCTGGAGCTTCCGCGAACGGGGCTTGCTTGCCGATATCTATGTTTGCTGTGTATTAGTTCGCTCGGTACGAATCGCCTCCCGTACGTTTGCTTGGAATTGTTGTTGGACTATTGTATACCAATATGACGTGCCATGTTCCGTTGAACGGTTTGCGACAAGCGAGAGCGGAGGGGTGAAAAGAGTCATATTGTGAGTTCTGGACATACTTCGCCACGACCGTTACATATACTGTGACGCCGCGTCCACTAGACGATGGCCGCAGTTCTGTATGCTACCCTTGAGATAGCAATGCCCGTACGTCGCGCCGGAGTGACGGACCTGCCTCGGTCACTGCTACACCGGCATCTGCGTAGACAGGTAAGTCATGAGTTAAGCATACCGCAGTCTCGTCCCCTCGTCATCACCACCTCCCGCTCTCACGAGCCTCGTACCGGCGACTCGAAGCCTTCCACTCTCCTCTGGAACCCGTGCACTCATGCCTGGACGCGTGGCGGAAGGGCGCCACCTTCGACGCGGTACCACTTGACGCGACTGTCGAGCGTGCAGCTGGTTCAGTCGAGGAGGCGGATGCTGGGCGGCACTCGCGGATGAGTTGACGTTGAGGGATAGACATTGAGGGATAAAGAAGCGAATGTATACAACCGAAGGGATCTGTAACGAAGCAGGAAGACGAAAACTGTAGACGAACGAGACAAGACGTACCGCCGGCAAGAGGCCTCAGAGACACTGGCGGTAGGAGCTCAAGCGACGTCATCCCGACTCTTTGACTCGGACCACCTAGACTAGGGGTTCCACCGGTGTGTATGCGCACGAAGGCGGGGAGACTTGGAGTCCAGGACGACCCCGAGGCGTTGAGTGTGACGTCAGCTCGTCCCGCCCGTCATGCGCCCGTATTCTTGCGACGGCGGCGTGCTCCTTCATGCGACCCAGGTGATGCGTGTGCAGCTCAAGTTGCGATATCGACTGAGGGTCGGGAAGGACTCGGAGGAGCAAGCGCCAACTGAGCTCGTCGAGGGCACTTCCCGTCCGCCCGCCGTCTCCGACAATCGTCCGAGGCGCGTCTTGGGCGCGTCGCAAACCCTCGCTCCCCTCCACTGACGACAGCGAGCCTCAGCAAGAACTCTTGGGCACTTTCTTCTCCTCGCCATACTTCGCTGGCAGTCGCCGTTCACGTAGCCGCTGGATCAAATGGCACCCACCTCAAGAGCCCCGGCGCCTCTGCTGCACTCCTCCCCCGCTACTCACCCATACTCTACGCAGGTGACCTGCGCACGCTTCCTCTGGCCCCGCTCATGAATACAACTTGAAGACCTCTCGCTACATTATCTTTCGTCCCTGGCCAGTCCTCGCATCCGCCCTCCCAGCAATGTCGACCGCTGAACGGCATCAGTCCCACCAGCGTTAAACCCGCATCTCGGTGCGCTCCTACCCATCGGTATCCGGCTTGCTGTGAGCATACTCACTTACGAGTCTCTCGACTACCTGAAGTAAGCACTGTCAGGTCCTTTGCTGGAGTAACCCTCCTGTTGATTGTCGAGTACCGTGGGCGAAGCCGCATGCGTGTCTTCGCTCGTTGTCCTTCAAGTGGTAGTGGTCGGCCAGGGCAGTGATTACGGGTGAGTACCGCGCCTCTGTAACGCGCAACGGACGATAACGTGAGCCGGGACATGATGACAGGTAAGGCTACGTGCCAGCGAAGCTAGTTCAAATCCGGACATGTGCCACTGGTAAGTAGGTTGTCCGGAATCATGCCTCGCCTTCAGATCTGACTCACTCTCTGCTCTTCTCGCGCCCGGTATCGCCATAAGCATCCGCTGCCTTGTCGACTGGCACTATTCCTACGAGACTACGCTTCACAGAGTATGCACTCGACTCAAGTGCGTAGTAGCATCGGCTGACCGGCGGCGGGTCGACAGGGACGTCCGTCACTCGAGGCAGAGTGTCGATCAAGAGACACTGTGACGGAGTGGATCCTGCCTCACTCCGCCGAGCCCCGCGCGCGATCGAACGTGGTATTACCCGAGTATTACTCCAATCCAGCCGTTTCACCGGCACCACAACACAAGCTGCGAGCGATCTACCACGTCCTTTTCCCCCGACTACATGCTCTTCATCCACGGCGGCCCACCGATTCACACACCCAGTGCGGCGCAGGCGCTCTGTTAGCGAATCATCTTCCTCGAAGATGAGTTTATGCGCACAGAGGTCGCTGCCGGCTCACTCGAATGATCCATCCAATCTTCCTCGCTGTCGCGGCGACCCCCACTGCATCTCTGTACGTCATGTGGACTCACGATGTACACCCGCGCCTCCAAGACCAGTGCATACAGCCGATTCGGTCCCTGCGGCGGACGTACTCGGCGTCGGTGCCCGGGATGAACAGTATCTAGTGTGGTGAGTTCAATCTGTCTCTAGCGCACAACGCTGCGCTAATCGATGTCCTCGTCGTTGGATACATGCAACGGTAGCATGTAATCATCTGCAACCCTATAATCCCACTCGCGCAGGCTGCCGTATCGTGTGTAGTCTTCATGCGATCAGGTCTGATCATTGTTTGGTGCGCGCAATTCTTGGTTGTCTATCGTACAAGTGTTGTCATCGGATCAACCCCATCAGTACCTTCCAGACTGCCATAACTGGAGGTCAGCCATCTCGAATCGAACGCGAGGCTGCGCAGAACCCGCAGATTAGATAATAGCCCAGCCCAAGGCGGTCCGGCGATCGAGGAGGCCCAAAAAATGAGGTACGTTTCAACTCTTGATTCAGCGCCGCGCTGGCTGTTCATATCTTTCTGCGTACCTCATAGGGACCCGACGCGTCGTTTGCGACGGGTCCCATGTCCTCAAGACGGAAGGCTGCATCCGACTTGAAGGTCCCGGTAGACGATGTACCGTCCCGGAAGTATGGAGCAGCTCGCAGGGCGGCGACGAAGGCTGTCCGGACGCGGATTGAGGTGCGATCCTCGTTTTTCGCGGCGACATTTGTGTCTCCGCCATTGCGATGTTTGCGCGCACAAACTCCGTATTTCGTAGATACAGGACCATACCACTCCCTACGTACAGTCTCTGACGCTGTCAGTGGTTGCTCATTGACTGATGCATCGTACGTCGCCGATACACACCTGGGTATTACTTTACGCCATGTATTCAGTTGCTCGTAGGACGGATAGATGCCGTCACCGGGAAATTGAACGATGGACCCCAGCTATGCGCGACACGCAATGGGCATCGGTCCTGTGTCGACGTGGCTCGCTTATAGTGGTCTGTGGAGGAGCGATAAGTGGTCGGGCACAGCCGCGGGCGACCGGTAGCGATGCGATCTTGCGCGCTCCACGGACGGACGCTAAATTTAGTTCCGCGGCTCGACGAGTTCCTGACGTCAGACCACTCACACTGGTTCAAGTCCCTGGACGCTGCCTCGACCTCTCACACAGCAGCATCGACTCGACCAGCGGACGAGCAACGCGAGGACGGACGCGCACGGACGGATGCGGCGTGAGGACACGCGTGGTACCGTATTACCTGGGTAAGTGTCTCGAATGCTCACGCACGACGCTGCCTCATCGTACGACAGCTGCATCCCCGTTGCGATTTCTACTTCGTATTGCATCCAACGTTCCCCCTGTCGTCCTCGGTCGCTCACCACTCTCGCTCTCCCAATCTCGCCGCCTCTACGCGCCGCCCACGTCGATGCGGACCACAGTCGCGTCTAGCACCCGTGGGCTGCTGTACGACCAGTGTTCGTGAACGCATAGCCTACGATACGCGTTTCACGCTTTCCAGCTCGGTATGCGCGACTTGGTTGACTGCTCTGCAGCCCGCAGAATGGCCTCCTGAGCTGGCGGCGCTGGAGAGGGTTGAGTGGCGGTACGTGTCCGTGTCTCGTGTGCCGCGATCTTCACTGACGACGGGCGAGCTACGTCAGTAAGCACGATGTCAAGATGAGGACGCGACGTACGTATCGGGGACACGAGCAGGGCGGACGGGTTGGACTAGACGAGACGTGGAGAACGGACACGGGAGCTGGCGGACGCGTCAGACAGTACGAGCATCAGCGCACGCACGGACGCACCTCGCTGAAGGGTGGACGCGCACACCGACGCGTCGGGATCCACTCGCCGTACTGCGACGTACGCCGGGCGACCTGGGATGAGAAAGGTTATCAACGACGGACTCAGACGGAGGAAGGACGTGGCCGGAGTTGGAAAGCTGGGTGCGCGTTGCGCGGGAGACGAGGATGGGAGGCAAGACGGAGGAGGGAAATAACGAGCAGAGAAACGTGCGAACACAGGTTATCTCCTTGTCCACGGCCTCACGAACGACAGAAACACGGACCGACGGACGTCTTGAAGACATCCGCACGCACCACGACCGAGTCCTGTTGGACGCCCGTTTCGTGGTTGATGCTGGCCGGTGGATGAGGCGGCTTCCACCACTCAGTTACCTACACTCTCCGACGCGTGGTGGGGACGCGTGGTGGGGACCAATCCACGCTAGGTGGCACGGTGAGTGGTCTCTGCCCGTGAGTGCACCGAGGCTGACGAGCCATCTCGCCTGCGTCCTGAGCTGTCACACGCGGCGAGGCCCACCGCGTACTGGGACACGCGCCGTCGCGCGCAACGGTCGGTAGGTTCGTCAGGTCATACGGCGCGGTGCTACCCAGACGGCATCTGCCTCTCATCAGCATAGAGGTGCAGGACGCGCAACGTCCTCAGACGTCGGCGTCCAGGTTGGCCGTTCGCATCGAACCGGCTCTCTGGGCTCGCTCGACCGAGCGATTTACATGGTGACCCGGGTCTCCCAGAATGTATCCGCGGATTCCCGGGTCTCCTCATGCGCGTGCCGTGCTGGTTCGTGCAACGAATTGCGCCGGTCTACCGGGGAAAGGCGGCGGCTGAGGTGCGAGGCTCCCATCATACCTTGACTCGGCGTCCGCAATCGAGACGAGCTCCACATGTACCCTGCCATGGCATTTTCCCGGCGAACGACTATCAGGCTGATCCGACCTCGCTGCTTATTACTCGAGTATCGAGCGTGCGTGGGCGCATTGTCGACTGACTACAAACGACAGTACTGCATGTACTAGTACATACTCGAGTCCTCCTGTAACCGTGCACGTCCCCCGCCCTATATATTTCTTGAGAAGAATTGTGAATGACCGAATGCAATAAACTTACCGATGTTGAACTGAGGATGCGGCACCTGGGACGTACTACGACAATGTGAGTCAGTGGACGACGAGAGAATCCGTACAATTTGACAGGCCTGGGCCTGTTGCGAGGTACTCGGCCGTGTCTTATGGACGGTATAGGATGACGCCGTAGGAAAGCATATGAGCGGAAGGCACAGATATACCGGGACGTGATATGCACTCTCGCGATGTAAATCGTTAATGGCGTTGCTCAGGAGAGGGTGCGTTGTTGTGACATGAGTGGCGAGCATAGCTGTCTTGTGGTTGTGCGTGGCCGACAATGCGTCAGAACGGAAGGGCCTTGTCGTCGTGCGCACAGCGGCAGAATGATAGCACATTCCTACTTAGACGGTATCGTATAATGAGAGCAAGCAAAATGTGAGAATTGAAGGCAACAAGGTCAAGTAGAGCACCCGTTAGAACCTGCCCCGCAACGTGTCCCGCCAGGAAACCCGTCCGTCCTCCCATTCCTTCGCGAGTTGGCCCACGAGCGAGGATCTGGCCTTGCCCTCCATGAATGCCCGGCTTGTGCAGATGACCATGCCGCGTTTGCAGCGCGAGAGCATGACATTTAATCGTCGCAAGTTGGCGAGGAAGCCAAGTTTGTCCGCACGATGGATGGAGATGAGGATGTATGCTTGCTCGTTGCCTGACCGTACGTTGACGTGTCAACCGAGCGTCCGCTAAGCACAGCCTGTTTCTCACCTTGGAATGAGTCGACGTTGAAGCACTTGTTCTCCCAAGCGAGTTTTGCATTTTTAAGCTTTTGCTCCAGGACATTGCGTCGTGATGATGCGGTATGTCTTCCCTTCATCATGAAATTTTCTCGCGACCACGACGATGGCAGTAGCCTCTGCATCATTCTGCGATGCAACTTCATCAGCGCACGTTTCTATACTGGTGAGCATGGCGCTTACGACCCAACTGCCTATTCGCGCAATTGGGTAGAGTGGACGTCGTTCAGCGTTGAGAACGGAGTGTGCGAACATATCAGAACAGGTCCACCGCGCATGACTTGATGGGTGCCGCGTATACAATTCACGAGAGTTGTTGGACTGAAGCACTGCAAGTGAGCGACAACGGGTGTACCACGCCCGAGCTTGAAACCTTATCTGGGGTACGCCGTGTGCATCAGAGGACGACGAGCGACGGATGGAGAGGTGAGCACCGACTACGACCCGTCCGCGAAGCGATCATACTCACCTCCCGTGTCACGACAGCTGGCATCCTTCCACTGGCTGGTCATACAAATATGGGGCTAGCAAAGGAATACGTTGTCAGCAAAGACGGAATACACGAGGTGAGATGCCACGTACCGCCTTTCAGCCAGGTCCATCTGCGTCTTGTTTTCCCGCAGGCACACCCAACGCTTCTCCGCGCTGCCCTCCTAAGCCACGAGCTCGACTCCGACGCTGACGCCTGTACACGGAAGCGTAACGCGGTCTTCGAGGATCAAACGTTCGAAACCACTACGGCGTGGTCTTGCTAAATGAGGAGTGGCGGGCGGAGCAGGGACCGGGGGCTGTGTCTGCGAATCGAGGACACGGAGATGACGCCTGCAGTACGTGCGTGGTCGGCTGAAAGAACTTCGAGTGTCGGCGAAGGTGGGATGATGCAACCCTCGCATCAGCGTGGGACCTTACGTAGCTCACACCGTGAATACGCACCTGCGACTACTCTCCGAAAGCCACGCGTCCCCGCAATTCGTCTGGAGCTCCCGGGAGGAGCAAAAGGCGATAGCCTCCCCGGTTCCGTCCTCATGCACACGGAGCCGAACGTGTAGTTGCCACGGGGAGACAGGTTTCCGCGTTGCGGCGTACGAGGCGTTTGACGTGGCTCGCCGACGTCGTGGACACTTCCTAGGGCGATAAACGACATAAGCGTCGAGTCGGACGTCTCAGGTGCACGACAACAGGATGGAACATACCTCGTCGACGTTCGAAGCCATGGCGAGCTCCGCTGGAAGGTGTGGGCCCACCCATCCCCGTCACCGCGCTGAAGGAGCGCGAACGCGTGGTCTGGCGGTGAAAACGAGACACGGTAGACTCGGACGCACTTGTCTTGGATGGCGACGAGAAGGCGACAGTGTCGGATGCGGGTCTGAGGTGTAGTTCCCAAGATTGGAAGGATTTCGGGCTATTCGTGAGCAGGTACCTGTGTTCGACCGAGCCTTGCGATGGTCAGGCAGAAGACAGGTTGCTCGACAAGCAACCGCCGTCCGTTCGACGGCCCCGCCGATCGGAGATCCCTGCGGCGAGGTCACAAATACCTACGGAAGATGCTTCAGCGACCTGTCAGTGTGCATAGTGCAGGGTAAGGTGGACGCACCAGAGGTTCTAGTATAGGCTACACCACATGCCCAGGTGATGCCGAGCCGACGGTGAGTTTGGAAGCCGTCCAACAGCCTGCACGCGAGCGTGACCGCGTACTGCGCGTGGAGCATCATATCAAGAGAGAGTTCGACTGCGAACAACGGGTCTGCTTGAAAGATCCGCGGACGTTGCTCCAGGAGACAAGGGCGAGTCCGGGCCACGCTGAAGTGCTCAAATGGCAAGGAAACGAGTCCCGGAATGCCTAGAAGTCGACTGCTCATCATCGCTTGCGCCGCCGACAGTGAGCGCGAAGGACGAACCTGGAACCGTATGCGAAGGCAGCGATTAAAGGCCGTACCGTCTATGAGAGAACCACTGACAGGTTCTGCCGACTGCCCGAGGCTACTGTCGAAAGTTATGCTACACGGCGAAACGGGAGGAACAGAAGTTGGCGGACGACACTTTAATGTCTACATAGGGCGGCACCTAGCCCTCAGTGATAATAACGGGAATAAACAAGGTTCCGTCAATGTATTTTCAACCCCGCTGCGCATGATCTCAGAAATCTGTTGGACAAAGGAGATCGATATGACGAACCTGGATGAGTTTCAAGCGAACATGGTCGAAGAAGAACCCCGCCTTGTCGCCGACGATCGTTGGCTGGTCGAAGAGTCGGGGCCGAGACGTTTTTCCTCGGTGGAAACCAATGTAACTGTAGGACCGAAGGACAGTGGACTGCGAGGCTGAGAGCAGAGGCATATTGAAGAACGTCGGTGTTGTGTTGTTACTGTGAGGGTGGAAAGATAAGCGGGACGAGAAATGAGATATGGTGTGTTGCGTAGCGTACCAGGATGCGTCCACTACGCGCCGCGACCGGCACTCTCCTGCTACAGCAAAGATTCTCGTTAATTTACGTCGCGACAGTCTCGAATATGACCCCGTCCACGCCAGCGGTACCCTTCGAGGTATGATGAACGCTGACTGTGTTACCGTCGCCTTCCTCGTGTATACAAAGTCTCCAGCGGGGGAGCTCCCATCGGCCTGCTAAAGCAAGAATTGACAAAACAAAATGCATAGCGCACGTCACGTACGCACGGCGCTGTCCGCCAGACTGGGCGGCCGTATGTATGCGCCTATGGAAGCCGGCGACAGGCCGTCCAATGGCCACGGTCAAGCTCGCGACCGCGCCTCCAGGAGCCGCCAGTCACTTTTGGCATAGATCTATGAGCACATCGCAAGGAGGGTGAGAAAGGTGACTCGCATCACCGCGTGCTACTCTACTCACCGAAGTCCAGCCCTCCTCGTCCAATCCGAGTCCCGAATTCCCCTGCGTTTCCCGGCCTACTCAACGGCCATCTCCCCCACATGTCGTCATTCCAACACGACCGCTGATGCGCGGCGCGCCATGATCCCTGCGTTCCTCATCCGTGGCTTGAGGGTGTACTAGAGAGTTTTGGCAGCAACTGTGAAAGTTCACGCCACCACCAGACCACAGCTCCGACACCACCGATCTCTGTCAGATCTGCGGTGGGCGTGACACGGGCGTTACCGGCCAGCCCGCCCTCCCGAGCGTCATCCGTGAGCGAATTGCCATGAATAGTAGGAGTGTCACGGCCCGTCTGTCGCAACTTTCTTGCAGGGGTTATAATGCAATACAATCCACATTTTCCTGGACACGTTTTAATGTGTGGTAATCAACGCGAAACTCATTGAAATACGCATTGTAATGTCATTGGAATGCCATTCGGATCAGCCGGCGGTGATTAGATAGCATTGCATGGCAGCTTTTGGATGCATTTTGCATTGAAATGCTATTGGAATTTACGTGGAAAGATAGCATTGCCATTTCAATTTCCGCGCATTAGAAACCCGGAAAGAAAGTTGTGACATCACTCGGCGTCACACTCTCGACCAGCCCCACGGAGCCCCACCACCACCAGACCTCAGCTCCACCTCCACCGTTCAATTCAACTTCAACAGTTGTTTCCAAAACTCTCTACTGCGGAGTAGCGATGAGCAGTCGAGGAGCAGCAGCAGCAGAGACACGCGCACTGGCAGCGACTGGTGAAGATGTGATCTTAGGCGCCCCGCGGATGCTGATTACTCATCGGACATGACAGCAATCATGACAGCCACCGTGACTCGGACTGCCGCCACTGCGTCTGAGACAGGCCCCTCTCTGACCGCGACAGAGGGGGGCGGTCTCCCCGCTTGCCTCGCGGTACGTACAATTTCTCTGAACACGCACAACACGCGCATAGGGACCAGGGTACACACCCCGCTTCAAGCCTCCTCCGAAGTCTCGCGTAAGTAGGCATGCGGGCGGGACATCGAACGCCCGGAGCTTGTCGCCGCTCATTTCACCCTCCCAAGTACCAACCAATTACTACTTACAGACTCCATAGGTGGATGTCACCTTGGACCTTTGACACGACTTCCGAGCCACACACTCGAGGCTTTGGCAACAGCAGCAGGGGCACGGGTTTCTTTGTTCGGCGTGAGTGGTCCCCGACACATTGCTGACTTCCTGCTCACGTTTGCGATCCTCAGCAAGCAATTGAGCAGCCGCACTTCATAAGTTACACGGGACACCTACGTACGAGGTTAGCCCGGTAAAAGCTTCTATTCAAGGAACTATCTAACTAGTACCTTCTACACGTCAGGGCCCCAGTGGCGCGTAGTCTGATGTATTCGGGAACACTCGCTATATGGCGACGAATGTCCAAGGCGACACGCACCATGGAAGCCCCACGATAAGGTTCATGCCAGAATATGCCATCCGCTCGCCGAACAGATTGAAGCGACGGCCGCAGCGGCGGCGGTGCGCTCTTTCGAACACTACTGTCATTAATGCCGCGTCGAACCAGCATTGATTACTTACGAGCTTTCTTCCAGCGCCGTGCGCATAACTGTCACTATGAGGGAACACTGATACAAATGTCCCGACAGGCGCGCGGTTGTCTCATTCCCGGCCGATGGGCCAGTGATCCCCCGCCGCACAAGCCTACTGCTGCCCGACATCATATTGGCTGCGAATATGACTGGTGAGTGACTAGCGATGTGTGGTGGACCAGTCGGCGCGAAATCAGTGCTGTCGCGCTATGTAGGCTCCGAATACTTACCAGTGTTCCAATGTGCCTCATTGGGAACACATGGTCTCTTGCACACTTGCGAGGCGAACATGCTTACGACCACACCTGACAGCTTCTATACCTCCGTCTCGACGGGAACCCCTTGCTGACGCTAAATGAGACGACTCCAGCAAGCTCCCATTGATGTTTATTGTCAATTTCACGGACACATGGTACGCATACAGCCCCTCACCGTTTGTTCCGCGTTCATGAGGACCACGCATAGGCCATTGTCCACTCGTTGTTTCCCTGTAGGTACATTGGTCGCCGCCGGAACCATATAATCCGTAACAGCGTCACCATGTTATCGCGTAAATGGCATGTACCCTTCCCTCTCATATCACAGTGAGCGTCCGGATCCTTGCGGGCTCGACACTGAACGGTGCATTGGCTCGGACTCGGTGGCGTGCGTCCTCGCGTCGTCAACGTGCAGTCCTCGGTGCGCTTCTGTGGACAGCTCCGAGTCGTTCAATGCGTGTCCCCCACCCTTAGCTACATGAGGTTGCGCGTCCTCCTTCGCCATATGTAGCTAGCCCTCTTGCGCTCTGCCTCGTCCGCTCGCTCTCTCCGCCCACTTCCATCTCTTTGCACTGGACTGATCACCATCCGACGCTGTCATGAGCGCAACCAAGGTGCGCATCGTCTTTAGTCACTGGTACAATATGAAAGCTGATTGAGTCTGCTGTGTTCGTGGAACGTAGGATTCGTTGGTGCACTCAGTTCCCGGAGGATACGCTAACATTCCCGACCTCAATGCGACGTCGTCACCGAATAACAACATGCGTCGAACGAGCTCTGGCAAAAACGGCGGCCCTGACACTGAGTTTCCAGTGAGTATCAGCACAATCGAACGGCGAACAGGATCCCTTACCTGTCTACACAGGCATCCAACCCGGTCGGCGCGGGCACTGCGGGAGCCTCCTCGTCGCCCCACGACACCATGCCTGCAGGTACAAATGAGGTGAGCGTGATTAAGCGACCATTCAACTGCGTGTCAAGGTCTGACATACATCGTCAGAACGGTTTGAATGAGCGGTCGGATGCCAGTGGAACGAAGCATTCGTCTCAGTCGGCAGACCACTCGGCGAAGGATCCGATAACGGCGTCGGAAATGGAGACTATTATGAATAACGTATTCGAGAGGTTCATGACGGCACGGGAGCCGCAAACACCGCCGGCCGTGATGGATGAAACTGCCTTGGAGAAAGTATTCGAGAAGTACCTGAAGCCGCTGGACCCGCAAAAGCAAGAAGACGCGTGGCCGGTGCTAGCGAAAGAGGTCTGGTCCTACGAAAAGGAGCGTATAGAACGATGGCGGAACGAAATCAGTACACTTCTCGTCTTCGTAAGTCGTGTCCATGTATTTATCAATGTGCAATGTGACGAGTCGATGCTGATCTACCTGTAGGCGGGTCTGTTCTCCGCCGTCCTCACTGCCTTTGTTGGAGCATACTACGCCATTCTGCTGCCACCGCCTGACTTCAACACGGTCATCCTCGAGCGCATTTCAGAGCAGCTCGGCAATACGTCTAGCAACCCCGATGTTGCACCTGCGAGCACCTTCCCTTCTGCACCCCCTGCACCTCGATGGATCGCTACCCTGTGGTTCGCTTCTCTGGTCCTCAGCCTCGGTTCGGCCTCAGTCGCTCTGGCTGTCAACCAATGGCTGAACTTCCACGCGGAGCAATCGGGATTGCGAACTACGCAACAGAAGGTTCGGACCTGGCAACTCCGTCGGGATGCCCTCACACGGTGGGGGGTGGAGGGCATCGTCAGCCTCCTCCCCTGCCTGTTGCAGGTGGCTCTCATCTTATTCCTCGTTGGGATTGTGGGCTATCTGTGGGTGCTCGGACCCGACATCGCCGTCCTGAGCACGGTCCTCGTCGGCATCTTGCTAGTCTTTCTGGTATTCACTTCCGTTGCTCCCGCATTGGTTCACTACAGTCCTTACAAGTCGCCCCAAGCATGGTGGATATGTGAGGCCTGCAGACGGGCGCGGTGGCTCCTTGGCCAGCTGCTCCAGCTGTGCCTATCCCCTATTAGCTGTTTTGCAGAGTTTTGGCAATGCACGGGCTCTTTCATGTCCAGATCCTGGGGAGTGCTTTGCCAGTGGAAGATTGCCACGAGCAAGACCATCCTGTCTCTGAAAGGGTTGACCAGCCGGGAGCATCTTCGCGGTGAGTGAGACCTGCACTGTGACTGCGGAAGATCCGGAGGTTGCAGTGGTGACTGATAACGCCATTAGATATCCTCCAGAGTGATCTTGTTTTTGTACGAAGTCTCATGTCGACATCCAACTGGCTGGCGCATGAACAGTTATATCTGCGTACCAGGCCCGGTGATACCCCCAAGGAAGAAAAGTCCCTTTTCTCGGACATCTATCACATTGCACAGGACACAGACGTCCTTCGCGCGATGGCAACCTGCGTGCGAGCGATGCCTATCGCCCAAGCAGTCAAGAACGTGACGGATATAGGTCAAACTGTTGCTACCGCCTTGTCGAAACGAGAGGATTCACATTCACGAGCGTCTGGGCCCTCTCGTCCAGTTCCTGGTAATCAATTGCTATCTGACGATTTGAACAGCACCGCTACCGGCGTGATAGGCCGCATGGTGGCGGACACGTTCACTCGAGCACTGACAAAACTTGGCAACAAGCCTCCCAACTTGGACCCAATCTGTTGCGCCTTCATTACAATTACCCCCGCCATACCTTTCGCCGACGGGATCGAGGTGTGCATGTTGCTGTTTCAGGTTTTGAGCCGGGATGACACAGAGTCGCACATTGACCTCTTGGAGTTCTTCTCCCCCTCCGCCTCCTCTCTCCGGCGCCTGCGCGATCAAAGTGTGATGGCAATGGGCGAAGTTCTGTTCACGATCTTGTCAAATGGACAGTACTTCGATCCACGCGCGTCTGCCAGTGGGCCCTCATCTCCAGCATCCGGTAATTCAATGCAACATGACGACTCGCTCAGGACCGCAATCACCTCGATAGGTCGCATGGTGCTGAACACGTTCACTCGCACGTTTAAAGAACTTGATAACAGCCCTCTTGACCGGGACTCAAACCGTCAGTGCTTAGCTGGACTTATCCGTGCTATGCTTCTCGCCGATGGAACCAAGGCCTGCATGACTCTGTTTCAGCATTTACGCAATCAACTGTCCCCGGAACAACGAAGGGCCACATTGGATGTTGTACAGAACATTTACATGCCGGTCGACTTCCTCGCGGAGGACAGTGGGCACGAGTTCTGGCATTCCGAGATTGGGCAGGCGAGAACGTATGACTATGCGCGGCACACCGAGCTATATCGGCTGCGCGACGTTCAAAGTAAGTCAACCATCCACTTCATCCACAAGGGGCACAAGCTGAAGTTCAGCATAGACTGGGAATGCGTGCAGACTGCACTCACGGCGGTATACGCATACCGCGACCCTGTATCCATCATTCAAATAACGACAACTGTTCTGGCCATATGCAGGTTGTCCGTCCAAAACATACACACATTGCCAGCCGAGGAGTCGAGGGGAGCTTACCTGGCCGACATGCTCCGCCAATTCGACGAGCACTTGGCTACCCTCCGCCGCAAGGAGCTGAAGGACGCTGTGCAACGCCTCCCTCCTGCGGCCGTATACAGACTCGATTGGGTGTTGAATCGCATGACCGACGACGACATCTATGGACCCTTGAGCACGACCGAGATTCGCCGGGATGCCATGATGTCGACCAATCACATCGCGCGGCGACTCCAGTGGCTGCTGGGATGCGATGTATGGACGCCGCCATGGACGGTCCAAGGGTTCTGCGTTTTCTTGCGAGTGTACGTGGGTAGGACACAAGGGCGCCTAGAACAAGATCATGGGCTAGACCGGAAAAACTGGTCAGTCATCTTCGACGCTCAGAATGTCCAAGACACACTGACACTTACAACAGGGAAGGATGGCTCGAATGCGCTCCAGATGAGCCCCAGAGTGAAGACGATCGACGTGTCGACTCCCTGCAGGCGGCAGTCCTAGGGCCTACATCGGAAGCTGGGGACGAGCAGGACCCACCGGAGTCGCGAATGAACAGTCCGAAGCGACCTATAATGCAGATCATGTAAGCGATGAACTTTGCACTCCACTCGTTCAATCGTCGCTGATCATCTCTCTAGCCGTGACGTCTGGCGGAAGCTCAGAGGGACTGCAGCGCAGGAACCGGACGCTGAGAAGGGGGCCGCTGGGGCTGATACGAACGCAACACAAGATGCACCCGGTGCTACGGACGCCGCACCGCCAGCCGTCAGCGGGGCCCCGCCGGTGACCGCGACAACGGTCGACGAACCGCCGCAAGGGCAGGACGCGGCCCAGACTGGGTCAGTGCAGTCTCTAGACTACGAAGACCCGCACGCAGACGACTCGGGTGCCGCACGCGGAGTAGCTGAGCACGGCGCGGACGCGGACGAGGGTTGTCAGGGCGGACTTGTAGGCGCGACCGAACACGCAGATGAACATCAAGGCGGCGACGCGGGTCCGAGTCAGGAGGGACTAGCTGCACCGGGCGACACACCTACGCAACCGTCCGAGTCGCATTTCGAGTCGGCCAGCCAGAACGCAAACAGCGGCTGATGAGGAGGAGGGATGATTGTGGTATCGACAACGGACGTGTACGTCGTGTGCTGCTGGATAGACAATGTTCGTCGTCGAATGCTGACGTCGATGTTCATCGCAGGCGGGCAGTGTGAGTCGATTTTTGACGAACCGTGACGGTGATAGACGGATCTTTCGGTGCACGAACAGCTTCTTGGATCGCGACGGGCTGATGTCTCGTATGTTCCTCTTTCGTTACGGCTGTTCGTGATAGGCTTGTGTCGGCTATGGACTCGGAGGTCTTGATTCATATGGCTTACTGAATATTCTACGGTACGCTTGTGTTCGCCGACTGGATTGCCTGGGGTTTCCACGAGCGGGGTGTTGCTGTCCATTGTTTGTATCGTGTTGCGTGCTCGGTACGATTCACCTCCCATACGTCTGCCTTGGATTTGCTGTTGGACTCTCGCATATCAATATAACGCGCCGTGTTCCGTCGAGCAGTGTGCGACAAGCGAGTGCGGATATAAATGAGCAGGAATCATATTGTGAGTGACGAACATACTTCGCGGAGCCGTTACAATCTGTGCCGCCGCGTCCACTAGACAATATCCGCAGTCTTGTATGCTACCCATGAGATAGCAATGATCGTACGTCGCGTCGGGCTGACGGACGTGCGTCGGTCACTGCTGCACCAGCATCTGCGTAGACAGGCATGAAGCTATAATATAAGCATACCGTAGTCTCGTCCCTCGGTCACTTGCCACCTCCCGCTCTCACGAGCCTCGCATGCGGCGACTCGCAGCCTTCCTGTCTCCTCTGGAACTCATGCACCCGTGCCTGGACACCTGGCGGACTCAGGGCGCCGCCTTCGACGCGGGACCACTTGACGCAACTGTCGAGCGTGCAGCCGGTTCAGCCGAGGAGGCGGATGCTGGGCGGCGCTCGCGGATGAGTTGACATTGAAGGATAAAGAAGCGAATCCATACAACGAAAGGGATTTGTAATGAGGCAGGGAAACACGAACTGTAGACGAACGAGACAGAACGTACCGCCTGCAGGAGGCCTCGGAGTCACTGGAGGTGGGAGCTCAAGCGACGTCATCCGACTCCTCGACTTGGACCACCTAGACTAGGGGTTCCACCGGTGTGTATGCGCACGAAGGCGGGGAGGCATGCGTTGTCCAGGACGATCCCGCGGCGTTAAGTGTGACGTCAGCTGAGCCTAGCGTCCCGCGCGTCATGCGCCCGTTCTTGTAGCAGTGGCGTGTTCCTGCGTGCGACCAGAGCGATGCGTGTGCAGCTGAAGTTGCGATGTCGATTGAGGGTCGCGGGGAGTGGAAACTAAGTTATTAGTAGAAATGTTGCCCGGCGCCAATTGAGCTCGTCGAGGACGCTGGGACGCGCACGGACGGGATTCGTGAGGACACGCGTGGCACCGTTTAGGCTATTGAATAACTGGGTCTCGAGTACTCACGCACGACCCTGTCTGATCGCTTGCCAGCTACGTCCCCGTCTCCCACTTCATATCAACACACCCAACGCCCCTCTATTGCTCTGGGATCGCTCACCCCTCTCGCCATCCCCATCTCGCCACCTCTGTGCCACCAACGTCGATGCCACATGCCAGTCACTGTGAGATGTAAGTGATCGCATAATTTCGTAGCGATACACGACATTGAAAGGGCGCGTTTCTAAGTTGCCAGCCGCCGGGATCGCGCATGCCTTGACATCTGACAGGAGCGCATCCTGTTCGGACTGATAGAACGTCAGCGTGAGAGGAAACGGAGAGACGAGACAGCACCAGCGCACCTGACAACGCCGTGGCCGGTTCGTCTTGGGTATGTAGCGAAGCGTTGCTAATATCAACCTGACACTGGCAGTCGGTCACAGACTCAAAGTGCGGACCCGCTAAGGCGTCGGGAGCATGCACACCCTATTTTATATCCTGAGCGTCTGATACCCTCCGGACTGACGGTAATAGGACATGAGCACGAAGCATTGGTGTCCAGGCACCGGACGACAAGAGATGACTATAGCATACCTTGATGAGGCCATCTTCAAGGGTCTCGCCGAGATTGCCGCCTGCTTGTAGTGTCTGAGTCAAGTACTTAAAACAGCGGAGAGTCAGCATGAAGTCGTACGGGATCCAAAGATAGCATTGGAATATCTTGAAGTCAGTTGTTGGCGCATCACGGGTATATTATCAGGTGGGCGAACCACCGTCAATGAGCGAAACAGCTTCAGGATCGCGCCTACTCTGCATGCCTTGTAAGTACGAGCTCAGCCGCAATTCGAAACAACCCATGCGTACCGAAGTCAAGAGAGCGCCGGTATTCGAAGAGGCGTTGATCGCCGGTAGCATGCCACTAGACGTGGTGACGTCTGCTCCTCTACTATAAGTAAGAGCAGGCTTGATAACGCAGTAGCTTCTCGACATTATCGTACAAGAAACAGGTATGAGTACTCACGGATAAGAACTCGACTTCGACGATGCTGCCCGCGGCGCATTGGGTGAGCCTGCGAGAAGTTGAACCCCTCACCCGTGCGGAGTGTCTTTGGTATGAGACTAAGGCGCACCGAAGAACGACCTTGACATCCTCGTGTTGCCATTACAGTCATGGCACTCAAGTACTAGCACACAACGCCTCACCCAAAATCTACAGAGGCCATCGTACATACAAAACGATCGCTACCAGCGAGCTACAGCAAAATTATTTCTTCATCCTCCTCAATGGGCGATCACTCTTACCGTTCGAAGCAGCGCTCTCCGGGCCCATCGCTTTGCGGGACCGTTTGTTGGCAACTCGCTGCAATGTGCGCTTCACCTCGCCATCTGGGAAGCTGGAGAGGTCGTAGTAGTTGGGAGCGTACTTCAACAACCTGCACACTTGTCAGCTCGCGTACAGGAAAGATGATGGAATGAGCTCACCATTCAGGCCGAAGATCCGTCACCGTTCGGATGTATGGCTTGGTCGTGAGCACAAATTCGTTGAAGATTACCCACTCCGGCTGGTTGTCCAGCCCGCACGATGGATGTAGATTAACGACCTGGTTGTCTTTCACCGTTATGTACGCGCCCTTCTCTCCCTCCTTGTGTGCAACCTGCATGAAAAACCCGCACACGAGCGCCTGCCGCACGTTCATGTGCAACCGCTTGGGGTCGGTTGTCGTGACGATATCGATGTCGAAGCGCTCCATGTTTCTCTGCAGCTGCGCCCGCACATTATCCGCTTGTTGAAGTGCACGTTGGGAGAGGTAGTTCTTCCACGCCCAGTTTCTGTCGTGCGAGTCTGACGAAGGATGCGATGAGAAAAGAGATCCTAAGCAACGAAGCAACGGGGCTCACTCTGCTGGTAGTTATTGTAAACGTTCATCAGCGTCAGATGGTCTCCGTCAGGGACCGTCAACAAGGCCTTGGCAGCGTCAGCCTCTCTGCGTTGATTTGGCGGCTGCTCCCAGATACTGGGCACTGTAGCATACGGATTAGTACTGAGTGATGACATGAAAGAGTACTGAGCCGTACCTGAAAGCATCGCAACAATGGTGAGGATCTCATTGCTGCATCTGAATTCAGGGCTGACAATAAGCATCTTAGCCATTTGCGGGTCGAGTGGGAAGTCTGCCATCATGTGGCCCAGTGGCGTCAGGCCGCCTTCGTCATCGAGCGCAGCCAAGTAGTTGAGCAGTTCCAGAGCACGCATGAGAGCCTCCGGTGCTGGGGTGTCGATATAGTCGAACCTGACAAGATCCTACAGAACGTCATATGAATCGATGAGCATATGGGTATGATGCGGGACGTACCCTGATACCCAGCTTGATCAATTGCAGCACCGTGTTGCCCAAGTTGCTCCGCAGGATCTCTGGATGTGATTGTTCCTCCAGCTCCTCCATGTAGTCTCGCTCGGTGTACAATCTGAAGCATTTGCCTGGCCGGGTTCGTCCCGCACGACCCGCCCTTTGCTGCGCCGAGGCCTTGGAGATCGGACTCACAAGCAACGAGTCGACACGTATCCGCGGGTTGTACACATTCTGCCGGGAGAACCCAGGGTCGACGACATAGACGATCCCGTCGATCTTCAGCGACGTCTCTGCAATGTTGGTCGACACGACGACCTTCCGTCCAGGACGGCCGCCCGGTGTACGCGGCGAAGGCGGCGGGTCGAAGATGCGTTTCTGCTGCTGTGGTGGGAGGGAGGAATAGAGGGGGATACAGATGAGCGGGCCGACGCTATCAGGGTCCTGGTTGAGCAGGTCGTCCGCCTCGAGCTTGATCTTCTTGCACGAATCTTCGATCTCTTCCTCGCCTGTCAGGAACAGGAGGATGTCGCCTGGCTCCTCTGCGCGGTGGATCATGAGCACGGTACGTATCGCGGCCTCGACGTAGTCTGGCTCCGGGTCCTGCGTATAGAGAACCTCGACAGGGTGCGTTCGGCCGTGAATCTTGAACAAGGGTGCCGGTTCGCCGTCCTTGTTCACAGAGAAGTACTTCTGGAACTTGAGGGCGTCAAGGGTCGCAGACATGACTATGATCTTCAGATCGGTGCGGCGTTTTGCCAGCGCCTTCAGCAAACCCATGAGAATATCCGTTGCAATGGTGCGTTCATGGGCCTCGTCCAGGATGATGGTGGAGTATTGCGTTAGTTCTGGGTCGTTCATCGCCTCCCGGAGCAGCAGGTCATCCGACATGTACTTCAAGAAGGTCGTTCCTGGCTCTGTCATGTCTTCAAATTGAATCGCGTATCCGACCTGCTTCCCCAATGGTACTAGGGTATTGTCAGATGATTCGCAGCATTAACATCATGGTGAGGCAACCCACCGTCCATCTCATCTGCCACTCGCTTTTCTACGAACATAGCGGCGGCTCGACGAGGCTGCGTACACGCCACGAGCTTGCCCTTGGTGTGAGGCAAGTCGGAGTAGCAAACGAACTGCGGAATCCTAAGCGTGTCAGTCAGTAAATGGCAGTTCCGACGCGAGTCTATGGAGTCCTTACTGTGTCGTCTTTCCCGAACCGGTCTCGCCCACCACAACTATGATTTGGTTTGTGCTGAACTTTGGGGCTACGGTCATCAGTTACATTCCTCTGCACCGCAGAATCTGACCTCCCTCCACAATAATTGGAAACCATCATTGACCCACCATGTTCAGAAACTCGTGCATCTGCGTGAACACTGGCAGCTTTTTGCGCGTCTCGAGAAGTTTCTTGTATTGGGCGGAGTGCGGCTGCTTCGTAAACGGATTGACATCCCCTTGCTGGCCATCTCTCAGTTGCAGATCAGCCCAGATGAAGACTAGGTACTGACCATTGCTTTTGTCACCTGCTTCGCGATAACATGCCTAGGTAGCCATCCATAGAAAGGATCTTTATCATGAAGAGATTTCGACGAGCCGAGGCCTGCCAGTGATGGTGCTCTCGTGTAGGGGTTCGCCATGTTCGCCACGTAGATGCCACAAACCAGAAGAATATCGCAAAGGGGATCCGGGAGAGGCCACGAGAGGGAGAAGGAGGGAGAAGGTGTGGAAGGTGTGCGGGGTGGCGCCGCACGCAGCCACTGACGCGTTCTCGCGCTCCTGATTGGCTGCCGCGCCCGCGCCTCTGAGTCGGCGCTCTTTACTGTCTCTTGCTCAAGTGAGGCACGAAGGTTGAAGGAATTGTCTACGTCTGCCTGGGGAGACTAGGATAGTCTTGTTCTTGTTGGAGCTGCCAGTGTTTGCGATGCTTTTGTAAGCTATGATCTCGGAGTTTGGATACATATGGCCTTACTGGGTGTGTACGTTACCATTCAATTGTGTTCGCCGACCGCCCCCCCCCCCCCCCACTGCTCTTACGAGCCTCCCACTGTGCGATTCGGAGCCCTCCCGTCTTCTCTGGAATTCATGCCTGGGCGCCTGGCCGAAGGAGGAGGAGGAGGAGGAGGAGGAGGAGGAGGGGATTGGTGCCACCTTCGAGGCGGTACCACTTGATCGGTTGACCCCTATAGTTTATAGCTACCTGCTTATCCACTTACCATTTAGCCCAGGATTTGAGTCCGTAGTACTGGACTTACCGAGCAACATAACCCGGCGGAGGTCCCGGCCGGACATAGCAAGTATCGGCGTAAAGAATGGAGTACGATGAGTCAACAACGGCTATAGCTAGGAGCTCTCGCAGTAAGGTACTCATATATGATAGTGCGAACTAAAGGTTCCTGGAAATCAACGAGCCGGGTGGACTACCAAGCATCAAGCCAACATGGACGAGAAGGGCCTCGAGCTCCGGCCCTTGACTGTGACTATGGTTTCGCAGCCAGTGCATGTTCAGAGGATTGATCAAGGATACTAGGAAGCTGTCTATGACTAGAGAAACGTACGATAGCGAGTGTAGCGACAAGTCCGTCCAAATCAAGTCTACTGCGGTGACACATCGTGTCTCAAATATCCCGAGCCCACCGCTCACTCCTCCGTCTCGTACCCGTCGTCGTCCTCACCACCAGCCAATACGTCCGACGCACGTTGCTTTCCCTTCGCCTTCGCGCTCTCCGCACCCGCACCCAACTCCACAACCAACTGCCCACCTCCTCGCAGGGCCTCGACGTCGCCGAGCCGCCTCGCGGGCTCCCACACGACCTCCTTCCGCGGGTACGCCAGCCACAGCTTGAAGGCCCACCACTTCTCCGGAGCGCGCCCGGAGCGCTCGATCTCCTTGACCAGCCCCGCTTCGCCCGGTTCACCGTTCTCCGGGGGTCCCAGCGGGTCCCCCTTGTCAGGGACCTCCTTGGGCACGAACATCGAGTCCACGTACGCATAGAGCGCCGTCAATGTGTCGCCCTCGCCAAAGAACCTCACCGACCGCCGCCCGTCCGGCATCCGCAGCCCGATCCGCATCGTCTTCCCCCGCCCAGTTTCGCCCGGCCTTGGCTCGCGCATAACGAGCCCGCGCCGGAGGTACTTGCGCCATTCCATGCGGTGCGCCTCCCATGCGTGCCGTGCTTCCTCCTTCGCGCGAGCTTCGTCTCGAGCACGCGCCTCTGCCTCAATTTGGCGTCGCTGCTCTTGCTGGGCGCGCCGCTCCTCGCTCTGGCGCTGCTCGATGCGCTCCTTGTCCTTCTGCCTGCTCTCCTCGAATGCGCGATCTTGCTCTGCGCGCAGCTGCCGCTCGCGCTCGCGCTCCGCTGCTTGGGCACGGATCTTGGCGAGGAAGGGTGTGACGCGCGGGAGCAGCTGCTCGGTGAGGTGCGTGACGAGGCTCTGCGCAGCAGTGGGGGCAGATGTTGATGGGACAGACGGTCCTTGCTGCCGCGAGAGGACGGTCAGGACGGGTGCTGACGACGAGCCGGAGCCTCCCAGCCGGCGCTGCTGGAGCGCGATGAAAGCGACGGAGGGGTACGTCGTCGCCTGCAGCTTCTGTGCGGCTGTAATCGGGTCTGTTAGACGGTACTCGTATGGAATCGTTATTCGGCGCACCACTCCATGCCTCTCTGTCCCGGATATCACCGCCCCAGACTAAGATATCGTTGTCCTGGATGAGCTTGATCAGTGTCGGGTCCGTCAAGGTGCCCCTGCAAACAATTGGACTCAGTCAGAACTACGACACAGATTCAACACGAACCTCTTGAACTCTGGCACATCATCATGCTCCTCGCTGACGAGCACCACGCACCCAATCTTCGCACCCCGCTCGCACGTTCTCACAAACTCCTCATAGCTCCCCAGGAAGAAGTCCGGCAGGAACTTCGTCACGCCCTCGCCCCCATCCTCCTCATACGCGCCCGCTCGCGATGTCAAGCTTGACGGGCCCGCTACGTCCGCACCGCTCGCTACGCTCCCGGCCTTCGCCTCCGCCCTCCTCGCTCCCGCGCGCCCTACACAGACCGCACCCGTCTCCTCCTCGAGTGCGCGCACCCACCGCTCCGCCTGCGCCCTCGGGTCCAGCGCGCGTCCATCACCACCCGAACCAGGGCCAAGCGGGCGGTATTGTAGGCTTGACCACGTAAAGGGCACGAATTGCGGGAATGGAATACGCAGGATGCGGAAGATGAAACGGAGCACGGACGTGAGAAGGCGCAGCGGGAGCGTGAGGACGGCGAGGATCGCGCGCAGAGGTCGTGCGCTCAGTGCTCCGGATGACGACGGGTGCACGCGCCGGAACTCGCGTCCGCCGCGGGAATTGTTGCCTAGGAGGCCTTGGGAAGAGTCGTCGATGTCGAATTCTTCGATGTGCGAGACGGGTGACGGGGAGCGCGGCTTGGTGGGTGGGATTCCGTTCTCGAATATTAGGTTAGCGGCACGCTGTCCAGACAGAGAACATGATCAGATATATCCATAACGCTGCGGTCAGAAAATGATGAGGAAAAGGAGGAATAGACGATAGGTGATTGTATGTCACTCCCTTTTTCCGGCACGAAGACAAGTCATAAGAAGCATTAAATCTATCGCCACGACTGGATGAGCAACGTTCAAGTTTCAGCCACATACTGGCATAAGACAGTGCTGGAGCGGCCCGCATGAAGGCCCAAACATTCAGCAGGGCATACGTACGTGGTTGTGAAGTACCAGCACGGCAACTGTATCCACACCACGACTGCATCATCTGCAGTAGGTGACAGCAGGCCCGCGTGCGTGCGAGTCGGGCGGACACACCGCACAAGGCATGGCGGTTCAACTCGTGCGCACAGCCGTTCGGCGACGGGGGGCATCTGCATGAGCCCCCAGCGTGAGTCACTCGACCTGATAGGCCACATCCACACTGCAAGCATGAGTAACGCAGACTACAGGGATTGCAAGCGGCCACGGTTTGTCTCAGCAGACAGATGTACATGCCTAACCCGGGCTTCGAACGCGGACGACTGAAGAATAAACGAGAACGTACCACTCACCTGTACGTCCCAGTCGACACTTTCCAACACGCCAATTGCGACGTCGGCATCACCGCCGTCCATAATAGCCTGGAGCTGAGCCAGGGCTTCCTTCTGCGTGGCGGAGAGCGCGTCGACGTCCATTATATCACCAGATGATTATACTTGCACAAGTTCATTCAACAAAAACCTAGGATGAATGTCAACGAGTGTCGGCCGTCGTGAAGCAGGTTATATAGGCAGTAGCAGAGCCTGAGGGGTGTGGAAGAGTTGTGGAAGAGTGTCGGCCAAGTGCCGCACTGCTCCGAGAGTGCTCTATTTGACCGCGCTGCACGTGAGCGCTTCACGCTAGTTTTCATAAGGATTATAAATGTAAGTGCTACAGTATGCTATCCAGCTGTGGTCTATAAGCTACAATAGAAACTCTTGTCGGCACAAAATACGTGGAACTCGGGCGATCGTCCATTGAACGCCACTTTCTACCCGCGAACAGCTCCGCCTTCACGCCTTCATTGAGATAGTATCTTTCTTTCCTTCATACCCAGCAGTCAGTTCAACAATATGGGCGAAGTTCTGAACGTTGTTGTTGCGGTCGCGGTTATTGTCTTCATCGTCCGGTGGGCAACGTCTGGTACGTCATGTCGTCCCCGTGCTAGTAGCTCGCCTCGGAGTCGCGCTCAACCTCGGTCCACCGCTCGTCGCGTAGGGAAGGACACATCCTCAGGACCGTCTCCATCAACCGTGCTCGGATTCCGACCGAAGAATGTTACGGTAGACATGGTATGTGCATACAGTCGCGCGCGCGAGAGACGAACATGACCCGGAGGGTGTCTGCAGGTCGACACCGTACATACTATGTTCCCTGACATCCCAAGGTATGTTAACCATGATGCTGAGGCGCGAACACGCCGCTGAGGGCGTACGTGCGAATGCACAGTGACAACATCCGATACGACCTCCTACGCACCGGAAGCGTGCAGACGACCACGAATACCATCCTCGAGCGTGGCTTCCTGCCCGCGGTACGTCTGCCCCTGCTCTTCTCGACTCCCGCGCACTCACAGCCTGCACAGCCACCACCCGCGTACTACACGCTCTATCCCCGCGCACTCAACTCAACAGACACCGCGCCCGCCCGTCGGGGACCCACTCCAGCAGCCGCCTCGTCGTCCTCGAGCAAGTCCAAGTCCTCGAGCCTCATCGAGCGGTACAACCTCGAAGACCGTGTGGCGCTCTCGTCCGGCGTCGAGGCGCGGACGCCGGAAGAGGCCGCAGGGCGAGCGGTGTGGGAGGAGAATGCTGAGAAGCGGGAGGCGAGCTTGCGCGAGAGGAAGGCGCAGATGATCCTTGCCGCCAGGCAGTGCGTACCGCGTTTTGTCCGTGGTCGTATCAACGTTCTGACTGACGATTGTTCTCTCTAGGCGGTTGCTTGCACAGCAAGCGAAGGAGGCTTCCTCGTCATGACGCACGCATGGTTACAGTCGGAGGGTTTCTAGAGGGTTTTGGTGGCCGGTATTCACAGCTCCGCTCGTCATTGTCTAACTTACGCATTGTATTGGTTACGTTCCGCAATCGATTTTGAGCCCACGCATGAGGGATGAGACAACACCATCATCCTCGCGCATCGCCAACGGACTACTACGCCGACCGGGGGTTATGGGTGCACATAGGTAACGGCTGTATCTGCGTGGTATGCTATCCTGCAGCTGAGAAACTCTTGGTCGGCCGCCACGCCACCGAATGATACCTCAGAGCTTCACTGCCCGCCGGAGAACATCTTCCACTCCAAGTCATTTTGACAAAGAATCTAACCATCCCACCACACACGCCCTCGGACACGCAGAAAGACGAAAGGAAAGGATTCATACGGTCAATCGCTACAAACGGCTACGCAATGCACAAACTATACTAGTGTACAGTACACCGGCAGGGGGCGCCGGAAGGTATACAGGCATTAGGACCAAAGTTCGTTCTTGAAGACAAAAGAGGAAGGACTAGAATGTGCGGTATGGTACGCGTCTCGATCAATGGTCCAGGACAGACAGAAGCTAAGAGGATATAGGGTAGAAGGAGAATCACTAGTACTAGTAGGTTTCAAGATGACGTCGGGGTATGCAGCGAAAAGACGCAGAGTCAGATATCCGGACACGACATGGGCGTAGGCCGCGCTCAAACGATCTTGAACGCCTCCGAGTGCCACGTCTCGCCCGTCGTCGCCTTGTCCGACCGCTCCTGCGCGCGGTTCGCCCAGCCCTCGGGACGGCCGACGTCCTGCAGGATCGCCGAGTCGCGTTCGACACACTTGAACGTGCCCGTCTTCGCGTCCGCCTTCGACGCCGCGCTCGACGCCTCGTCCTTCTTACGCTGGAACAGCTGTGGAACATGTCAGCCCTGCGCCCTCCGACGACGGATGCAACTCACGTCCTGCAGCGCCTGTGTCCGGCTCTGGTTCTCGTCCACCTTCGCCTCCTCCATGCGGTCGCGCACTGTCACGAGCTGGCCTCGACGTACTCCAGCCCGTGCGCACCGCGTCCGCGATCGCCTTCTGCACCTGCCGCTTCACAAGACCGGTCGCGAGCGGCCGGAGCGTCTTGTACAGAAGGTCGTGCTTGCTGTCGCGAATGCTGAACTTGAGCGTGTCAACCTTGACTTGCACGTCCTTGACCTATTGTAATCCAGTAAGTCAGATTGGTTCTGTGAACTAATGGGAGACGGTGCGGCGTACGTGGAAGACAGACGAACGATCCTTGCCCGAGCTCGCAACCGTGCGGTGACAGTAAGACCATGCCCGCCAAGGAGCACGTCCGCGATGCCCGAGTCGCTGAGCTTCGGGAACCACTTTTCTTGCGGAAGTAGAATGAAACGTCGCGCATGTCCGCCTGGATCTGGCCGAACGTGAGCGTGAACTCGTGGCGGCCCTCGTCTTGGATGGCATTGTACGGCGAGAACTTCATGAAGTTGTGCGCCTCGACGGTGACGAGGTTCGGCAAGAGGTTACGTCCGCTGAGTGCGAGGTTCTCGATGACGAGGTCAAGCGCGTCGTCGGTGTACTCGACGCGCGGAATCGGGACGTAACCGACCTAGCATACAACTTATGTCAGTATGATCAACCTAATGAGCCGTTGACGCTGCGTACCCTATCGATGATAGTAGGCAGATGACCTTGCGGATGTCCATCCACAGCTCGGGCTTGAACTTCAGGCTGCCCTCGCCATCGAATAGCAGGTCCTTGGTGAGACGCGCCCAGTCAGTTCCGAAGCTAGGTTCCATTCCGCGTCAGCTACCTAGCACCCACGAAGAAGGTAACACGTACCGTTGGTTCAGAGGTCATCGCCGAAGGCAGTAACCATCGTCAAGGTGCCGAGCAGGTTGTCGAAGTGCCCTTGTACTTGCCCTCGTAGAAGCCACGGCCACGCTCAAGCAAGTCATTGCCTTGGCTGTTGCACTGCGGCTCCAACACAAAGCCAGCCTCGAGTAGGACCTATACACGCGAACCCGTGTTAACACATCAACGAGCTATGTGACCAAGAAAATGACGACTCACCTTCCGCACGTACGCGTCGCAGTCCGTAAACCACTGCCTCATTCAGGGTCGTTCTTCGAATCTTGGTACAGATCCTGGATGGCATTGCCTACGACGGCCATGCTCATGCCGTTCGCGAAGCGCTCCAGCAGTGTGCGAAGTTCGCCGAGCGCCTGCTGCATCGGACCCTGCGATTGCAGGTTCTCGTGGTGGTCCTTAGCTATGGTACCAGTTAGGTTTCCTTCTCTGAAGCCATGTCTTGATGACGTACCGTTCGCAGCAGCAGTCTTGCCGTGGCCCGCGTACTCCTCTAGCCAACCGAGGAGCCAGGTGATGCTCTCCTGGTAGTCCTTGTGGTTCTGGCATTCGATCACTACCTTCTTGAGGCTACATATGCGACGTTAATGAACTGATTCCGCGTGGACACTAGCTGTACTTACCGGTAGATGAACTGATCCCGACGCTCGGGCGGGAAGTACTCGTCGCTGAGGAAGTTCTTCGCGCGATCGACGTGGTCGTTAGCACGATCCTTGTGCTCCTGCGGGATCTTTTCGTTCAGTTGGTCCTAATTATGAGATCAGTGAAACGTCCTAGATCAAATAGCGGGAACATACGCGAACACCCCGAATTTTGCCCATCAGGCCGTTCTTTTTGGCCTCCGCGTCCGTAGAGTCATCGGGGACGGGATCGCCGCCGACAGTGTTGAGCGTGTCGTCTTCTGCGGTAGGCTTCGCCCTATATGCAAATATGTTAGCACTCCACGCATATAGCAAGTAGACGACGAATTCGATGAATATATGCGCCGCTCAGGGACACCAACAGCGGTGAAGACTTAAGTGCTCGACACATACCTTCAGCTCTTCTTTCTTCGCATTGGCCTCGCGAGCAGCCTGATCGCCGCTCTTAACATCACCGTTCGCTGTTTGACGGTGGCACCCTGGCCAAGCTCTGCCTTGGGGTGCTGGGCAACACGCGTATCCGTGCCGGGGATGCGTGCCTCGACAATCTGCAAACAGTGTGAGCTCGATGGTCAGTTGAGTGAATGTAAACTCACTGGAGTTTCGTCGGGGCCGGCAACACGACCACCCTCAGTGACAAACTGGTTGTGTGGGGCCGTGTCGTCGACTTGCGCAAGTCGTGCCTCGTCGGGGCGGGCGGTCTCTGCGAGTTTGCCGGCACCACGGGCGAGGAGGTCCCGGCCGATGACGCTGAAGTCCGCGATGAGCTTGCGGACCTCGGCGTTCGTCATGACGAGGCTGAGCAGGTGCGGAGGTGGGTGACGGCCTGCTGGCCGTCCTGCTTGGCCTTCTGCTGGTCGACGGGGATGTTGTCGGAGTTGGCGATGTTCTTCGCGGGCGCGGCGTCGACGGCGCGCGTATGCCAGACGAAGTTCTGGAAGAGCTCGTCGGCGTTCTTCTTCATGACGATGAGGCGCGCGGTCTCGATGATGTCGCGCGAGTCCTGGATGAGCTTCTGCCCGTCGCGCTGAGCGCGTTGAGGTCGACGGGCGAGTTGCTGAGCGCATAGGTGAGCGCCGCGTCGATCTGGGTGTTCGATGGCATGCGCGAGTCGCGCAGCGCCTGGATGACGCCATAGAAGCGGAGCTTGCGGTCGACGTCGGCGGCCTGCTCGCGCTTGTTGTGTGGCTGCGTGACCGAGTTGGACGCGGGGTGGTCGGAGATGTCCTTCGATGCTTGCGGGAGAGACATATTAGAAAGTCGTTACAGTCGTTACAAAAGTGAACGGTAGTCAAGTTTGAGTTCGAGTGGTCGTGAGCAGTCGTGAGATGAGGGGGGAAAGATGAAAGTCGAACCATCCCCCGCCGCCCTTATATACGCACGATCGCTTGCCATGACGCGGATGCGCCGACGTCAGAGCCCAGGTGCGCCAGGCCGTCCCTAGCTTGTGTGATGTCACTCGCCGCCCCAGCAGAGGCGCGCGATGCGTCGCGCCGCGCTACCGTTCCTGGAAGTCCCCGATGCATCTCAGCGCGATCTGATCTATGAACGTCAATGAACAGATCGGGTTGCGATTTGCTCATACTTGGCCTTACGACTCCATCTGCACGGACACTCTGCACTTACCGAGCCCCATTGCTGACCGGCGTTGCCTTAGACGGTATATAAGGGTACATATGCACCACTGGCATGGCCAATTTCGGGACCGAACATGGTTAGGGCACCGCGGTGGCTCCTCGTTCCTCGAACAAGCGCCACATAGCGAGGTCCACTGGTGCTCTGCGACGCAGCCTCAGTAGTATCACGTTCACTGGCTGCTCTGACGCAAGTCAGGGAGCCGCACAGTGGACCGATCATTCCTACTGTATCCTCCAGTCGACGCCGCAATCTCGAGTCCTTCCAATTGCGCCTGCTGGTCGCTGCGGCGGCAGCACATGTTCTGCCTCTGACGGCGGCAACTATACGCCAACGACTCTAAAGGCTATTCCTTTACTGTGCTGGGTCTCGCTCCGGGCGGCGTCGAACCCGGTTGTCATCTGGACCGACGCCTGTTGGACGTGTCTCCACTGACCCTTGCTGATACGCGAGCTCAAGACATCCAGCGGTTCCGATCCAATTCCGATCGTACCTATGTATGGCCCTTCGCCCTGCAACTCTGAGTGAGTGTGCCCACTTCAAGGCACCAATGCCTGAAAGAGGCACATACCGTCATCGCACCCGCCAACTGCAGCTCCGTGCGTGGTTCTACGTGCCACTGTAATCCGATAGTGATATGAATCCAGCAACGCTACTGACGCACCTTCACACGCAACTTGTAGCACCTCAGAGCAAGGCAACCCGGCGGCACGGCGGGACACTGCGCGCTCATCCTACCCTGCGGTCATGTCGCAGCACCACAGCATTGGAGGCGGGAGATAGTGCATGTCTGTTCTAGAGTGGACAAACGTTGAAGATACTGGTCTGAGGCTTCGGGAGTCGCGGACATGACAATTAACAGCACGGAAGAGTCGAGGAGCTGAGGAGGAAGGAGGCGCCTATGAGCGCTTGAGGGCGACAGGTATCCACGTGATTTCCTCGCTGCGATGGCGATGAATTCACTCCTCAGCAGTATTCGAAACCATCTACACCGTGGATGCTCCCGACAGCAATATTAAATATGTATCCCGGGGATAACGGCGCACCGCGTGTAAGCACCAAGTTCCATGCGACCGACCCGGGGAGTAGGCTGACCCTATACTTACATTGCAGGACTCGGACTGGAAGGAGCAGGTTTTGCCTGGTTTTGCACGGGCGATAGTTGGCATCCGGATATGAAGCGCAGCAATTGCGACGTGTCTCAGAAGATCTGGAACCGCCTCGACGTGGCAGGTAGGTATGTCTCACCTCGGTCTCAGCCTGAGGGTATGCCGGAGGATACAAAAGGTTGAAGGACCCACCAGCCTGAAGGGCTTACTACGGCCCTGGAGGCGATCATTAGAGCCAATCCGTATCGTGCATGTTCCAAGCTCCTCTGGCTGTAATCCCGGGTCAATCCGGCAGACTCCCTGATTTTGCGTGGAAGAAACGAGCAGCAATGTCTCACTGGCAGACACAGCAGGCAGGCTGTACACTGAGTTGAGACACAGTACTCGCTATGTTCGATTGTGGCGTCTGCTGAAGCGTTAATAGTCCTTGCCGAAATTTGCGGACAAGATGGCCTCGTTCAGAAGCCCGAGGCAATGAACTATCTGGAAGCAGGCGAAGAGCTGGCCGTAGAAGGATATAGTGATGCCTTTGTGGCGTTGATCGGGGACGTGGATCTGGTGAGGGGTGCGATTGATTAGACGCGAGATCAACTTGTCATTGACTTGCCTTCTTCGACTTGATGCAGACCGGTACCGCCGCAGCATATTGTTTTCGTTGGGCATCCCTACCTCAAGGTACTCCCTGTGTTCTTCGGTGATACGTAGGTGCATATTTGGGTTGTTTTCACAGTGATGGGTTACTACCACCACGAAGGCCTACCTGGATTGTGCGGAGCAGTTGCCACATGCTCCTGGCATCTGTTGTGCGTATGTCAACTTGAACGTTGTCGCGCGCCATAGTTCGTGTCCCTTCCGCAAATACGCTAATTCAATCGAAATGGTCCGGCGAGTAAACGTCAAACTCTGTTTTGCTCGGGTACCGTGCTCGTCTTGCTCTTCACTTCACGCCGGTCGCCTCTTCCCCCCAACTCCCACCTTCGCCAGGGCGCATACACCCGCTTGATTACCGGCCCAGAGGTCAATGGCCTTCGCGACCCTCCGCGCCCTCCACACCATCATCGGCGACGCGCTGGACGACATCGAGAACGTCTTCCGCGATGCTTCCGCTGCGTCCGACCCACTCGATGTTCTGCGTTCGCCTATCTCGCCCTCGCCGTCCCCACTATCTCCGTATTCACCAAACACTGCGGTGCCGTACTCGCCTTACTCGCCGTATTCGCCCTCTTCGTCGGTTTCACAGTCCCCAGGTGAGTAGTCGATTTTATTGTGATGTTTCGGGTCGAGTGGCATCACGAGATGAGATGTGTGGACATGCAAGCCTCCGTTGCTGGATTGTCCGGACATAGCATGTCGTGGTCGCCTCAGGGTGAAGAGCATCATGACATCGATGTTGTGTTTGAAGGTTGCCACGATGCCCTCGTCCTTTTGCTCGCGAAACTGATCCTATGTATTTGCTGACTACTCCATCTACAAACGCAGGACCGTACCCAACTCCGACTCTGCTTTCATCTGGAGAGTCACACGTAGATTCAAGAGCACCTTCGCCTGCTCCGTCCTTCGGAACGTCTTCGTTATCGTCGTATTCAGGGACTGGCACCTACTCTTCGCATGCATCCTCGCGAATCGAACTCAGAAATGATATCGACGCGCCGGAGGTAGGCAAAGTTGGGACTTCCCATTCTACTGTCGCGACCAAGACGCCACCCGTATCCCCCGTAATTCTCACTGTTGCGTCGACTTCATCTCACTTGGCAGTATCTGTCCCGTCCAGCTCTTCTGGTGCCCTTGCATCTACACCCGTGCGCGCACCACGCAAGCGCTCGGGCACTGTCACCTCTGCTTCGAACGCCTTCCGGCGCGTCTCCAACCTCCTTGGGGTCACTGGTCGACATGGCAGTTCGTCCGGCAACATCGCTGTCGCAGGCGCGTCCCTCGACGTATCGACCGCTCCTACGCTCGACACCGCCGTCACGCCGACTTCAACACCATCACAAGGTGTCCCCAGGCCGTGCGGAGGATCTAGTCTGGACTCTGCGTCCGCCGAACACGCTCTATCTCCGATTGCGTTTGCGTCACCGGCGAGCCCACCGTACATCAGCGCCGTGACGCCGGTGCGCAGGCGGACGGGGTCGATCACCGCGTCTGTGTCTGCGCTGACGCGTGCGTGTACCTCGGCGGCGTCGCTGCGAGATTCGCCTGTCACCCCAGGAGGCGGAGCTGGGCTGGCGTGGTGTGAGGAGTCGCCGGGGCGCGCTGCGGGGGAGAAGGAGACGCCCTCGCCTATCCAGTTTGCGCCCAACCCGCACGTGCCCTCGGGACTGGTATCGCCTCAGACACCTACGAGCGTGCGGAGCCCAGCGTCTCAAACCGAGTACGGGGAGACGGATTCGCCCAGGACGCCCAGGGAAAAGGAGAGGAAGCGCCCGACACCGCTGGCCCTCCTGCCTGCTCTGACGCCAACGAGGTCGCGGCCACACGAGAGCTTAGTCGGCCGCAAGGATTGCGGGAACGACGAGCAGACAGAGAGGGATGATGGTCAGCAGCTCCCTACGCCTGCGTCGCTCTTTGCCGCGTCGTCACCGACGCTGACGAGCGCGCATACACCAGGGCGCAGCTCGGGTTTTATGTCGACGAGCGAGGTGTCGTTGTCTGCGGTTGGCAGCACGCCGCTGAGCGTAGCGCCGGGGGCTACAAAGCAGAGTGCGCCTGCGCTCGGGGCGGCTTGGGAGGAGCCCGCCTCGCATGGACATAACGCGACGACTAGAAAGTTGGACACGACACCGAACGCGGTGCCGACCCCCCCTCCGAGCGGGAGGGCCCAGGGATCAGTGAGACCAGGCCTTCCAGAGCTCGATTGGCCGAACCTGGACGAGGCGTATTATGTCACACAACAAGACGGGCAGCGTATTACGGAGAGCAAGAACGCGGCTTCAGGGTCGCCGCACACGCCTGGTGGACCCCGCGCTCCGACGACTCCGAGCACAAGCACGAAGGATGACGGAGCGGCTGCGCGCGCGAGAAGGGAGGTGGCGGAACGACTGTCTGAGAGCCCGGCGGTGCTCGCGGCGGTGAGCCGGCTCGTGGCGGCGTGTGGTCAGTTGTGCGCCAGGTGCAGAGGCCGTTCTTGACCGTGTGCGATGCGGCGATGGGGGTGAGCGGTCCACCGTACTCGGTGTTTCGCGTGTACTGATGCGCTCTTCTTTCGTCGCGCTTATAGTATCACCTCCCTGCGTGTCTGCGCTTGCTTGAGGCGGCACATATACCGGAGATATTGCGCGAGGCGGGACCGAAGGGGATGCATGTCAAGGAGATCGCGCATAGAGTGGGCGAGATTCGCCGGGCTGGTAGGAAGGAGTCTGCGAATTCGATCGCTGGCAAGCGGGTTCGTCTGGAGAGATCGAGAGCGGACCATCGGGAGAGACGCAGACCGACCCTGGAGAACACGAGAGCGGTGATAGCAGGAGGAGACGAGTGACATGGATCCTGCTTTGTTGAGTGCGTCGTCTGTTCTTCTGGTATTTCAGCCTGACGGCCGAGCTGAAAATATATATGTATCTTCGACAGGTCATGCGCTGCGCTTGCTCGCGACTCACCATATCACAAGGAAGTGAGACCGACGTATTCGCGAACAATCGCGTGTCAAGCGCTATGGATAGTGGGAGGGACCTGTCCGAACTGATGCACGCGTGAGCGTTCTTGCCTGTGGTTTGGGGACTGAGTCGCTGACGTGCATGTTCGTATGGGTGTGTTCGGTGATTGTTATCTGGTACCTTTCATTAAACAGGTCAGAAGCGAAGTACGAGGGCACGAATGGCATCGCAGCATTCGTTGGACTTTGGTACGTGACGAGTCTCGCGACTCCGAATTCACTTTTGACTCGGTTGCCTACAGCACAGACGAGTTTTCAAGTCGCTGCATACCTGACGGATTGCTACCTACCTCCTCTAGACGATATACAGCCATCAGTGCAACGACTGCCACCAATCGAGGGGAAGTTAGCGAACAGGACGCACGTCCGACTCGCGGTTCGCAAGACTCAGTGGGGAGAGATCGCGGTCTGGGTCGTCAGCACGCTGCTCATGACAACCTTAGCCACGCCAGCCTTGCTGACCTTGCATTGGGAGATCAGCACGAATTCGCGTCTTTGAACCGTGAATCTGGAGAGCCAGCCGCTATCCCGCAGTCGACGCCAGCCACTACCTTAGGTGGACGGGAGATTGTATCGAAGACAAGGAAACCACAGAAAGCCGCTACAAAGAATCTGATGCACGCGCCGTTCAATCTTGCATTCCGTACAAACGCACCATACTTCGAATGGCTCGAGACGAAGGAGAATGCCTCTCGTCTCAAACGATTTGGTATAGCTATGACAGGAACCGGAGCATGGGAAGTTCCAGGAGCGATTATTGGCGGTGCGTCAACGATGGTAATAGATTGGGAACCCCTGATGCCAAACAATACACAGGGTTTCCGTGGCATTCGCTACCCCAAGATTCTGTCGTGGTAGACGTAGGTGGTGGCATTGGATCTACCTCGCTCTTGCTTGCGCACGCGTTCCCGCATTTGCGTTTTTTGGTGCAGGATCGTCCGCAGGTTGCAATCATGGGGGAGGCTGTGAGTAATCTCGAGCTCTTGTGCAGCTATGATTGAACCCCTATAAAGGCTTGGCAGGATAGGAGTCCTGAGTTCCTGGAGACTGGTCGTGCCGCATTCCAAGGACATGATTTCTTTGCGCCGCAGCCACCGTGGCCTTCTGTCTTGCGAGAGACGTCCAGAGGGGCGGCTAGCGGGGACATACCTGCGGTGTTCCTCTTGCGTGTAATCACCCACGACTGGCCGGATCCGTATGTCACTCGGTGCGTTGGCATTTCGTGTAAAATTGAAGTGCCCTGATCAAGGTTCTCGCTCATAGTATCCTTCTACACCTCCGACGCGCAGCAGGCCCGGATACAAAGTTGCTTCTCGCGGACTGGGTCTTACCCTTGGCTTGTATCGACGAAGACCTCGATCCAGGTTCACCTCGGGCAGATGCGGAGATGAAAGAGAAGATGAAGGCTCCACCTCTCCCAGGCACTGTGCGCACGCTCGCACCCGAGGGTTCGCCATTGCTCCCGAATCTAGGGAAGGCAAATGCAAATGCTTACTGGTTGGACTTGACGGTACATCGTGTTCATCATTTGACGTGGATCGCGCTGATCGTTCTTTACAGATGCGCGTGACATTTAATTCTCAGGAGCGTACACTCCGAGAAATGGCTGCGCTGACGCTCACAGCCGGTTGGCGCGTTGTCCAAGTCACTAGGGCAAATGGGACGCTCTTCGGACATATTATTGCTGTGCCGACAGACATCCCACTGGAAGCCCTTGCTTTGCTGGACGTACCATTGCCCAGCCAGACGTCTCTTACTGGCACCGAAAGTTGGTTTCCATTCATCGGTCAAGCGGTCGTGGTACTGATTGTCTCGTGTCAGATGGTGATACCTCTACTGAGGGAGTCAGATCGCCAGCCATGGGTGACACGTTCTGCTCCGCTGTCTCCCTACCTACAGAGGACGACGTCCGTAAGGGAGTTAAGGCGGGTCGGAAGGCTGCACATAGCTGGCAGACGCGTGCCAGCGAATGGCGTCAAAGACTAGTGAAGAAGAGCTCGGCGATGTGGAGGGATAGGAAGAACTCGGTCGCTCAGCGGGCACAACCACCGGTGCCTTTCGTTCGCAGTCTGGAACTGCTACCAGCAGTGGAGGTGGGCGTCCATTCGCATGGGAGGTCGAGTAGTGCTACCGACGGTGCAGACGTGCGAGATCATATGCGGCCGGTGGCAGGAAGCGAGACCACCAGCCCTCGCATAGAGGATCAAACCGGGGATAATAGTAAGGAGAAGGACAAGAGGAAGCCGGCGGGCTTAAGGAAGGTATTCTCGCGAGCCCAGTTAGGTGCACGGGAACGTAGAGAGGTAATTCGCAATGTAACTTTGTCAAACGCTAATCGCGCAGCACGACTGTGTCAATGCATCGCGTCCCAAGATCATTAGATCTCACCTCAGCGTTACTTCACTTGTTAATTGAATCCCAGCGAGTCTACGACTGCTAGCAGCATGGTGAGAATGTACAGCGACTAGCTGCGACTCACCCTGACAAGACGAATGTGTCGCCAGCATATGGTGATCATACGGTCTCAAATTGTCTCTGTCAAGAGCGAGCGAGTGAGACTATTTGATGTATGCGGCGGTACCATGTCTGACCTGAGTAGTTCGGGCCTGCAGTTGTTCAAATCAAGAGTATCTCCGCCGGAAGCACCGACGCGACGCCGTCAGTAGTCGACGGTCTACGGAAGTCCTTGTGTCGACGAACGCTGAAACGTGAAATCCAAACCACTGGCCTCCCGACGCATCAAAGAGAGGTGCCTGCTCACAGAGGGCCGTCGGTATTCACTCAACGGACGTTGATTTCAGTCGACGGTTGGTCGACGATGGAAGTATTTGCTCAGGCTTGAAGCTTTGAAGGAGGAACTCGGATAGTCATACAATTTCCCGGTAGTGCACACGGTCTGCCTGACGAGGGGCCTTGGTGCTAGACTCGCCACTCTGAAATTGCGTCGCACCGGGTCGTCAGGCACCATATATGTTTACCTGCTGTTTGTCATGACGTTCGTTACACCAACTCGTCTACGGCGAGCCGTGGCTTCGCAGAGAACACTCAACACACCTAATCCTACAACAATACATCTCGTCACTTCTATCACTCCCACGCGCCCGCGTGTATCTTCCGTAGTCTGCGCGCCCTCCATGATCGTCCGGGGACGACTAGGCAGACGCATACTTCTCCGTCCACTCCCGGCTCACGCGCTGAGCATCCTTCTCGTTCTCCTTATAGTGCTTCGCCACGTCTGTTGCTAGAGGATCGTCGGGGTTCGGGGAGCTGAGGAGGGCTTGGATCGACAGAAGGACCGTTCGTATCTGCAGAGCTGGGGACCACTTGTCTGGATCCGTCATAAAGACAGGGTTTAATCAAGGGTCGAACTGAGCCCGGGTGCTGCACAGAAGGGGTAGGATCCGCACCTTTCAGGATATCCAGACAGATCCGGCCCAGTTTGTCTGTCATCAATCGCCCGACAGTTTCAGCACTACGCGCCCTTGTCTCGCAAACGCGCAACGCACGCACCGATATTGGGATGGTAATCTTTGTCAGGAAGCGCACCTTCGGCGGTGCCATGGGATACTCCTCCGGCAGAAAAAGCTCCAGTCTGAACACGCCACCTATACAACGAGATGAGCCAGAAATGCGTCGGCATAGATAGATGGACCCAGCAAGAAGTGGGGACAACATACTCGCGAATGGGCTGCCATCGGGTCCCTGTATCGTAACGTCGAAGTATCGGAGGTTATCGTCGTGCGGCAGCGCAGTAATTCCCGGTGCAGGATCTGCGACAAGCCTCTCGGTTTCCTATCTCCGTCGTACCCGCGATTTGAAGCGTGGTGAGACGCAGTAGGTCCGGGTGCACAAGTGAGACGTGCGTACCTTGATGATGCGCTACGAAAGGATCAGTTGAGCATGCCACCTCAGCAGGTCAGGCTGTTTTGTGCAAAGACAGACCTTGGGCAGTGACATGGTGCGTGGATGATGGAGGGAGAGACGTCGGGCGAGCACTGCCAGTGGCGACCCGACGGAATGAGACAATTACGAGCCAATTACACGGTTTAGGTACCGATAAGGGCACTTACAGGGTTGTTTCAAAATGGTAAGTGAGCCGCTGCCAGACGTGGTTCCGAGAATCATTCAATTTCGCGCGTCCTGACACTCAAGTACAGTACTCAGTACTCAGCTGAGGCCTCCATAAACTCAAGCTGCCGCTCCAATATTAATGCAATCGTCGGGACAACTTGTCCACAAAACTGAAACTCAAGACACGGATGACGGCGACTTCGCTGCAGGCATCCGAGTCGGAGTCCCCGATCTGTCTCACTAGTGTCTGTTGTGTACATTTGTATTCGTGTACTACAATATTGCACCCTATGAAGGTTTCCAAATCACTTGAGAAACTACCGCCTCCAGCCTCATAAGCACGCGCCACGGGATAACTACCGCTCAGGACAAGCGTACGAAATTGAAGCACAGGCTACTTCTTTGCTCGCTGCTATCCTATTTGCGGCTGCCCCGTTTGCGGCTGTCCCTGCCGTTGCTTACGATACACTGCTAGCATTCGTGTTTCTTTCTTTCCTTTGTCACTTGCATAATATTCATAGGCATAGGCTGTACGCAGTAAAAATAAGTACATATCGGCTAACAAAGGAGTCCATCAGAGTACGGGCGTCGTACGACGCAGGTCTCCCCGCAAGTACAGCAGTTCCTGAGACCTTGTGCGCTACAGTGCGCTACAATCCACATCGGGTGATACCACAACTAGTCTGTTTGCAGAGCTTGTTCCGACGTGACATGTTCCCGGCCAGGATGATGGCTCCGGATGTGGTCGTTGAGGCGCCACACACGGGAGAACGACTTGTCGCAGTTCTCGGCGGGACAGAGATAGCGGGTGCCCATCGCGCTGTGGATGTGCTTCTTGAGGTTCTCCATCCGCACGGTGTGAGTCGCGGCTCCGTCCATTCTGTCCGGACAGTCTTCCCAGAGGCAGACGACGTCGTACCGTCCTGGCTTACCCTGGTAGTCCGGGGGCACGACGACGTGGGCAGACTTCACATGCTGCGGAAGGTCCCGACGAGCAAAGGACTCATTGCAACCAGCCCACTTGCAGTGCATCGACAATGCTGGAGAGCCTGTGTCGTCTGCCACCTGCACGCGTCGACGCTTTGAGGCCCGGGGAATCTCCTCCTTCTGGTCGCCGACATCCGGAGACAAACGACGCTTGCGCGGACGCCGAGCTGATGTCGAGCTGGCCTTAGGGACGTAGTCCTCGTCCGCAGCTTCGAGCTTCATTTCCACTTGGGTGGCCTCTTCTTCGCTGTCGGACGGAGACACGAACTTGGAGGCCGCTCCCCTCCGCGGTCGCTTTGACGGCGCCGGTGCTTCTAACGTTTTCCCCTTCCGCTTCTTCACGGGCACGGAAGCCGGCATTGCGCTGTGCAATTTGTGCCCTCACGTCAATTTGAGATGTTGGATGAAAGGTATGCTGACCACGTACTTTTCCCCAGAGTGCTCAAGTCCAGTACTCAGACGTGCGGCGGGATCAACAACCTTTGCAGCGGCCCGATCTGCCACCTTCGGTGCTTGGGGCCCCGTCTGAGCCGGATGGTCAACAGGCGAGTTCTCTCTGTGGTCCGATACCATCGAAGCCACAACGTCGCTGCATGCACAGAATCAGTGTGTAAGACCAACCAGATGATAGCTATATAACTGACGTTGGTACATGGGCAGCGCTATGAGTACTAGGTTTGGTCTTGCCGTAGCTCGCTGAAGGGGATCGGAATCGGACAAGCGAAGAGGGCGGCGGAGAGGCAAATCTAGTATCTTGGGAGGGCGGGGATCGCCGAGACGTAGAAGGCGATCCTGTTGTGGGTCGCGGACTCGAACGTGGCCTCGCCGCGCCCTTGTCGCGTATGTCACTTTTGTGCGATGTAAGCAGCATGGTTCACAAAATAGCATAGTTGACATACCGTGGATACGTTCGCGACGTCAATGCAACCGGCGCGACTGGTGATTCAACGGAGGGCTTCTCTACGTCGAAGTCATCAAAGTCGGGGATAACGGGCTCGCGCTCCCATTCGACGTCTGCATGTGGACGCTTGTGGCCCGTGCAAATGATCTCGTCTTCGTCGTCCTCTTCTGACTCAGACCCACTGTCTGTCGACCAGTCTATGTCAGTGTTATCCGACGGCTTGACGCGTCGAGTTACGCTGGTGTATCCAAGGTACATCAATATCACCCATACAGAGGGAGTCACATGATCGCGTCACTCACGCGGTGGCCTCCGTCGTTGTTGCCGCCGTTGTCGCCACGTCCACGCCGTCTGTGGCCTCATCGGAGTTGCCATCTTCTTGCAGTTCTCTAGAGGAGTACAATTATTGAGACTTGTAGAGGATTCTGGTCGATGCATATCGACTAACTCATCTGCATCGTGGCCGTCGTCCTCCTCAGAGTCGCCTTCAAGTTCGTCCTCGTCCTCGTCAAGTTCATCCTCGCAGTCCGAGTCATCTTCATACTCGATCTCATCGTCATGGTCTTGGTCCTCTGCGGAATACGCAGACCCAGACTCGTAGTATTCGTCTGGCAGTCTGTAGCGTCTCAAAAACCGTTTCAAACGTAGCGTGCGCCTGAATCGGAAGTTCAACAAAATGACTACGGCGAGTGTACATTGAACTCACTGCGATGGCATCACAACGATGCTGTCGTAGTATTCTTGCTGGTCTACCTCAAAAAATGGGGCGCTGAGACACGGTGTTAGCATACAGCTGAGGCTGCTCGTCCAAAAGAGCACTCACAAATCCTCAGGGCCCGGTTCGGGCAGCAATTCTGGAGGTACGAGGGTGCGATAGCTCAGCGAATTGTGGACGCGCTTGGACAAGGGCTCAGGATGGTCCGACATCGTGCGGGAGGGAAGCTAGAGGTCGAGTCGTTTGAACGAGTGAGATACAGGGCCACCGGCGAGCTGTGGACCCTGGGTAGAGATCTAAATAAAAGGGCGGGAGGGGAAGGACGCGTAAAGATGCTGCGCGAGAAAGAAGGAAAGAGTGCGGTGCGGCTGCCTTTGTACCAAACGCCACACTGCCACATGCGCAAAGCGGGACTTACAAGCGTCCCTATGTACGCCTCGTGGGAGAAGCAGACACAAAGGCCACAGCATGGCGTCACGCGACAGGACTAAGCTCCTTGGAAACAAAGAATTGCACAGTAGACAATGAACGTGCGCTTACGAGAGTTCAGTGGCTGTGGCCTTCTCGTCCCGGGCCCTTGGCCACTCGTTGCCAGGGACCGTTTTTGTCACAATAGACGAGTAGCTTTGACTTTTTAGGATCAACTCCATCCACTGTACCCCGCATGTGTGGTGGAAGTCATAGCCGCGGCGCTGAGCTGGACCTGGCAAAGAAATTGGTGACTGCAGGCATATAGACAGCGACGGTGACCACGTACTGAGCCTTCACTGCCCCACATCTCTTGCGGACAAACTCATCGCTAGCAGGCAGAAGCATCGCATGAACGGGAAGGTACTAAGGCAATGATGCGATAATCTACAGATCACGGTGAACATGAACATGCGTGGTAGTATACTGCGCAGTAAGCTAAAGATACAATCAAGGATGGAAGTGGTGAACGGTCCATGATGAGCAGTTCGTATGAGATGCAGCACAAGTCTTCGGTATTCGGTGAAGGGTATTAAGGAACAAGACAGTGGTCAACGTCGATCAATGCCGATACGTTCTCTGGAGCCATGCGAACGGCTTCCTGGAGGCTACAGAAATGCGGGAGAAGGCGGACTTCGCACTGGCAGAGGAAGCGGGCGACAAGAGAGATTCGCTCGTTGACGCAGAACTGCAGCCAGTGTGACATTCGTGGACGAATTGTGGCAGCGCCAGCGTGAGGATGTCTAGTTGCAACTTCGGACGCCTGCCAGCTGGGAAAGAACTGCTGTCTCCCTCGTGGAGCGCGACTGCGAGAGCGAATATGAGGCGACATCGTTGCAATGACAGGCATCACAAACCTTTCATTTCATCATCAACGATAGGGCGTTTTCCGCTGTGGTCTGCTGGGCATCCCGGCCTACAGACTGTTAGCTGACTGTACGTTCGAGCAAAGAACTACTTACCATGCTTCTGCGAACGCGCCTGGCCCGTATGTAGAATAGTCGTCGTCGACGGATATCTTGATTTCGGAGGACTCGTCCGGTTTATATCCATCGGCATAGACAACTCTTTTCTCGACTTTGAAAAATATTTCCACTGGATGGGTAGAAGTGGACGATGCTTTGCTGTCGTTACACATCTTCAATAGGGAAGAGGAGGGATGGTGGATATCTCGGTAGGCGTCGCGTTTTGAAGGTTACTGGCGTGGAAACATCGAGCCGCGCAATGGTGCTTCCTATGATGGATGCAGTATATGTGTGGAATCGCTAGCAAGATGCTCCCCGCAATCGCCAGCGACAGCTGGCAGTACCGCTAATGCCAAGTACGCGTGGTTCTAACCAAACGTTATCAATGTCATTGTGTTCATAGCACTCACCGGAATATGTTCACTGTGCGTCATTGCAGACAGAGTGCATCATATACTATGGATATGGATAGCTCCCTGCAATCGGTTCGTAATCACTGAAGTAGCGAGGGCGTATTAGGGTTCTGTCAGCGCGGTATCCGAGTCAGCGAGCTAGATCCATATGAACCGCACTATGACATGTCTGGACCATCTCTCGTATTCTACTGTCTTCAAGAGCAGTACGCGAGGCCTTCGAATAAGACTGAAGGAACCCTGCGACCACAAGATGCAGAAGCTTGAAGACCATACTCGCTTAAGCTATGGTACAGATATGGGCGCCAAAGCGCTCTATCCATGTCACGTGAGCTGGGAGAACAGGGAGAACCGCACACTTACACTGCCTTGCCTCATACCTCCATGTCGCGTTCATCCCTGGACGATACGTCTGGATACTACTCTTCTGCTCTCCATAAGATCCGCGAGAAACAATCCGGTACAGCCCACGATCCTACGCGCGATGGTCCCAACCTCCGGGGACGGCTGGTCGAACATGTGCGCGTCGCGATCTTCGCGCCCGATTTGACAACCACTCATCCCAACCCAGGTGAAACCACCAGCCGCCCAGCCTCCCAGCGATCAGGACTTCTACGTCCCGGATGTACAAGCGGGCGTCCACAGGCCGAACGTCAGGCTTCTGCGAGACCATTTCTTCGACGAGGGTCGCCTTACGGAACCGCAAGCCTTGTTCATACTCGAACAAATCACAACGCTCCTGACGCAGGAGCCCAACATGCTGCAGATTGACGGGCCAGTAACGGGTGAGTCGGAATACCCATTAGCGTCTCGTGAGGGTGTCTTGTGCGTGGATCACCGTATGACCATGTCTGGACAGAGGACTCTGTCCTCATCCGGGCGGGCCCAGTATATCTGAAGCGGATGGGCTTGACTCTATCCCAAGGCTGTTTTCCTCAGCAGGGTACTGCTGTGTCGTACAAACAAAGACAGGCAAGGAGACAGGAGTGCTTCAGGAACGTGGAAAGGCTGTCGACTCGTCTGCTGGGGTCACACACAGACACGCAGACGCACCTGTCATCGGCTGTGGTCTGCGTCCCATAATGTGGTCCATGCTGGCTACAGCGCATATGGGCGCACCAATTGTGCCCCTTGGCGTTATCTCTGCGTTCGTGTGTGCGCTTGCCTACGCTCGCTCGCCCATGGAGATCGATGAACGAGTTTGTTATCTGGCTGAGACTGTTGCGCCCCTGCCCCCGTACAATGCATATTAGCACCACTTGCACCAGAGCGTTTAAATCTGGGAAACCTGGGCACTGGCTGGGTTGCCTGCGCGCGTACCTGTCTAATCATCAGGTCGCACTGCAAAGAAACCATGATTTCCTCCGCGCACAAGAGTTGCGATGAAATGCAAGCTCTTTCCCATACCTTCGCGGGCAGGGAAAGTGGACCATAGGACATCATTCTCGGCCTAGGAAAGGCTTCAAAGTCTTTTGTCCGCGGGGAAAGACGTCCATCGACGTCTTTGCGAAACACATCTATGTCGCGGGGACACCATGAGGAATCCTTTTCACTTCCGATGCCTTTTCTGCCCGAGGAAACCATGATATCTTTGCAGTGTCGGTCTTAGCAGAACAACATAGCCAGATGCTTGTGATATGTGATCGGGGTGTATATTAGTATTGCACGATGCGTGCTGCCCGCCCGATGCGAGGACGTCCTGATGCACGCCCACTGACGATCCGCAAGCTCGGCGAAGTGGAATTCCCGCGAGCGCCGGTCAGGACGCTCGGCTCCTTGTGAGTACACGTTCGCAATAACGAAACATGACATGCTGGCATACCCCCTGTTGTGTCAAGCCTCGTTCCTGAAATCGCTGTCCAACGGACCGTAGTTGGTCGACTATTGGGAGCACTTCTGTGTTTCGAATCCACAGTTCCTTGCTTCTCTGACCTCTTCACATGTGATACGCTCGCCTATAATGACTTGCTGTATGTGCAGCGATCCACGCACTGAGTGCATGCACGACCCGCTGCACCCTGTCCGCTCAAAGTACTGATTCTTTTGTGCTGTACAGTCTGCGGGGATATACACGGACAATATGTAAGTTGCAAGTGGGTTATGTGCTTATTCAGCCGCTGACACCACTCGAATAGTATGACCTAATGAAGATATTTGACGTTGGTGGCTCGTTCGCAGAGACGAGCTACTTGTTCCTCGGGGACTATGTGGATCGCGGCTATTTTGGAATTGAAGTATGCATACCAATTGTATTCCACCTCCCACCTCGCTCACTTCGACCACGTAGTGTTTGCTGTATCTTTATACGTTGAAGCTTTGGTATCCCGATCGTCTCTTCCTGTTGCGGGGCAACCACGAATGCAGACATCTGACAGAGTACTTCACCTTCAAGCGTGAGTGCCTCCACAAGTACTCCGCCACGGTGTACGAAGCGTGCATACGCTCGTTCCAGGCACTGCCCGTGTCGGCGCTCCTGGACGGGAAGTTCTTCTGCGTGCACGGCGGCATCTCGCCGGAGCTGATGAAGCTGTCGGATATTGACAAGGTGTGTGGAGGGAGCTCGACCGACCGATGCTGATGGCTGACATGTGTCCACAGATCGATCGGTTTGTTGAGCCCGCATCTGTGGGCCTCCTGTGCGACTTGCTCTGGTCTGACCCCATGCCCGGTTATGGCGAAGAGGTGAGTTACTCCCCAATGTCCTGCGTGGGTCGCTTATTGGATTGCGCAAGCACAAACCTACATACGAGCGTCCACAAGGCCTCCCGCCTGGCGTAACGTTCGAGCCGAATCACACGAGGGGATGCAGTTTCTACTTCACGTGGTTCCCTTGTCGTCGCGCGCCCGCATAGCTGACAGGCCGCAGTTACGAGGCCGCGTGTCAATTCCTCGATCGGAACCACCTACTGGGCATCTTCAGAGGGCACGAGGCACAGGACGCGGGGTACTGCATGTCTCACCCGTCGTGAATCCTGCAATAGGCTAACTCGCCGCTGTTAGGTACACGATGCACCGCAAGACGCCGACGAAGAAGTTCCCATCGCTGATTACGGTGTTCAGCGCACCGAACTACCTCGACGCGTACCACAACCGAGGCGCGATCATCCGGTACAAGGATAGGAGCATGACGATCCGCCAATATAATGCATCGTCACACCCGTACTGGCTGCCGAACTTCATGGACGCGTTCACGTGGTCCCTCCCGTTCGTGGGCGCGAAGATCACGGAGATGCTGCTTGCGATCCTGGCGGTGTGCTCTGATCATGAGCTCGAAGAGGCAAGTCATACATCGTCGGAAGAGGACGAGGATCGCGCGAGGGCGCTTGCGGAGATCGAGGAAGATGATGAGGATCGCTCGCATCCCAGCGAGAGGAGGCAGGAGATCAAGAATAAGATTTTGGCTGTGGGCAAGATGCAGCGGGTGTTCCAGCTTCTACGGTATGAGTAACTATAGTATACGGCTCCTGCAGGAGGGCTCACAATGATGTGTCACAGACAAGAAGCGGAAAGTGCCACGGAACTCAACCCTACCATGCCAGGTGCGCTGCAAGCTCCTGGTGCCTGGCCGGGCGGCTTCGCACAGCCTACACCCGCACCGGACGCGCTCGGCGTGCAAACCGCACAGATGCGACGGTACATCCGATCCTTCGACGATGCACGGCGATCCGACATCGCGAACGAACGACTACCGCACTATGCACCCGCTTTGAATCCGTTTGTCCCTGTTCCAAGCATGCGGCTAGCTGGGATGGCGCACAACGATGAGGGTCACGAGGAACAGGTCAGTATGGAGGCGATGATTCGGCGGGCGCTGGAGGAGGAAGGTGTCAGCGACGGAGGCGTCGTGGAACGCCTTGCGGAAAGGATCGCGCGGGGACGAAGGCCGAATGGTAGGCCAAGGGGATTAAAGCGCTTCGAGACCGCACCGTGAAGGAAGTTAACGTTATTGCTTCAACTGTTGTATCAGTTGTGCTTTACTGGATACCCTCTGCTGTGTGTATCTCCCTGTAGTGTTTGCGAAGCAGTGCGTTGGATTGGTTGTAATTGGTCTGTTACTTAAGTATCTCCTCATGTCGGATAGCTGGCGTTCTCGGTCTCGTGTCTGTTGGAATAATGATTATTGTTGCCCCGCCTTCCAAATACATCGCTAACGCGGTTCCATGTGTACTATATATCTACGAGGACGTTCTGAATATTACGGTCGATCTCGTGGTTGCCACCAAAGGGGGAAGCATTGTCGATGCGAAGCCACACTTGCGTGTGCGCATGCACAATGGTACTGGTCGGAGTGGCGTATCTGCAAGGACAAAGCACCAGCATCGAATGTGTATAAAAAGTCAACTGAGGCGTCCCGGCTTGACATCGACCACCCAGTGAGACGTTCCCTATCGCTAGGAGTCGATGGTTGAGGACTTCGCCGACGCCGCGGTGACCTCGCGTAGACTTGTCTTTGTGCGTCGGCATGGTTAGGAGGAATGGTAACGAAGTTACCATTACTACTAACGATGCAAACGCCTAGAGTACTCGCCGCACACCGTCGTTGTTGATTCGAGATAGGGGAAGTTGTAGCACAAAGCCAGCACCAATGATGAATCGCATTTACCAAGGCCTCTTTGTCTCGTCGGTAGCGGGAAACGCCACTTTGTCCATGGACCATCTCTCCGTGTGGCGAGTACTATTATGAGTGGCTATTGTTGAATGATCGCTTTCTGTCGTCCTTGTGCCCCCTTCAATGCGCCTCGAGTTCAACATTGGAGCGATGTATCCTATGAACTAGCATGCGTCATCGCGATGATCAGAAACTAGGCCAAACGACTTCACTTTCACCGCTTGTCCGTCGATGGTACACGAGTCACGAGCTAACCAAAGTCAAAGCCAGCGTCCCTGTACACATGCACGCAGGACGCCGCTTTGACCACCGAGAGAAAGCGGGTCAAAGCGCGGCCACCCCTGAGGCCTGAGGCGTGGCCATAGCTCAAAGCGTCCACGTGTCGTCAAAGCCACATCTGTGCCACCGCTGTGGCCCAAAGCGGCGGGGCAGACGCAGTATATAAGGAGGGCTTCAGAACGGCGAGAGGGCACCAGCAACAAGTCTTCCCACCGAGGGCTATCCCAGCCAACGCGGGATGGGCCTTGACGCACACGGAGATGATATGGAGGTGTGGTACGGCCGCGCACCACGCCCCCATATCTCTTTCTACCGGCCAGAGATGAGATATAGGCTGTGGACGCCGTTCGGCGACGTGGTTAGGAGGAATGGTAACGAGGTTACCATTACTACTAACGATGCCGCCGCTCGACGCCCGCTCTGCGGACGGTGGTCTGCCAGGTAATGCAGAACGCTCTGGATGGGTTCCGGCGGGCGACATGGTTAGGAGGAATGGTAACGAGGTTACCATTACTGCTAACGATGCTGCTGGTCGGGCCCGCTGCGGACGTTCTCCGAGCGAATTTCGTTTATTCTGGCCAGGGCAGGTCTTCGCGCGGCGCCGTGGTTAGGAGGAATGGTAACGAGGTTACCATTACTGCTAACGACGCTGTCTCGTGAAAAGCCTAATACGGATGTGTGATGCTCGAGACTGCCGTCATTCGACGCTGTCGCAATCTCGAACGAAGGACTTGTTGTTCAATGATCTCGCAGCGGGAAAACCCAAGGTCCACTGCATTTCTCTGAAAGATTTCACATATGAGCTTCAGCACACAGGCGCAATCGGGCAGGCGAGTACTTAGAGGGTCGACATCGAGATTTGGATCAGCATCACTGGTAAGTGTTCTCGCCACCAGTCGAGAACGCTGATGAACGCCACTTCAGCTATACACCGCCGCTTGGCACGAGACGGGATCACCAGAGAAGACGATGCGCCACCAAGGACGAATGGCAGCTCGAAGAGCATGAGCCCTGCAGAGGATATGATTGGTGTACACGGCAATTTCCTGTAGTATTCGGTTATCCTGGCACTCGCACGGATTACAACCACATACCTAAGCCAACTATGAAGTGTTCCCAGTCGGGAAGTCCCCGGCGTACTAGGGTGGCTGTGATGTTGATGTCTTTGAGGGTGGATCGTCCGAGGTCGTAAGATTGGATGCTCATCATCATGATCTCTTCTCGCCGCATCTCCGACAACGGTCAGCCGCCGAGCATCGACATGACATTAGTGCGAAAAAGTAGCAGTTGTATAGGCGTCACGATGCGCGTCTCCCCGTAATGATCGCATGTCCGGCCGCATCGACAGATGACAGAAGATGGAATCGTGACTCTAAGAAAAGATATGAGTGGATGTGATGGTTCGCACGCGAACTGAGACACGTACATTCAGCGCAATGGCTTGCAATTCTTCTGTCTTCCAATTTCCATGACTAGAATGGATGTGGATGTACGTGTGAGCGAGAATTTGATGTTCAACATCGCTGGCCGTAAGTACATGACAAAGACATTCCGGACATGCCAACTGAGTACTGGCGGGAAGGCAGAAGCAACACTACAGGCAGCGAGGACGCACATGTGTTCATAGATACAGCATCCATGACAATATGAACAGAGAACAGAAATTACCGAGATTCCCAACTAGGAAATGAGGAAACCGAAGCGCGCACGGTACCTGTTTCTGCCCGACGAGGCAATTGCAACGTGAGTTGGCTGGGAAGCGGTGAAAACAACCGTGCGGTCCAACTTAATCCTACGACGCCTTCGCGCATGGAACTGCAGGGAAGCGGTTGATGTTGACATTGAGCGGTGGCATTCGAAGAACCTACACAAATTGACTAAAAGCGACAAGTTCAAATCAACGCCGTGCACGACATAAGTCCGGAGACGCCAGAACTATCCAATGGGGAAAGAGCAACACCATACGTTGTACGATCACGTACTAAGCATCAACGTTGCGCCATATCAACCATCCACCGCCAAACGAAACCTATAACCTCACTCATCTCAGCCTCACCAAAACCGACACTGAAACAACATCAGGCCTCATCTCGCAGTTCAATCCGATTTCAGATGTTTATTATGCTGGCACTCCTGATAAGGTATAGAGACGATCATAGTAGGTATGCGAAGACACGTCAATCATAGCATCTGCCAACAATGATCAGACACCCCGAAACCGAGAAGCAAGATGTGAATTACCTTAGAGGGTGATGCCGAGGACGCTGACGAGCACAGTGACCTTGAGGGTCGAGAGGACACCCGTGAGGTCGCCGAGGAGGCCGACAACAGCGGGGATCAGGCCACCGAGGAGACCGCTGACGAGCGTGAAGATCGCGCAGATCAAGCAGCCAAGCACCTCGCTGTAGGGGGATGGATCAGTATCTATCCATGTTAAACTGACGGAGACACTTACACAAGCGAGCCGAGGAGCACGGTGACACACTCAGACGCATCCGAAGAGACAACTGCCAGGACGGCAGAGACACCCTCGAGGACGAGCTACAGGAATTGTCAGCTCATGCTCGAAGCGCCAACTTGAGTGCACTTACAGAGAGGAGACCGACGACCGCGGACGCAACCTCAGTCACCGTGAGCAGAGCACCGCCCTCAACACCGAGGATGATGTCCTGCGACTGGCCAACGAGCTGGCTGACCTCAGACAGAGCACCACCGATGACACCCTTGATGTTCTGGACGAGAGGCTCAATGACCTCGACCGTCGCGTTCTCGGCCGTGAGGTATTCTGCAGAGTAAACGTATCAGAACACGTCTGCCATGACGAAGGACAACATGACTACTCACGGAACTCCAGAGTGTACTGGGTCACCTGGGCCGTCGTCTCGTTAATGATCGTAACGACGTTCTTCTGGTCGCGAGGCACGAGGCCATCTGCAGAGGGGACGCTAGGGACCGACGCGACGCTGGGGACTGCGGGAGCGCTGGGAATTGCGGAAACGCTGGAGACAGCAGCCGCAGCGGTCACACTGGAGACAGCGGCGGCAGCGGTGCTGCTAATCGCACTGGCGTCGACGGCGGGTGCCGCAGACGAAACAGTGGCGAAAGCAAGAGCAGCGAAAGCAGAGAGGCGGCCGAAGGAGATCATCTTGAAAAGAATGTGGGGAGTGCGTGAGCAAAAGAGAGTGAGTGTACGGGGGCGAGGGAAACTTGACTGGGTCAATGCTGTTAGACACCTCTCGCGCTGCCTTTTATGCCGTGGGGTACCCCCGGCTGCGTCCGTGCGCAGGTTGCAGAGGCCAACCGGAAGAGAATGCTTGCCGTGGCTGATGGCAGACCCTCGGCCGTGATCATCTGGGTTAGTGCGTGGCGCGCAGCGAAGCAGGCCAGGCGTTAGGCGGCATCGCGTAGGGTGCTTCCAAATGATCGACTCGGTAAAACCTGTCGGTCGGTGAGCAAAACCGGGAACGTTTCCCGCCTCGCTGCTGCCTCGTTCGTTCGAGAGCAGAAATGCGCTGTTCCCGCCACGTTCCAAAGGCATGGTATGTCTCGGCTTCACAGAGGCAGCAGGAAGGACGAACTTCAGCGATTCCCTGCCGCACCAGAGTTGCGGGACTTGTACCACAGAATCCGACGACCGTCGCCGGTGCGATTGCATCACTGCTTCGCGAAGTCTCTATGTGGAGCTGCCTAAACAGCAGACTCGGAGACCTGGTGATGCCATGGTAACTCCCCGACATGACGGCCGTAAGCCAATGACTGCATCACACGAAGGAGATTGCTCACCGACGCTGCGGCACCGGCGGGGACCTTTTTTGCTCATTACGCGAATTCAGGGACAAGTTGACGTATATAATTCGAAGCGGCAGAGTAATTCGTTGCAGGGTTTGCTATAAGCCCGATATAGCCAGCCAGTAAGAAGTAAACATTAGACATGAAACGGGGCGCTCTGGCGGCGGAGAGGAGTCGGTATTAAAGATCACCAGCGGCTACGGGATAATTACAATTTCAGTAGGCTTCCGCCGCTCTCGTGAAACGCCCGCATCAAGGCAGATTGGGGTGATGACAGCGCCGAGCCCAATGCAAAATTGCCTCGCCGTCCGTGGCCCGTGGCGCGTCCCAACGATACCACTGGCGCGTATCTCGACGGTCGTGAGGACTACCGAGTTAAACTATACTACTTACAGTGCCTGAGAGAGGAACAACTTAGCTACAATGACGATGGGGGCGGCAGGAGGGAAACCTGACGTACAACAAGGGCGACTCGCGCATGGTGGACGACATCAGACCGCGCGTTGATATGTCATAGCACAACTCTACGACCACTCTGAGATACATACAGCAGCTTCGAAGGCTGACGTGCATAGCCAGAGGATAAGTGAGATGCTACCACTTTCGATACAACACTCTGGCATTAAAGCGGAGCGTGGTGAGGTGACTGGGGAAACCTTGAGGTCAGAGAGCTCGACGAGATGGCAGCTGGCGGCGAGAAAGGTATCGCTCCCGCAAGGGAACGGTAGAGGCCGCAGCATAACATGTCCAAACAACCACCCGCTAGCTCGGCATATTCCGACCGTCCGCGCCACCAGCTGTGGCGGGGATCCAATGTCGTTCTAAGTCCTGCTAGCTCAGACTCTCTGCTACATACCATGTCTGGATTGCTGCCGTCTATCGAGAACTTTGCAAAAGTAAGCCATGAAGCTCAGCTTGCTGTACAATGCAGACTGAACTGAACCATGTAGGCGACCGCCGCAACCGCCGCGGGGCTTGGAACTTTCGGTATGTGCAAGTCCCAAGGTCTTTAGATATCGTCACGAAATGCGATGCTCGCAGGCGTGGGGCTGCTCTTTTTTGGCCAAAACTATCTCATCTATCCTTCTGCATTCCCTCCGGGTTCGCGCACAGGTGCGTGAGGCTTCTCGTCCTCACGAAGTCGCGGAACATGTCTGACATGAGACATACCAAGAGGTTCCGACACCTATCGACTACGGTCTCGAGTATGAAGAGCCGGTACTGATGACACCGGATGGCTTCAAGCTGCGATGCTACCTTCTGAGGCAGAAGAAGGATCTCAGTTCCCTTGGCGTGACTGCGGTGGACATGCCTGAGCAGTCGGATGAAGAGGTATGTGACCTCCGACTAGTCCGCCATCCCCTACCCTCTTCATAGTTCAAACTCTGCATGCTATCACGCATGCTGTGCAATAATTCTTGCGTGGAGTCCACAGTTCGGTCTGCACATTGCACGACCCACGTCTGCGTGGTGTCCCCGACAGATCGGGCTTACCACTGGTGTTGGAACCTGCACAATCGATACGCGTGGGTATATGCGCGTCGATCTTGATACACAGGCTCTGCACGAGGACTAAGTACAAGACATGAGCAGCTGATTGGAGCTCGCGCAATTCTGACTCGCCTGTATCGTATACAAGAAGTGGATTGTGCCCACATCTCCGGGTCCGTGAGTACGTAACTTGACTCTCGTTGGGCCCCTTCACATAGAGCCGGATATCTGAATCACTAGATGTCTCATCTCGTTCCAGTCATGACCTCATGTTCGCGTACCTCGGTGAACTGAAATGTATCTCATACCTTCACGTCCTCGTTCAGTGATCATTTTATCTGAGATTGCGTGCACGATTCATGTGTTGCCTATTCCGATACCGGATGGTCATCATTAGACATTCTTGTCGTTCCTCGCTCCTTTTCACGCTATCCATCTGTTGCGGGAGCAATAACTGATCGTTATGCCTCTCGATATCCCAGTTCGCGTCAAGACGCCCTGTAGTGATGATGTTCCACGGGAATGGGGGCAATGTCGGGCATCGGATACCTCTTGCCAAGGTCTTCTACGCCAAAATGCGATGCAACGTCTTCATGCTGTCTTACCGAGGGTGCGTCTGCAACGTGCTTGTCTGCTGTATCGATGTAGATGAGGGGTCATGTAGGTACGGCCATTCGGAAGGTACACCGTCGGAGAAAGGTGCATGATCCTCTTCGCTATTCGGCAGTGCGTCACCTGTATCTGACTCGGTTGGTGTGAAGGATTGCAGACGGACGCTCAGTGCGCGCTCGACTTCATCCGCGCCCACCCCTTCCTCTCGAAGTCACCCGTCGTACGTAACGCGCCCGTCAACTTACAGACGAGAACGTCCTCATCTGCTATTCCGTTTGTAGATATTGTACGGTCAATCAATAGGCGGCGCCGTAGCCATCGATCTAGCAAGCCGCAATCCCGCCGCTGTACGTACCCTAATCCTCGGATCCCCGCCCAGCTGACTCACTCATCGATGTGCCCACCAGATCCGCGCACTCGTCCTCGAGAACACCTTCCTGTCCCTCCCGCGCCTCGTGCCGAGCGCGTTTCCGGTCCTCGGCCCCATCTCGTTCCTCTGCCACCAGAAGTGGGACTCCGCATCGAAGGTGCCGCTAATTCCGCGCGACATCCCTATCTTGATGCTCTCAGGCGTGCGCGACGAGGTCGTCCCGCACGAGCACATGAAGGACCTCTGGGAGGTCGTGCAGAAGCGGACGCTGGCGGGGAAGGGCGCCGGGGGCGAGGAGGTGCACGATGGGATGAGAGTGCACGAGGCGTGGGGACGTGGGGGCTACTCGAAGTTTATGGAGTTTGAGAGGGGGACGCATAGTGAGTGTGACTGTTCACTTTCGACTCGTTGACATGGGTTCTGAGCGGCGGCGTGGCTCTCTAGATGATACGTGCGTCCAGCAAGGATACTGGTCGACTATCGCCGAGTTCATTGAGGGTCTGCATTGATGCATTTGAGCATAATACCATAGCTTTTCGCCCCGAATCTGCCCCTGCCTTATCACTATCGCCCGTCGCACGCGCCACGTTCACTTACATTCACTGTTTTTTCTCTTGTAATTTGGATGTCCGTCATCTTGTAACATCATGGTCTTCGTCGTGGGGTATGCCAGGTGTTTCTGCGACGTCGTCATTGATACGGTGTTCATTGGTTACGAAGAGGTTCTAAGTCACGCGTACATGTTTGAGATGCTACACGATGGTAGCGCCGTCGGTATGTTGTGGTGAGCGATGTAAAGCTCGGCCTGCGCTCTAGGCGAGTGGCGATTGCAAGGGCGTTGTGGCGCCGAGCCTGTCCAAAACGAGTATCGCATAGACGCTGATGGTGTTCATCACTAGGAAGCGCGCAGAACGCCTTTGTTCAAACGCTCCGTTCAGTCTTCTCCGGTATTCTCACCAGATTTACTCACAACATCATGGCGGTAGGAGATCACTTCACTATGGTATTTTTGTGCGAGACGCCAAGGATCACAATCTTCTTGTAGGCCCAAGGCACCGCTGCGGCATCGGCGTCGGACAAGGACTGGGTTAAGCTAGTCAGTACAGACGGTTATACCTTCCTGATTCCTCGGAAAGTCGCTATGAATAGCGGTACATTGAAGAATATGTTGAGTGAAGAAAGTGAGTACGCCGTTTTACGGAAGTATCTGCGCTGCTGAACATCTCACTCCGACCGGAAGGTAACTTCGCTGAGGCCGCCACAAACACTTGTATGATCGAAGAGCGGTAGGGAACCGTTCAATAGTGATACATCGACGTTGATCAGACAGAATTTATATGACAGTGGCATTATTGTCGAGAAGCTGTGTGAATACTTGTCGTACAAGACCCTCTACCAGGACTCTCCGCCGAAGGAGATCCCCGACTTCCAGGAACGCCTGCAGCCTGAGATTGCTCTCGACTTGTGAGTCAACCAAACCACGTTGCTCAGATCCACAGCCTTACTCATGTCTCTAGGCTGATGGCTGCAGATTACTACGAAGGTGGGTACTATGAGTACCTGTAGTTGCTATAATTGACCCTGGACCACATTTGCACTAGCATGACTCAATCGCACTGCAGTGCGATGACCACAGATCAGTCTGGCAGGTAGTTGAACATTAGACGAGACCACACAATTTGAGTGACACTTGGTTGTACAGTCGTATGTATGTGTAGTGCTCTCATTGTTGTTCGCAATGCCAATACTGTCAGTGCTGGTAACCGCGCGGTACCGCGGCCAACCTGGCCAATGAAGACCTCGACGCCAAGTTGAGCAACTCTGGATCACCCATACTTACCTGTATTATGAATACGTGCGAAGGAGCTAGGCTCTAGGTCGGCTACAACCTGTACTGGAAAGTGATAAATTAACGGGCAGTGCAGTGCTACAGTGGACATATACCAAGTACATACAACATATCGATGAGCCAAGAAACAATAGAAAGGCGGTCAGTGTACATAGGAGTGTGCAAGTAGTACAAGAAAAACCAAGGATACCACGAGCCAACCAGGGCTCGGCAGTCAGCCTAGCCGCCACGGAGGCGGAGGATATGGTGGCATGTCACTATCACTATCATGTCCATTCTCGTCGCGTCTGTCTTCTGGAGGCGCGCCCCTCGGTAGTAAAGGATTAATGCGTCTTCTGCGAGCAAAGGCGCCGCCAACACTTCCACTCGGACCTGCAGTGGGTCCAGGAGCGTTAGATAAGCCGGACAGACGGGGGCCACTACGTGATGCTTCCGAGCCGCTAACGCGTCCTCGACATACTGGACATGTACGGGCAGTCTTCAGCCATTGCTACGGACACTCACATCAGCAGAATTTATGTTAGCTAAATATTCACATACCTCCAAGCAACCTCTGTGGAACCAATGGGAACAGGCGGGGACCTTTAACACAGCGTCTTCAGCGGTGTACTAGCATTACAGTTAGCATCGTAGAAGCAGAATGGGATTCGACCATACATCGTCAAGACAAATGGGGCAACGCTCTTCCGTCTCGCCAGGCGTTGCCCATTCCCGGTACGTGGCGCCAGGAAGAGAAGCTATAACCTGTTCCGACAAACCGCGCGGCCTCCCCTCACCCAGCAGGCTAGTGAGTTCCAAGAGTGCTTCGTATGAGGTGTCCAGATTCTGATCCCTCTGCTGATTGCGATACGTCATGTAGAGACAGCCCATCAGCTATGATACAAGGGAGAAGATGATTCACAGACCACATAATCGCCCGAGGGCCTCGTTCTGGGGCCGAATTGGGACAGGCGTCGGTGCAGGTCAGGATACTCTGAGTCCATACCGAAGAAGTCGTATTCACGCCTGCGCGTGCCACGTAAGCGCGATGGCATTCGGCTGCGGACGTGTGGATCCCGGTCGTCTGCTGCGCTTGTGGACGACTGGGAGTTGCCTACTCCACCGCGAGACTGAGCTGGTAGTCCTTCACTTCGCCCACCCCGAAACAAGGTCTGCGAAGGCTTCAATATGCGATATATGGGGTGAGTTGTTGTCAACTCACGGAGGGTTCATCCCATAGACTGGCCATTGGAGGGCGGGTGTTCGGGGCGGAGAGCGCCGACGGGACGTCGGCGTACATGTCAAACGACGATGTGGGACGCGCCACGCGCCAACGTGGACCAGCACGCGATCCTGACCCGTCGCCCCTTTCCCTTCCTCTATCATCCCCCCTTCCTCTATCATCTTCCGGGGTATCAATCATGTCATCCACACTGCCATGGACAATGCCATGGACCGGGCAGACCGGTCCGTTCTCTGTAGTGGTCTCGGGATGGTTCTGGGTGTCAGTGGGTGACTGGTCGTGCGATACAGCGCAATGCAGCAATGAGTCCCAATGAGGATTGGAAGGCCCATCCAAGATATCCGCTGTTGAGAAGGAATTCGGGGTGTGGTACCTGGAGGGGTGAGTGAGTTCGTACTCGCTGGGAGCAGGACGAGATAGGCCCTGTAACGGGGGCTTATTGCGATAGTCAGCTCTCCATCAGCGCAAACGCGCATAACAACTTACCAAGCGTGGAACAGGATAGCGTTGGAAGTGTAGAGGCGGTAACGAAGGCGCCTCAAGGTCACGACTCGGAGAGCGCGGATCTCGACGGTGTGTAGCAGCTGTAGAGTGCTGCAATTCCAATGACCGTTGGATCGACGCGCGGAAGGGGCCCGCGCGGAATGAGTCTAGATTGAAGCGCGTGGTTGGCGCCGTCCTTGCTGATGTTTCTCTGGTGATCGACGGCCTGCGCGAAGCATTTGCAGTTGGGTGTACCGCACGAGAGGTTGGCTGAAGCGGAGAGTCAAAAACTCTAGGCGGAACCATGGATGCTCGTAAGTCAGCTCTTGCATTGAGATCTCGATGCAGTCTGTCCAGCCGGTAATCACGCTCCGCTCTGCGGGTTTCTGGAGACAACGCTCTGGCCGGCGAGGGTCGTGCAACGTTGTCGGCGTCGGACGTCGAATCCCCGCGCATGCTTCGAAGGACGAGGAGTCTTGACAGCCTCCGTCGACTGTTTGCCTCAAGGCTGTCATCTGTATTGGCAGTCGACGATGAGTCCACGGTCGACCTTCGATCACCATCTGACGCTCTCAAGCGTTCTGCTTCCTCTCGCTCACGACGACGTCTACGGGGGTCCGGTACGCGGGCGGGTCTATGAGCCCACGACCCCCACGTTCCTCGTGGTTCCGTTAGTCTCGGCTGACGATCATCAGCCGTCAGCACAGGAGGGTAGGCATCTCGTCAGGACCATCTCCGCGTACCCACACGTCTAAGGCTTCGCGGTAAGACTCGAAAGTAGAACTGGGCCGCGCTACCAAGTCCAACGTTGAACGATCAGGTCCCCTGCTCGCCGATGTATCTGCAGGTCGCGCGCGCGTTGAGGGCGAGAATGGTTCAAAGAAATAACCAGTAAAGTCGATCTCGTGGTCGAGAGATGTCCCTTGATCCGCGCTTGCGCTCATGGACGGCAGAGGTGGGGAGACGGAACCGAGACGCGGTGGTTCCAGTTCAGTCCGTGAACGGGCTGAGGGTTGGTGAGTATTGTACGGATGGGGTTCCATGGGCGTTGGTCTTGCTCTCTGAGGCTGAGATCTGCGCGTATCAGGTCTGCCCTGATCGTCCGCCCGCGTCGACCCGCGGAAACTCGGAAGCGACCAATCTGCAGGGGTGAAATGAGGCTCATCTGCAACGTTGGATCGAGCGTCGTCGTCGACTCCTGGCAAGCTCCAGTCAACGGGCGAGAAGCGGAGGTGGCTGCCGACACTCGCTCTGAGTCCTTCGGCCGAGATCGATTCCATTTGTTCGCGAGCCCTCCTGCTCCGGAACTCTGCGGCGTTCTCAGACATGAGTGAGTTTGACGCGCCTGGCCGCGTGGCATAAAGGGACCGACGACGCCGGTTAGAAGCAACGAGCGACAGCGGAAACAAGGCATCGTCGCGATCTACAGGGAGCAGGTCCTCTAACCCTAAGAAGTATGAGCCGTGCAGAACGCGCATCTCACGAGGACGTACCGTTAGTGGAGGAACGCCTCGACGAGGGCGCTTCTCTATCCTCGGCGGCAGACTGCGGATGGTTCTCTGGCCTTCCCGTCAGAGTGACCCAGGCAGATCGCACTGCACTAGGCGCACCGGTACCAGCGTCGCCTCGGGCGCGCTGCACAGCTTCGATCTGGCGCGCTCTGGCTTGCAGGCGGCGGACGGCCTCGCGGATGAGCGACAACTCTGCCGTAAGTGGGTCTGCCTCGGCGTCGCCGTGGTCTGGATCACGGTGATAATGTCGTGAGTGAGCGTGTGGCGGCAATCCAGTCAGATCCGGAGACGAGGGGCTCGCTGTTGAGATGTCAGTGAATGGGTGATGGCAGTGCCCAGTGATAGCTCACTCGCGGACGGGGCGTCAAGTGAAGTAGATGTCCCCTGGAGGTACTCCTCGAGAGACTGCTGTATTTCTCGCAGTCTTCGCAGGGCTTCTTCTGGGCCTATAGGATGTTCTCTTCGGCGCTCGGCTACTGTGGGGGTCAGAGACGAACCATAGGCGTGGTAGAGTGAGCACCCACTGAACGGCTGTGAGCGAGTGGAGGATTGAGCAGGTCTGCTGTCCCATTGGTTCCGCAGATTATCGACACGGTCATGCGGAAGCGGCCTCAGCTGGCCATTAAAATCGGCGAGCCATCCGGACACGGTTGGCACAGGCGGTAGAGCAGGTGGTACAGAGCTCAGGCGAGACATCACGGTACCAGGCGAGACAGGACTGGGTGGCCTCGAGCGAGATATGACGTTGAGATTCGGCGTGGGTGGTACCTCCAAAACGGCGACGTCTCCATCGATGAACCTAGCGATGTACGGGCTGAGCGAGGGAGACTAGGGCCTGGCATGGGCGAGTCTGAGTGTCGCAGGACGGAGATGTTACTGTCAAAAGCATTGAAGCGTTCCATGGACAGCCTGAAGTGGTCGTTCTGCTCCGTGGGGGGCGACGTACGCGGCATGAGGCCACGAATGGGGGGCAAGGGCTCGACGCCGTCCATAGGTTCGGCGAGGGTTTCAGGCTCGTCCGACATGAGGTCGACGGACGACGCGCTGCCCTCATGGCTTGCTCCGCGCGGTGAAGAGGCTGCATTGGATGAAGATGAACCACTCGCCAGGGTGTTCGATGAAGACGGTATCAACGATGGTGAGCGAGCATTGCTCTCGCTGCGTGCCCGTTTATTGCGCTCGCCACCGCTGCCGCTGCCCTCGCCGCCGTTGCCTCGCTCGCCGTTGGGACTGCCCAAGTCGAGTCCGAGCTCGTCAAATGAACGTTTGAAAGACGTGCTTTCTGTCGGTATAGTGAGCTCGAGTCTTGGACACCTGTCCCCCATCGCCGTCGTCGACGACGGCAGCGTCGTGGTGGGAGTACTAGAGAAAGAGGAATACTGTAGCGGAGTGTATGCTGCCAACCGTCACGCGTCACGGAGCCCTTCTGAGTCGCTATCTACACGTAGAAATGTCACGCGTCACGGTACATCGGTTGCTAAGAGCTAGTTACATTAGGGGTGTCACGATCGATCCTGCACAGCGGCGACCGCGCCTGCTTCTCCCCAAAGCTCTCCTGCGTCGTCAAAAGCCCAACATCCTCCTGATCACCACTGCTCTGCAAAGTCTGGTCTACAGCTCGAACTTCCGCTGCAAACGCGCCAGTGCAGAACGGCTCGCCCTGCTGATCTGCCTCGGGTACATCAACCCCAAGTGCTTGCTGAACAACGGCTCGCAAGGAAACATCCGTGTCGTCATACGCCTCCTCGGTGCTGGTCTCGCCTTCTTCGTCTGGTTCCTCAGCAATCAAATCCCCTAGCTCACCAATCTTCCCCTCAATCTCGTTCCGGAGTGTCTCGTCCTTTCGTAAGTATTCGCGCCATGCCGCCTTCGCTCGTCGGCTGGTGATGCATTCGGCTGACAGATTCCACTCCTTGACAGCGCATTTTCTCCCAAGCCCGGCGGATGACGGTCCTTCCGCCTGCAGAGTCGAGGAAGTCGAAGACGTCGACTAGCGGTGCAACACTGGCGTTTCGGAGTGTTTTGATGGAGGTAGTGATCTGACCTGTTCAGGTGTGAGTCCCTGATCTATCTGCTGCGAATGGCTGTTGACGAGGAACTCAGAGCGGCCTGACGCAATCGATGTTTGATGACTCGATTTAGGCCTATGTCAGCCGGTTGAAAGATGCCCGTGCAGTTCGCTGGAATGAAGATGAGGAAGACGTTCGGGAACTCGGTCCAGATGTAGACACGGAACTCTTCACTCGTGTGGACAGGGTAGCAATCAATGATGAGGATTGCCCGCTGGTCTGCAGGAAGGTCAGGTCGAGTATCTTCTGCGTGATGTACGGTTTCAGGATATTAATCATCCACTAGCACGTCTGTTAGAGATAGTAGAAGGGATGTGCGATCCGTGAGTAACACACCTCCTTCATCGTCTTCAAAGTGCTGAAGTGACTTGTTTTCTTGGCACTTGCAGCCGAAGAGAAATCGAATCCGCGCATTCTGCGCTTTATCCATTCCGTCCGCATCCACGTCAGGGAGCGACTTTACAGTCTGCCCGCTCCACACTTGCTGGAAGGGAAGGATATCACCATCGGCACTCGTAGCGACACAAAGTGTGTATGCTCGCTTCTCGTCCTTCGCCACAACATTGACCTGTCGTACGCCCGTCTCCTCGTAGGTCGTATTGTTGTTTGGCAGACCATGACTCCCGTCTGGTCCATGCCAATGATGAGCGATGGCGGGATGTCGTACATGACAACAGCATGTATGATCCGGAAGAAGGTACGTTCGCATAGCTCGTCCGCGTTGTCGGGATGTGAGCTGCGGCACGCGTTCCTTTCCGCACGACCAGCCAAGATACTGCTGAAGAAGTCGCCAACAAAACGCTCAGGCATTTGAATGTTTCCAGCAGCTCCGGCTGATGTCGTTTGATCAAGGCGAGTAGGATTGATCGTCCGAGTATGCGATTTACTGGAATGCCTGATGCGCGCAGGGCAAGCAGTCGCGCCTTTGCTTCGTCGACGATAACGGGATATTTTGTAAGGACCCCAGCACGACCCGATGCGGACAAGACACGGCGATTGTTGACACTTTCAAGGGTGCGTGTGGACCATCGTTTCCCATGCTTTGATAGCCAGCGTTGCACAGTCCCTTCGTCAAGCGCGAGACATGCAGGATGCTCGCGTTGTAACGTCCGTGCAATGAACGTCGCCGACCAGTGAACCTGGGGTGCAATGCGATCAATGTGAGCCCATAGGAAGGGATGAACAATTGGTCCTTTCGTGTCGCTGCTGAATGACCCACCCTTCTTCCCATTCCGCTTCTTCTTCCATACCGAGCCATGTGGCCGCGATATCTCCGCAAGGTTCGTCAGCTCACCCCGCTTCGGGCTAGCTCTAACCCTGATGCGTTCCTTGGCACTAGCTAGCCCGGGTTGAGTCTTCTTCAAGCTGCCTTCTTCGCTCGATGCCGTTGCTGACGCACACGGTCAATCTCACGTCTGTGGGCAGCCTTCTGCTCGCGCTGCTCCTCCTCCTGCTGAGCGAGCTTCATGCTCCGTTCCTTGGTTGCGGCAGCTTCTGTCCGCCATTTCTCGTGAGCTTCCTCCTCGTCATTGGCTTCCACCAAACATGCCGAGCCGAGCCTGTTTGTTAGGCTGCGGTGGGCCGTGCTTGTGGCCTCGTTGCCGGATCCTGCATCAGCACTTCGCTTACGCTTTGTACTGCGTGCGGAACAGGTTGTGCTTGTCGGAGGTAGGCCTGCGATTGGCTGACGTCTCTCTACTCTCGTCCTCTGATTCACTGCTGACAAGGTTGATTGTAGGCTCCCGCCGGCGCACTGGTTGGTGCTTCCGGAAGAAGCTGGGAAGTCGAGCCTGAGCTCCTTCAGCCTCAGACTCATCTGAGTCGGAACTCGACATGATTGGTCCCCTGACAGAGACATCAAACAGTGAGGCGAAGACTGTGTCGTGGGTTATATACACTTACCTTTTCCTAGGGACCCTTGCTCCAGAAGCCTTCGCCCCAGTTATCAACCGTTCGAGCCATGCAGTCTTGACCATTGCGCGGTCGGGGTCGCTCATATCGCGCATGGATGTCTTGAAGAGCTGTACCAAGTCTTCGCATCGGCGACCTTGCTCCGTGAACAGGATCTGTCCACCATGGCTAGGTTTATGGGTCTGGAATGCATGCTCAAGGGCTCGTGAAAAGGCGGCATAAGTGCCCTCTTCTTTCACAAAGTCTGGATCGAGGGCAAAGTGGTACGATGATTCGGGCGGGTTTGATGCAGTGAAGTCGGGAGATGGCGAAGGAGCAAAGCAAGATGGTTAATGCGAGCAATGAGTTCTTTAGACAGAGCAGGTTGTTTTGTAGATGGCATATCTCTACGTCGTTCTGTGTTGCAGTCAAGTAGTAGCTCGTTTGAATTTTGTCAACATAGCCTGAACCGAACTAGCTGAATTGTGGCTACAGGATCACGTGTATAACTGGCCACAGCGATGTCACGGTTGCTACACTAAAGCTGGTTGCTAATCACACATCTGTCACGCATAACGGGGGCCAGTTGCTAGTGTCGGGACCCGTCCGAGTGTCACGCTGGGTCTGGCGGTTGGCAGCATACACTCCGCTACAGTAATAGGCAACTCACAAAACGCGTTGATTGACTTACTTATTATTACTTACTTACTATTACTTCTTACTTACTTACTTACTTACTACTTACTCTACATTACTTACTCACATAGTACACCCTGAATAATCATAAAACATATAACGCATTGATCATGTCAGTGATCGCGCCGAAGATTGTAATAAGTTAATCGTGAGTCAATGTTACCCTCATGGTCTTCAACTTTTTGGCCGAACATTTGAACAATGCGTTGCCTCCGGACGAGAACGTGGTTTCATTGCCAAAGCCGATAATAATATGCGTAATGCGTGACATGGAGCGGTCGTAAGCCCTTGAGTAAGTAGTTGGGGAATCAGAGGGATACAGTGGTAGGAGGGTAACGCAAACGGCAGTGGGCGGTGGGCAGCGAGGGAGGTATCACAACATGAGTAGCACCATGATAATACAGGACCAGGATCGAGGGTTGAAAAAATAATGGAGCGAGCAATAGCAAGACATACATGTTCATCCGCACACAGAACAGAACAGAAAATAAGAAATGGCCTATACAGTAAGGTCCGTGTGTTCATTCCGGGGCGAGCTCACCGGTGAGCTCATCATCACCGATATGCGGACGCTCGAGACGACTCCTAGCCGTTCGACTTCCTTCTCAAGGCTGCGAGTTCGAGCATGAATGGTCAGCATGCATAGAAAGTAATACAATTAGTCAGTCTCACTTCAGTGATTGCTGACGCAGGTCTCCATTCTCGCGTTCTGCGCGGCGCTCGCCAACTGCAGGCTGTCTCGGAGGTTTGCTGCTCGGTAAGTCATTAGCACACCACAACTTCGACACGAAAGTCAGAAAGCTCTCGCTCACCAATTCGTCCATTGCTTGCCTCATGCTCGTAATCTTGCCCTCATACGACTCACTTCCTCTTCAAGGCGTTGCGTGTCGCTCCGCCTCCGCGAGCTGGAAGCGCGCGTCGCGCGCGTCTTGTCCGCAGAGCGTGGAGGCTGAGCTGTCCTTGGAAGTCTGGTTGAGCTGATTCGTCAGCTCCTCGATACGGCTCTCGAGCCGGCGCGACGACGTCGACGATGGCCTTGGTACGTTGAGCGACTTCGTCTCGAGGTCGACGATTCGGAGATTGAGCTCCTTGATCTGCTTCTCCAGATTCGCCTGTGCAGCGCACCAGTTCGTTAGTAGGAACAAACAGATAGCTGTACCGATACTTACGTTGACTTGTCGAGCTCCGAGTTCTCCACGCGTGTCTTGCCCAGCTCGACCTGGCATTCCGTAGCGTAGCCCTCAGCCTTCTTCATCCTCTCAAAAGCCATCGCCACTCTATCGTTCTGCTCCTCAAGCGAGCGTTCCAAGTCTTGCTTCTCCAGCCGGAGCTTCTGTAGTTCGGTCTCGGAGGACATCTTCGTCGTGTCCACGGAGTCGAATTTGATCGCTTCTAGTCCGCCTGTAACGCACGCCGCGCCTTCTGGAGGGGCACGGTCCGCCTCTGCGTCGTTGAGCACACTGCGAAGCTCGCGGACCTTGAGTGCAGCGAGACAATTTGCGACTGTTGTTCTGCTTGCGCAGCGGTCGAAGAATCGTATGCCTTGGTGAGATCCTGAATCTTGGTCTCCAGACGTTCTTTGTCCTTCTTCCAGGATCCACCGTTGTATACTTCTTCGTCATGACGCAATTGAAGTTCGTCGTAGTGTGACCGGATCTTCCTGCTCTCCTCGCGCAGCCTGCTCATGGTGTCGCGTTGCGATTGCAGTTCTGGTGCCGCAAAAATTCAGCAAATTGACAAGGTCTAGGGAAGGCAGACGTACCCTCGCTCAGCTGCGCAAGCTCCGCTGTAGATAAATTAGATGAATTAGTGGACTGGTTCAATTGCGAGTGGACGAGACCACTCACCCTGATACTTCTTACGCGTCTGATCTGCCGTGAAGTCTCGCTCCGAAAGCTCTTCTTGATGATGCTTGCGTTCATCCTCCATCTCCTCAGCGAGGCGTTGCCGCAGTAATTCCAGATCTGAGGATTCCCTGCCTTCTTCGTCCAGCCTTGACTCAAGTTCCCGGATACGCTCTCCTGCAGTCTTGAGCCTCTCTTCAGCAGCGTTCCTCTCAGCAATTGCATCTGCATGAGCCTTCTCCGCATCAGCCAATGCGCGACGCGCTATAGTCAGATATCAGCTATCGGATGAATCAGCGCAGCTCGCAAAACGTACAGTGCGATTCTGCACGAGCAATCTTCGCCTTGGAAATCTCCGCTTCTTCGAGCTTCTTGATGTAAGATTCGACTTTGACTTTGTAAGTCTCGACGGCCTCTTGCAACTCTGCCATGCACATGAGCAAGTCTACGACTAGATCCAAACCAATACACGCTTACCTGAGTGGACAGTGGAGGAAGTGGAAGACGTGATCTCCAGCTCTTGGAGACGTGACTGCAGCTCCCGCCTGGCATCTAAGGAGCGGTCAGTAAGTGCCTCCCAACGGCACATTCTCACTCACTGGTCTCCCCGTTCTTCGCGACGATCTCCACTTCCAAGCGATCTTTGAGGTCTGCAATCTCAGTCTGCATCTGTTTCTTTGCCGTCAGCAGTTCTTGAACTTGTCGACGCTGATCCTCAAGCTCGACGGCAGCGGCACGTTGTTGGACGACCTGTTGGAGTGCGGTCAAACAGAGTACAGTTGTCAGCGATGTCTCGCGCACCAAAGCTTTCCGCGACTCCTCTAAACGGGAGTAGCTGTCCCTTTCGTTCTGGATAGTAGCTTGGAATTTGTCCCACATTGCTTGTACACCGTTCAACTGAGCAGCTTCGGCAGCCCGCCTTGCCTCAGCCTCGTCCTCAAGCAACTCGGCGAGTCGAGCGTTCTCTTTCGCAAGGCGTGCGCGATATTGCTCCAGCGACTGCTTCGAGCCATCCGAGTTCTCGAACTCAGCGGTCATCTCCCGCAGCGATTGCTCAAGGTACTGCCTCACTCGTGTAGAAGCAGCCATCTGAATTTCGAGTATCTGGACTTGCTGCTTGAGAGCGTTGACTTGAGCTTGTCTGTTCTCCTGCACGCGGATCGCATCGGGATGTGAGTCTTTGCGAGACCGGGGCACACCGTTTGTCTGGGCGAGAGAACGTTTGGAAGGCGTCAAATTAGCGAGTGAGCGGACGTCAGACCCAGTGGCATGACGTCGGACGGACATCTCTCGCTCCATCTCTTCGTCTGCAAGCTCGAGTTCTCTGAGCAAGCGGGATCGGAACGAGTCGTCCTTCGGACCACTACTCATGATCAGCCGACGTATTTCAGCATGTTGACGGTCAACCTGTTCCTTGATCCTAGCCGCTGTGGTCTTTGACATCTCCGAGTCCTGCAGCTGGTCTTCAAGCTGAGCAATGCGCGCCTCGTACTGGCGCTGCAGCTTCGCGGTAGAGTTGGGGGTATCACCTTCATCAGCAAGTCTCGTAAGCTCGAGCTCGAGATTGTCTTTCGCCTTCTGTACGCTTGCCAGCTGCTGCGCGGCGTCCGAGACCTGACTCTGCGAGAGCTCGAGATCGTTCTGTAACCGCTTGACGTGGAGTTCTGCTGCCTCCCTCGCGCGCCGCTCCTTCTCTAGCGCAGCGAGAGCCTGAATAGCCTTGTCCTCTTCTGCCTTGATCTTCTTGTCCTTGGCACGAAGTTGCAATTGTTCGCTTTCCCTGTCTCGAACAAGATCCTCCGCTTCGATCATGAACTTACTTCTTGCTTTCTCGAGCGATCGAATATAAGCCTCCCTGGCCTGCAACTCCTGCTGAGCTTCCTGCAACTGTCGATCGGTGACACGTTTCGCCTCTTCGAGGACATGAACATGCTCGACAATGGTCTTGTCTTGGCGTGCTTCTAGCTGCTTGACTTCCCACTCGCGGGCCTTCAGATCAGACAGCGCCTTGTTGAGCTCGCGATCGAGTTTGATATTCATGTCCTTCAGCCGCGCTATCTCTTGCTTCTGAGAAGAGGCTGACTTCTCGAGCTGGCTGCGTTTCGCCGACTCGCCATTGAGCTGTTTCTTGACGGTCTCCATCTGTCGATCATGAGCACCCTTCTCCCGCTCGAGCTGGAGTACGACGTCTTCAGAATCCTCGAACTTGCTTTGCATCGTGGTGAGCTGGCGCTCGAGGTGCTACCACGTTGTTCGTCACCGTCAACCCCGAACCACAGCACACAGTAAGCAGATTGTAACGTACCTCCTTCTCCTTGAGCACTTCAGCCAACTGGCCGTCAGTGTCAATTTGGCGGGTCCGGATAGCTTGCAAGTCGGACTCGAGTGTACGCCTAGCTTTGACA